CTCATATAAAGTATCTCAAAAGCAGGTTTGAATTATTCAAGCTGAATGAATCCAGATACGTAATATATTTACATCATAAGTAATATTAATTATATGATGATTATATATATAAACTCTTAATTACTATATTTATTAGAGTTAATTTTGTATTTAATCGGAATTAAATATATTTTTAAATAATAATAATAATTATTATTATAATATTAAATTATATCAAATTAGTTGAAAAATATTTACATTCCAAACCATTAGAAGTATATTTACTAAATTTGAGTGTGGACTATTTTTTTCTTAATTTATGATATTATATGAATTAAGAAAAGGAAAAATAGTTTACAATGTGTTTCGTGAGTGTAGAATTTGGGTTCGAATTAAGGAGGGATGTGGATATGGGTTTGTGAAGGATGTGTTTATAGAAATAATATTTTTTATATTTATATATATTTATTAATATTATATATGTAAAGCATATTAAATAATCTATAAAATCTAAATATTTACTAAATATTTCATAATATTAAATAATAATAATATTATATAAAGCATATTTTACATAAAACCAATTTTTAATTATATTTTATAATAATAATAAAAAAAATGATATATTTTTAGGAGTATTGTGATGAAAATTGCCACAGACAATTGTCCATATAAAGTGTTACAAAATGTTTAAAAGTCATTTTGATGGAAAAATCAACGACGGATATATTTGGTTACAAAAATCATTACGTTTAATAATAACCTCTCTAAACCTTAGTTTTAATTAAATTAGGTGGTAAAACGTTTGGACCACAACGGTGTGTTCTCACACACCTTTGTCGAGTTATAGTGGGGGCACACATGAAATCTTTGAAATCTTTCTATTTGTTTTGTTGTTTTGGTCTCAACTTCAATTTATTTTATTAGGAATTAATTGTAATCTATTTCCACTAAATAAACAACTCTTAAGTTGACGTAATTAACAAGCTACTAAATTTAAAATAAAAATTACTAAAAAAAGAAATAGAAGAATTTAAGACTGAGTAAATCACCCGTTCAAAGACTAAAATTGTATGAATCGATCAAAATTATTTGTTTGAGTTACGAATGTCAATACAGTAACTCAAAGAAAATAAGAATATAATATTCTTCTTCAACTTTTCTTTTATCTTCCTTTTGCCATTGATAAATTGTTTGTATACATATATAAGATGAAATATATCATCGAATTTGTTTTATGATAAAATCTTTAAATTAGACAAAGATTAATGCCCTTGTAATGTCAGAAAAGAGTACCAAGTAAAGAAAATTATATAATGTTAGAATGAACCCTAATGACAAGTAATATTTTAAACAGAAGATTGAATCAAATGTGATAAAAACGAATATGAGTTACACTATGATATATTGGTGGAATGGAATGGGTAGTAGCTAGTTAGTTATTTCCATCTAATTTCGTAGCCATTTTCATATATTTCACCAATCTATTTCCACCATTGTTGTAGAGCCTTACATGCAAATTTTCCCCATGCCTTCAATCTGTTGGGAGAAATTGAATGCCAATATTAAGACCATTTTCTATGTCCTAGGAGGCGACCTAACATCATATAAGGAAATTTGAATCCTTGAAGTTTCTTCTTTAAGGACCACGTTGTTCTAACATGGAAAGGGTTTGATGATAACTCATTGATAAGTGCAATTATTCCTTCATACCTACTCATAATCATAGTGTCTGAAATTGGGGCATACAATCATCTTCTCCTTGACAATTTCTGATCCTTCACATGCTAGTTAATTAAAGTTGGTTGTGTGCATTTATATGACGATTATACAAATCAGAAACGCTGCTGATTCAATTAGTCGTTTGTCATAAGCATGTAATATTGCTAATATTTTGCATGAAAACGATATGGAAAATGCTGTATAGAGATAAGAGAGAGAAAGGAAAATAGGAAGAAGGTTTTTTTCTGACATGGACAAAGTGAACAAGAATTCTGAGAATCAATCTTTCATGTGTTGAAGATAGGTTTAAGTTGAGTTGTTGAACATTGGTTGTAGATGAAGATGCTATAGTTGTGAGTTTGCTTGCAAAGAGTGAGATTATTTGAGTATTCATCCATATGTTATAATGGGTGTATGCCAAAATGTTGTGGGTAATTGAGAGTGGATTAGTGATGGGCATTAACAGAAAACGTATATATATGGACCACAGCATGCAGAAGAGCAATGGTGTGAGTTGTGAAGCACAAGTGAAAACCCAAAGAGCAGTAGCATGTTGATGATTATTGATTAGGTGAGGGACCACCACCACTGCAAAATACGTGAGGAGTTGAAGAAGGGAAAGGAAGAAACTTGATTTGTCAAAATATTTTAGCATGGGGGAATGATTTGGTAGGGATCAACATGTGTACTGTGTAGGTACCACGAAACAAGAGGTTAACGTCATTCAAATACTTTTGCATTTCCTCTCCATTTTATTCACCACACAATTCGTTGGGGTATACTTGCAACATTGCAACCCTAATTCTTCGTTCTTTTTTATGGTTTGGATCATAAAAGGAAACTAAATTTACTTTTTCTTTCCCCTCCCTCATTTTTCTTTCCATAGCTCATCATCCATCGTCACCTCCAAAGATATTTCGGTGACATATAATTCATCAACCTTCATAACATTTGTTTGACTTTCAACACGGAAACATCCATAGTCATGTACAAATTCCAATACAAAAACAAATTTCTTATCACTACTTTTTTTTTCTTCTTCTATGTTTTTATCAATACACACAAAAACAAATATAATTCTTTCCTTGTCATTCAATTTCCAAACACGTACTTATTTTAAGAATGAAGAATTTTATGTTTGATTCCTCTCAACATCAGTTGCAATGATCCCCCAATACCCTTTTTTTGTTTATATTTTTCATTTATATATATATATATATATATATATATATATATATATATATATTATCTCATTTTTAATGAATTAATTTTATATTATTATTATACTATTTTGGTGTACAGTGAGAAGACTGAATTTTAAATTTAGAATTTCATATACTACTCGAAGCCCACTAATAATTATTATAGTACCGTGAATTATTATATAAAATATATTTTATATTAAATGATTGATGATATTTTTTATAATATTATACTCTTAAATGATTCATACCTATAACATTTCTACAGTTCTACTCTTCTCTTCTTATTTCTTTTTGCTACATTCATTTTGTTGAATGAAAAATTGTACAAATATATAGTTAATATACAATTTTCTCAATTAAATAAAGCTGCTATGTATTATTTAATTCATGAAAATTAGTAAAATACATGTTCAAGAAATTAATATTTATTCAAAACAATTAATTAATTAATTGTTAATATTGTTTCAATAAAAAAAATAGCATTGTTCTTTTTATCATTATATAAATAATCATTAAAGTATGTTTTAAAACAAAAAAAAAAGGTTTAAACTGAAATAGAATCAGGTACGTAATTATGGAATTTTATGTTAAAATTGACTACAATAAAATAACCACTATTTAAAACACTCCAATTTAATAAAATAACTTCGTACAAAACAAAACAAAAAAAGGTTTTTATTTTTTCGCACACGCACATTGTCCCTTATTTACTATTTTCAAAATTAGAACTTTGTATTAACAACTTATGAAAATTTATTAGAACTACATAAAATTTTCTTTTACCAAAAAACCAGGAGTAGTTTTATTAAGAAAATTGGTAAATATATGTTTTTAACTTAGTAGAAAAGAAAAATTGTTTTATTCATACAACATAAAATTTAATTTCATGAAAAGTTCTTATTTAAACTATAAATATGATCGAACTTTGGTATAATATTGTAGGCATTTTGATATTGATCTTCAATTGAAATATTAAAATTTTACTTTAAGATTAACATATGTTATCAAAGTAAAGTTTCACCTCAGAATAAAACTAACATCAAAGGCTATATAGAATTATAATATATTAATATGGTGGTAGCGTGGAAAATGGGTCCTTCATATCAACTAAGTTGAACTGGCCCAATAATGTTATGGGCCTCTCTCTTTTCCTTCGTTCTTGTTCTTCGTTCGCCTTCGTTTTGATTCTGTCACTGTGACTGTGATTCCATCTTCTTGCTCATCTCAGATGTTCTAATCTTTATTTTCAGTTACTAATTTCTCCACGAATTGCGTGTTGGATCGACGAGAAACGCTCCAAATTTCAACCATGGCTGCAATTCTTACTTCCAGATGTTCTCTTCGTATGTCTTAACCTTTTCTCATTTTCATTCTGCTTCATCACCGGTTTCTGCTCATGGGTTTTCATAAAAGATTCCGACTTTTAGTTATTAAGCAATTTCTGTAGTAATTATTCTGTTACTTGTTCTCTATTACTTTAGAGTCATTGTAAACTGTTTAGTTAGGGTAATAAGCATGCATTACTACCATGGTTGGTTTGTATTGTTATCTCACTCTTCATCACATTAGTGTACCAAGCATTGCTAGATCAACCAAAACAATGCTTCAATAATGTACAGAACCAACTGCATTTCTAATTCTTCTTGTAGTTTCCTTATTTCAGAGTTATTTTGTTGAAAATTTTCTGTATTTTTATTTATTTGTTTTATACTTGTAAAAGTTGTTATTTTTATTTACGAAATTTTATAAATAAAAAATATATAAACGTTATTGATTCTTTGTGTTTGCAATATTTTCCTTTCAGATCAACAATTGAGTTTCATGAAAGCAAACCTGAACTTGTTAAATTTGAAATATATTGAGATGTGGAACTGGGATGCCCGAAGTATAATTCATGCCATGGATAAATCCTCTGACATTTTTATTGTGATTAAAAATCAACTGAATATGTCATTTTTTACTTTGTCAAGCACCGCGGTAGGTTAGTTTATGTTAGTACTATTTTTGTCATATTTATGATGAGCTGATTTTTCATGGTGAAGAAATTAACTTGCTTTGGTTTATGTGTTCAAAACCAAACTAGTGGGCCGTTCCATGTTCGGTGGATTAAGGAACAGCTTCTCTGGATCATTGTCATCACATGAGATGACATCCACCAGTTTCTTATCCCAGGTCAGTGGTTGAGCTATGGCAATATTATGATTGTAAACTAGTGATCATTACTGATATTTATAAGACAAACCCCTATATAATTCCTTAGTTGTTGTTGTTGTTGTTGTTGTTTATTGTTATTATCTAATCAGAAATGGTTGTTTAGTTTACTAATCAGCGTTATAAAGGTTTGGATTAAAGAACCATGCATATTACCCAAATGAAGCTTCAATTCTGATCGAGGAATAACAAACAATATCTAAGAAAGTACTAATATATATTTAAATTTTGTCATATTTTCAATGTTAAGTTAATTATTTTACCTTAACTAAAATTAGTCGTATAAAGCTGTAGACAACCTTGCAATGCCAATTTCTGAGACATGGATTATTGAGTAGATGCATGGAATGGTTAGATCCATGACTAATGGAAGAATGTATGACACTTTAGCAGCAGCAACGGACGTTCATACAGATGAGGACAGTTCTGAAGGTGGTTGATAATTCAGGGGCTAAAAAGGTGATGTGCATTCAAGCTTTGAAAGGGAAAAAGGAGCAAGGTTGGGTGACACAATAATAGCATCAGTGAAGGAAGCACATCCCAATGGAAAAGAGAAGAAAGGAAAGGTAGTGCATGGTGTGGTTGTGCGTGCAGCCATGCAAAAGGGAAGATGTGACGGTAGTGAGGTGAAGTTCGATGACAATGCTGTGGTGCTTGTGGACAAGCAAGGGCAACCCATTGGAACTAGAGTTTTTGGGCCAGTGCCCCATGAGCTCAGGCAGAAGAAGCATGTCAAGATTCTTACCTTGGCAGGACATATTGCTTGAGCTTAAATTTTCTTGAATCTCCTTAATTTGTAAGGTGTTGTCTTATAGTTATGAAGTTAGAAAAATATCAAATACAATTTTGAATCATCGTTTTTGTCTGACAAATGTACAATCTGTCATCGTTATCGTTTCTATATTTATGATTATCAGACAAATTTAATTGCTATTTCAAGCTTTAAAATAACAAGTAGCAAGCAAAAGGGATACAATATTCTTGCTTGGTTCATTTGTGGAAGAGTTATTATGGTAATGATTGCATTTTTGGAAAACTCTTTTGGATGTATGTGAGTGATATTTGCTCTAGTCAAATTAAATCATGTTCCTGATTATATGGCAAGTTATCCAGTAATCAAATGATCAGTGCCTATTCTTATTTGAAAAAGAAAAAATGGAAACACGTTAAGATCTCTCTATAACATAAATTGATATCTTCGTAAACGGTGTTCCTCCTTACAAAACTTTTTTTTTCTTCGTATCATAAAAAATGCACATCACGCAATTGCAAACGCCATGAGTGGACAAAAATTACTAATAAGTATTAACGTTGTTTAAACATGAAATTTCAACACTCTTAACTTTTTTACCTTTTTCTTATCTACATAGAGCACGTTTTTACATATAGACTTAGTAGATTCAAGCGTGTTGGGTTCATTTGTTAGAAAAGTTCAATACTCTTACGCTAATAAACAAAGCTTTTGGTACAGTATGAATTTAGTTAATTTAACCATTGAAAATTCGCGTACGTACAATATTATAGTATTTATTTATATTTTAAATTATATTAAATTTAAAAGAAATCATTTCATTGTATATCAATTAATTTTAAATTATGTGAATGTTTATAAACTTAATGCTTTTTAATAAGATCAATTTTAACAAATATAATAATGAAATTCAACATTAGCATAAAGTAAGGCCTTGTTTGGTATGTAATTAAAATTAGTTTTAAGTGGATGGAAACAAGTTGGGGATGTTAAGGGTTTTTGTTTTTTTAGTTTTTAAAAACAATTTTAGAAATTAATTTTTAAAAATTGTTTTTGAAAATTAATTGAAAAAATATTTAATAATTCTACTTTTTAAAATTATTTTAAACAAAAATGTATGATAAATAAAAATAAAAAAATCGTTGTTAAAAATTTGATAGTTTTATGATAATAAAAATAAGTAATTTAATATAATTATTAGATAAAATATTAATATATATTAGTGAAAATAAAAAAAATTACAAATAGAAAATATATTTTATTAGTATTGATTTTTTTAGTTTTTAAAAACTAAAAACCAAAAATAATTTTCAAAAATTGTTTTAACAAAATAGTTCTCAAATAATTTTTTTAGTTTTTAAAAATTAGAATACTGTTTTTAAAAACGGTAAACACACAAGTCCTAATTAGTTTTAAAATTGACAATACTCAATTTATTATTTCTCATTTCTTGTCACTAATTTTTATTTCTCTTAATTAAATATTTATTTTATTTTCATTTATTTATACTCATTTTTATATTGTAATTTCCCAGTTTCTCTTCTCTCTACCAAACAACAAGAAACTAGAAAGCATAGCAAAAATAATCGTAGTAAAGAGTCAATGTTAATAACCTTAAATTAAAGAGTCAACACTAAATTTATGTAAAATATTCTAAACCATCTATCCTATTTTTAAGGTCAAGTTGTTAATATATTGTTAATAAAAGATACTTTTGGTATAACAATATTAGCGAAATTTGAAGTTTGTAACCTTGTACAAAATATTCAAATTCGTTACTATTAACAAGATGTTACTGATAGCATGGTTCAATCTTTATATTTAACATAATACGTAATAAATTTGACAGCATGACATTAAATATAAGTACAGAACTTAGTTATATTAACACTGCATAATTAAATACATATATACATAGAGTCTAAGAAAAATAGGGAACAGAAAAAATATGTAGATTCTCTCGGGACCAGAAACTTACTAATGTAGGGTTTGAATTTAATTGAATTTGATGGGGTACTATTTTGTCCTATTCCTGTATACCAAAGGCCGTAGTACTTTTTTACGCAACTCTACTGAGTCTGAGACTGGGAAAAACCATTGAAAGGTGTAGGCACCTTCCTCTGCATACTCTATCATCTTCAACATTAAATGCCACAAAAAGCTTACACTTCAAAAGGTAAGAAGGTATACGGGTAAGGGTAACTCTCCAATATTCACCAAACCACGTGAAATCCTAAACTTTTGGCATCCTTATATTCCCCTACTGTTTTCTTGTACATACCTTAATCTTTATGCTCTCTTTCCTCTCTTCACAGTAAAGAAGATTTTTGAATCATCCCACAAGCATTCCTTGCTTCCTTCATTCGTCTGCTACTGCACATAATATATATACATCACCAAACGCTTCCATGCAACCACAACACAACTCACATTCCTTCATATCTCTCACAACAATTTAATCTTCCCCCGGGAAGATCTGCATCATGGTTCTTGGAACAATGGCAAGACATTTGGACACAATAATAGGGTGAACAAATCTCTCTCCGTTAATTTAATTTTTGTCTATATTTCATATTTACACTCCTGCACATGCATTGCTATAATTATCTGCATAACAGGATGTTACAATACCTCCGAAATCCCATTTACAAAATTCATATTATAGAAACATATTCACCACAATATGCATTCTGCAATTTAACACTGTAAATATAGTTTTTCATTTTATATTTCCCCTTGTGATAACAGCCTGCTTTTTGTTTTTTGCATGGCAGGCCTGGAGTGATGCTTCTTTATCCTCTGTGAGTAATTAAATGTCATATCATGCGATTATATGTGTCATTTTCACACTTAATGATTGATTAACAAGTAAAATAAGAAAGAAAGTAAGCATCCTACGCACTGCCATCCATGCATGCACATTTTATCTGATCTTACACTATATATGTAATCATTAAATTGTTGACTTCGAGTAAATATCATAGATACGCATCAATGAGGGCGATTGAAAGCCCTTCAACCTTAGATGATCAACAATGGCTAACGTATTGGGTTTTGTACTCCTTCATGACCCTCTTTGAGCTTTCCACTCATAAGATCCTATGTTGGTACGTTGAAGTTGATTGCACATGAAATTAAACTATATATAGACACACTCGTAGTAATTTGATTTTTTTTTTTTTTTTGCAATAATAACAATAATAAATGCAGGTTTCCAATTTGGGCATACCTGAAGCTTGTGTTTTGCATCTGGTTGGTACTGCCAATGTTCAATGGAGCGGCTTATATATATGAGAATTATGTGAGGCAATACATCAAGAATATTGGAAGCCATGGAAGTTCCAATTATTCTGAGGAGTACAAGAAGGTGTTTCACATGATGAGCTTCGATGCAAGGAAAGCAGTTGAACGCTATATCGATAGATATGGCCCTGATGCCTTTGAGAGAGTAATCAGAGCGGTACATGCTTATATATTTATATATATATATATATATATATATATATATATATATATATATATATATATATATATATATATATGATGCTAAAAGTGAATTGCTTCATTATAAAGCTCATCTGTCTGTGTTTTTAAAAATTTTGTTTTCAACTGTATGCAGGCTGAAAAAGAAGCAAAGAAGCGCTGAGTGAGTATCGATTTGACCAAGTTTTGAAATGAAAAGAATGTAAGCATGGTCCTATCGATACTTCTTTCTGTGAATGTTTGAACATGAGGGAGATGGAGTCTTATAGTAGTTTAATTAAATGACAGCAACTATAAGGTTGATATAAGTTTTACATGTACCTTCCGTGGTTTAAGAATGTACGTAAGAGCAAAAAAATTATATAAGTTTTATCTTTAAATCCTTTAACTAGAATTCTACTGCAAAGATTTATGATCGATTTACGCTAAAGTTCTTTCAGCATATGACTGGCCCAGAAACTCATGCATGATTGGGATGACTGCTGCAACAGTCACAAACACATAAGCGATCGTGTTAAAGCTTTCATAGTGGGCAATACTTATCTTCAAACTAAGCGACGTAATAATGTCTATCATAAATTGAAACATAAAATTATGCACTGGTAATAATGTTTATCATAAATTGAAACATAAAATCATGCACTGGTAATTTTCCCGGACTATTCCGATTTTATTATATGTGTACATTCTAAAACGTAACAGCTTCACCCCCTCCTTATCTTCACTTATCATAGAAGGATATATAGTTATTAGCATCACCTCCTGCGAAGTAATATGTTTTACTTTAAAATTCAATTTCAAGGATATCATAGAATACTTAGGGAAGTGGGACAAAGAATCAGATCGGCTGCAATACTTTGCCTATTAACTTTTTGTTGTTGGATTTTGATTAAATTTTATTCTTATTTCCCGTTGCATTAATAATATAATAAGCGCTAGTGTATAGCAGCAATTAAAGCATATCTGATACATCATTAGCTCATTTCGATTCAAATGAATATGAAATCCGTTTGAACTTGGATTGAATTAGTTAAATTAATTATTTTATTATATTTAAAGCAATTACAAAACACAGTTTAGTTTATATTCTCTCACAACTTAAGACGGGAACGTAAACTAAAATTAGTTTTGCATCAAAAGAAGTTACTGGGATTGACTAATTTCATATCCAAAGCAGTTTGGAATAAAAATAAAATGTGAGAAAGTTTTAACGAAAAATAATCAAAGCAAGAGGGTAGAATTTGTTTTCAGTAATTTGCCAGTTCAAATTAATGAATTAGTATCAATGGTTAGTGAACAGATAAAGCCCCAAAATAAAGTTTTATTAAATGGGTAAAGAGAGATGAAAAAACTAATCCATTATTTAAGGCCATTCTTTCTTAGCTTTCTTCCTTATAAAAAAAATAACACATATTTGCATAGTCATTGGACAGATGCCATGTGGGGAATACCTGACTGAAAAATAGATATGGAAAGCGTCATCTTTGGTGACAAAATTCGGTAAAGGGGCATTAAACTTCAAAACTGAGAGCTGGATGGTATTATATATCAATTTTCCACCGGTTTCAGCAACCTAGCAATATTGATACATGGACATTCCTGTTATGTTCTCAAATGGATATATACTATGGAGGAGGAAAAACAGATATGATAAAATGATGTGACTTACACCTAAAATCAGTATACTTTTGTCAAATTTTCTCTGAATTTCTACATCACTATCACTGTCAGTAGTCGCAAGTGAGAATATGGCAGAATAGCTTGTCATCCTGATCCATATTTCAAGAGGATTTTAGGATGTGCTTAGCTCTTTTAGGACCAAGTCGGACAGGACCTGATGTTACCATGCCTTCCAGTTTAAAAGAATTCACAGCAGGATACCTTGAATGATTTAGATTTTGTGCCTCATGCTGACAACACCTACTTCTACCACTGCCCATTTGTGGATCCAGTTCGAGTGCTCTTGTGTTTCGTTGCAATTCCACGCTTGACTGTTCTCCAGTCAACCTAGTCATGTGACTGAAGTTTTCTTGCACCTGTATATTCGGTAACTTGGTAGTTTTTCTGGAATCTTCAAGATTAGCTGCGGCTGCGGGTCTCTTCCTGGCTTTCGTGCACGGATGATGGTCATCCAACTTCCATCTGTCGGCGACATTATTTATGTTGCTATTGCCACTATTTACGGTAGAGGGTGTAACTGGAACATGTAGAGGTTGAACAATAGATGCTGGAGGAAGAGGAGCAGTCTGTATGGGATGCAGAGAAGTCAGATGATTAGAAGGAAAGCGAAGTTCTTCTGAATGATTCACAGATGGCGTAGTGAGATTATTTCCCCACAGATTTTGAGGAAAACTTTGACTACTTGTGCCCGAAAATTGCTGAGAGAAGGTCCTTGGAAGCATTTCATCTGTTGAACTTGACAACCACAATGGTGAACTTCTGTAGGGCCTTTGAAACCAAGATGTTTTGGCCTGTTCATTGACAGTTGGATGCAAGAAAGGAAATCCGAAGGCTGATTTGGTAACATGGGGATTTTTATTCCCGTCATTCAGCTCACAATTGTTTAAACTTGTGGAGTGTCTAAAATTGCCAGGAGAAGGTGGTGCCAATGATTGAGAGCTCAATCCTAGAGGTTTAGCTCCAGGTATATATTGCTCTGGAAAGTCATCAGATGCATTAAATACTGCATACGAAGTAGACTTTGGAGTAATGGGATTGAAATAAGCACTGGCATTTCTGTTGATTCCAAGACTTCCATTTTGAGATACAGGGTTACTTTGCAGATCAATAAACTGTCGAGAAAATCCAGAGTCTGTGCTCATCAACAAGGTGCTTTGTAGTGCTTGATTGCTTTGATTTTTTGCTGATTGCAATACACTGTCAGCCGATAGTTGTAAAAGTGAACCAGATACCCAATCCTGCTTAGAATTTCTTCCCAATAAAGAGTGTTCTACAGCTGCATATTCAGAATAATTCCTTCTTCTGGATTGCTCATCAGTCCAAACATCTCCCGCAAATTGTTGCATCTCTTGGCTGCTTCTACCAATTGGAACGTCCTTACCCATCAACCTCATTGTTGGTTGGCTGGAACTTCGTGAGATATGATCTGAACCATCTTTCAGAGAAATCACCCCATTTCCATTGCGATTCCTGACCTGGTCAGATTGATTCTGTTCAGTGAACGAGTTTTTCTCAAGATTCAACTTGGAATTAAGTGGCGGAGGATAGTTACTGGAACACATATCTGAATTAGGTCGGTGGATATCTTGTCCCTCTCTACTTTGTAATTCGGTGACAGATAATCTGGTTGGATGGTGTGGAAATGGATTAAGACCATCTTTTGGAAATGTCTTCTGAACATGATTATCATTAATGCTTAAATTTTCCTGGTTACTTTGATGGAGAATATTGTTAATGGGTAAACCACTTAAAGAACCACGTAATGTACTCGATGTCTCTGACTGGTTCATCCCTAAGTTTCCACTTGAACTGAAAGTGATTAGCTCACCATGAGAATTGAGCGGCAAACCAAAAAAATTCGGATCCAAACAGCTACTTTTCACACTTCCTTTATCCCAGCCTGTAAAGGAAAATGAGTTATCAATCATATCTGCAAAAAACATGCGAGACAACTGTCTGTCACCCAAGGCCTCACCGCTATTATTATCTCCACGAGTTTGCAATGGAGATTCTGGTTTTTCATTTGCATTATATGAAGCAGAATAAGACGAGGAAGGTTCCATAAATGTCTTTGTATCGTTTGAGTTAACAAAATCAGCCTGTGGATCGTCGAAATGGTCCAACTTTCCACTGTAGCTGAAAGATCCAAATTCACAATCTTGTGTATTTATACCAGACATCTGCTCTCCATGGACTGCCGAAAGAGGTTCAGAAATTTCTGCATACGGAGAACAGTGCAGGGAAGATCTGTTGCCTCCATAAAAAAAGTGTGAATCGTTGTTGTCACAAACTGCCACCTCGGTCAACAATTCTGACTTCTCTTTTAAGTGCTTTGACTTCTCTTGATCGGTACATGGCTTCAAGCAGCTTTGTACAGTATCTTGTTCCTGAGTGTTAGAAAACTGTTTAATTTCAACTATAGGGAAAACCTCCTCTCTCTTGTCTCTGTCTATATTAACAGAAACATAGCCATAATTTCTATTTGGCTCCAAACTTGCAGTTTCTTCATCACTTCCAGATGACTTCTCCTTTACTACTGAAGAAGCCAGCGCATCTGAAGATATGTTGAACATGGTTTCATCAAATGAACTTGACTTTTTTGGACCAAGTATATCATCTTTACCAGAGAATTTCACATGTCGGTCAGAGGTTGGCTCTTGATCATAATAATGACTTTCTGCAGTACCATTTTGAATATTACTGACACTTGATGTCTTTCCAGAAACATGTTTTAAGCGGTTCTTAAGAATGCCTCCATGAATAGAAGATACTGCTTTTTGTTGTTTTCCAACTGAGTCACAGTTTTTAATGTTTTGCTTCTTTTCTACCGATATACCATTTAAGCCCAATTTCTTTCTATTGATAGAAGGATCAATCCCATGAAGTGGAACCAGTTTACTACCAATTGTACCTTTTAGTTTTTTGGAACTATTTGCTGCATTTTGCACCATACGCTGGTAAGCACTATCCTGATACAGACAAGAGTCACAAGATTAACAAAATTGTGGATGTGCTATTAAAATGGAATCTGAATAAGATGGTTAAGCTTTAGGCAACGCAAAAGATGAAATACTCGTGTCCAAAATTCACTGATTATCTCCAATCTCACAAAAGAACATGAATATAATTACTCATTTTGTATCTTCTATGTCATTTTTTATTGCAAAGGAATTTTCAGCAATTAAAACAATGGCATCTACTCCCCCCAAAGAAAACAATAATAACAAAATGCACAAGAGAAATTGTTAACAAATTATATGTAATTTTTTATATCAAGATACAACAATACCAGAAGTTAAAGGATGAAAGAAGAAAATAAATGAGATTTCAACAGCATTTCATGTACAGTGATGCCAAGAATAAGTCTGTTTGATAAACTGTCACTGAAAAAATCAACATTTCATATCCTTTCAACAATTCCAACCGGCAAATGAGAAAGGATTTCAACAGCCTATGACCGTTTCTACATTATAATTTACAATATCATTCCCAGAACCATAATATCATGTCTTGTTAACTTGATGGCGAAGATGAATTTCCAGTTAATTCAGAGCATTGGTTTTTCATTTTCTTTCTATTTTTTATTCTGTCCGTTGTAACAATTCAAGTAAGGAAAATTTCAGGGTAAGTACACAACTATTTTCAGGATTTATTATAAAGTCACGATGCATGCTTCTGGATAAACCAATTCGTTGATTGTTAACTGTAAAAAAAAAATTAGAACACTATAACGAGTAAAAGACTCTAGTGTCATTTGAATAACAATTTAATTGGGGTTTAAGTGCCCCGTCATTCAGTTAAAAATATGCCAAAACGTGCGAAAATTGAAATACGTTAAGATCAATTACAAAGTTCCTCCTAGTGTACAGGGAAAAGTACAAGTTTACAAGATTTAAACAATTGAAATAAGAGCTAAACTTTATCCTTATTTTATCATGATAATAAATATTCGAAACAAAATGATTGAATTTGGTCATATTAGTTTCAATATTGGAAACATACAAATCTATATATGTATATATCATATGTTTTAGTAGCAATAAGATACACTTTAAGTACTAAGAAAATACTGTTTTTTGGTTATTAACACATCCCAGAAAATGCTCGTAGTTAATAAATACAAGGTTGAACAAATACACTATCATTTTTTTGAAGCTTTTATGAATGAATGTACATGAAATAACTATATATCAAACTCGAAGTTGGTATAACTATACATATGAATACCAGCAAGAAGAATGTCTAAAAGCTTTAATTTAAAATCTTATTTATTAATAATAAAATCAATTAAAGCTTTTTACGTATTAATAAAAAGTACATATCCCGAAAATTGATTTTCCGTAATAAGCAGAACGCTAAACAAGCATCGTAAAATTGGTACAAATATTATTTTTTGAAAGAAAAAAAAAAGTTGTAACTGAGAGCTTACACATAAATCTCCTGTAAGCAGATACACTACTAAGACGAAAAACTTTTCAGTTCAGTCATATGGGAGTACCTTCTAAGTTCTAACAGGTTTACTTTGGTTCCCGATTACGCCTGATGATAAATTACACAAAATTTTTAATGATGACAACCCTAGATATTTTGTTAAAATGTTCTTCCTTGTACAATTGCACTTTGAGGAATATCATGTAGGGAAACTTCTGTTTGAAATCAGAAAACATTACTTCTGAAACTAATATCCTAGTGAAAATTGTACTTCTATCTAAAAACATATACATCCTTATCATTGTTTATACGAAGCAGAAGCTAACAAAAAACACATTCATAGCAAATATTGTTAGGACAAACAACTGAAACAGATTCATAAATTAAACCATGTTGTGAAAATTATTATTGTTAAATAGTTTTTATGATACATATCCTAGTTCGTTTAGAAAGGAAAATTAAATAACAGAATAATCTATCTTTTAAAATGAGAAGAGCCTATAATAAATGAGGTTAAATAAATTATGCCTAAAGTCACGTATTTTAATTACATTTAAATTTAGTGGAATATTAAGTAACACTTTTCTCTAAAATGAATTTTATCAAAAGCGGAAGGGATGGACAAGGGAAAGTAAATGCATGAATAATGGTGCTTAAATATTCTTTTTACACAAATTTAAGACTGCTACGCAATTGTTCACTGCTGAAATGCACATATGATACACCTCTGCTGATAGGCGGGAAAAAATATTATGATTATAGAACAAGAAGAGTTGGAGAATATTTTGGAAATAAAATATTTATTAAGATTAGCTATAAATGTTATTCAGAACAATCTAGACACTACTAAGATGCCATTATTAGAGATAAAATAAGGATAATCAAGTTTAAAATTTCAATTTTAGGGATACGGCAGAAAGATCATCCTTATATATATATATATATATATATATATATATATACACACATATATAATATCATCATCGACCAACCTTCATAGCTATCCAGGTTAAATATTTGATTACTACCACTATCAAATTTCGGCCACCATTAACTGACATTATTCCTGGTCCTCTCATGGTTCTATATACTTCCTAAGTTGGGTTCTCATAGACACTCACATTGATTGTATCTCAAAATTGTCTGCACATAAATATTTACAAAACATGGGTCACTGCTCACTAACTTTTGTGACCGAAATCATCTAAGTTATTCTACCCAAAGACCAACACTTTCAGAATATGATCAAGTGTCTCACAAGAGGACAGACAGTGCAAAAGCATTATACCATACATTACCACCCTCTAGTTCATTAAAACGTCACAATATGCCCATGCGATAATGATCTATATCAACCCAAGTCAGAGTATTCTTTTTCTGATGATACACGCCCATCTGGAGTTGAAAATGCAAACATTCATCAATCCAAATCACTATATATACACTTCTGACAGACCCAATAAATGATCTAACAAATTCTGGACCTCCACTTGCAGATCTCCCACTAGCCAAAATACATCCAGCTGTAAGCTGTGTATAAACCTCTACGTCCAAAACACTAGCCACAAGAGATGAGAATCTGTTGATCTACCCATGGCCCATATGATAATTTCCCCCGAATTATTAGTTAATAGTGATAGGGGCTCCAAATCCCTCATCATTAGGCTCAGCTCTTCTACCTCGTAACCCATGAGTGGCCCCTTCTAGTTAGGGTACTTGTACTGATTATACACACCACAAACACATACACCCTACAGCTGGAGCAACATTCTTGCAGGCTTCACTACCATCTGAATTCCTTCCGCACACGAAGGCACTTGTCTTAATTTTCCTTTTTCATAACTCCTCTTTCCCAACTTTTACTTGCCGCGTATTTCGCTCAAGTACTAAACTAAAAAAACACAAACTCACTTTCGTCCACAAATGTCAAGCTCTCTATAATCAGCTTTTTCGGCAGTAATTTTATGCAGAAAAAGCAAGATAAGGAGTAAGCAACGTATAATCGCATGGCATAAGCAATAACATCAACACAAAATGTACAGTGTTGGGTAATATTTTATGCGCAAATTCCATGAATTCTGCCACGAATTAACTGAAAATCGCGGAAACACAGCAAATAACGAAAGATTAACTTATATTTCATGAGACACAGAATACATACCTTCTTCCCAGTTGGTCCAGAGTTAAAGACATTACTTTTTTTCTTCTTTTTCTTGCTCAGAACCGTCTTCTTCTCATTGTTCACGAATGACACGCCACTCTCACAGCATTTGTCCACCTTGTTTTTCTTCTTCTTCGCCTTCTTCATCTTTTTCTTTTTCCTATTCTTGCTCGTACTCTTCTTAATCTTAATTACCGAAACAACTGGAAAGGCCGCAGAAGCGGAAGAAGCAGCAGCAGCACTTGCAGAATCCTCACAGCGATAATCGGATTTCTCTTCGTCTTCCTCAACCTGAATCGCCTTGCTTTTGCCTGCTTCGATCGGCGGCGCCAACGTGAGAATCTCCGCGATCGAGCGCTTCTTCGGAGCCTTAGGTTTGGGTTTGCAATTAATGGTCCTTCTCATCTGCCGCCGTTCCTCCCTAACGGCCTGCGCCAGGCAACCGTCGATGTGCGCATTCACCGCCGTCACGGTGGCGGCGTTGAAATCTCGGCAAACAGGACACACCATCTCCAACTTTTCCTCCTCCTCCTCAGTGGAATCTCTTCGGTCCGATTTCGACGACTCGCCGCCTGCGCGCGTGGATCTCAGCGCCTCGAGGCGCCGAGAGAGCCACTCGAACTTTGTAACGGTATTCGAAACCTCGTCCGCCTCGTCCTCGCGGAACGGCCAGAACTTCAACACGCTCTCGATTTGCGGCGGCTGCGGCTGCGATGACTGTTGCTGCTGCTGCGGCTCTAGTGACTGTTGCTGCTGCTGCAGCTCTAGTGACTGTTGCTGCTGCAGCGGCTGTGGTGACCGTTGTTGTTGTTGTTGCTGCTGCGGCGGCGGCTGTGGTGGGTGCTGCTCTTCTACCTTGAAAATCTCTGCGATGGAACGCTTCTTCGGTGCCTTCGACTTCGTTGTTGAGGACGGGGATGACGACTTGAAATTCATTATCCTAATGTGGCGACGCTCCTCTCTCATCGTCTGCGCGAGGCATCCGTCGATGTGCGCGTTCACCGCCGTGAGCGTAGCAGCGTTGAATTCACGGCAAACCGGACAGACCATCTCCAATTTTTCGTCGTCGTTGTTGTCAAAGGCGGCGTCAGAAGGAGGAGTGGATTTATCGGATTCCGCGGATTCTTGAGAGTCTTCTTCGCTGCAATCCTCTTCGCCGTCGTCATCGTTTGTAGAAAGTTCCTCAGCCGAAGGCGGATTCTCCAGATTTTGCGCGTGGTCGTTGAAATCGTCGGATCTAGGGCACAGCGTCATCGGAGGAAGCCAGGACTGAACCTCCTCATGTGATACGTCACGTGAGACAGCGGATGCGAAGGGCCAGCACTTGAAAACGTCGACGGACCTCATCTTGGATGTGTAGTCCCTGCAACACCGAATCAAAACCAATAACAAACGCTGGCTACAATATATGAGTAAAAATAAACAAAATCACAGAAAACAGAACAATAGTTAACCGATAGAGTAATATACCTTATGGAGAATCCATCAAACGTAGCCGCCATGATCAGTGACTACAAAGAGAGAGCCTAGGAAGAAGAAGAAAAAGAAAGTGAGGAGCAGAACATCGATTATTATTATGATTAGATGAGAGAGAAGTAAGAGAAGAAAGAGAGAGAGAGAGAGAGAGAGAGAGAGAGAGAGAGAGAGGGGGGTAAAGAGTAATTAACGTTTTGCGCTCTCTCTACTAGAGAAGAAGGAGGAATGGGAGAGTGTGTGTTGTGTGTAGCTGTCTGCTTGCTTTTCCCTAATTTATGACTGAAAGGGACGTATGAGAGAGAGAGGGCTCTAAAGTGACGACAGATACAGAGGAAGCGAAGGTGAGAGAATATTTTATTAATTATTAATTAGCGCTCCTAATAATATTATTATTATCTTTAATCTAATGTTGGTGCTTCTTAATTTGTTATATATTATTATTTATTTTGGTTAATTCAATATTTTATTATTGTTAATCAACTCTTTCCCTTTACTCTTTTCCTTGCATGCTATTTTCGTTATTCAATTAATTAAGTCATTGCGACTTGTTGTGTTGTGTGTTGATGCATGTATTTTAATTAATACTAATGATAGTATAACTAAAGGGGATGTATACATTGTATAATGAGTATATATTGTATGGTATTTGTTAAATGTTAATGTTGGATTTGTTTTGTATGATCTTTTGTGTTGTATCCCCACGCTCGCGTAATCGTATCGTATGAAACAAAGATTCTGCTGTAAGAGCACAAACAATCCACCAAACGCGATCACCCACCAAACGCGATCACCCACCAATCCACGCGCTTTTTATCTTCCTCATCATATCACAGTATATATTGGTTTTCAATTTTTTTTAATTCTTTAAATAATTAATACATTGTTTAAGATAAATAAATATAAACTAAGAACCAGATAATAAATTAAGGAACAAATATTATAATTCAAAATATTGTAATTAAAAATTAGATGAAGGATTAAAACTAAATAAACAAAATTGAGAAATATTCATTTTGGATAAACTCACATCCCATTAGTGCTTAATCATACTCCTTTCTCTCTTCTAATGCTTTCTGGTTTCATTAATTTGTATTATCTCTTATTTCGAGTTTGATGAGATGACCATAAATTAACAAAGAAAATGGAGATAAATACGTGAAATAAGGAGATAAAGGCATAAAATGAGGAGATAAAGGGGAAAAACACAAGAGAATAATAAAAAATAATTTGTTCAAGGTGTCAAGAATTAAAAGAATAACGTAGTTGTCCCACTCGATTAAATTTTTGTCACGCAAAAATATCAACAAATGTGAACTTTATATATAATTAATGCATGATGGCATGATCAATTTTGTATAATATCATGTAGGAGCTTACACTTGCTTGCATAGTCCCCAATTGAATGCTTTCACAACTCTTGTTTTCATCTAATCTTATTTGTTTGGTAAATATGAACACGTAAATCTCACTAATTGTATCCTTATTCGATAATATATATTGTTTCATTTTATTTTTCTATCTCTCCCAAACAATTACAAATAGATAAAAAAATTAAAAACTAATAAAGATGAGAAATGTCCCTTTAGGACAATCTCGAATCTATTAATTTTGTTACTCTGATTCTATTGATTTGTATATCTTTTGTTGGGGTAATTTTGTTATTTTGATTATATTGATTTATGTTTTCCTTTACTATGCTGGTATAAACAGTAAAAAACTATTAATAAAATGTATAAAATAAGTGCATAAAAACATAAACAAAAGGAGATAAAGGTGAGTCCAAAAAAAAGTAACATGAAAAAAAAAATGTAAAGTAATCTCATTTGAATTATTTGACACGCAAAACTAATTTAACCTAATTTACATTATTCTCTAGAAGCACATACACATCAATTATGCTTCTATTCCAGATTATCTCTACTACATTTATTTTCTTTTCTCTTAAATTAAATACCTCTAAATTCACTTATTCTCCTTCATTTGTTTTTTTGTTAGGTAAGTTGCATAGGCCAACTTGCCAATTTCGCTCCACAGAACCTACAAGTTGTGATGAGTTAAGGACGAATTGATTCATCCAAATATTTTTGTCGTTTTCTTAATTATTATTTTCTTACTTCTACTTCTACTTTTATTTTTATTTTTTTTATTCTTACTTTAAATATTTATAATTTTCAAAAGTAACAAGGGAATTCGCATTGTCATGTCATTTTGGTGAGTAATTAGAGTTTCTATGGTCTTCTATTTTTTTCTCTTTTTTATTTATTTCATCTAAATATAAGATGAAAATTAGTAGAGAAAAATCGAATTACAATAAATATATATATATATATATATATATATATATATATATTGATTCATATTAAATATATTTACATGCGTAAATGTAAATGTAAATATATATATATATATATATATATATATATAAATAAATAAAGTGTGATTCTAAATTTTAAATTCAAAATCTACTATAACTAAATTTAAATGCGTCATTTATTTATTATAATTTTAAATAATTTATTACCTTGTTTTATTTATAAAAAAAATAATACTTTTTGTTTTAGTATTGATTTATTTTAAAATATATTTTATTTATAAGTCTCACACGGTTTAAAAGTCAACATAATTTATATATATTTTTTATCCATTAAGATGTCTTTTAAGAACAAAATCATCAGACGAAAACTCAAAAGTGAATAATACCTTAAACTGAAGCATGTAGCAAATAGTATCAAATTTTTTATCTCTAAACTAAATGCACATAGAGGTATCGATGACACACATAAAATTAATGGTATTTCATAACTAATTGATTGATCATATGTTTATAAACCACACAAAAAAATAGTATTATTTGACTCATAATGTGACATAAGAAATCTAATCGGACCAATATTTGTAATAACAATCCATAAAAAAATATCAATATTTAGATAAGATAAAACAAAGTTATAACTAAAAGAAATGATAAAATAACTTATTATAATGGATATATATGAGACTGAAACACTAATATTTAGATAAGATAAAACAAAGTAAAGTTATAATAATAAAGAATTACTGAATAACTTATTATAATCGAGTGTCAAATAATATATTATTAATAAATAAATATAAAAAGAAAAAAAATATGAAAGGAAGATAAGTTAAATTTGTAAATATATAAGTATGTATATGTAAATATACAACTATATTTAATAATGATTAAGTTTAGGAGGACAAAAACATAAATGTTGAAAGTTACAAAATTTTAAGAATAATGGAAGAACTAAAATCATAAATGTTAATGCAAGGGAATCATGACTCCCTTCATCTCCAAAGAAGATTTGTCACTTATTATAATTGATATACATAAGGTTAATGTTCAAGGTGACGACATTTTCAGTTGATGCTCACCGTAGAATCGAGAATAGAATTTGTCTCCACCCATACATACCCCTTAATCCTTGATTAGGGATTATCTGATTCAATTCTTAAATCCAAAAGCGAAAAGAATAAATATATTTTTTTCCTAATTTATTACAAATAAAAGGAGAGACGTATAGTAAATAATATAAAAAAAATATATGCCTCAACAAAGCTATAGAGATATGAATCACACAAGTAACATTAATGGTATTTCATAACTTATTGATTGAACATATGCTCATAGACCACCTAAAAAAGAAATATTTATTATTTGATTCATATCTTGATATTAGAAGTCTAATCGTCCCAATAACAATCCATAAAAAAAATCATTATTTATATAAGATAAAACAAAGTTATAGAAAAAAATTACTAAATAGCTTATTATAATGAATATAAATAGTCTCGTATTAAATAAACAAATATCTTCTCCAAATTAAACATTAATTAGTCTTATATTATTTAGGAGTCAAAACTAACAATACATTATATATATATTTTCCTCTCTTAACTCACATAAACGTCTTTTACGAATAAAATTGTGACCGATAAAAGTTTTAAAATGAAAAATATCTTAAACATCGAATTAATTCTAATATCAAATATTAGGTTGAAATATTCTCGATAGAATAAAATATTTTCTTTTTATAAATGGAATGAGTTAAAATGAAATTATAAATTATATTATCATTAATTAAAAAACTAACTTGATCATTGTTTATTTCTTAAAAAAAAAGGGAGATTTAGATATTGTTTAACGAGAGTAAAGTTAAGGAAATAACATAAAAGTTATAATTGAAGTGTGTGTAAGTTAATAAAAAAGGTATAGAAGTTTACTAAGTTATACTTATTATATTTTAAAAAGAATTTATATGAAAAGTACTGTTTTCAGCTTTTAGAAATAGTTATGAAACAAGAAAGGGTAGATCTGCGATTATTATTATTATAATTGGTTTCCAACGTTGTAGGGTTGTAGGTGTGGTTGAAGTGACAGTGGATGGACATGGAAGGATCATGAAGCGCGTGAGAGGGACGCGGTGTGAGGCGTGTGGTTCGGGTGAGAATATGAGGCGCCCCCACTAACACACACACGCACAGTTACAGGAAGCATCATTTTGACTTGAAGAGCTTTTGGTTATTTGAACTTAAAAAGTAACGTACACTGCAACTTATCATCTTCTCCAACGCACCATCTTTATCTTTACCATCTTTCCACTCTCAACCATTCATGCAAACCCTCCATTTTCATTTTCATTTTCAATTTCATGTATTTCAACTTAAATATCATACTTTCCATTTTCTACACTAACATTGTGTATTCTATTCCAATAATTTATACATCAATATTAAGTTTTAAAAAATTCGATTATATTTTTATTATGTGGACATTTATAACAAGGGGATTGATTTTTTTAGGTATACAATTCCTTATTTTTCTAATTTGTGTTTCGTAACTTTTATGCATATAATTGTTTACTTTAATTTTTAATATTTTGCAACCATATAATTTTTTAACTATATTTATTAATTTTTATATCGTATAAAAAAGTGAATTGCGTTTATTATATATATATATATATATATATATAATTATTTAAAAACTTCTTAAGAATAATTTAGTTATATTCAGTGTAGAAATAACAATTACTGAGATAACTAAAAGAAATTTATAATTTATCTAATTTTAAAATTGGTACTCTTCTCATAATTTTTATAATTTTTAATAAATATTTACATCTCTTGTATTTTTAATAAACTATACTTTCATTTTACATATTTATTAGTATTTTTAATAAAATAACACTAGTTTTTATTTTATTTTATTTAGAATATTATATTAACTAAAACTTAAATAAAAATTACGAATAACAAAATTAAAGTTTAAAATATAAAAGTAAATTATTTTTATAAAAAATACAAATTAACAATAAAATAAAAGAAGTTAGTTTCATTTTATTAAAAACATAAAAAGAGATGGCGTGATTTATTCAAAATATAATAAATAATATTTATTTAGTTTTATAAATTATTTAATATTACTTTATAAAATATTAAAAATATTAAGAATTCAAATAATATGAATACTTAATTTAAAATGATAAAAAAATATTAATGCTATTTAATATAACTTAAAAAAAAAACACAATGTATTTTCATCTAATTTTTTATTCTTAAAATCATTTTTAAAATGTGAAAACAAACGTACTAACAATCAATCCGGAAATAGTGAATCATAGAGCATTTGCAATCCTAAAATGTTAAAAATTTGTTTATATTGTGAAAAATCCAATGTATATGCAGGATTTACATAAAAAAATTATTCTTCTTATTACTATTAATATTATTATTTTATTTTGTATTAGATTATTTAATAAAATTAAGCATACAATTATGCAGATGAAGACTTTTTATTTATATTACTAATAATAATACTAATGTATGTAAAAAAAACTTTTTAAGCTCTTAAATTAAAGGTATATTAATAGTAATTTATTTTATGATATAATAGTGTAATAGATTAAAAATGAAAATATAATTATTGTGAAGAATATGAGGGTTAGGGGTGGGGCATAATGATAGAGGGAAGTGACTGAAAATAACATGGATGCATGCGGTCAAACAAAACGACAACACAGTAGGTCCCACCCACTAATCATAATGCTATTCTTGTCGTCAAGTGCATACATTATTCTCTCTCTCAAAATCTTTTGTAATCTAATCTCACGTCTTCGTTTCCTTTGCTTTGCATCATGTCCTCCCATTCCAATTCCAATTCCAATTCCAATTCCTAATTTCAGCTCTTATCTCACCACTCTCTCTGTTTCTGTTTCTCCACCACTCTCACTTCTACTCAACTCTCTATATTTAGGTATGTGCCCGTGATAATAATATTTAATTTCTAATTGTAAAGTCTTTCATTTTCTATTTATATGTTTTTCTAGTTCTTTACCATATACAGCTTACTGATATGATAATATATATTAATTCCTCATTTTTGTTATGATACCTTCCCCCAATTCATAATCGAGGGATCATTCCGCCGTTTCTGTAAAGAAAATGAAATATAATTTAATATTCGGATGGAGTATGGACTTGATGGTCAAAAGATGGATTTGCAGTTGTAGCTCACTATTTTTTTTTCCTGAAAGAACTTAAGTATTCTTTCTTTTATTTTTTATGAAAGGGAGTAAGACGAAACTGTGGTTTACTGATTTTCACTCCCAAAATGAGCAAAGCAGGTGTCAGGTTAGGTGATTGTGTTGAATTTATTTTTTTCTTTTCCATTTCAACCTGGATTTGGATATTTGTTTGCGATTTTATTTTCTCAGGGTGTTTTTTTTTTGGTCCTGTGATGATAGATTGAGGATCAGATTCAAAGGTATGTTTTTGTCAAAATTATTTCCTGTTTGTTTCCTGATCGTGGCTGGTGAAGAAGTTGGAGGAGAGTAATGCTCACATCACAGCCTTGAAGGTTGAAGGTTGGTGAAACAGAATCTACAGTCCAAGCACCCTCCAAGAGAACTGAACCCCCCCACAACCACAACCACACCCGAGCCCGAGGATCAAATAAATAACTGCAACACAATATTACTGCAAGAAGGTAACAATAAATTCCAACTATGCCTCCATCACGAGTATGGGATCATTGTACTGAAATCGTTTTATGCATTTAACCGAGGATAGAGAATTGATAGCGACACATTTTATAATATTGATTAAAATTTATAAAATCTGGAGTGAGACTAAAGTTTGATGAACCAAATTTTGTGATTTCCAATAAATTTGAATCAATAATCAAGAATATATGTTAGTAGTATTGTATATACATCACAAACTCAATTGTATGAGATTAAGTGTTCTTCTTCTGATAAGAACAATAAATTAAAAATGATTGCAATTATTGAGGCAATGCTAGAGTCTTTCAGAATCATCTCGTAAACCATATTGTCCTTCCATCCCGAAAGGAAATATCTAGGAGATGGTTGCTGTTTGCTTTGATAGTTAAATGAACAATTAATGCTAGAGAAGCCTTGAGTAGGATGACACTGTGAAAGTAGAAAGATAGATACAGTATTGGGTGTTGTTCACCATTTTTAATGTTCCATACACGATGTACGGTGGTAACTGGTAAGGAACAGTTATCAAATTTTACATGAATGAGTACACAAGAAAGGACACATTATCTCTTATGTAAAATACCTTGTCAAAATGTGAGCCTTATTATTATTTGTTGGATGTGAATGCAAAATTTTTGTTTGGATTCACTTTGAATCATGAAAAAGCACATTATAATATTAGTTAACATTATTTTAGATGAATTTATATGTACGGTTTCATGTTGAAGAGTTGATCCTAAATCTAAATTAAATTGTGTTGAAACAACTTTGAATAACTTTTTTCATTGAATGGAATTTTTGTAAATGGAGTTTTACTCGTAACTTGATTTTAGAATACAGCATATAAACATATTTCATATCACAAACTCACTCAAATCAAGCCAGTATTAAAATAAAAACTCTCACTCAAACACAGTGTACAAGAGGATTGTGAAATTGTTAAGATCAAGGTAAATCTGGTGAGATTAAAAGTTCAAATAAAAATGCAGAAGATGAAAAGATTCAAAGTAAATCACTGTGTTTGGGGGTATACCAATATGGATCCACCTTGATGTTAGAATCTTCTTTTAAACTACATGCAGCATTTGAGAGACTTGAAGATACTCATGGGAACTATTTGCTTGAGTTTTTAGGTGCAAAATGTTGGTAAAAAGATACTCCAGAGCTAGTTAGTGATGACATTAAATTAACGCCCATGGATAACAAAATGAAGTGAAAGCATGACACATATTATGGGGAAGTTTATTTACAATCCTTTTTTTTTTGGGTGAAATTAGTTAAGATGAGTATGCTGAACCTTTTACCAAGTTTTTGTTGGACCCATGATATAAATTGATGAACTTTGTTGAGTTTTCTTTAATTTCATAAATGTATGTATGGTTTTGAAACTGCTAAGGCATTGGTTTCCAGTTAAGGTGAAAGAAACATTAACCATGTTAGAGCATTATTGCTTTTAATGTGAGGTAGCTCAATTACTGAACACTTCTGAGTTTCAATTCCTCATGCTAAGTATTATAAGACCTCCAAGGATGAGACTCATTTATATATCCATGAATTTTACTGAATGAACAAAAATAAAAATGAAACTAATTTGACTGAACTAAGAGAGAAAATATTATCTTTAAATTGGAATTTCTTAATAGTCGTGCCAATTCCCATACCGTGCAGTGGCTTTTAATGTCGACTTTTTGCATGAGAAGACCTCTGTAGATGCAGATAAATAGAAAAATGATCATGGAGTCTAATTAATGAGGGGGTAAGTTCTCGTTTGTGCTTAAAACTAGTATTCTGTGTATATAACTGTCAAGTGCTATATATGGAGAAACAAGCTGGTGGATGAAATTGATCATGGTAATATCATAACACTTTAATTAGTACATTCTTGAACAACACCAATATATTGGAAAGAACATAGCCAGCTTTCTGGATCTGGAAATCTGGTCATGCAACTACTTATTAAACATATTGTATGTGTTTTCACAGTTATGCAATTATGTCTTGATACACCTAATGAAATATATCCTGATTCTTAGCTCTCATAGGCTGAAGCTACGAGTTTCTAGCAGCTGTTATGATTACCAACTCGTTGGAGGTTGGTTGGTTTGGGTTGGGGGGGTAATGTTATAATGTGTTGACTTTTAAACCTATATAGATCTCAGTGTTAAAGTATGTTTAGATGCAAACTAGATGAGATAGATGAGCTTTTGAGGCTTTTTCCATTGAAAGTATAGGTGGTTTTTTATTTTTCTTCTCAGTAAAGAAATTCTAAAATCTCTTTGAGCTTTGTATGCAATTAAGTTATTAATAACATACTACGTGCTGCTGTTTTCTTGGCGCTCACAGGTTTTAAATTTCCAGCTGGTTAATTAGGATTATTAATTTCTGTAGTTAGATTTTATAATTACTACAAGTATGTTGGGTTGACTTCTCATGATAGTTCTATTTGTATGACAACACATTATATTATGACTAAGTAGAGTCATACTTAAATTTTTGTATATATACTTTCGTGAATTCACACTATATCTTGAGAAAACAGTCTATGGATTAATATTAAAAAAAAACTAATGTTAAGTCTGAAAACTTTTACTATAATAACTTAGAAGTCATACTAACGACAGTTTTCTTATTGATTAACAAATATACACTAGCCCATTAAACATAAAAAAAGTTATCATGTTTAAAATGTGCACATCTATACATAATTAATACCATGTCTTTAACTACACAGGTTCTACATTAATGGTAACCTTTAATTACACAGGTTTTAAAAAAGCTAGAATGTTAAATGTCCTATACTTTATCTTCACTAACCTTTTAGTAATAATGAGTAATAACAAACAAAAGTTTCAGTGACAAATAGTTTTGAGCATCCTATTATACTGTTGACTTCAACACTTGAAAAAAAAATGAAAATCTGAAGACTTCATATCAGATTTTAGAACTTTATTTAAACTCCTTATTTGATTAAATCTAAATAATGATAACAGGTGTTCAAAATTGGCTTTCATCAAAACTGAATTAAAAACAAGATAAATTAGTCGTGCCATGCTTATTAACATTATGAAATAAACATATTAATCTTTTGCAAAGAAACTGCATAGTTTCCACAATAAAAAACATTATAATTTAGACATGTATGTAAAAGACAAAAGAGTGTATTTATATGTTAAAACATACTATTAGTCTAGCTTGTAAGAAACAAACTCTATTTACAAAAACATGAATGATTCACCTTGTTAATGTGAGAACAATGCTGGGGAGTGTTTTATAAATAGTTGTAAAAAGTTTTTAAAGTTTTCTCTGTTTATTGTGTTTATTGAGTGTCTGGTACTAATCTCACCTAAACTTTTATCTAGAAAAATAGTCTTAAAGGAATAAAAGATGAAAAAGAGTATGTATCTTCCCTACAAAAGGAAAAAAAAAGTAAAAGGGAGACAAAGGTTACTGTGCTAAAACAGCTCCCAAAATGGCACACAAGTATGTATGCTACAATGGACCTACAGACAAGGTTCTCTTTTCTTTCCCTCCTTTTCACCGTACACATCTATCTCTTCTTTCACTCTCCCCTTCTTTTTCTTGCGCAAACAGTAATTCTTTGGTACATTCCCTTCAATACTATTAACCATGTTTAACATTCTGTGATAGCACATGATAACATGTTTAACAATGCAATTAACAATTTCCCCAAACAAACAAATGAGACACCAAAACCGAAGAAAAGTAAGATATATGTTTTGTCTTCGACACCTGCTCAACTCAAAACCTACACATTCAATTCACTTCTTTATCCCCTCTTAAGTTCTTGTTTCAAGCCAGCTTGTGTTGTCTGGTGCACAAATGGCTCATGACATCATTCAGAATTTAATTATAATACATCGACAGTGATCAGTTAAAGACATTTTTACACTGCATGTGATTTAATCTTTGTTTATTACATAATTAAAGATTGTTAACTTTTGAAGCAGTTACTTTCAAAAAATTATTTAAAATAATGTATAAGTAGTTTATAGGATGAAGAAGAGTGTGTTGAAATTAAATGATTAGTTTCTCCCAAAAGTGGTAGCATTGTCTTTTTTACTACCAAGTTATTATTCTTCTGATTTGTGTCTGTCTGTGATCACTTTCAGGTTCACTGTTTGCAAATTCAGATCGTACTGAAAGGGAATGAATATATGGTTGTAACATGCAATGGTGTCAGTAGTGTGTTGTTGCAGCTGATAATTTTACGTGTGAAAATTAAGAGTGAAGGTAACACTGTTATGTATGACAATGATTGGTGTTTCAGAAACGTGGCACAGTTAAAATTGTAGCATAGAATAAGAGGGATTTTTTCATTCCAATTCTCTTTCATCTTATTTCTACTTCATTCTTTTTCCTATCTCTTTTTTCCATTTCACTGATCAATCCATTATAAAGTGTGTGAAAGTGTATATTTATATTTAGTCTTTTCATTCAATACCTAAATGAAAGAATATCAAATGGGATTGATGTTTCCTCTATCTAGGTTTGGTATATTAAACATATCAATTATTTTCCAGATTTACATGATTTACAACAAATAATTTTTGAAAAAATTAGTTCCAGTGACAGTCCATGCCAATTAAATGTTAAATTATATATTTTCAAACGGGGTTTTCATAGTCTGTTAAAAAATTAAATGCAAGCAGAGAAGTGCTCATTGAGTACAAATTATATTCATTTCATCCTGCCACCTGGTAATCAAAAGTGTTGTGCTATGCTGTTATAAAAACCAACTAAACATACCCAAGAGAGAGTTATTTGGTTTTTAAATTCTTTTTAAATCTAATCAATTAATTTAATAGGATAATTAAATTGAAAAAGAATTTAGAATGGGTTAAGGTTTAAAAAACACTAAGATAAAAAAGAGAAAACAAGAAAACCAGAAGACAAAATTTTATATTCATTCGATTTCTTGAAATCTATATTTATTTATTCAAGAAATCTTAATTTGAATTTTCACTAACAAAATTTTAATATCTAGATTATAAAATAACAATTAGATTTTGAATAATAAAATACCTTAATCAAATCTACCATAACTCATAATTTAAAAATACTAATCACACAATTTTCAAATCGTGTTAATAATGTTCAACTTATAATTATCAAGATTCAATAAAGATTTATATAATGAAAAAATAAAAAATAATTCACTTAAACTTTGAATTGCACAAAATACATAATTATATAACTAAAGGATTTTACCATCAAATTTGATTTTCTCAAAGTGTTTTATACATTTCAAAATCGTTACTTATGTTTTATAATGTTTTGATAGTTTCTCAATGTATTTAATTGATGAAATTTTTTTCTATTTAAAGAGAGTTAAAATAAATTATAAATAATTCAGATAATTATTTAGTAAAAAAATCTAATCAATAAGTGACAAAAGAAAAATAAATAATATAATCGATTAGATACTAAAATAATCAATTATTAACATGTGGTGTGAAAACATAATAAATAATAACATAATTAATTAGTTGATTTATTTTTACCTTTTTTATTTTAAATATATATTAAATCATTTGATTTTAATAATAACTCCTGACACACAATTACTAGATATTTATTAGCACATCATAAAAAATAATTCTTTCCTTAACATATATCTCTGAGGGACTAACTCACTTACGATCATTTCTTGTTATTTTTTAGTATTCAAAAGCCACTTTGAATTCCATTCATTCAGAATTTATCAGTTAGAGACCACTTTTTTTAACCTGGTATTCATAAAATTATGAGGAGAATCAAATTATGTGTCACTCAAACCAAAAACCAATATTCAGTAGCAATGTACACTCCAACCTAATTGTAAAATGTTCAACCAGGTTCATGGAATGCACTAACGATTTTTCTTTAATATAGTTTACTGGTAGATCTTTTCTTATTCATAAGGGGGTGGAGCACGGGTACTCGGGAGTTTGCAATAACTCCCACATTTGGTCAATCAGCTGAGTTAAACTAAATCTTCTTCTTGAAGAAATCCAAGTAAAGACTTTAATTTGAGGGTCTTTCCTTTTTTCTAAACTTACTTTTATAACCATGTAAGACAGTATAGATTCAAACCAATTATTTAGGCCAGAACAATTACACCCTAATTGATTTGCGGTTTGTGATCTTCAAAAGTTCTGCTGAAATAAATTAACTCTGTTATTGATTTTTGAATAATAAGAATCTAGTTAGACTATATTGATAATGTAAATACAACTTCATTATCATCTAATAATAAATAGGAAAATGATTTATTTTTTGTAATAATTACTTTAAAAATTATACATAAACTGATTTTTAATTAATTGACAATATAATATCCAATATTTATATGGACACTGAAAAATTTAAATCCATTATATATATATATATATATATATATATATTAAATATATATATATATATATATATATATATATTTAAATATTGATTTTTTAAAATTATAATTATTTACCATATATTTTCAATTTATAATTCAAATTATAGTTGACATACACTCATTAAATAAGAAGTAAGACTTACCAAAGTTTGTGATTTTTAACTAATAATAAAGTGAGTTAAAGAGTGCATTCTTAGTATTTCTGATAATAAAATAGAAACATCAACTTTAGAAAGACTTATATTTTATTGTACTTTTTTAAAGGTTGTGTTTTTAGTTATTCAACATTTTTATACCTTTGAAGACTCAAATTGTTTATTACTTTCAGCTTACATTATAATTTTTTTCTTCTTCTTGAAGCTCAACTTATATTACGAAAATAATAGTCGTTTTTTTATATGAAAATCTCCCCTGTCAAATTAAGTCCTTTTTCACCAATAAAAAGAATTTCTGCCTATTATATAATTAATTTTACATTAAAATTCTTTCTTTACTTACCCTCCATTTGTTTAACTACTTTCCTTTTCTAGGAATTTAGCTATTATTACTATTGTTTAGAACATTTTTTGCTGCATATTGAAAAACCTTTTCCCTTAAACTGCACCCACAATCTGTTTTCTAAGTTTTATATTAAGAAAAAGTTTGGACTACGAAAAAAAATATTCGGTAGTGGCAATGGTCAAAATGGTGCCTTATATTGATTGCATGTTTCTGTCCATAGTGGTTGTAGAGTTGTTTGCAGTATTGGAGATGCAGGGGGCATATGGTATGTACAATAGAACAACACCTCACAATGGCTCTGAACTGAACCAACCAAGACAATAGATAGGTCAAACTATGCGACAACATGCACAAAACATCGCAAAAGCAGATCCCGCCTTACTGGTTCAAATGCTCCCCACGCTGTTTCAAATCATGTTGAAAAGAATATTTGCAACACTCATTGTTCAAAACTATAAAATGAAATAAAAAAATCGGTTATTCTTAAACCAGAAGACAACAAAATTTGATTGCATATATGTAACATAATGACCGCAGAAGTTTTTTTCTTAAAAAAGGAGAAACAAAAAGACATTACTCAACTAAAGCACATACGCAGATTCGTACATAAACATTGTTCAGTATTCTGATACGCAATGTTGTCTGTTAACAGAATCATTTGGGGCAGCATCATTACTGAGGAAGAAACTTGGAAGCAAAATATTGCCACTGAGCTACATTGCAAAGAAAATATTCCTTGTTGAATTTTGCAGCGTATCCACATTTTTTATATAGATGGGGGATCAGGCTCTACTATCACGTTAATAAGATGATGACAAAAGGATTGATTTCAAAATTGTCCACCTGTCCACACAGGTTCCCAATTCTCTTAAGGCCCACACATCATGATACAAGCAACGACCTGATAGTTGCTTCTTTTCAAGAAAATAAAAATCTTAAAATAAGCATAAAATTAAAATAACAATTTAAAAAGAGAAAACTTGAAAAAAAAAGGTAGCAAGAATAAATTCGGACAAATTACACAAGGATATCTCATTCATTTTTTTTTATTATTCAACCGCACGTCGAGCGCAAGTTATTTACAGAAGGTTATATAAAATGCAGTGCAAGCATATGACACCAGTCAAATTTTTTTTCTTGAAAGTGTATGATCAAAATAATTGTTGGTTCTTGATGGGAAATATTTATCTGATGGTGGAGCGAGATGACCGGCTACTTGGACTTGTGCGATTACCCCTAAATAAGGCCTCTAGGTGCTGGATGCATCCAGGAGCTCCAGTCTGTATATCATAACATTGAAAATATCAAACCTTTGAAAATAAATAATCAGGTTGTCGTTGTAAAATAACTATAACGAAAAACATCCACACTTCTGATGAGGGCATTCCACTAGTGAGATGGGTGAAGAACAGTCATAGAGCCGTCAAGAAATGCATACTATTAATCCATTTTGATTATAAATGTGGCATGAGGCCCAAGAAAAGACGTGGCCTATTGGAATCATACGCTGGAAACCAACTCCAAAAGATTATGGACCAAAAAATTAGTTCTCCAGAATGTATATCCTTCGGGGTGAAAAAATAGGAAAGGAACAGTCATCTTGTGGAGTATTGTGATGTATAAGCCGTGGTTGAGCATGGACGTGACATACAGATAAACCATCTAAATGTACTTTAAAATTCGTAGTCTAGTTTGGTGCCCAGGTATTTACTAGATATTTTCAATGATTGTTGCCTCACTTTTCTTAGTTTCCATGTTTCCTCTTTTTTAATATTGAAATAAAAATTAAATTTATATGCGCTATCAGTGTAGCATTTTTTTAACCCAGGCAACAAGTAGGAATGCACTCTACTGTCACATCATATTAACCAATAGAACGATACCGTGATAGAGTAAATTCTTATGTGTTGATATAAATAAAATAATTTTACACAGCAATTAATATAAATTAAATTTCATTCAAAAGAGGTAGATGTTTTTCCACAGTAAATTCACCATAGCAAAAATTTTTCAATAATCTTCCGAAATGATCATTTGCGAAAACTGGACCTAAACGGCTGGAATTAGGAACTGTATAGCCACTATTTTGGGCAGGTTTTAGGCATTTCATATTTTCTTTTACTTCATTTTTTTTTCTTACTTCACTTGTTCTCAAACTCCCCTTACAACAACTAAAGACCTCATTTGTGTTGAACTCGTTTCCTAATTTTTTTTTTCAAGGGCATTTCTTATTCAATAAACATTTCACTCTCTAGCAAAATTAGGTGGGTATAAAAATTTAAAAGGTGATATTCATAAAAAATGAACATTTTGAATTCATGATCTCACTTTCCACTCTTGATGTGCCCATAATTGCCACAATACTGTCTACTAAACCACAGATTATCATTACTAATATCGAATAATACAGGAAAAGTCTTTGAAGCTGAAATTCCTAAGATTCTGGTTAGTTTTGGTGTAAAAAATGACTATTATGTTGGAGTTATACTACCACAACTAGGTCTAAAATTGATAAAATTAAAGTTTGCAAGAAAAAGGGATACCTTCCACCGCCTCTTTTGAACAAGATGGTAGTTGATGTTTTCCAATCTCCCAATTATCTGCCTAAATGTTGGTCTTCTTTGTGGTTTTTCATCCCAGCATTCCTCAATTAACCTACGGACAAATCACATTTCCTGAATGTAAAACACTTATTCTTTTAATCTCCTACTTTAGGTAGGTTTTGAAACCAAACATGCAAATCTGCTGCCAATAAAATGTGTTCAAAATCCTCACTGTTTTAGTCCATAAGCATAAAGCTTTGGCAATGCTCTAAATGGTGGACGCTCATTTTCAACATATGCTTTAGGAACTTCATTTTCTGGTTTTGCATAAAACGGTGGCCAACCTTCAATCATCTAGAGGAACAGAAAACCATAGAAGTTCCAGTCAGTATTTTGCTGCGCATCTCTACATAACAACCCCCCGTTGGTTGTCAATCTGTATATGGATATTCTAGATCATAAATTGCCCATGATTCACAAATAAAACAATCGCATTCTGAAGTTCATCAGTAAAACAGTTGAATAACCAAGCAAATTAGTACAACGGCAAACTATTAGGCATAGGATCATCCTAAGATGATCATAAATATATAAATATGTACATCATATTTATATTTTTATATGTCAATCTATGTCTATCTCTAGACTTGTCTATTTGATCATAAAACATTGCACATCACGATTATATATTATATACATATGTTTAGGATGATCGACGAGGGCTAAAATATACAGAGCTCAAGAGTCACGAGTGCTTGAGCTGTTCATGGACTCATCCTATAATATACTCCATAAGTGATAGACGCCCTATGTGTAAAATACACCATCAAATATCTAAAATTGAATATACTGGAACAATACTAAAGGAATTTGAATGATGAAAGCACTGATACTTCACTTTGCTTAACGTATCCGCATTTGATACGTATCGTGTCGGATACTTCACCGATAGTTCATTAATACCTATCAATAAAATATCCAAACCTATGAAACACCAATGCTTTTATTTGTTTTACATATAACATTTTTAGATATTTTACCGATATGTGTATAAGTTATTTGTCCAAACTTTTAAATTGTTTATATTCAATAAAAGTTTAAGATACATATATGTATGTATAAAATAGAAACATATAAATATTATTTTTCATAAACTAAAAACAATTATTCTTATGAAATATTTTAAGAAATTAATGAGATTGACAATATTATTCCTGTGTGCAAATATAAAAAATTATTTTATAATGACAATTATTTATATTTTTTATTTCTACAGTACCTAAAAAATGTAATTTAAATTTTTAATTTGAATAATTGTAATTATATAGTTATGTTTCATGAATTGTTATATATTTTTAAATAGATATTTTATACATATAGTATCTTGTTTTTTTAAAATAAACGTGTCATCATATCAGATATATCGGATACGTATCATATCCGATACTCGCATCGTATTCATGTATCATATATGATACGGCTTTCAATGCATTCCTTTTCTTGGACTTGTAATTTTTTACTAAAGTGAATAACACAAAATTACACATGTAGCAGATATGACTTTATGTACAGGGTTCTGTACGAATAAATGCTCAAAAAATAAAACATAAAAAGCAACAGGAACATAAAGTACATCCCCATTCTGACAAGGGATGCTTCCTGCTTTCAGAAAACAAATGCAATTATCAGCGTTCTAAAAGTTTTATGCGCTGAGATAAACAGAAATTACCAAGGATAGAGAGTATTGAATTAGTAAGTATTATTTGGTCATATACCACAACATTATTCATCAAACACGTTTTATATTTATTAATTGATTTGCAAATTTAGGGTTTAAAAGTCTTGTTTCAAGACTAGAGAAGAGACAAACCATTCATACAATAAGGGTAAATAATTAATATAGAAGTCAATAAAAAGCTTTAAAATAAGGAAAAATCTGCATCCGAAGGTGAACAATTTTTTACCTCCTGCAATATCAGAGCAAAAGAAAACACATCCACTTTTGTGTCGTATTCCTCATTTCTATAGACCTCTGGTGCAACATATCGCCCTGTCACAGATTTGAACAAATTATCAATAGAAGCAACAAAAATCAGAACCACTCACAATAGGATCAAAACAAAATGAATTATCCATATAAAAAGGCGGCAATACTTATAAATTAATTAATAATTCAAATTAGTAAATTAAGTCCCAGCTGACAAACTGTCTTTATTAGCCACTGAGTAGACAGCATTTTTCTTTCTTGTTTTTTCCTTACAGAATATGCAACATATTGGACATTGCAGCCCTCATGAAATAGAAGTTTACAATATTTTCTTTTATGCAGAACAACATAATTAACAATAACTATTACAAGGCTCCCCACTATAGAAGAAAACCTACATGATGTATCAAGGCTTGTCACGGGTTTGTCTTCTTTGACTGTTTTAGCAACCTTAAGCAACTTGCTAACTCCAAAGTCTGCAACTTTCAGATGCCCAGAATCATCCCGCAGAATATTTCTGTTGTCTTACTCAAGTACAATGAAGAAACTTTAAACAGTTTCAACCATTCAAGAATGAATGAATGGAAAATGCATGCTTGTACTGACAAATCCATGACACTTCATACACATGGTGGAAGAATAATAAAATCAACAAGACAGGATAGGAGAACATAAAACATACGAAGGCTCAAGATCTCGATGTATAATGGCTTCTGGTTTATGTTCGTGCAAATAGTTCATGCCCCTGAAAATATTACAAATATTAAAATGCAAATTTTTAATATAGGAGGAAATTTCGTTTAATATTGAACTCTTAAAAAACAAAATAATCAGGAGAGCTTGTTTCCTTGAGAACCAACTGAAAGCAAGTGATGCATGCATAATATGAAAGCTCTTGACTGACCTAGCAATATCAAGTGCAAACTTTACAGCTGTTACTGGTTTTAATGCACCTTTCCGTTTCATGTAGGCACCAAGATCCCCCTAAATATCATTCCAAACTGTTAGATAGTACATTTGTAAAAAAATACAGGGCAAACTAGCCACATGCACACACACAAGCATGGGAGATATCTAATTGTATGCATTTCCTTATTTTTTCACTGTTTCACTAACATTGAGTGAAATCCCCAATAAAGAGAAATGAAAATCTTAAATAAACACTTATCAATACTAGGTTAAAGCATGGGAGATATCATTACTTAAAAAGTTTCAGCAGATATTTATAACTTCTAGATAGAACAGGAACATAGTTGGCAGATCGGATTCAGTTGCTCTAAAGTGAGAAGATAAGAAGAAAAAATGTGAGAATCTATCCATTATCAACTTGAATTAAACTGACTTTCAATAAATAGTTATACCTCAATTTTACATTTTACAGATCTCCTTACTTTAGAGGGCCAAATCCTGTCTAGCCAATGCAAATAACCCACGCACAACAACAATTAAATATCAGTCCCAGGGTAAATTTTTTATCATATTAAGTTTTTAATTATTAATGATTTGTGCACTCCTACATAATGCTGGATTTCGAGCAGTCCAATTGAAACTACGTTATCACTTTCTTGCTAGAGACTATCCAAAATGACAAATGACCACATTGTATTCAGCTCATTGTTAATATAAGATAACCATTAGCCAACTAACAAAGATAATTTTGTTCATAAACACCATGAGCAAAAAACTTACAAGAAAAAGCCTTCTTTATGACCAGTGTAGGAGCAAGACTAACCTGGGGTAGATATTCTGTGACAATCATCATTGGGGTGCTTTGGGTTACAGCACCCAAAAACTGAACTACATTTGGATGCCTTATTTTCTCAAGTAATGTAAGCTCATCATGAAATGCCTTTCTAATAAACAGACACCCACAAACAAAAAGTCCACTGTGAGATTAAAAGTAAGGACAGAATAATCCAATTGACTTGAATAAGTAGACCAACCCACACTTTATCATCATCGGTGAACACTTCCTCCCCAAGTGTCTTGACAGCAACCTGAGTTCCCCGCCATAATGCAATCCGGAAGGTTCCCTAAAATGTTCCGTATTTATTATGAAACACAAAATAAGCTGGGGAACATCGACGTAAGAGATTATGCCAAAACAAGGTAAAAGGATAAATCCAGTTACAAATCATGATTAACTGCATAGAGAAAGGAAACTTGAAACCTTACCTTTGTTATGCAAACACTATTAGTAAAATCAAGTTCAGAAGGATCAATCTCATACTCAGGTACTTCTCGAGCATTCTCTACATGCATAGGAGTCATCTACAAAAAATAAAAATAAAAGGTTTGCAATTGCAATTTAATGGCATAAACCAACTACTCTAAAAGGAGTTTAATATCTATGTACTATCAGACAAATAAATTTTAAGCTGTTAAGAAATAAGAAATCAGTATAACCCTTAAAGTATTTATAGTAAATGTCAACCAAATCATATTTAAGAGTTTATACACAGTCAGTGCATAGCACTGCTTTCTCTCCAAAAAGCTTGACTGCAAGACCCCTTGGAGCTGAAATTAAATATACTCAGACGGGGAATGAATCCTCTCGATTGGGCTTTTCACTGTGATTCTCTACGGTGAATATCTCCACTTTAAAAATCCAATGCCCATTTTTTATTATTTAAAATCTCTCACTATCCTCTTGTTTTTCAATTAAAGACTAAGACTTCACTGAACAGAAATGTCATATGGAAGGGTCGAAATCCTACTGAGGCAGTTCAAAAAACTTTTATGTCGTTATCCAACCATACACCATTACATCCCAGTTTTGCATGTTAACTATGTTTCACTTTTATAATAACTATCTTAAAAGTCTATCCGAAGATAATATTTTAAGCAACAGTGCATGTCTATTAAACTTACTAAACGAATAACACAAACGGTTTTCCGTATAAGAACAAGAAGGAAACGAAAAGAATAGACAAACCGGAGGTTTTGCTCCGTGTTTCTCCAAAAGCTTCACCACGTCGTGATTTTTATAGTACATTGCATCAGCTAGAGGCTGTTAAAAACATTCCGATTCAAAAATCAGTGACAGTGAGTGAGTACAAGAAAAATAACGAAAGAGGAAGGAACTGAAACTACGGTGCTGCCCCAGCGGTCTCGTGGTTCGACTTCAGCGCCTCGTCGGAGCAGCAGGTCAACGACGTCGGTGCGGCCCTGGCAGGCAGCGACGTGGAGCGCGGTGCGCCCGTCAATGTCGGTGAAATTGACGTCGCTCCCCGCGTCTAACAGCTCCTCAATCCCATCCAAGTCTCCCTCGTTGGCCAGATACATCAACCGAACCGTCGGGTCCAGTGCCTCGGACGCTTCGCCGGCGCCAGCGCGCTCCGGCGCGAGGGATGATTGGCGGCCGAGCGAGAAACGGGGCTGGAGCTTCTTGGTTTCCATTGCGGCGGCGAGGGTTTTGGGAGAGAGAATGGAATTGTGTTGTGTGAATGTGTCGTGTCGTTGGATTCAACGCGGACAACAATAAGAAGGAGAATATGAAGGAAAAGAAATGTGAATGAATATGAATGTGAATATAACGGATGCGGGTTTTGATATTTTTGAAAATCGGATTTGGATCGGATCGGATTCTTTGTAATTCAAATCTTGACGTCACTGCCTTTCTACACACTCCAGCCAGTGAGTGAGGAAGAAACGAAGTCGGTTTTCGGTGATAATTTCCACCAATCACCTCTTTTTTTTATTTCTCTTTTAAATAATTAATCGATATTTTTTAAGTAATTCGTGAATGTTAATATTTTAAAAAATTAGTCATTGACTGTATCTGTACGTTGATAGGATTGCTTTGAACAGCTATTTTAACGTGGTTAAGTTGACTTTCTAAAGGATCCTTTTTGGAATACTTTTTCCAAGTTGACTTTCTAAATAAAATTATTTATAACGTTAAAAGACTTGTTAAAACTGAACCTTCAATATAATACAGAAGGTCGTGTATAGTAAAAAATGTAAGTTTCTTACTAATTCATGATTAATGAACTCATAAAATACGAGTTTAGATAACGATTTTAAAATCGTATATTTTGAAGAATTCGACACGTTTTTTTTGTTGTATTTACCACTGTTAGGTGTTGAATATGCGTTTACTAAAGGAATTCTTTTGGGATTTATTATCCATATGCTTTTACTAAGTCATGAACCTCAAATGGGATAGATTTCCAAATAGGTTATAAAATTTATGATGTCAACGTAATTTGTAGAAAATTTTAAACGTACTTTTAACATTGACTTTGGATATTGAATATGTTTACTTCGTCCGAAGATATTTATAACACGAATTTTCATGTATTTTGTTCAATTTAAGGAACTACCGTTATTAATGTCTACTATAATAAAAATATATTTAATCAATTTTTATAGATTCTCGCAATTTTATTTTTAAAATATATCTCAATAAATTAAGAAAAAAATATATTTAAATTACTTTTAATTTTCACTTTTAATAATATAAAATTCAATCTATCATCATAACACATCTCAAATAAAAAAATAATAAAGAAATTATATAAACAAAAATAATCTTTAACTAAATAATTCTTAAAACTTTGTAATTAATTATTAGGATTACATAATTCGAGTAAATATTAAAAGTCCATTTTGATAAATATATGTTGTTTTTCATTGAAACGAAATTAAGCGTAAATGTACCAACAAATAGCAATTTTTAAGGTTAAACGGTGTTTGTATTAAAAATATATATAACTAGTTTTTTAGGTTAAACAGTAATAGTATTAACACATAACATATCGATACAATTACGAACTTGACACTATTAAACTTTTAAATAGAACATATAATTTTTTAAATAGAATATATAATTTTTATAAATATTTTTTTATTTTAACTCCTCGTAGAATATATTTGCATGACATTTTTAATGACTTTTTATCGTCGAAACGAGCGATAATGTCATAATTGTATAATCATTGAAAAAATTATCGAAATTTGTTTATAAATAAACTTTTTCAAAAAAGAAATATAAAATTAGACTCCATGCCAGAATAAATTTCTAATTAGGCTTTCATGTAGAGGATTCAATTTCCGAATTACTAAATTCCGAATGAATTTTCGGTTGGGGAATTGTTTCGGTATTGATTGTATTTTTTGAAAATGTTTATTAGTAACTTTTTTTTTAAATTAACTACTTTCAGGAAAAAAGAAAGATAAAAATTAAATAAATTATTAAATAAAGAATATTTTGTTGTAAATAAATTAATTAAATTCATAATTTAAAAATTGATAAAAATCAACCCGTTGTTCTCAATCGGGTCAAAACAGGAGCCCCGACAAGTCCGCAGCCATGGATCTACCTAGCTGAAGGGTTCAGAAAAGAGAAGATTTACAGTTCGGAACCATTGCCATGGCCATGGCTTCCAACCATCTTCGAAACCTGACTCGCGTCTCTGTCCACCGCATTCTCCATCACCGTTTTCGGCCTCTCCTCGACGCTGCTAGATTATTCTCTGATGCTACTTCTTCACTGCCTCAACCGCAACCTAATCAACAACCTTCGCCTCCCTCGTCTTTGAAGGATTATGAACTTGCCAAGTTCGCTGCAATTGCTGATACCTGGTGAGCTTTCGAACTGAAAGATAGAATATGTTCAATGAATTTACCGTTATAGACACAGCACAACATTAAATTGTACAATTTTCCTTTTCAAGGGGTGAATTTGTTTATTATATGTTGATGTTGCTGCTATCGTGTGAATAATTTTGCTTTAAATGTGTTTTAGTTTGGGAATATGGATGACAAGTATTTTCCCTTTCCTTGATGTCAATAGGTGGGACTCTGATGGCCCCTTTAAGCCATTGCATGTGATGAATCCTGTAAGACTTGCTTTCATCCGTTCTGCACTATGTCGACATTTTAAGTAAGCTTCCTCCTTCTTTTAGTCCCTGTTAGCTCCATTTTGGAGTCTGCTGTGTTTTTTTTCATGAAGCTACTTTGTTTGAAGGGCAATGATCTGAACTATATTTTAATGGATGCCGAGCTACTTTTATACTGTATTGACTGTATGCATTAGTCTTATAGCATTGCCATTTATGCAGCGGCTATAACTTATAAATCCAACAGCAGCATTCAGCGTTTGCTACATAGTAGAAGTTTGGTTTAGTATTCCTTGAATTAAATGTAATCATATAAAGACGTGTAAGAAGATGACTGTAATGAAGTATTTGTTAGTAAAAAAGGTGTTAACTTAATTGGCTTTTAACACATACCAAAGAGGAATCAACAAGAAAAACGAAAGAAAAAGTTATTACTGTTGATAATAGGTTTGTATTTTAATTTTTTCTTATGGACTTCTATTCGGATGATAATTAGACTTCCCTTCTCTCAGGAAGGACCCTTATAGTACTAAACCCCTTGAAGGACTTAAAATTGTTGATGTTGGTTGTGGAGGTGGAATTCTTTCTGAGGTATATCAATTCTCCTTTTTCTTGTTATGTTTGGAAAATTCTCCTGGTCTATGACAAACCAATAATTTGATCTAACCAGTTCAGACTTCAGAGATGACTATATTTGTTAACCAGAAATGTGGAAATCTAAATTTGGTAACTATATTACTTATCATAAACCTTGTTGTGGGATTCTGTAGCATTATGATGGATTCTGAGGTGACTATATTTATTAGCTAGAATTTTGGAAATCTGAATTCTTTCTTTGGTGCACACAGTCCCCCCTCTATTTGTAGAGTATTAAGATTAAGATTGTTAATTTTTTTCTATTGCAAATTATATTCTGTTTTTATGGTTATTTTTTTTATAGCTTTGTTTGTTTTGATCTTCAGCCACTAGCTCGATTGGGAGCTACTGTGACGGGTGTTGATGCTGTAGAGAAGAATATCAAGATTGCTCAACTTCATGCTGTATGTATACTCTATAATTGGCAAACTGATATTTTGCAATGGTTATTTCCAACTTGAAATTTGTCACTACAGTCGTCAAATTTGATTAGGTTATTGTTCATTGGTGGAAGCATTTTCTAACTTATATTATAACATCTTCAGATTCTTCACTATTAGCTAGACAACTAATTATTTCCTGTAAACAGGGTTTGGATCCAGTCACTTCAACCATTGAATTTTGTTGCACAACAGCTGGTACATATGCAAATCTCGAAGCGATCTTGTATACTTTTATTTGACATCCATGACGTGCATGCTTCAAATCTTTTACACTCATGGATTCAGACCTTTGCTGGATATTATGCATTAGCTTAAAAAGCTTAAATATTTTCACTTCCTATCTGCTTTTGTTATTGGGCTTCTTCATTTCTGTTATTCTTGCAGCTTGCAGAAAGTAACCATTTTTTGTTATTTATTCTAACTTATAATGTATATTTGGCTGTAGAAAAATTAAATTTTTGCTTTAGTCTTATTTCTTTCCTCTAGGATCTAGTATAGAAGAAAGTTTTTTATCCCTTAATGTTTCTCATGAAACAAGGTGTCAACTTGGACATACTAAAATGCTCAAGTGGGGGAACAAGTTTTCACATAAAAAAGTTGCCACACGTACTTATTAGTTCATCCTCTCTATATTGGAAGAATTCTAGTTTTCATTGGCGGTGTCCATTCAATTTCATTGCTTGCATTGCAATTAGATAGCATGCTTGTAAAGAATTATATGTTCTTTGTACGTCAGGACATGTATGATGACTCCAGTAATCGTTGTAAAAGTAAAAGTAGGTTGCATTCACTCTTGTTCGTATGTTTTTGGGTATTATGTATATTTTACAACTCACCAACAATTTTTAAATTTATTGATCAGAGAAGCTAGTTGCAGAAGGAAGAAAATTCGATGCTGTTATGGCCTTGGAGGTACTCTCTGGCTGTGTGTTTAATATAAAGATACGATGCGTGTATACTGTTGCATGAAATCATTGATAGAAGTGCTCAAGCGTTGTTGGTTGATTTAGTTTGAATTTTGTTCAGGTGATTGAGCACGTGGCAAATCCTGCAGAGTTCTGCAGATCTCTTGCAGCACTAACAGTTCCAGATGGTGCCACTGTGATCTCGACCATTAATCGTTCCATGAGAGCCTACGCAACTGCCATTGTTGCTGCAGAATACATTCTCCGCTGGGTATTTATCATTCTCAACTTCATTCCACGATTATTCTGTCCTGCAAAACTCTTTCATGCTTCAATTCAATTGACATATTTTATATATATATATATATATATATATATATATATATATATATAAACTTCGCATTTGAAACTCGGCAGCTTCCCAGAGGCACGCATCAATGGTCCAGTTTTCTGACTCCAGAGGAACTCGTCCTCATACTGCAACGCGCCGGTATCAATGTACGTACGCGAAAGGCATTCATAATTCATAAATCTTAAACAATTTCGTTTGCCAGGTTTAATTCATCGCATACTTCATTTGGTTGCATTGCACACACAGGTGGAAGAGATGGCCGGATTCGTGTACAACCCGGTGACAGGACGGTGGTCCTTATCAGACGATATAAGCGTAAATTTCATCGCCTTCGGCACCAAGTCAAACAACACTGAATAGCATATATAGATAGATAAAATTCGCATTACTATTATTACTGTTATACTATTATATTTGAAATCGTTTTTTGAATGGTGGATAACAATAAACTGTGAGATTTAAACAGTCAGGAAGTAGAGGCGGAGAGTTTCCTGAGAGTGATAGAGGTACGTTTGGATTGAGTCAATTGTCGACCCTGCCATATCTGAAACTCCGGTGAGCGATTAATTTCGTGTTTCCAACGGTAGCGAGCTTCTCCGGACATGAGAACCAAGGAGCCAGGGGTGAGGAGAACGGGGACGGAGAGGGAGGCGTTGGTGAAGTGCATGACGCAGTCGGACTCGAAGGAGAGGATGGCGATGCCGTCGTCGAAGCGGAGGAGGTCGACGTGGGCGCAGATGCCTTCGCCGGGCTGGTAGACGTTGGCAATCATCTGGTCGAAGAGGGGTTCTCTGTAGAGAAGGTGAGGCGGGAAGGGGGGTGGGTTTTGGGCCTGGAGCCGGATGGAGCGGCGAATGGAGTGGCCCAGAGGAGGGGCCCAGTAAGGGAGGTGTTGGAGGCCGAAGCGCATGGCCTGGTTAATGGAGGGCGAGGGGAACCAGTTGTCGGATTGGATGGATGCGAGTATGCGGGATTGGTGTCGTGGGGAGAGGAAGTTGGGGCACAGCCATAGACCCTGTACTTCTGATATGGACTCCCATTCCCACTCACGCTCCCTGTCGCTGTAGCCATCATTGGAATCAGATTCGTCTGATGAAGACCCGAAGACTTGTGCCAACACTGTCTTCTCCTCCTCCTCCTCCTCCTCCTCCTCCTCCCTCATCTTTATTTCTTTCAATTCTCTTCTCTTCTCTTCTCTTCTCTTCCCAGTTCCTGCAGATTAATTCTTCTTTCTCCTTGCTCTTCGATTTATGCCACCCCCGCAATTTACCTTGCTTTCACCCTTATTTGAACGATTCAAACCACTTTATATTTGAACCTACACTTTCCTCACCCACCTATTTTTTTTCGTCCACGGCCCACAGACCAAACAAATAGATTGGGCCAACCCACCTAAGGAAAAATTTGACCTTCAGGCAAAGTAAGTAAATCCTTCCAATCAATTTCATCTCTCCTCCCTCCAACATACCATTAAAAAAGAAGTATAAATAGCAATTTCTCCATTTTAGTTATTTCATATAAATATTTTTTTCAGATGTCGGCTCAATTTGACATTTCGACTAAAGGGTAATTAAGGTTGCTAAAATGTGAGGCAGAAATAAGATGGGTTGGATTAGGCTTTCAGAAATGTGAGGTTAACTTTAGATTTTGAGTTGGCTATTTGATGTGAAATGATCTTTAAAACTTTGCATTTTAAAGCTTAGTCTATGTTAAAGTTTAGAAGGATATTAGTAGTAAGCTAACTTCTTCAGTAAATATTAATTGTATTAATAACATAATTAAAAAATCGATGAAAAGAACCTTAACTCTATAAAGGTAATGTTTTTCATAATTTTATATACAGAACTTACGGCATTAATTAATAAGCTTGAAATGTAATGTTAGAACATATTATATTTTATTTATTTAAGTTAGCTTGTTAGATCGGAAAGTTTCAATTTGTATAGGATTACAACTCCCCACGTAAGACTTAAAAACTTAACCCATATAGCTGTAAATGGGATTAAGTTCATCATAGCATTATTATTGGACATTCATGTACTCAATATGCGTTAACCATATTATGTATATATAAATAAACATACTAGGATACCATTGTTATCTTTTCAACGTCGATCTCTCTCTCACCGTCTTTATCCAAAGACCGAACTAAACAAAATCTATCTTCATCCTACAACACCGTCAACAGACCTTGGGTTCCGTCTCTTGGGAAATTAAGATTTTGGCAGTTTCATATTCACACTTTTGAATCACTAAATTTTAGTTAAACACTCTACTCTCTGTCTCTCTCTCTCTCTCTCTCTCTCTGTCTCTGTCTCTCTCTCTCTCTCTCTCTCTCTCTCTCTCTCTCTCTCTCTCTATATATATATATATATATATATATATATATATATATATATATATATATATATATAAAGTTAACTGAAATACTCATATTTTATACTGTCATTTCATTAATACAATAATATTAACATTATATTAATAAAAAGAGTTAATTGACATCTTTTAGACAAATTCTTAGAGTTGACCTTCTATAAATGAAATAACATGGCTTAAAACAAGATTATTACGTTGTGTTGAGTTTGATTTAGTTTACCTGATAAATATGACATTAGATAACAAGTTCATGAATTTTAAATTCAATAAATCAAATGTATTCTAATTATATATATATATATATATATATATATAATAAAAATAATATATCTTTAATAACTTTATACTTGATTATATATGTATGAATTATAAAGATTTTAGTTACTTTATGATCATTAAAAAATGTTAGAGATATTTATTTTAAAACATTTTAGATTATAATTAGATTGAGTAAAATTGGACAACTAAATAAAAAAATAAGCCTGATCTAATTTAATTCAATTATAAAAAATTGATAATTAGATTAAACTGGGTAATGGTTGCGTAATTATACGCCAATCAATGTGAGAACTCCATCAAGTAATGCTGGCAAACTTGGTCAAGTGACCATATCAAATGCCTCAAAGCGGCGGCTTGCTGGATCCAGGGTATAGCCTACAGTCTCAATTAGTTTTATAGTGACATTATCCAAAGGTGATATCTAACTCTCACGGATATATACAAAGTTAACTTGGCTATAATCAGGATGAGAAGTCTCTGCATAAATACTACTACTGGTGTCATGTTTCAGTACTTATACTTTTAAATTCTTTGTAAATTATTTCAAGGGAATAATAAGAAATAGATAAGCATAGTTTACCTAACTCATGGGAGAAGTAACATGTATAATTGATTAGCAAAACGTTTGTGCTAAAGAAGCAAACAGAGTTTTGTGTGTATAACAGTGCGAATTCTACCCTTCCCCCTCATTACCCAATAATTGGGTTGGATGCACTAGATAAATAAATTCTGCTGAAATTTTATCAGCATTTTTTTTTTCTTAATTTTTCATTTGGGCTAGGGAGGCTAATGGATAACATTTTAACAATAGGTCAAAAGCAATGTTAGTAATATTCTCTTTAACATACTTTTTGGACACTTTTTATTATTAACTAAAATTGATTAGGAAACATGAAATTTTGTGGGTCTCACACCTTATTTGATGAGTTTCCCATATGATTCTGTAATTTTCAAGAAATCTTAAGCAATAGATAATGTCTTAAAAAATAATTTGTTATGCTAGCAATCCTCATATGTTAATTTAAATTATAGCTAACCCTAAATTAAGGCAGACCACATTCGTTTTTCTTAGCAACTATGTGCTGGGAATAGGTACACTATAGCTTCAAATTATGGCACTCCAAATTTCTTGGGTACAGCCACTTGATAAAACTTTTTACTTAGTTACTAACATTTTTTCTCTTTTCTTGTATTGAATACACCACGTTTTGCATTAATACGTGGCACTAAGAAACTAATTTCCCTTGTCTGATCCATCTGAATTAACTGTTACAAGTTGATAGCTCTTTTCTGTTTCAACATGTGACCCAGAGGAATCAGTATATACACTAGGTATTGACATGCTATGCGTTCTACTTGGATTCTGCCAGAAGTGATTTCTTATGCTCTTATACTTGGAACTGGAACTAACAGCTGAATATCCCGGATCAGAAAGTAGATCCTGAATATCAGTCCAACCTTCAAGCATGCTCACAGCTTGAGACATTGTTGGTCTAAGCGTAGGAGATGCATTAGTACATAAGAGAGCCACATTTAGCACCACCATGGCCTCCTCAGTTGAATATTCTGAACCCAAATCTGGGTCAACCAGCTCCAGAAGACTCCCTCTCTCTTGCAAAACATAGGCCTGAAAGAAACTCAAACTTATTTTATAAACTGACAGGGAAGCTATGATAGGGACTGGAAACACAAACCAGCACAAAAATTTATCTGGGCCTCACACACACACACACACACACACACACACACATATATATATATATATATATATATATATATATATATATATATATATATATATATATATATATATATCTGTGAGTTTGTGATCGTTATGATAAATTCTAATTACCCAATCAAGAAGGTAAACAAAATCCTCGTTTGGCCTGAAATTTGTATTGCTCTTTCCGCTGACAGTTTCCAGTGCAACCACCCCAAAGCTATAAACATCTGCTTTGTCGGTTAGATAGCCACGCATTGCATACTCAGGAGCCATATAACCACTACAAAATCATAAAAATCATAACAAAAAATTTAGAATGTGCGCACTTTATTTTCTGAAGTGAGATTTCTCATTTACGGCATACAGAAACGTTCAGACAATATATATGATGTCATGAAAATTGCAATGCTATATTTTGGCATGAAAAACAAGAGAAACAGTAGCAAATTATGGACTTACATTGTTCCTGCAACTCGAGTGCTAATATGGGTTTTGTCATCTTCAATAAGTTTTGCCAACCCAAAATCTGAAACTTTAGCATTAAAATCCTTGTCGAGCAATACATTGCTTGCCTTTATATCCCTATGTATGATTTTTATTCTCGACTCTTCATGAAGATAAGCCAAAGCTTTAGCTATTCCAAGACAAATTTTCTTCCTTGTTGGCCAGTCTAGTTTTATTCTGTTCTCTGGGTTCCTCCCTGCATGCGAATGGGAGAAGGACAATCAATTAGTTGCTCAAGTCAAATGTTTAATTCAAATGAAACTTATGGCTAAAATTTATTATTCATCATGAAGCTTACCAAAAAGAACCCGAGAGAGACAATTATTTTCCATATACTCGTATATCAGTATTAGCTGGTTCCCCTCCACACAACATCCATAAAGCTTAACAAGATTGGGATGTTGGAGTCCAGATATCAACCCCATCTCATTCACAAACTCACGGTTTCCTTGTTTAGATTTTGAAGATAGCTGCTTTACGGCTATTATTGTACCATCTGATAGTAGGCCCTGCATCATGGACAAGGTCTTGCATTACAATTACACATACAAATATCAAAGTACTGATTAATCTAACAAATCTCCATTACACTTTAACCAGCATATACGTGGATAAATTTTTTTTTATTAACTCACCAAGGTTATATGCATGCTAATGAGTACAAAATCGACCACAGAAACTATGATTGAATTATAAGCATTAAATTTAAATTGAAGGGAGATATAGAGATCATGAAGTGTCTCTTGTATTTCAAAGCTAGTAACAAATAAATTAACCAGAATGTGGAATAGTTAACCGAGAATATTAACTTGAGGAAGAAAAAAATACCTTGTAAACACAACCAAAGCCACCCTCGCCAATTTTGTTTGCTGCATCGAAGTTTTTGGTTGCTGCTTTGATTTGTCTTAGTGTAAATAATCCCGTCTGCAGATCTATTCCCCTAAGCTCTGAAAAAAATAAAAAATATTAGAAATTTGGATTCAACAAGAAAGTTTGTAACTTTCTCCATAATATCTGCCACTAAATTTCTTTTCATTTCCATCTAGCATATAAATATATAAAGTGTGTAAACATGCTCTCCTATGCTGTCTTAAAGCCTTGACTTTAGTGAAGCGGAAAAATTTAATCAACAACAAATCTTATATAGAAGAAAATTATTGCGCTTCAGTTTTATGGTATTTGAATAAAATTTATAGAAATATTTGTCTAATACAAATTGTTGAAGAAGAAGAGGCAAATACTGCTGGATATATACAAAGGATGTTATGTTGGAAAAAATGGAAATATTTATTCTAACTAAAGAATTGGAATAACTACGTGGCATTTTCCATACCTTTATACACTGGATCTTTTCCTCCTAACCATCCCATCCACCTCATGAAAACCAGCACCAGAAGTAGAAGAACCAAAACACCAGCGACTATGCCAATTGCCAGTATGACATAAGTTCTGTTGCCATCCCTTGATGGAGGTTTAAAATCTGTGCAAGGAAAAGTATTTATTTTAGCTTTCGCAGAAATGAAGAGAAAAACTGATAGAACCGGATCGATAAAAGGAAAGAATGATGAATTTTACATGATAACAGAACTCTAGTGGAGGCTATATATATATAAGGTTATCTTTTCCTACAATTTTTAAATTCATAATGCCATATGATGGTTTCAACTTCAATCTTATCAAGTCAGATAAAGCACTAGCACAACACAAAGATGCAGGATGTGACTTACTAGGATTTACTGAAATAGCAGATACTAGAGGTCCATAAACTCCTCTTGTGGGAATGCCAGTGGTTCCTTTTCCAGCCCAGTAGAAGTGAATCTTCAAAGTATGTTGGGTGACAGTAGCATTGAATGTCTTTACAATCGGCTTGCCAGTACCACCAGCTTCTCTTTGGATATCAAGGTCTTTAAGCACTAAATTCCCCTTAATTTAAGGACATAATAATATATTCCATCTACATCAATGCACACCTCTACCAATCAATTATTTAGCATCATATGAAAATCATGAAAGTATTTGTTACCTGAATATAGACATCAAATACCCGCTTTCCAAGACTATTAAGTGACCTATCATTGATGAAAATAATCTCTGCAAAGTGAAGCTTGATTGTGTAATTTCCATTTATTAGGCAGAGGCCATAGTATGTGAGAGCAAGGGGAGAAACGCGAGCTGTTGTGTATAGTTGTGAGTTGAGTGCAGAGACATTAAGTCTAGAAGTATTGGTCACAGTATATGGATCAGAGTCAATATCATTGTCCATGAAGTTTCCAGTGCTGCTCAGAGCCCAATCCTGGCTAGTGTAATATAACATCGCAGCACCTTTTCGTTCACTGTCAGCTTCATAAATATGACCACTAACATTTGCTTCCTTGCCCCCACAATTAATGTTCAAGGCGTACTGATCTATAGCAAAAACAATTACAAACAGGGTTGAAAAGAAAGAATACTTAATGCAAAATCTTTTAAATTGTAATAGTCTAGTGATAAAGAAAGACAGTAGCATAGAAAGGTAAAATTTGCAAAGAGCAGAACATAATTAGTATATAAAATTTTCAGCTTTTAGTTCTATTGCATGAATTTATGTAATAAAATTCCATTAGAATCATCCAGTGGTTGTAATAAAAATGAATACTGAAGTATCTCCCATTTTTAAGTTTCTAAGAATTAGTTAACCTGTTTTATTTCAAATAACTGGAAGAGGAAATTAGTCTTAACCCCTAGCGAAAAACAGATAAATTGTTGAGTCAGAATTTTTCATCAACTTATTTCACTAAATTCCAGGTCACAGAATTTGACTCTCTTTTTAAATCAGCCTATAGTAATTTAAATTTGTAGTATGATCGCAAACTTACATTGGCTAGCTGAAGCAGGGCATGGAAAGTTCCTTTTTAAGCATGAATGAATCTTATTTCTGTAACGAAGAGAGAAATTTAAGGTTATATATACTAGACTACTACCAAAAACCAAATTTTACAGAAAATTCCTCAGAAAGGAAAAGGTAAAAAAAACTGCATATTCCAAGCACAACGGCTTACTGCGTATTTACAGATGAAGAGTAGCTCTCAACAAGGTTTCTGGAAAAACAACAAAAAATGTTGTAGTGATAACTGATAACTATTATTCGTTGAAACAACTTTAACTCAAAGCTTAAGTAAAATTTACATGCTCCCTCGTTGACATTCAGTTGGACTTGAGCTATCCCATGAGAAATTATTATCAGAGATATCACTGTGCACCAAAATATATAATAAAATACGTTAATCTCATTTGCAATAGAAGTGCTTATTTGGTTTCAGTTATAATATATATATTCGTTTTGCACAGATTGAAGTTCTCGAGAATACAAGCCATCCAACTATATTTTTTTAAATACATTTTCTAATAGATTTGTTGTAAATTTTGTTTCATCATGGAACTTAATATAACACTTGGGTTGTTGTTCAATTCTAAATTCTCTAGAACATATATCTAGATACATATAGAGAGAGATTTCTTGGTGCCTCATTCACTGTGGCCAATGAAGAAATTTTACGATGAATGACTGAAAATTGAAACATAACAATTCAAGAATTTAACGTACATATTTTTGTTATTTCCTAGGACCCAGCCAGGTATAACCCCTGATAACTTGTTCCCAGTAAGATACCTGCATTATTTAACATAAATTTTGTTGTCAGAATTGAAAATGAGATGTGCCAATACAAAATTCCATTCGATCCATCCACTTACATGAAGTCTACTTTGTCAAGTTCGGCAAAAGATTCAGGTATCTCTCCACTCAAGTCATTGTAACTCAAGTCTCTACAACAACGAAGATAAATAAATGAAATTGTTTTATGTAATGAAAGGCATAATTTTTTATACAGAAAATTCATTTATCTTCAACTCTAAGATCGTTATAAAGATAAGGATGCTCTACATTTTCATGTGCATGAAGGCTTTATACCTGTCTTTATAATCTTCCTTCAGAATTCACAAATTTCATTATTATTCAAACAAAGTCTATATTTGAAGTTCAAGAGAGAAAAATGAATCATTAGAGGAACGAACAGCCATTCAACATTGAAAAATTCAAGTACAGTTGAAAGACTAAAACATTTATCTGTTTCAGTTTTTCCCCGCAAGAAATCCAAGGTAAAGTACATTCATGGGAGGAGAGATAAGACTACTTAAGGTAAAATTACTAGTTTATACCCGATGTATACCACTGCTTGCTTTCTATAGTTTCTTAGACTAGAGCAAACTGCTTTTGGGCTACATTTTCTATATAGTTGGGTAGAAATAAGATCCAGGATATAATTGTTCTCTTCTACGAACTATTTCATAGACTTAGCTATTTTTAGATCAGGATTAATAAGAAAATAATTTAGCTGATTTGTTTCCTGCTTCTTAGACCACAATAAAATGTTAGTTTCGATTTCCTCAATGACTTTTAATGCTTGCTTGTAATTTTTCTGCTACTTACATTGGCCTTTCCAAAGATCAAGGTCCGCTGCATGCTCCTTGATTGAAATGAAACTGAACAAGTTAAGATGAGCTTTTTATTTTCAAAAAAAGAAAAAAGAGGTACTAAAAAAAGAGATAAGGTCACAATCTCTCGTCGTTCCTATCATAGTCGTTTTTTGTCTCCTTGTCTTGAAATTTTAGTTTATGATATGAATTTATTAGTTTACTGTTTTCTAGCATTACAAGCTTTTGCTTCTCTCTGAATGAAGTTTAGCGCTAATTGGTAACTACGGGGTAGTTAAGGGCTATAAAAAAGATATAACCCTAATTGACCTACAAAAACTTGTACCTGCAGAAACTATATGATATGGTTCTTAATAGATCCAATTAGAAAACTAGGAATCTCACTAAGAAACTCGAAGAATTCTTGGAAATTCAGATAACTCTAGGAAAGAAAAAGTTCAGAGGATTTATTATCAAGAAATGTTTGATACAATATAGAGAGAAGCAAGAATGATTTTCTTTTCAAAAAAAGATCCCCACATTGGTTGCAGCCAGCTATGTTTTATAGCTACAACCAAACATTAAGCGGAAAAGGTAGTTACTAACTACCTTAACTACCTATCAATGCCAGCTGTCAATTACAACAGATATACTAATTACAACAATTACAACAAATATACTATAACAGCTATAACATTTCTCTCTCCTTCAAAAAATCCTTGTCCTCAAGGATGGAAGTCTGGATATTTCTTCAGCAAGTCATAATAAAATTCCGATGTCGAGTCTTCTACTGCTTGATCTCTCCACTTAACTAAGACTTTTGTGGCTGCTTGTCCTTTCCTCTTGACAAAAGTGCAGTCCAAAATGGCTTCAGGTTCTTTAGCCCCAAAAACATTATTTGAAGTAGTAGGTAGAATCGATGAAGTAATTGTTGGTCCAACATGTTTCTTCAATTGAGATACATGAAAAACATCATGTATTTTTTAACTTGTGGGCAACTTTAGTTTATAAGCAACTGCTCCTATTTTGTCTACCACCGGGAATGGACCAAAATACTTTGGAGCTAGTTTTTCATTTCCCCTTTCCACCACTGAGACTTGCCTGTAAGAATGTAGCTTTAGATAGACTAAATCTCCAATTTTAAACTGTCTATCAGTTTTGTGTTTATCTGCAATTTGCTTCATTCTTTCTTGTGCCCTTCTTAAATGGAATTTTAGCAGTTTGAGCATCTCTTCCCTCTTAGTAAGACTTCTGTCTACTAAGTCAATTTTTGATTCACCAGGAAGATAGGGAAGATAAGTAGGAGGTGGCTGTCCATAGACTATTTCATAGGGAGTAGCATTGATGGCTGGGTGAAATGTGGTGTTATACCACCACTCAGCAAGAGGCAGCCACTGAACCCAATGAGAAGGAGTGTCACTACACATACATCTCAAGTAAGTTTCAAGACATCTATTAACAACTTCAGTTTGCCCATCAGTTTGGGGGTGATAGGAAGTAGATAATTGTAGATGGACTCTTTGTAAAGTCATGAGTTCCTGCCAAAATTTGCTCACAAACACAAGATCTCTATCACTGGTTATAGATTCAGGATATCCATGCAACTTGAATACCTGATCTATAAAAGTTTGAGCAACTGATTGAGCTGTATAAGGATGGGATAATGTCATAAAATGTGCTGCCTTACTCAATCGGTCAACTACCACTAAGATGACCTGCTTTCCTTTCGAAATTGGTAGACCATCAATAAAATCTATTGAGATGTGCTGCCATACTTGACCTGGAATTGGAAGAGGGTGCAACAATCCAAGTATGGTGTGGTTTCATACTTGCATTTCTGACATACAACATAATGCTTGATGAACTCTTGCACATCTTTATTCATTCCTCTCCAATACACTACAGACTTAATTGTTTTTAGTGTAGCATTTCTGCCAGAATGACCTCCCATTGCAGAGTTGTGCATCCATTGAATGAGGTCATTTCTCAGTTGTAAGTCTCTGCCCACCACTAGCTTTCCTTTCCTCCTGAGATCAGTACCATTCCATTGATGATGTCTATGTGAATTCTTATTCTCCTGCTATTGTTGTATTAATTTTTGTACTTCTGTGTCTTGAGTGCAAGAATTTCTGATCCTATTAATTAGATCAGATTCCATAGTATTTGTGACTAGAGTATAGTAGTCTCCATGTTCTAGCCTTGAGAGGGCATCAACAACTACATTATCTTTGCCTTCTCTATATTCAATGGAGAAATCAAATTCCATCAATTTCACTAGCCATTTCTGCTGGAATGCGGTAGATAACCTCTGATCTAGAATATATTTCAGACTTCTATGATCAGTCTTGATGAAATGCCTATTGAGTAAATAGTATCTCCATTTCTGTACTGCAAACACCACAACCATTAATTCTTTCTCATAGGTGGATAGGGATTGCTGTTGCTGGTTCAAGTTTCTGCTTATAAAAGCAAGTGGATGATGATCTTGCATAAGAACAACACCTATACCATAACAAGAAGCATCAACCTCCACTACAAAGGTTTTATCAAAACTTGGTAATGCTAATACTGGAGCTTCAGTCATAGCATGTTTCAGTAATTGAAAAGCATCCTTAGCTTGGCATGTCCAACTGAAATTGTCTTTTTTTAGTAATTCAGTTAATGGTTTGGCTATGCTACAATAATTCTTCACAAATCTTCTATAGTAGCCAGTGAGTCCTAGGAAACCCCTCAGTTGCTTGACATTTTGCGGAAGTGGCCAATCAGTAATTGATTTAATTTTCAATGGATCAGTTGAAACTCCTTGGCTTGAGATAAAATGCCCCAAATATTCTACTCTATCCACCCCAAAGTAGCATTTAGATCTCTTAGCATATAATTTATTTTGCCTCATAATCAAAAAAACTTCCGTGAGATGTTGAATATGGTCAGCCAAACTTTTGCTATATATCAAGATGTCATTAAAGAAAACTCTGGAGAATTAGATTAACTGAAATATGATTTTTTATTATTTCAATACAAAGAGATGATATAAGATATATATAGGAGACCTAAGCTATTTTAGGAAATATAATAACTCTATTTTATGCTAGGATCCCTTGATTTATGGGATTGTTCCTAATTATTCAAATCTGTACAGATTACAAGGAAATATACAAATTTCCTGATTTATTCTTTCCTAAAATACTATTTGATTTCCCACACTCCCCCTCAAGCTGGTGAATAGATGTTTTCCATTCCCAGCTTGGATACAATCTTCTCAAAATTATGGCAGCCCAGTCCCTTGGTAAGAATGTCGGCAATTTGGTCTTGAGAGGACACATATGGAGTGCATATCAAGCCACTATCAAGCTTTTCTTTGATGAAGTGTCTGTCTTCTTCAATATGCTTTGTTCTATCATGTTGCACTGGGTTGTGGGCTATACTGATTGCTGACTTATTATCACAATAGAGTTTCATAGGTTCTTCCCAATTTATCCTCAAGTCTTCTAAGATGATTTTAAGTCATAACAACTCACATAACATAAACTTGTCCTCCTTTCCTTGAGGAGCCTCCTTTGTGTCCCCCTTCTCGATCTCGGTTTAAAGGCTTCCCATGTAACTTCCAACACTTCTCTCGGGTATGACGAGGTTTATTGCAGTAGGTACACCAGAGACCATCACCTTTCTTCTCCACATTTGCTGATCCTCCTTTCTTCTGTTCGGTTACCATGGCCAAAGTCTGATCTCCTTTATGGTCCAGTGCTGAGTTCTCTACTGTTGGACTCTCTAACATGAGACCCCTTCTACTTTCTTCACTTCTCACAATAGCCACCACTTCATTGAGGCATGGTACCTTTTGCTTCCCCAATATTTGAATCCTAACTTGATCAAATTCAGGATTCAAACCAACAAGGAAATCATAAACTCTGTCTTGTTCGATATACTCCTTGAGAAGTGCTTGAATCTTCAGTACATTTGGCTTTTATGACTCTATAATGGTCTAGCTCCATCCACAATGATTTCAGCTGATTGGCATATTCCGTAACAGTCTTGTTCCCTTGTTTTGTCGCCAAAGTTTTCACCTTTACTTCATATACTTGAGCAAGCATCTTTGGCTTTAGAGTAGGTTTGCTCTACGAGCATCCCAAATATCTTTTGCCGAATTAAGGAACATGCAGGTGTCGCCGATTTCCGGAATCATTGAATTCCACAGACCACGCCATGATCATTGAATCTTCTTCATCCCATGTAGTAAACTTGGGATCCTCCCGTTTAGGTCCAAACTCCATCGGGTGACTCAACTTCCCCTTTCCCTTCAACACTCGTACGAACAAGTTGGGCCCACTTCAAATAATTTCTTCCATTTAGTCTATATGTAGAATGAATATTCTCGAGTACTCAGATTGCTTGGGATTGGGTATTCCTCGTTTCGGGTTTGGATTCACAACTTCCTCTTCCCTTGACATCATAGCAAGGAGGTGTGATGCGGCAGCAATGCAGTCTGCCGTCTTAGGGTTAAGAAAAATGCAAGCAGCAATGCAGGTCGCCGTCTTAGGGTTAAGAAAAATGCAGGCAGCAATGGAGGCTGCAGTCTTAGGGTTAAGAAATATGCAGCAGCAATGTAGGCTGCCGTCTTAGGGTTAAGAAATATGCAGCAGCAATGTAGGCTGCCGTCTTAGGGTTAAGAAATATGCGAGCAGCAATGGAGGCTGCCGTCTTAGGGTTAAGAAATATGCAGCGAGCAATGCAGTGCCAGTCTTAGGGTTAAGAAAAATGTAGCAGCAATGCAGGCTGCCGTCTTAGGGTTAAGAAATATGCAGCAGCAATGTAGGCTGCCGTCTTAGGGTTAAGAAATATGCAACAACAATGTAGGCTGCCGTCTTAGGGTTTATCGCGCGCAGACATAGCTTCCTAGATCGGAAGCTCTGATACCATTTGGAGAATTAGATTAACTGAAATATGATTTTTTATTATTTCAATACAAAGAGATGATATAAGATATATACAGGAGACCTAAGATATTTTAGGAAATATAATAACTCTATTTTATGCTAGGATCCCTTGATTTATGGGATTGTTCCTAATTATTCAAATCTGTACAGATTACAAGGAAATATACAAATTTCCTGATTTATTCTTTCCTAAAATACTATTTGATTTCCCACAAAAACCAATAAGAACTTTCTGATAAAACTCTTGAATACAAAATTCATAAGACCTTGAAATGTGGCTGGTGCATTAGTAAGGCCAAAGGGTATAACAATATATTCAAAATATCCATTGTGAGTCTTGAAAGCAATTTTATGAATGTCCTTTGGATCCATTCTGACTTGATGGTATCCATCTCTAAGATCAATCTTAGAAAAAATTGTTGAACCATGCAACTCATCCATTAAGTCTTCAACGAAGGGAATTGGAAACCTATCTTTCACTGTTCCTTTATTTAATTCCCTATAATCAACACATAGCCTCCAAGTTCCATCTTTTTTCCCAACCAGCAGTACAGGACTGGCAAAAGGATTACTATTGTTTTGTATCAAACCAGAATCCATCATTTCTTGAACTAAATTGTCAATTATATCTTTCTGATTTCTAGCATATCTATAGGGTCGTTTATTGATAGGATCAACCCCTTGTAATAATGGAATTTGATGATTATGACCTTCTCTCATAGGTGGTAGTTGTTTAGGTTCTTCAAAGATATCAGTAAAAGTATCTAAAAGTTGCAAGATGTTTGTATTAATGGATACCTGGTCAGCATGAGTAGTGAGGTTTTGAAGTAGAACTCCCTCCTGTTGAAAATTTTGAATCATGGAAATATGCACACCATTCAACAATGTTTTCTCTATATGTTGATTTCTGACAGTTTTGACTCCCATAGTATGTAATACTCTTATAACATGTCACTTTTCTTTGACCATAAACTCCATTGTTAGCTTGTCAAAATTCCAAGTAATATCACCGAGTGTAATCAACCATTCTATTCCTAACACCATATCACAACAACCCAGCGACAGTAATAACATGTCAGAAGAAAAATTGTTATGCTGCAATGACCATGCAAAATTCCTAATTATGGAGTTAATCTGTAGTTTGCTACCATCAGCAACTGTTACCAACAATGGGTCAACCCTTTCTATCTTGCAACCCAGCTTTTTAGCTACTTGAATATCCACAAAGTTGTAAGTACTACCACTGTCAATTAGGATGTGCAATGGCTTCTTCATGTACCTCCCAGTAACTCTCATTGTTCTGAAATTAGCTACACCAGTTAGGGCATTTACTGAGATTTGTGGAGTATTGTTATACGCTGTGTTTTGCTCCTGATCAGCATTTCCATCCCCCTCCGAATCTTCCTCATCTACCTCAATCAAATGAAATTGAGCCTTCTTATGAGTTAGGTTGTGCTAAGGTGACTATTTCTCATCACAAAAATAACATAAGTTCTTAGCCCGTCTTTCATTGATATAGGCTGGAGTCAATTTCTAACCTGACAACAGTTTTGTTCTGGTTGTAGCCAAATTAGAATCACTAAATTGGCTTGGTCTAGGTCCCAATATAGACTTGGTTATTGGTGGTGGTTTGGGTCCCTTCCCTGTCGCACTGGAAGACTCATACAGCTTAGCCAATGTATAAGCTTTCACGATAGATTTAGGTTGAAACATTTTGATCATCATCTGAATATCTTGTCTTAGGCCTCCCAAAAAATAGCTAAGTGTATATTCCTCTGAAAGATATAATCGAGTAATTATAGCATCAAAGGCTTCATGATAATCACTAACAGACCCCGTTTGTCTCAATTTCATCAATTCTCCCATAGGATCATCACAGACTTCTCCGAATCTATCAATCAACAATTGTACATATTCATCCCAAATTGGCCATGCATGATACCAAGTGGATTTCAAGTAACCATGATACCACTGTAATGCCTTGCCTTCGAAGTGGACCACATCTAATTTCACTTTTATATCATCAGGTGTTTTATCAATTGCAACATAAGTTTCACATTGATATAACCACTACTGCACATTATCCCCATTGAATCGAGGGAAATCAATTCTTGGAAGCTTAGTAACACAAGAATAATGTGAGGATGATTTTTCACTTGAATGCGAATGGTTCTTATGTACACCCTCGTCAGAACCCTGAAGAGGCCTTTCCTTTTGATGCAGAATATCCTCAATAGTTTTCTTCAATGATTCACCCAAAGATTGTTGAATAGAATCTGCGACTTCCATCAGTCGTAACTCTAATTTCTCTGTAATGCGTTTCTCCAAACGATCCTCCGCTTCCCTAATCGCTACTTGCATACGGGTTGCTTCAGCCATTGTGGAAATAAAAAAGTGCAATAGCCACCGGATCGAACGTAGCTGATACCAATTGATATGGTTCTTAATAGAACCAATTAGAAAACTAGGAATCTCACTAAGAAACTCGAAGAATTCTTGGAAATTCAGAGAACTCTAGGAAAGAAAGAGTTTTGAGGATTTATTATCAAGAAATGTTTGAGACAATACAAAGAGAAGCAAAAATGATTTTCTTTTCAAAAAAAGATCCCCGCATTAGTTGCAGCCAACTATCTTTTATAGCTGCTACAAAACATTAAGCGGAAAAGGTAGTTACTAATCGCCTTAACTACCTATCAATGTAAGCTGTCAATAACAACAGATATACTATAACAGCTATAACACTATACTTATAAAACTAGATAAAATTATAAATTATTATTACGAACATAGTGTCAATATTATATGCAAAACTGATCAAGACAACATTGAACTGATTCTATGAGATATTCTCAAATGGAACAAGATCCTCAAAGTAATTATTATGTAGTCAAAAACTGTTGAAAGTTGTTGAACAACTTACAAGATTTTTAGTTTTTCCATTCTCCCAATATATTCTGGGATTTTTCCTTTAATCATGCATTTCCTCAATACCCTGCATTATGATGTCCAAGTAAAATATTGGTCATTTTGTAAGAACGTCAAGAGAAAGAAGCATTTCAGTCATCGAACTTACAGTGTCTTCATGGATTTCAAGTTATTAAGTGGTGGGAATGATGAGCTTTTATTACCTATTAGGTCAGTTATCCTCCTACGTATCAAAGAATAAACAAAAGAATCACTTGACATATTCACCTTCTATTATCCTAACATTAATCAAATAAATAATTACAAACATACAAATCACTTAAACTTGTCAAAGCAGAAATGCTTGAAGGTATTGGCCCCTCAAGAGAACAACCGTGCATATGCCTGTAATCCCAAAAGAAAGGAGTTGGCATGATAAAGTATAATGTATATGACATAAAAAAAATGAGATAGGAGACTTACAGCTTTTCTATCACTGTCCAATTACTAATGAAATCAGGTATCTTCCCAAAGAAATTATTGTCGCTTATCCTCCTAAAATTTGTTTCCAAAAGCTTAATCATCATGCAAAGAAATGTTTAATTTCAGTTGTGACAACAATAAAAAGAACATAAGTAATAGATAAAGCTACAAATTCTTTAGTTTTGTAGCTCCTTGTAGGAATTATTTCAGAACCCTGCAGTGACTTGCCTTACCACCCTTATTAAAAACAATCAAAGTGGTTCATTTGTGCATCTTTTACTGTCAGGGACCGTAACCATGTGCTTGATGTTAAAATTAATTTCTTCATTAATTCATTTCTTGCAGATTATAGATAACTTAGATTGATAAGAACTTACAAATCAATCAACTTGGTCAACTTGGAAAGTGCGGGTGGCAATGCTCCGGTGAATCCATTGGATGATAGAATGCTAAAAAACATGTTTTAATTTATTCGGTTAAAACACACTACAGAGTAATATATTAGAGGGGAAATAGAAGCAGATATTGACATTTGAAATTTCCAATAAGCACAACAAGAATAACATAAGAATTACAGTTTTTCTAAATTGATCAACTTCTCAATCTCTGTTGGAATGTGGCCTGAAAATAGATTTCCTTCAATACTCCTGTAACATTCATACAAATATTTAAATTATACAAAGCTGCAGAAATAAATTGGAAATTATACTAAACCAGCAATCCTGAATGAAACCAAACTTTCTTTAGGTAAAACCAAAGGTTTTGGTAGGACGTAAAAGCTACCTTAGATATACCAAACTTATTTTTCACTTTTCTCTAAACAATTTTCGAACTATTACTATGCTGAGTCACCAAGTCAACAAACAATTCATTCTAAAATAAAGAAATTATTTCAACATACAAGTTTCTGAGGGTTGTGATATTGGTGAGAACTTGAGGGAATGGCCCAGATAATCTGTTTCCCATTAAAGAGCTGCATATTCAATTAACAACATGAATCTTTAGTTTGACTCGCAAGTCTCAAGACTCTTACTTAAAAAGAGGAAATTGAAGAGACAATGCAGACAAACCAAAAAGTGCCAAGCAGAAAGTTCTTACATCTCAACCAAGCGCATGGTAGCCCACTGTCGAGGTATAGAACCAGTGATGACGTTACGACTGAGGTCCCTATTTGAAAGTGCAAGATAAAGTTAGTGGACTCACCATTCCATAAGCATATATATATATATGGATGACATGGGAACGTCATGCAATGAGAAGAATCATAACTTCAAATTGAGGTTTTGGTTATCTTACAATTGTGTGAGATAATGAAGCTTGGAAAACTCTGGTGAGAGACTCCCAGACAGATTCTGAGCCTTCAAGGATCTGTTTATTTAGAACATGAAATTAAAACCAGAAACTTGGACTTTATTCGGTGTTAACAATTTAATACGATCATTCCAAGATATCCAACCAATAACAAGTACGTGAAAGTACAAAAAAAAAATGTTGTGATTCCTTAATCATTGAGTACAAAAGTTATGAATTCCTAAGAAACAATTTTTTTTTTTTGCCTATATTTTTTGTCTTTGACTGTTTTCTGACACTAGTAGTGATTAGTACCATTTATAGTCATCAACTGTAGTGTTTATTAAACTATACCCGTTCTTAAATATTTTAACAAAACACCTTACTTTTTTACTAGACACAGTCTCATGTAACAAATAAACAAACAGTTTGAAGCAAAAACATCAACGTATAGCTCAACAGATGAAAACTTAGAATTTACAGTAAATAGAGACAAGAAAAAATAATAAAATTTTGTTGTCACAGACACACACACACCTAAATAGAAAATAAAGACAGAGACAGCACATCCTTTTCTTTTAATTTTCAAAGTCAAAGATTTGCAACTTGCATCGGGTCGGTTGTTCTGTCGAGAGCCTATCTTGTCTAAATTTCAAACATAATTTTTTGTGTATTAATGAGTTCGTTTTTGAACATAATAAAATTAAACTATGCATGGTATGTGTAATTTTTTTTTTTTGTCATTTACTTATTTTTTTATTTTTTTTTCATTTATTATTTTAAAAATATAGTCCAGTCCAAGATCGTTTACTCTTCTCATTTAGACCAACGCGGTGTTTTGACGAACCACAACCACAAAAATACGCATCATTAAGATTCGCTATAGTTTAGAAAAGCAGAATATGCGCACTACAAATTGAAGATATTCATGATAAAAAGAAAAGTATATTAGGAAAACGCCAATTACCCTATTCTTCCTTTTCTGCTTTAACTTAAAAAGTTCTTGGAATCCAGCAAAGAAAATATGATTTTTACAACTGAACAACTTTTTTCTTATAAAAATAATCTGTAACAACACTAAGGTTTGATGGTAACTTCAGTAGCTGTCTGTAGTAAAAAATAAAATTGAAGCAATATGGTCGTGAAAATTAACTTAACAAAAGTAGAAGAAAATTCTCTTCATCTTCCTAAGCTTACACGTGATTCCATGTGGTTATCTTCCATGATTTAAGTTCTTGAAAACACGAAGAATCTATTGGGATTGGAACAAAAATTTGATTGAATCAAGAGAGAGAGAGAGAGATCTTTACATGCTTACAACATGGCAAGAAGTATTGTTATTGAAGGAGCAATCACACATCACAGAGGTCTCAAATCCTTTTCTATCATCAGAAACGTTCCAATTCCCTTTTCCACTGCAAGGATCCACTCCAAAGTCCCAATCCTTCTTCCTAATCTTGCTCCCAATCTCCTTCAATGCATTCACTGTACACAATTCAACCAAACAACTTCATCAATCAGAAAAAAAAAAAAAAAAAAAAAAAAACATTCTAATGAATCTTAAGGTGCTACATATGCTCATGCTTATCAATCTTGTGCTGTGATGAAATGAAACAACCAATCCATGGTTGTTTCCCTGTACATAGATCCAAACAAAAGAATTGAGTGAGACAAGACAACTTTTGACTCTGCCTTACTTGACAACTCTATGTTCCAAAAAAAATGGGAAATTAGTAGTAGGATTGTAAACAAATGTCATGAAGAAAGAACTGATCTGAAATCTGATAGAAGCACAAAAAGTGTGTGAACAGAAATGAGGGGAGGAATGAGTTTTACCCTCTCGAGTGTTGAGCTTGGGAGTGGCTGCAGAAGCCAAGTGTGAGAGGAAAATGAATGAAGACGAAGCAAGGAGGAGTAAAAAGAACATCCTGGAATAACCCAAGTTGGGCTCCATGAATGTGTTTTCACCTCCTGGAGAGTGGAACTGTTTGGTTGTGGAAGCAAGAAGAAAATGATAGAGTGAGAGTCAGAGACTATTATAAAAGATGAGTATTGAGGGTGGGTTGCATAAATGGTGATGTTGTTGCTGGCTACTGTACTCTGGGTGGGAGCATGTGACAAAAAAATAGTATGCCAAATCCAATGACTATTTATATAGTGATTTGCTTGTGAAAATTGCAACTTTCAAGGAGAAAACCAACTTGTGATCCAAACATAAATCCAGCTTTCATTCCACTTATATTTTTAAGACATCTTCTATTCTTAGAACTGTTTGATTGGATAACTAATTTAAAATATGATTTTTATAGTATTTTTTTATAAATTTTGATAAGTTAATTATTATAATGATAATGATTAATTAGTGTAAAATTATTTTCACTATTATTAGTAAAGAGCTTCTTTTTTTTTTTTCTAAACCCTAATATTATATTGCTTTGAGGATAAACCACACCACCCAATCTTGATACTTTAAGCATAAACCATTAAGCCCAATTTTATTACTTCAAGCATAAACCAAAAAAACTTGGAAGGAGGAACGGGGTTTGCAATCCTCACATGCGAAACGTGCGTTTGAGGTGTGAATGAAAAAGCACAGAATTGGACCGGTGAATGCATTCAAGCGACGGATCGTTTAGTTGAATCAGTGTAATGGAGAATCGGTTTAGAAATTAACTTGTTACGTTTATATAATTTTAATAAAATTGGGATAAAACTAAAAAAAATTAGAATAGAATTTAAAAAATTAAGATATAATCGAAAATATGAATTAAATTTTTGAATTGAATCTGATAAAAAAAATTAAATTTAAAATATTTTAATATATTTTTATTTTATTTTAATAATTATTTATCTTATATTTTTTAATATATTTTATATTTATAATTTTAAGAAGATAATATAACTTAATATCACCGTATAATTAAAGGTAATTATAATAATATTTTTTATTATTTTTTTTTATAAAAAAATGTTATTATAATAAATTTATTATATATTTATTATACTATAAAAATATTCTTTAATTCGATTGAAACTTTAAATTTATCGATTGAATGATTTTAAAAATATTGATCCAAATAATATATCTATTACCTTCCCTGAGTAGAAAATAGGAAAGAAAAACTTGAAGAATATATAAAATTAAATATAATTGTATAACCATTTTAATTGTACTTTTAATGGTTTAATTTATTGTATATATAATTTTGATCCATGTAGTTTTAATGGTTGCATATATTTGAAAAATGACAATATTTGTCTTCATGTTTTAATTACTTGATTTCGATATACATATTTAAAAATAAGGGTTAATTTTTTATCCAATTTCTAAAATTATACGATAATATAATTAATTTAAAGTTAAAGTGTAACTTTTGTGTTATTTTACTTTATTTTATATACAATTGTAATTCATAATTTATTTAATGCTACATTCTTTAATATTTTAGATTAATTTGTAAAAATTAAATAAGCAATCTGTAACAGTGTAATTTAAAACAAATTAGCATATTATCGCATTATATATATGTGTCATGCACAGATGTGGACAATCCAAGTGAATTATACGATAATTTGTTTCTTTCAAATTTAAATTAAAATATTTAATATATTTAAAATCTCTTATTTATGTGTTATTTACAACATGTTGTATGATAAATAAATTGAAAAAAAATGTAAAATTTTGGCATAATTTATATAAAAGCTAAGTTCAAATATTATTAATAAGAAAAAAATATTTATATATATATATATATAACTTAATATTAAAACACCTTTAATTTAGATTTAAACTTTCTATTTTTTATTTTGATATTGGTTAATGTTGACATCTAAATTAAACTTTGAAGAAACCTAAGAAGATTAAAGAATGGACTAAAAGAAAAGATAGTGATAGAATTTTTTATATTTTAACATTAACTTTCCAATTCTAGGTATAGGATTCTTTTATTTAAACTCCTTTGTAAGCTTCATACATTATCTTATAAAAAAAGTACCATATTTATGTTATTAACATATTCATTAATAGTATTAGTAGACAACATTTATTTAATTTGATTTCTAATTTGGCAACTCCAACGTTTTTCGTTCGTTGACAAGAAACATGTTGTAAGATGAGAATTCATCGTTAAAATGAATTTGGGTTATTGGATGGTAAAAAAATATTGAGAAAGAGGAATGTCTTTTTGCCATTGTCCTACGTGTGATTCTTGATAAGGTAATCATAATAACTCTGGTGGGGAAGAAAAAGAAAGTAACGTTTTTGTGGCGTTTTGTAGAAGAAGATAGCGTGTGGGGACAAATCTCAGACCTTCATCATGTGTGCCCCACATAACTCATACAATAACGCGTTTCAGGGAATAAAATACAACTATCTTAAAAACTCAACTATTTTCATAAAATTATTTATTTTTTACTTGACAAATCAATCATAAAAAAATAATAAAAAATTGATCCTCGTAAAAAACTCATTCAGAATTTAACTATATATAATATGAATAATTATCATAAAAACTGTCAAAGAAAATTAAATTAGATAATGTTGATATCGAATTCGTCTAGATTAAAAAATTTATTTATTGTAAATAAAATTGAATTAAACTATGTATTACAATTTATTTTTCAAAAACGAATCGCTTTATAACTCATGAAATTGAAAAATTTCGGTTGAAATTTTTATAATTTAGTCAATACATTTTGTCCTATCAAATCAGTCTATGAATTGAATATGTAGATTTTTGGCTAATTTTTTTTATTGACATTTCTAACTGTCACTATAAAGCAATCTAGTCTTGAATCAATTTTTAATTTTCATAATTTTAGTTTGTGTAATATTTTTTTTTTACATAGTAATTAGTATTATTAGGGACATTATTCAGACATAGTTTACTTTCATATATAAAGTCACGTCACCAAGTTGAACCACTTCATTAAAGAATATGCAACGATATTAATTATGTCGGTGGTGAATGTTATACAGCGTTTAAATAAAGTATTTCATAATATTTTAAAATTTTAAATATATTTAATTTGACTTTTTTTTATTTAAAAATGATTGAATTTTTAAAAATGATTTATTTATATTAAACCATTCAAATTAAACTAATCAAATTAAACTAGGTTGGGAAGTTAAAATAAATTATGTCGTGTTTGTCAATATTAAAATCAGTTGGATTACGATAAATCAGGTTGAATCGAGTCAAATTAAGGTAAGTTATGTCCGATTATATAGAATCGAGTCGGATTAAGGTAAGTTATGTCAGATTATATAAAACAAATAAAAATAAAATAGGTTGAATAAGGAATAGACGATTAATTGACCCAAACTAATATGAGTTAAATTAAATCAAACATATTTTTGTTAGTTAGATCAAATCTAATTAAGATGGGTTACATCAAGTTATGACATGGGATGGGATGTCAAAATGAGTTGGGCAAAATTAAAATAGATTGAATCAAACTAATACTAAACCAAACCAATTAAATGGATAGAAATCCGATTCAAATGGTTTGAATATGATCACACCAGTTAAGCTAAAGATAAAAATGTATAAAGAAAAAACAATTTTAAGAGAAAAAATTAAAATTATGTTTTTTAAGTGAAATTTAAAATGATATTATTTTAAATAATTAAAATATTTTCATCCATTTTTAAAAGTTTAACTAATTTTTTTTTAAATAACCAATTTTATCATAAATTTTTTTAATTGTTCTATTAAAATAAATTACTCTTTGATATTTTATAAAAATAAATTATCCCTTATAAATTCTAATTAAAATGTTTTTATAAAATATTAATTACACATTTGATAATTCAAGTTCAAAATTACACCATAGTTAATAATAATAAAAAATTTGTTGAAGAGGACATTTGAAAGGTAGTGGAGTGATGTAAAGTGTGTGCAAGAGTAAGTGCATGCATAATTAAGGTTGACTGACATGCCAGCTATGCACAACGCAGCATTCCATTTTGGACTCTGCTGTTACTCTCTCATCCATACCATGCTCCTTCTTTTGACCCTTTCCAATATTCTGGAAGTCACCATTCAACTTTATTTTGCTATCATATGATTGTTGTTTAAGTTCATGGATCTTCAATCTTGAGTCTGGACCTAGATTATAAGTTAAGGCCCAATAAGCTACTTCTGAACTTTCATGGCCTTGTTATTTCACCACCCTTCATAAGGTACTTTGCATGATCAAGTATCAAACATTTGTTATATATTTGTATAAAAGCATTAAGTTATTCATACAAAATTAGTATGATTTTATGACAATTATGATCATTACATGACTATTGTAATAATAAAGGAATTTGAATTTGTTAGTTGCGTGTAGTGTTTGTTTAATAGCCTTATGAACTCACAGTTACATGCCACATAATTAATAAACAAAGATTTTATATAATCTTATTATTGAAAGAATAACTACTTTACGTATTAGTTAAAATGTTACCATCGAAACAATTACGATGAGAAACTGTTTTATTCTCTTCTTTGTCTGTAATAACAATGACAATGAATATATGAATTGCTTGTAACTAAAATCTGATGAGATTATTTTTACAAGGACTACTAGCCATAGGTAGGTAGATAGACCTTAATTTTGAATGAGAGCTGCATATAAGAGCAAATTCCAAGTATCAGGAACACCGGGGAGGCACCAGTGGCTGCAATCCATGCTTCTTTTTCCACCATATCCATATACAGATGGGTGACCATCTTTCCTCATCTGTGACAATGTAGTAATATTCAGTAAATTCACATGCTTTGTCATGCCTCCTAGCACCTTCTGTAACACTATTTCAGCTGGGTGTGAACCTCCTGGATACGTTAATCCAGACACTGGCACCATTTGCCCCTCACAGAATCTCGCCTTTGGCTGCCCCCATTTTGCTGCACTGCATTAATTCAGAGACACTGAGGGTGAATTGAAATTCTCCAAACTTGTACAAAATTTCTTTTTACTTTTCTATCACCTTAGCTTCTCTTTCTCTATCTTATGATGAATAGTGTCATTTTAGTAAATATATTTTGAAAATTTAAATATGGTTATCAATGACTATATATATGCTTATTTCATCTCAGTATTTAGTGGTAGTGGGACAGATACACACTTGAGATGATCTGGAGAGACTCCTTGGAAGAATACCCTTGTTTTGTTAGGGTTAACATTGTCTTCAACCCATTTGGCCCATGTTTTCAAGCCTTTCTCGTATGCAACCAAGCGATCCATGTCCTTGTATGTCTGGTTTCCTTCTTGAATGAAATCCCATCTGCAAAACCAAACATGATGTTAAGCATGCATGTGGTTATTATAGGATAATGTCTCTATACTGACATACTCTCACTGTGGAGTTTTACGTACGGTTGTTTTCTTCCTATGTGAAGCCACCAATGCCAAGAGTCGAATATCAGTATATCATTTCCTTTCCACTTTTTTCCATCTTCAATTGAATCTAATTTCAGGACTCTACCAATACTTTCACTTGCAATATCCACCAAAAATGCGTTACGGGAAAGCATCAACTTAACATCATAGCTCTGCATATTATATATGTGGCATTCAAACAATGAATGATGGGATATTTGACAGAGAACCGTCAAAAGTTTCAAAATTAATCCAATAATATAACATTTAATTTTTTTTATGCAGAATACGGACCAAATATGTTTCTAGACATACTTTATCAAATATGTCGATACAAATATGAATGAAATCAAAGAACTGGCTAGAAATTAATATAATCCAAGTGGTTCTAGAACAAAAAAATGCTATACTGAGACTGATGGAGCTATAACTGCAGCTGTTAGATTGTATAATTAACTTTTTTATTTTAAAATTTATACGATACTGATATATAGTTGCTACAGCATCAATTTAAAACCACAGATACTAGCTTTAACATTGATGATAATGGTGTAGATAATAAATTGTGCTAATTAGACATATTAAAAGTATATTATTAAAAATTCTAGAGTAAATTAAGAAACTTAATTAATATATGTCATAGATTGATATCAAAGTGGTAGAACACTTGATAATTTCTCAAAAGAAAAAAATAGAAACATTAAACACTGTCGTATAATTTATTGTAAGGGTTGTTAGAATATCATACATGTTTCTGCAATAATTCAATCTCTTAATGACATGAGTTATTATAGTATTATTTTTTATCTTCTCTTATCTTTAGCAGGGTGGAAGCTGGTCAAGAAGGTTGTTGGGTAGGTCATAGCAGAGGCTGTTGTTGCGTCGTCCATTGTCATGAGTTGTCCCACTTTGAGAGTTTTATTATATGATGTCTTCTTGTTAACATTCCCTTCTATAGAACTATGCTTAGGAAATTGGCCTAGAAGACCATTGCAGTAAACACGGGTCCTCTGTCAAACTAGATCAGCGCCTGATATTATAACTAATGCAAGTGTCCAAGTAACATGATAATATCATGTTACAAGAGAGTAATGGTATGATTATATTCACGTTGCGTTGAACATTAATCCATGGCCCCAACACACTCTCAAGGCATACAAATAATTATAGTATCATTTGTCATTACTTCCTTCTTTCTCTTTCATAGTACACATGTCATTGTCATATTAATGAACATGAAAAGACTAGTTTAAATCATGCAATGATTATGAATATAGAGAAGAAAGAACGAAGAAAAGTTAATTAATGTGACAAAGACCTAACCGGGAAGGTGAAGGTGGATAGACCTCCAGTCCTCACTGAGGTGTATTTGGCAGTTGGCACAGCCGTGTGAAGCATGCAAGTGAGTGATTGCCACTGATTCAAACTCAAAGAGTCCCCCACAAATAAGATACTCTTTCCTCTAAGTCTTCTCAACAAATCTTCACCATTGAATCTGTGCCCCATGCAACAATGCTCATTCAAGTCAAAGATGGTCCATTTAAAATTAATTACATGACTTTAACATAATGATATAATTGAAATGCTGCACTTAATTTTATAAATGTTGGTTGAAATATATATTAAGCCTGACATCACACCAACCGTTTGGTGTTTCACCACTTTGATTTTTTTTTATTCGAAGAAATTGAACCTATATAATAAAATGTTTAGAATAGCTCATGTTAATCAACTTATTGATAACTTTAATATATATATATATATATATATATATATATATATATATATATATATATTCTACAGTGTCTTTATGATTGGTGGTTAGCCCTTTTAAGTGGCTTAGAAAACAAGTATATGGTTTTCTCTTAATAGCAGTAACAAGTGGACCCCAAGGAAATGTGAAATCTACATCAGATGTCATATTCAAGTCCAATAATACAGAAGAAATCAAGAACTGCGTTAATCTTTTGGATGGTTAATATCAGTGTTTTTAATTTTCTGATTTTACAGAAAACATCATTATTTCACAAGATCTTCGGCCGATAAAAGATGCAGTAATTGATTGGTACTCTTCCCAGATTGTGTCCCGAAATTATAATTTGAGAGATCAAGTATTTACTGTGGTTTAATATTAATCAAACTATAGTTTAATATTGACCAAAATTAGAGTTTCACTTCATTAAAAGTAAGTATTGATTAACAAATTCAAGTCTGATCGTAAAAGGAATTCAAGAGTTTCAAAGTAATAGTAGTAGACATAGTAAGTCGTAACACATGTCAACTGGTGGAAATCTAACTTTGGGTGTCAGAAAAAGGAGGGATAAATCTGATTTGGTGGGGGAATGATCAAAGTGATGGTACTAGGCTGTGAAAAACTGCCAGAATAATGGCAAATAAAGGGTGGATGTGTACCTTGGTAAGTTGCAGTCTTTTGGTTGCCATCTGTACTTGACATAGTTTTTATCAGGACGACCATTTCTTATGCAATCAAACTCGTTGAGAATAAAGGGACATTCTGAGCTATTATAGAGAGGGTATGAATCATCAATAACCCAGTTTCCTTGAAATAAATCACAACCCCTCTTTGTTGCAGTAATTCCTCTTGCCTCTCTGTGATGACCACTCCCGTGGATATGAATGAAGAGTAAAATAAGCAGCACAATTAATATCGCCATGAGAGTGTGAAAACTGAAAACAAAGGTGGCAGAAGCGGTTGGTGGAGCTTCAACTCAATGTAAATGACATCGAACAAGGAGGCTGCATGTTTGGAGTTATTTTAGCAACTGTGATATAATGGTTGAATTGACATGAGCCAAAATGGTGATGAAATGATTAAATGCAAATGGTTACATGCTGTTCAGACATTGATATGTTAGAGGAATACAAGTGAGACAAAAGAGAGACACAAAGGAGGAAGAAAGAGAGGGAGCGATGACAGTTGAAATTGATAGAAACCAAGAATGAGAAAGAGCGTTCTGGTATATAATGATGTTTGTTCTTGAAATGCTTAAGTGGGCCTCATCACCCAAGTGTGCACTATCCAATATTAATAGTAGTTAGAAAATGAGGATAAGGAGGAAAGAATATGTCAAAAAATTTCTTTTCGGTATATGTTTCTGACTCTCTAATGTATTCCTTCATAATTTTAATTATATGTAATTACAAAAAATTACATTATAATTCTTAAGAATAAAGATCTGTAGGGGAAAATACAATTTAATTTGAAGATTTAATAAAATATAAAAAAAGTAATTGTTGAATATTTGGAGTGACGATTCATTAAAGAGATATAACATAAAAAAGACATAGATTCAACTCATATCATCATCTTCAACCTAAAATTTACTTAGTTGAGTTTTTTCAAATATATGTTATTTAATTTTCTTATTTGAGTTATGAAACAGAAATGAAAAAGATAATTTCATATTCAAACTAGCTTTATATATATAATCTATATTTCCATGATTTCCATTACTATAACTTTTTTTTTATTAATGTTTAATCTTGAATCATATTGAATACAAAAATATCTTATACTTTGATTTGATAAAAAAAATTGAGCATATATTAAATTGAAAAACATGCTGATAAGAAGTTAAAAATCATTCAAAAGAATATATCAATATAATTTTGTTACTTTTTATATTCAAACACTTAAATGAAATAAAATGCAATATGGGTATTATATATAAGAAAAATGAAAAATAACAATTAATATGAACATTGTCATTAAACCAATTTTAAGTGGAAAATCCAGAATAATTATTCATCTATACTTTATATTCATGAAAAGCAAAATAAACGGGTAATTTTTATTTTTTTCTATTTCGTTTTATCTCCATATTATCGAGATGTTCAAATACACCTTCTACATAGAATTCAATATCATATGTGTGTCAGAACTTTTAAAATCATCCTAATCAAAAGACTTCGATGAATCTGAAACTCACCATACTTATATAAATAGTCAACGATAATTCATAGTATTTTTCTTTTTCTTTTTTGATATTTCTTTGTAGGGGATTTAGGAACTAAGTTATCGTGTTCAACCATTGTTAAGGGTGAAATTTTAGATGAGTGAAGAAGGATATAAAAACTGAGGTTTAATTAATTATTCATTTAGCCATACTATAGTCGTATAAATTTTACCTGGGTTTTATTTTTATTTTTTTCTAAACACTTGGTCTTAGAGTTCTTAAACATTATTCTTAATGAATAAGAAAATCCATATTTAATTACATGTAGAAATATTAAATACATTTTAAAAACATGTACTACAATTGTCATATAATGTTTCAAATTTTTATATATTATGTTTTATGTTAACATAATTTGAGTACTATATAATTAATTAAAGATAATTTTTATGCTTTGATGAAAAGGGCAGGTTCGCATGGGATTCTCTCAAACAACCATCCTTAACTAAGTCTATTACAGGAAAGGAGACTTAAAAAAATTATGATATTAAATTTTAATTTAATACTTTAATATACAAAAAATAATTAATAAATATATAAATCATATTTTAAAAACTAAATTAGGAATATGATTTTTCCTCTACATAATTATAATTCAAATAATAATCATAATTATGAGATGGTAAAATGAGTTAACCCGTTCTGCTTTTAACTTGTCCCATTTCTAATTCTTAAAAAGTGAAATTGTTTAGCATATGTTGTTATATAATGATATTTGTATATAATTCAACTGTAAATTATAGAATACAAATATATCTATATAACTATAGATATAAAAATATGTTTGTAATAACAGAGACATAATTTTCTCGATTCTAATCGACTAGATGTATTGGGTCGATTCTTTTTAGTAAAATATCTAGATTAGAAATACTAATTGATTCCTTATTTAGACTCTTTTTATCATAATAAGTACCCTTTAAAATAATAATGACTCAGATATCTTTACCTTAGCCATGAACCTCTTTTTGGGTTTTTAAATAACTTAACTCTTTTTGAATTCGAATCAAAGAAAAAAACCAAAACAACTAAAAAAAAAGAATCATTCAAAAAATTATGAAATATTTTGTTCCAATTTAATATAGTATAAAAAATATAGCACAAAAAGAATACATTGATCTCAAATTATATTTTGTTATTTGTTGAATAAATAATATTATTTATAAAAAAAGTATAATTTTGAATTGAATAATGTGTACTATTAATCAATTCAAATAGTATATATGATATATAAATTTTAATCATATTTGTAAAAACAAAGATAAGAAATCAAAGTATCTTGGTTTTATTATCTTATTATTTATTAATCTATAAGTCTATTTTTTTAGTAAGTTACTTTGTTTATTTTTGTCCAAGTTACGTTTTTTTTTTTTCAAGTTTTTTCTCTTTTTGTCTAACTAACTTCCTTCTCTTTGTGAGTTTTGGGTATCCCCATTCATAGGTCCGAGATCCACATCTATGAATTGAAAGGTCTTAATGATCCACTATGAAATCAGTTATTAGAATCAATAGGTTTTCAAATCTTTCAATTGAAAAAAAGGAAACCCTTATTATTGGATGACCAAGATACTTCCCAAAAATTGAAATTCTTGATCAATGGAGAAACAATATCACCATTTTTGTTCAATAATATACCAAAGTGGATGATTGACTCATTTCATACTAGAAAAAATCGTAAGAAATCTTTTGATAACACAGATTCTTATTTTGATATCTCACGATGAAGACAATTGACTGAATCTTATGAAACAATTTCATATAAGTTAATTGATATACTATTTTTATAAAGCAAATGACTTTGATTCTTGAATAATCAATATCACTTATGCTTCTATTGTAACAAAAGATTCATTTTTTATGTAGAAAAGATTCGTATCAATAATTATGATTTTACCTACGGACAATTTGTCAACATCTTGTTCATTCCTAACAAAATATTTTCTTTTTGCGATGGTAAAAAAACATGTTTTTTTGAAGAGATATACCATTTCATTAACCGAGTTACAAGTATCTAACATATTGATACCTAACGATTTTCTACAAAGTGGATAGAACTTGTACAAATCTTTCTATTTTCCAATTCGTCAATCATTATATATATATATATATATATATATATATATATATATTTAATATATTTTTAATTACATGAATAATTTTAAATTTTTATATATTAAGTAATATTTTTATTAAATAAATAAAAAAATATTATATTTATATATTAAAATAACTAATTATAATTAATAATTAAATTTAATTAATTAATTTTTATAATTTAAGTTATAATACTATAATATATTTATATATTTTAATAACATAAATAAAATAAAATATTTGAAATTTTAATATATAAATATTTTTTTAAAAATCTTTTTTAGACGGAGTCGACCGATTTACGTATTTATTTTGTCTTCCTAATAATTATAATTGAAAATGGTACTTTTGTTGTGATCTAATCCTGCATAAGTGTGCTTTAGGACAAAACAGGTGAAAGCAACATTACAACACATCCTCTCAATTTATATAAATATACATTAACCCCAACAATGGAAGCCACCGTTTAGTGTTTGGCTACTTTAATTTTAGCAAAAGGAACACGAGTGTCTCTGGTAATGAAAGGGGCATGCTAAATTTATTACATATCATCCATCGTTCATCATTGTTGGTTAGCCATTTTAAGTGGCTTAGAAAACAAGTAAATGGCAAATGAATTTGGCCCACACGGTTCGAGTTACTTACTACAAATAAATCTGGACCCAATTAGAAGGAAACGTATTTCAAAAAGGATGAGATTTATGTTCTCGAAATTGTTGTTCTAGATCAAGATAGTAAAACCCACGTTTCATTCTTCATTTATTCCTTGTAATTAATTATACAAATTTTTTTAATGTGTATAACGAATTTTCTTTTACTTTTCTAGAAACCTATTTAATATTTTAGAAGAAAAATACTTTATATATTTATCCTCCATTTTTATATTAGTTCAACATAATAACTCTTTTCTTAACCATTATATTATAAAGAAATAGAATAATAAGATATACATAATCCTCTTTTTGATTCTCAATGTTATTTTTTTAATTTAATGGTCCACACTAATAATTGATCTTAATAATTATATTAAAAACAATTAATGATATAAGTGCAAAATAAATATTCAATTCTTATTTTTAAAATAAATAAATTACTTTTTTCATATTATATTATATATATAAATATTAAATTTTGATATTTTTTTCAAATTTTGAGTTGATTGCCCTATGACAAAACTAAATAACAGTGAATAAGACATCACTATAAGCTAAAGAAATAAAAACAAATTACATTATGTTATATTTGAAGTTTTAATAATAAATCACATTACTATAAATCTCCTGAGGAAATCTAATTTGAAGTTTTAACAATAAATAAAGTAATTAGATGAATGAAAATAGTGTGGACTACTCTCAACAAACCATGTTATCTGGGAGAAGTTTCTTCGCAAATTTGTCAATACAGCAGAGAGTTCGATATTGAAACTACCCTTTAATTCACCTTTACTCATAGTTATAAACATTTAAAATATTTTTATTTTACTTTTACTTTTTTAATGTTTAATATTGAATGTCATTAAAATAAATATGTTTTCCTTTGACCACATTAATACGATCAAAGGAAAAATTGACCACATTAAATTCAAGAGCATGCTAGAAAGAAAAAAATCACAGAAGGACATGAATGTAGATTTTTTAATTCGAAATTTATAATTGAAAAAAAAAAAAATTTCTGAACTTTTCATTAATGAACGGTTAATTGGAAAAAAAGAATAATCATCCATCCATAAGTGATAAGTATGTAGTATGAATTGGAATTTTTCATTTGTCACCATGTTTAATATTACGATAATAAAATAAGGCTTGTACATGAAATTCCAAAATCATAAACTGAAAAGTAGATATTGAAAGCATGATGCTAACAAAATAAGTCCAAAGTAAATATCTAAAGACAATTCATCTGCTAGAAGGTTTTACAGGTGTTACATTAACGGAGCCTAGACATGTTCTAATTGCCACTTGGATGACATGCATAGAAGTTATTGTCATGTCTTTTTCCATGATCATCATGATTGATTCTTAACGGTTCTTGAAAATAGTATAGCTGCCACAGCAACATCATCACCTGCCACAACCTTTCCTCCAACAACCCCAATGAAGCTTTGCCCTAAATTTGAACAAAAAGAAATGTTAAAAGAAGAATGAAAATCGAGATCAGATGAGGAGGAGGAGGAAGCAGCGCAAGGGCTGTTAATTATGCAGGTGCCGGTGAGGGAAACTAAATTGAAGGGTCCATGAAGAATGAAAGTGGAATTGTGAGAGTGACTTTGGCGAAGAGTGGCGTTGAGAATAGATCCCGATGCACTGAGCACGGTGATGCTAATTTGGTAGTCACGCGCGAATTGGGTGAGTGCCCCAATCACATCAGAGTTTCTGGGGACCTGAATGAAAATAGGTTTGTGGGCATGGTGGTGGTCTTGGCTGATGAAGAGGGTTAGTTTTGGTTTGTTCTTGGAGCCCACGGGCCTACCGCGTCTCCTCTTCGATGATGGTGATTTTGATCGAGAGGAAGATTCGATAGCACCGTGGGAGGTGTTTTCATCAGAGGAAGAAAATGGGGGAGAGGATAGGGGAGTTGCGCTACTGGGTTCAACCATCGTTGAGGTACAAAGATTTGAGATGAAAAAATGATGTTGATTTCGATATATAACGAGGAAGAAAGAGAAGGAGGATGAAGTTTTCTTTCGATGTTTCTTCGTACCATAGTTTCTCACAAGCTAATTAATTGGGTCCACAAACTTTTTAACTTACACTAAAGGATAGAAATAACCTATATCTAGAACATGCTTCACTTTTTTATTTTCTCCAATTAAATATCGTTACATTATTTAAAATACATTTTGTTTAATCTTATAAAAAATTAAATTGTATGTATTATTTGAGAATCATAATTTCTAGTCAAAATAAAAGTTAATAATGATATTAAACGTAATAAAATCTTACATTCATTAAAAATATAATTAAATTTTAATATAAATTTTAATAAATTTTATATGATTTTTAAATTCTGTACCTCGTTTTTATTTTTCATTTTGAAAACCATAAATATTATATGAAGTTCATATCGACTTATATATGTACTAAAAGAAACTAAAAATAATTAAATTTCAATTTTTTTAGTTCTTATTATCTAAAATCACAAGGACTGAAATATAATTACTTAAAAAAATAATTTTAATTTTAAGGATTAAAGGTGAAGTTTCTTACTTTCCTATGATTGCCTTAAAGAGACGAATCCGTGTCTGTTACATGTGCAAAGTGTAGCATGTAACAAACCACAGATAAAAAAATGAATTTAATTTTGGAAGTAAAGATAGAAAAGGAGGGATATATGCTGTGAGAAACTAACTGAAAGATATCAAATAAAGTATGCGTATGCCTTGGTCAGTTACATTCTTTCCACCGCCATGAGAGTGGAAACTGAAAACAAAGGTGGAGCTTCAACTCAATGTAAATTACAATGAACAAGGAGGGTGCACGTGCTTCCCTTTCTAATGTTCTGTGTTTGGATTTTTATTAGCAACTGTGATATATGCCAAAATGGTGATGAAAAGATTGAATGCAAATTGTTCCATTGGTGCTTTGATATGTGCATAAATTGATGTATAAGAGGAATACGATACAAGTGAGACAGAGGAGGATGGAAGAAAGGGAGATGAAACTTGAAGAAACCAATAATCACAACCAGTCTTCATGTATATAAGGATGATACATAATTAACGGTTGAATTTTCAATCAAATATGATCCATTCAAAAGAATTTTGATATAAAGATCACTTTGTTTTTATCCTATTATCAATCAATCTTCAGTTTTGATGTCACTTGTTAAGTTTTCTTGAGAAAATTCATTGGAGAAAAATACACCAATAAAACCATGAATTCAATTCCCATCAGAATTAATATCACTTTCAACCTAAAATCTTAAGACAAAATATTAAGATATTGACTTATGAGTTATATTTTTTATATATTACTTAATTTTAACATTTTTTTATTCTTATCCAATATAAAACTTAATTCACACTGAAGAACTTTATACTACAAATGCATTAGGTGGAGCCTCATTTCCCAATTTTATGTATGTTTCAAATAATGTAGGATATTCCTATTATGTTTTAATCTTTATTAAAGAAATGTTCACTTTGATTAATCTGATAATTGAAGAATAAGTATGACTTAAAAAAATTTAGCAAGAATTAAAATACAAGGACCAATAAAATAATTATAAGAGATTTTTTTATAAAGAATAAAATATACTAAAGAAATTGTATATATTTTTAAAATAAAAAAATATATACATAATAAAACAGGTCAATTTATTTTGTTTTTACTTGTTCTAACTATGATCATAAAAAAAAAAATCATAGTTAAAGATAGTTTACAAACCTCAATCTGTCTCGTTAAAAAACGAATTAATGTATTAGTAGGTAAATTTATCAATATATATTTTTATATTATTTTTTTAAAATATATCTTTAATTATAGAAATAATTTTTAAGTTTTTATTTATTAATTAATATTTATATTAGATAAATTAAAAAAAATTATATTTATATATTAAAATACTCAATTATAATATTATAATATATTTTTACATATTTTAATAAGATAATATAAAAAATATAATATTTTTAATTATAAATTTTTTATTTTAATTTTAATACATAAATATTTTTTAAAACGATTTCTCTCCATGTTTTTATTTTCCAGTCCAACTATTTTCTGTATTAGTTTTTTTTTTTTTCAATTTTAAGTTGATTGCCTTATGTGAAAGTTAAATACTGAACACACATTCTCTAAACTAATAGTAAAGGAATTTTAAAATTTACATTAGAGCATAGGATTAAATTTATGAAGGAAAAATGCATTCTGATTTAAAGTTTTAAGAAAAATGAAGAAAATAGATGAACAAAAATATTGTGTTAATTTCTGGACTACTCGAAATATATATCATGTTATTAGAGACAAGAAATATTCCTTTGCATATTTGTCAATATAGAGGAATGAAAGTGACAGTTTCATATTAAAATTATATAGTCCACCTTTATTTGTAGCTTGAGTAAAAAAATACTTTTGGATTTTTTTTTTAATGTTTCATATTGAATGACATTGAATACAATCAATATATTTTACTTTGACCACATTAATTTGTTAAAAAAAAAAAAATACTTTGACCAAATTAAATTCAAGTCCAAAGAGTTAAAAATCATAAAAAAAATGCAGATATAAATATTTTATTTGAAATATAAATGTAAGTCTATATATATTAAAAAAAATAAAAACATTTATTGAAATTTTACATAAATGAAGAATGAAATCAATTTGGGTGGAAAAAAAAAAAAGAAGATTACCTTTGGTCCATAATTATTCCTCAAAATTAATATGAATAGTAACTTATTTCATTTTCATTTATCATCACCGTGTGTTAGCAATGAGATAATAGAATATTTCTTTTACATGAAATTCCAAAATCGCAAACCAGAACACACGCATTGAAACTAGCATCATCATTCACAACATATATGCTTAACAATAAAGCATATATGATGCATATGACACACACACAGAGGGTGTGTCAAAACATTTACAATCACCATGATCCAAGACTTCTTCCGCAAGATAAATCTAAAATTCACCATATGCTTCTAGAAAGACAATTCACAGTAAAAACTAAAAAGAAACTAATAAATCACTGTCCAAAACAACCTTCGATATGTTAAGGTTACAAGTAACGACATTAATGGAACCTGTACAGGTTGTAATAGCCACCTAGATGACATTGTTAAGGTTGTTGTTATCTCCTCCCTCATCAGCACCATTGGTACCAACCCTATTATCATTCATAGAGTTCTTGAAAACTGTAGCTGCCACATTAACATCATCACCTGCAATAACTTTGCCGCCGACAACCCCCATAAGGCTTTGACCTAAATTTGAAGCAATGGAAATCCTAAAAGAACAACAAAGGTCACGATTAGATGATGATGATGATGATGATGATGATGATGAAACCACAGAAGGGTTGTTGTATAAGCAAGTGCCGGTGAGGGAAACTAAAGTGAAGGGTCCATGAACAATGAAAGCAGAAGTGGAAGAGTGAGAGTTGCGAAGAGTGGCATTGAGAATAGATCCGGATGCACTTTGCACGGTGACACTAACTTGGTAGTCACGAGCGAATTTGACCACTGCCTCAATCACATCAGAGTTTCTAGGGACTTGAATGAAAATAGGTTTTTGGGCATGGTGGTTGTGGTGGTCAATAATGGGTGGTAGTTTTGGTTTGTTCTTGGAGCCCACAGGCCTACCGCGTTTCCTCTTAGATGATGGTGATTTTGGGTGAGAGGAAGAGCCTATAACTTCATGGACAGCATTGGCCTCAGATGGACAAATTGGGGTTGAAGATAGGGGAGTTTCAGTTCCTGGTTGAGCCATTGTTATAGGAGAAAAGATGTATGTTTGAATTGGGAGAAAGAGAATGGTTTAGTTTGTTGCTGCTAATTTTCATTATGATTTGTAATCATGAATTGGTTTAGTGTTTTATAGGGTCCACAAGGTTCAAAACAGTGGGCCAATTGTTTTGTGGTCAAAGCATATTTGGTTTTCAAAAGAAGAAGATGAATGTGGTAAAGAGCATTTCAGATAGAAGTGCAAGTCACGCGCCCACTAGAAGGTAACTATCTAGAAGAGTTATAAGATTTGAAGATGTTTAACAAATATAATTAATAATTAAAACAAATTACTTGAAATTTTTTCTGGTCAGAGGATAGAGTTGCTAAAAAAATTGGTTTACTTATAATAATAAATATTTATTATTAATACCATATCTCACTGCTTGAATTTAGAGAAAGTTATTTAAAATTATAAGAAAATTATCAAGATTAATTTTTAAATATTTATTTTTATTTTTAAGTAATTTTGTTCTAAAAATTCCAATATACCACAGAATTCATTTTAAAATTAATTAAAGTTGTTTGACATGTATAAATTACAGTTTATAAATTAAGGTATCGACTTGAAACTTTACAGATGTTTAGCAAACCGAATAAACCAATTAGTATAAAAGTTGAATAATATATAAACAAAAATATAATAAAATTAATATTCTAAGATTTTCAGTTGAATATAAGTAATATTTTTTATTTTTTCATGTAAACTTAAATCTTAAAATTTTAGATTCACAATATCTCATATTTTCTTATTTAGTACTGGATAAGTCATACATAATTATCTATCTCCATTTTTGAAATATAACTTATATATATATATATATATATATATATATATATATATATATATATAGATAAATTTTATTTAGTGTTAATTGATTTTGAATTGAAATATGACACTAAAATATTAAGTTTATTAGATGATATTGATAACTTACAATTATTTCTCTCATCAACTTGAGAATCATTTGTTACCAAAACTCTGATGTGATATAATTAGATAAATATTTACTACTATATCAATTGAAAGTCAAAACATTTTTTTTTAACAATTAAGAGAATAACACTTTTAAAAATAGAATTGAATTGAATTGAATAATGACTCGATCCATCCTATTTTCTGCTCAAAATAATTAATGTATTCGAAAAAAAAAATAGAGAAACAATGAAATAAATAAAGTAAATAAATGAATAGTGATTTTGTTGATATATATATTGAGGACATTGATGGTATTTTAAAAAGGAAGATACATGTCTGTTGTGGTTTAAAAGGAGGGATTGGAAACAATGCGAAAGGTGAGGTTTTGAACAAAATGGGAGGTATTCATAACTAAAGGCAGAGTCAAAATTTTAATCTAAGAAGGATAAAATATAAAATATATTTATTGTGTAATTAATAAAATAAGAAATTAAAATAAAATTTAAATTTTTAAGGGACCATAACCTCTATATATTATATATTAAAGGTGATAGCAATGTGATAGCGTGGGAGAGATAAACAAAGAAAAAAAATTAAAGAATTTTGATTTGTTTTTCATGATTTATTGAGAATTATTTTGTTTTACAAGAGAATAAAGATAGACATGGATAGAAGTCAGTCTTAAGTAAGAAAAGAAAAAAAAGTATACTGTAAGAGGTGTATTTATATATGATGGTTCTTTTTCTTATAATTTAAGTTTGAAACTAGTCAAACTATATTAAATATTATTTTACCCTTTTATTCTTATTTATCAAATTCATTGTTCATCATCATTAAATAGTATTAAAAATTTTCTTCTAAAATTGTTATATAATTTTTCATTTTTAAATAAAACATTAATTTATTACTTTATTTATTTTTTAGTTGTCTCACAGTTATAATTGTTGATTGACTTTTTATGTTGTTGATCTTTTATTTTCTTAAACTTTTTTATAAATTTTAAAATTGTATCTAGATGTTACTAGAATAAGGGTGTAATATGTATGGTCAATATTTGAACGGTATCATGATATTATTTGAGATTTTCGAATTTGTCTGAAATATTTATTATATATTCATTATGGATGAAATATTATATGATTATTGGATAATTATATTCTTAATCAATAAAAAGTTTTGTATGTTTTTTACTGGATATAATCTCTAAATACATTTATTTATTTTCATACGAAAAATCTTTCATAAGTGTTTCGGTTACTTTTAGCATACACAAAGAAGACCATAGTGAATTTAATTGTCCCGTAGAGTCTAGGTAATAATATTTAGTGTCGCAAGATGGATATCATATTTTGTCTTAAAATGAAAGTGTGAACATTTTAGGTTTATTATGATAATATTATTAGAAAGAATTAATTATCATATTCAAAGTATTTTCTGTTTTAAAATTTTAATCGATCACAAATTTATTCTTAAATTTTTGTTTAGATTGGAAAATAGATTTGAAAAAGTGAAAAATAGAAAAGAGAGAGTAAAAAATATAATTGTTTAGATTAAGAAAAAAAATTATAAAATGTAAGATTGATTTGATTAATTAAAATATTATTTTATTAATTTTAAATAATTTTCTAACAATTTTTATTAATTATTTATTATTACAATAACTAAACAAAATATTTAAAAAAAATTAAGAATTATGTGTCTTTAACTATTTACTTTCTTCGCACTCAAGAAAAAAAGAGAAAAATGTTTTTTTTAACGTTTTGATGTATATTTTTTGTGTTTTCATTATAAATTCACTTTTTTTTCTTTTATATTTTCTAATATAAAGATAAAAGAGTTTAGTGGATCAAGAGAATATATATATATATATATATATATATATATATATATATATATATATATATTATTTGTAAAATCAAATTTTAAATAATATGAGACATAAATATAATAAAAATTTTATTTTTAATAAATAATAGAACCCATATTTAATTTCAGATAGAACTAAAATATTCAATATTAAATATTGACCCCACTTTTACTTATATATGTTTTTCAATTTTATCATGATTCAAATAAAAAGGAAGCTTCTCATCACATTAAATATTTCCAAATTTTTATATGTAGTTTTGGTAATATTAACACAACTTTTGCCAAACTTTTAATACAAAAAGAAAAAGAAGCATATTATATAATTGATGAAAAGTAATTTCATCATTGCTGGAAAATACAAATTTTTATTTATTTTTAATTCATATCGAGGTTGAATTCTTTTTTGGATTGATAAATAAATCTTCAAATGAAAAAGCGTGTGATATCACTATTAATCATTGAAATAATTGTAAAAGGTACGTGTCGACTTATAATTTTATTTTTCTTAAACATTGTATAAAGATAAATTTCAATAACTTCGTTGGTTTATTGTAAATTTGTATTGAACTTTTACGGGTAAAAAAACTTCAAAATCTAATATTTATTTATTTTGAAATTCCATTGATAACTACGCTCTTGACAATTAATTTATTGAGAGTTTTAAGTTGATTTCATTGCATATTGTAGTTATTCTCTTAGTTGATTTTATCTTTAATTTCTAGCTAACAAAAGAAAAATTACTTAACACATATAATTTGAAATTATACAGTTATACAAATATATGTGTGACAAAAAAAACCAATCATCATCTTCACCAACACTTCTTGTGAAGCACATTAGAGAGGTTCCTTAACAAGGTCATGAAAATTTGAAACTTCAGCACACCTATGGAGAGGATTTATTTGTCCTCATGTCTAAGATGGGAAATTTTACAAAAGTGTCCTGCATTTGTCCATTTATTTCTTTTACCACTAATAGTGAGATTCAAGTTGCTTTTAATATTCTTGTTTTATATTCTAATTTTATTGAATACAAATTTATCAAGAACAGATTAGGATTAGATCCTCTACACTGAATTGCAGGATGCAGTTCTGAATGTCACCCTTAAAATTTATTAATTAAATTTGAAATGATAAATTTCCTGTCAACAATAAAATTGTATATGAAGTTCATCATCATATGTTCATTACATTATAATTATAGGACATGACAAGACTCATGCAGAATGCACATTTTTCTCCATCTATATGTAAGGGTAGAGGTATACATATATGTGCTACAAATCAATATTTCTCACTCATACTCGAATTTTAGGAACTATAATTTGTAGAAGTCCATCCCTGAAAATGGATAAAGAAATATCAGCTTCAAATGTATAAAGGTACAGCACAAATCTTTGAACTAGTGCAAATTCACACACATTATATATCATTATATAACTTCCAAACAAAGAATTAACATTCTATACTTAAAATACCATCAAGATCTACTACCAAAAAGATGTAAAAGTAATTATCATCATTGCAGTATCTAGTTTCAGCAACAGTGAATTAGCCATTTTGGCCAAGAATTTGACAGTTAACTCAATTGAATTTCAAGGTTACAATTTAACTCATCATTTGTGTTAGTCTAAGAGATCACTTTTCACCAACAACCAGGTATTGTTGGCTTAGCAGAGTGTGAAAGCTTGAAGCCAAAATCTCCAAAGAAAATCTAATGTATGTTAGTTACCTATGTATTTTATTACTACTTCCAAATTGAAAGAACATTAATATTGAACTTTGTCAGTAATATAATCATTTAGTGATCCAATAACCAAAATAACTAAAAAAAGTACTAAAATTATAATGCAATAGACCAAATTAGAAGAGTTTTTCATTTGTGAGTTAACACTAAGAAACATGTGCATAACACAGAATAACTTACAAAAATTCAGCTGATATTCTGTCCTTGTTCACACCAGAAGGAAGCTGCCAGACCACCTCATATGGTCCATATAGTATTTCCCTCCGATGGTATGAAGAAAATGAAGCATTTGGACAACCTGTAATTGTCCAAGAGCTAGTAGAGCGTCTACCTTTCACACACAACCTGTCACAGTTCACAGATTTGCTCTTTTATCAGAAACAAAAGAGGTCATTTACTTCAAAAGATTTATAAGCAAGATTGTCCAGCATCAAAATTTCCCTTCAGCGCTTCACTTTTAGGCATTACATTACCATGAAGAAATAACAATAAACTTTGTATTAATACACAAGACCCTCCCCCGGAACACAAATGAAAGAACTCAAACACAATAATGACTTGTAGATAACAATATTTCGTTAGGCTTATCCTTTTCTTCAACATTACCTTTGCTATTGATTAGGGAGAACTAAATGCTTAATACCATTAATTGGAAAATGTATAACAATTAGTATGGGGAGGAATACAAGATTTGCTTCTTACTTTAGATCATCAACCTCCACTCTTATGTCACCGATACTGACACCTGGAACTTCCACTGTGATAACATACTTGCCTTCTGATTCTGCAACATCCATCCTTGGAGACCACTCAATTCCTGCAAAAACAAAGGTCACAAATATTATAGGGTAAATAGTCTTCGCACACTAGCATTCTATCACAAACCATCATGCATAACAAAGTTATCAACTTTTACAATAATTAGCTTAAAAGTATACTAAAAATGATGTTTTAGACAACATAAGAATTTTCACACTTATAATACAAACAAAATAAACTCAAATTTGTTATAGCTAATTAGCTATTATAACATCAAATAACTTTCTGAGATCAAAGTGCTAACCACCAATTTCGGAATAGCACGTTTTCTTTTTAGAATGTAACTGATCTCCTCTAATCTGTCTGATTGGCCTAGCAAATGAAGGCGGTTCAAGTGTACTAAAAGTACAGATCTGCTCTTGAGTCATTGGTTGGACCACTGAATTTTGGAAGACTGATTCTGCCATCGCAGGTCTGGCAAAACATGGTACTCTTGCATTAGAAGGGCATTCAGATGCAGGAGCAGCAGCACCACCATGATGAGTTTTAGGAGCAATGAAGGAAGTTGAGCCACCCTGAAAATTTATGTATTAAAGAAGCCAGTTAGAAATAAATCATTAAACAGAAATGAAGTAAATAGAACATTGATAAGTATTTCAAAATAATAATAACACTTGAAGTACCTCATCAATTGAAGTTTGCCTCATAAAATAACCCAGAGAAGAAGATGCTTGGCGTGCAAAATACACCTTGTTATCGCATCTCCGGAGCACAGAGTTCAGACTGCCACTGCAGTTCTGATGGGGGGTAGGAAAATTGATGAAAATGAAATTGTAAACGTATATTCAACAAAAACGAAAAAGGATAGTAGATACAGATTTATAACCAAATTTAGTGGTCTATTAAAAGAACATATATAGAAGGTGTAGCAAGTGTGGCATATAGAAATTCTGAATTAAGGAAACACTTATGTTTCAAAACGGGACAAAGATAAAGAAAAGACTGCAAAAATGCATTGATTTGATGGTGTTCAACTTAACATTGCTGAAGTTAATCATAAAAGAAAGGCCAATTTAAACCAATATATTTCCATTACTGGACCTCAAGATATAAACACTTGACCATAATAAATTGTGACATCAACAGTACAAGCTAATACTCCTCATCATCATTAATTGCAAGCAAAGACGCAATATTTGCCAGATCAAACTACCACCACAGTGACATCAATTATTTGATGTAGGGTAATATTTCCTTGTCTTCAAAAACAATAAACACTCTATGAAGAAAAGTATTTGTTAACTTTACAATACTCAAATGAGAAGCAGTTAAATTCTCCTATGATTGCAACAAATCAAGATTCCTATTAGATGGCTTTTTTCTTTTCTGTTAACATGAAAAGGAGAACAAGGGTCACTTTAGCTATAAATCTAAACAAAAGGTGAAGAACAGGGTAACTTCACTACCCTTTCCCAACTTAGCAATATGTATCTCCCTTATAATTCTCATGTGTCATAAAAAACAATCATTGAATTTCAGTTCAAATTCCATTGTTATCAAAGGAACCAACCACAGGAACAGAAGAAAAGAGTGTAAATGGAAATAAATGAATAAATAAATAGATAAAATAGCAGATTATATTACCATAGGCAGAACGTTGGTAGTTGAAATGTCATCTTTAGGTGCAAAGTGGGCTGCAATCATGTGAATTCTGCGTTTCACCAACTCACTCTCCATTTTTACCAATAAAATGCTTCAGTTTCAGCTGAATAGATAATGCAGGGTGCAACAGAGGATCAAGAATTTATCCTGAGGGAGTCACTTCCGAAGGGAAGATATTTTCAGGAAAATAACATCAGTGGGCCCACTGAATCTAAATATCTTTGTGAAACTGAAGATTTTGTGTCATCTGGAGTCCACCAGGACCCAAAATATCAGTTTGTGTAAAATAATATTTATAGATTAAAAAAATACTAATTTCATCATCTCTAATATTTTAAATCAAGTAATATAGTGAGCTGTAACATTGATATATACATCATAGTATAATTTGTTTCTCTTAAGTGGTACAATATTCAATTTCCGATGATCATATTTGCAAATGATATAAATCATCTTATCATGAGAGATATAAAAAAATAAAAAATAATATTGGCAGAAAAATTCAATTAAAAAAAACTTCTTATTATTTTCCAAACACTCTAGTTATTAATTTTTGTTTTTAATTCCCTACTTTTTTTCTTTTAAATAATAAATATGTATACACAAAATTATCATGAAAATATATAATAACATTTGAAAGAGAGTTGATACCAATAGTTACTTACCAATAAAAATGAATATTTTATTATGATTGTATAAAAGTGGGAAAAATTACTTAAAATTAAAAAAATTATTTGAATAAACATCTCTAATTAAGTTTTAAGTAACTTAACTGTGGAACTTATAATAAAATATTCAATTTTATTCTTAAACAATATGTGTGAAAAATTTCATTTAGAGATGTTCTAAGGACATATATGATAAAAGTAACTCACATAAGTTGTTTTTTATCCTAAAAAAAATATAAAAAAAGAATTTATGATGATACATCATTTTTAAATAACTCACTGATAATTTTATTTCATTAAAATTTTTTTAATAAATTTTAAAAAATTTATTCTCTTTTTATTTATTTTGATTTGTTTATTTTTGTAAGTTAGTTGATTAAGTATTATAAAAAAAATTTAAACAATTATTATGTCACATAAATTTCTTTAAAAAAATTACTTCAAACAACTACTACTTTATTTAAACATCTCATTAAACAATTCTCGTGATGATCCTCTAAACCTATTAGTTTAGAGTTAATTACACCTTTTATTTCCATCTTTTATAGTTTATTTTGTAATTTATATCTTCTTAATTTTAATTATTTATATTTAATCTCCATATATTTGGTTTTAAATTTCTTAACCCAATACTGAAAATTTAGGAATATTCTTTGTGTCTGAATATCAAGTGAGAATTCAACTCATCTAAGTTTTCTCTTCATCGATTATTCTGCGCAAAATTGTGTTGTTTTTAATTTTAATATAATTTGATCTCTTTATAATTAATATGAAAGTAAATATTAAGTTTTAATACTTTGTGATAAAACTAATATTTATTTCTCAACATAAAAAAAAATCCTTTTTTTATCAGAATTAACAACAACAATATATATATATTCAACATTATAAATTACCAAGAATTGTCCATACGATATTTCATATTTATTTTCCCAATTTATTTGTCAATCACCTTCCTTCCGTACAACACCAATTTTCTCGTAGTTGGCTTCTGTACCAAGATTTTGTGCATAACCTTCACAAACATTCCCCTCATGCAACCAGTAATCCTTCCGTTGATCTCTTCCTTATTCTTCTTTTTCGTCCTTCATTGTTTCATTAACAGCTGATTTTTCATTGCCGTTTTTTTGTTCCTTTTCAAATTGTTTCCAGTATTTTTTTTGCCCATATTTTTCTTCATCAAACACCACCTTTGATGCCTCACGATTTTCCTTGGTCACAGGTTGTTTAGCCAAAAGAATTTATTGTAGCTTATCATCCTACAATTTGTTTCCAAAAGCTTAATCATCATGCAAAGAAATGTTTAATTTCAGTTGTAACAACAATAAAAAGAACATAAGTAATAGATAAAGCTACAAATTCTTTAGTTTTGTAGCTCCTTGTAGGAATTATTTCAGAACCCTGCAGTGACTTGCCTTACCACCCTTACTAAAAACAATCGAAGTGGTTCATCTTTGTGCGTCTTTTACTGTCAGGGACCGTAACCATGTGCTAGATGTTAAAATTTATTTCTTTATTAATTCATTTCTTGCAGATTATAGATAACTTAGATTGATAAGAACTTACAAATCAATCAACTTGGTCAACTTGGAAAGTGCGGGTGGCAATGCTCCGGTGAATCGATTGGATGATAGAATGCTAAAAAACATGTTTTAATTTATTCGGTTACAACACACTACAGAGTAATATATTAGAGGGGAAATAGAAGCAGATATTGAGATTTGAAATTTCCAATAAGCACAACAAGAATAACATAAGAATTACAGTTTTTCTAAATTGATCAACTTCTCAATCTCTGTTGGAATGTGGCCTGAAAATAGATTTCCTTCAATACTCCTGAAACATTCATACAAATATTTAAATTATACAAAGCTGTAGAAATAAATTGGAAATTATACTAAACCAGCAATCCTGAATGAAACCAAACTTTCTTTAGGTAAAACCAAAGGTTTTGGTAGGACGTAAAAGCTACCTTACATATACCAAACTTATTTTTCACTTTTCTCTAACACAATTTTCGAACTATCACTATGCTGAGTCACCAAGTCAACAAACAATTCATTCTAAAATAAAGAAATTATTTCAACGTACAAGTTTCTGAGCGTTGTGATATTGGTGAGAACTTGGAGGAATGGCCCAGATAATCTGTTTCCCATTAAAGAGCTGCATATTCAATTAACAACATGAATCTTTAGTTTGACTCTCAAGTCTCAAGACGCTTACTTAAAAAGAGGAAATTGAAAAAGAGGAAATTGAAGAGACGATGCAGACAAACTAAAGAGTGCCAAGCAGAAACATCTCAACCAAGCGCATGGTAGCCCACTGACGAGGTATAGAACCAGTGATGACGTTACGACTGAGACATGAGAACGTCATGCAATGAGAAGAATCATAGCTTCAAAACTGCGGTTTTGGTTATCTTACAGTTGTGTGAGATAATGAAGCTTGGAAAACTGGGGTGAGAGACTACCAGACAGATTCTGAGCCTTCAAGATATGTCTATTTAGAACATGAAATTAAAAGCAGAAACTTAGACTTTATTCGGTGGTTAACAATTTAACACGGTCATTCGAAGATATCAACCCAACTAATAACATGTACAGTACATGAAAATATAAAAAATGTTGTGATTCCTAAATCATCGAATACAAAAATTACGAAGTCCTCAGAAGAGTGAACACTAAGTGTCATGTAAACCACTGCGATGTTCATTTCCATAAAACTCACTAGGCTACTTTACAAATGTCCTCATATTCCATAGCTTCAAGTACTCTGCCATCATAGAGTCCTTTCTCGATCTGCACCTTAGCACAAAAATTATCTGTGTCCACCCCCAATAACTTTGCAATTGATCCTCGATATGCACCATTGACAATCTTTACACGACCCCCAACTTGTGGAATCACAGTTTCAAGCTCTGCCTGGTCAACTCTGAGCACATGCTTACTTTCAAGTATTTCTATCTCCCCAACGTATTTATCAATCACCTTCCGTACAACACCCTTTTGCTTGTAGTAACCCTTCTCTGCCAACACTTTGCTCATAACCTTTACCACGATTCCCTCCTGCAACCAGTAATCCTTACGGTTGATTTTTTCCTTTTTCTTCTCTTCATCCTTCATCATTTCATCCAAAGCTGATTTTCCACCACAGTTTTCTTTCCTCTTCAACTTGTTTACAGGATTTCTTTGTCCATATTTCTCTTCAACAACCTCATCAAACACCATCCTTTCACGTTTTTCCTTGGTCACAGGTTGTTTAACCAATGATGACCCAAGAGAAAACCCTATCTTAATTCCATCTTCCATATTTAATTCCCTTGGAGGCTGAGATTGTGAAGGCTCTTCAGCAATCGGAAGCTGCATCAGTTGCTCAGCCATTTCGATCTGTTTTCTGATCTCCTTCTCTTGCTTTTCTTCATCTGCCATATCTGCCTTGATTTTCTTATTCTTCATCTTCTCCTTAAAGAGGGTTTCTGAGTCTCTGTCTATGTATGTAATGAACCATCCCTTGGGTGTTTCCTCAACTTTACACTTGCCAGTTCGACCCAAGTACTTGACAAATTCAGTAAGTGTAGCCCACTGGGTGGAGTTCATATGAACATGGTGTCTATCATTTATGTATTCGTTATAAACTACAGTAGCTGCCACACGGCTGAATCTGTGGCTGCGCTTCATGTGCTCCAGAAAAGAACTCTCAAACTCTTCAGAATAGCCCTCGACTATCCGGTGTGGATTTTGTCCAAAGATCTGCATTTGACGCTGGTGCCCTTCACTCATGCAATGACATTTAAATCCATTCTCATCTCGGCACTGTTTCTGACACATCTGGCAATACCAACGAAGCTTCTGTAATCCTTTTGCTTTTATTCGATTGGCAATTGCTTTAGGTGTGAGAAACTCATTTTTCCCCATCACAACTGGATGTAACATTTTATATCAAACAAAAATGTTATCAGTACTTGTTAAAGATGGAAGTACATAATAAAAAAAAACAGCATTGGTATTAAAGCATTAGAAACTTGTCTTAAACCAAGAATTCACACCAAAGAATTGTATATAACAACTAATGAATATGTTTAGATCGACATACAATAAACAACTAATGAAGAATTTCAGATCTAACAAAATCAGTAGTCATATAGCTGAACTTTTATTGACGGAGGAAGGCAGCCACAACCAAAACAGCATTGGAACAACAACTAAAATTCTCACAAAGCATTGAAGTAATTAGAAGCAAGCATATCAAGATTTTGACCAGAATACAATAAACATTCGTTGAGGCTCTTCATAAACTGGTAAAGATTTCACAAAAACCAACACTAACACGATATGAATAATAAACCCTCTCTACCCAACCCTTCATTCCAGTTCTAACATGTTCGCTCATATCCTATTCTAGATTAGATCCCGATTACACGAATTACGTCCTTCGCTTTTCAATCAAAGCATTACCAACGAAAAAGTGATTCATTTCATTAATATAAATAAAACGAGTAGAGAAAGAACACGGACCAAAATAGCAGCACGCGGTTTCTTGTGGTGGCGACGGCTGCTACAATTGTCGGAAACCCTAGATTCGGGGAACTGAGAATGGCACGTAGGTGCTGAAACGAATTGAAAGTGAAAGTCACCAAAAACTGGTGGAATGCTCTCGAAACCAATTCAGTTGAGTGAGACAGAGGAAGGTGGCATTTCGGGCGTAGGGGTGAAATCCGCAGATGAAAGGGATTTGTATTCTTTCCAGGTACAACAAGTAAATGAAAGCTGCCATTTCAACAACTCATCCATATATTAATTATAAAAATAATTTAAAATTAATAAAAAAATCTTTTTCCTAATTAAATAGCATGGAACCGTTTATAAGAAAATAAAATCACTTTTATTTTAATTACTCTTGCTGTAAAAAGGATATTAATTTATTAAAAAACATTCTGAGCATTGTTTATCAATTTTTACTTTCTAAGATTATAATTACTTTTTAAGACAAAATCATTTGGTAAATTATATTTAAAATATTTTATTCTGTTTAAAAGTAATATCTTGTAAAAGAATATATTTTAAAAAAATTAATAAAATTAATTTAATTCATGTTAAATTATTAAAATAAATAAAATGTGTTACGAGAGAAGAGCTCTCAAACTCTTCTAGGCATGGCAACGGGCGGGCGGGGCGGGTTTGCCTCCCCGTCCCGCTCCCGATCCCCGCGGGTTAGGAATTAAGTCCCCATTCCCGTCCCGTCGGGTTTCGGTTCCCGCCCCGCCCGTCCCCAATTTATATTATTTTTAAAAAGATAATTATATTTATAATAAATTAATTTTACTATGTATTTATTTTATATATAAATAAATATTTATAATTTATAGTTATTATTAATTAAATATACATTTTAATTTATTATATTTATATTAAAATATATATGTAAAAGAAATATTTAATTATTTTTTATTTATATATATATATATATAATATTTATAACATTATTATTATTATTATTATAACACTTGTATTCAAATATTTGAATATTTATAACATTATTATTATAATACTGTATTCAAATATTTAATTATACATATAAGTTAATTCATTTTTAAGTTGTCAATATATAGTTTATAAGAAAATATTTAATAAGTTAATTCTTATTTAATTAGTTTGAAGTAATAAAAGTTTAAATTATTAATTTCTTTTAATCCTTTAAAATGCAATTATTTTATTAAGATAAAATTTGATATATGATAAATAAGCATAATAAGATAAAAAAATATGGCATAATAAATATAAATTATAAATAAACTAATATTAGTTACTACTAAGATTGATGTAAAATATTTAGAAAAAGATAAAGAAAAAAGATTAACTTTGTGTTCATCAAATTGGTTATTGAAAAGATTGAAAAAAAACAAATTGATGGGAGAGACTAAGAAAATGTGAAAAACTGAAAGATAAGGGAGAGAATAATATAATAAATTAATTGATATAAAAGATTGAGAAAGATAAAAAAAATTAAAAAGTGGGTAGAAGAAAAATAAAAATTGGTGAAATATAAAAAAATAACCTTATATGTAATAGAAAAAGAAAATGAAATACTTTTAAAATATTAATATTTTAAAATTTAAATTTAAATATAAAGTCGGGTCGAGTCGGGGTGGGGATTGCATTACTCATCCCCGCCCACCGACTTTTAAAGCTGGAATCAACCCGACCCACGCCCGGTCAACTCGGAGTTTCCGTCAAACTTGGGCAGGACGGGTCGGTCCTCACGGATACGAGTTTAATTGCCATCCCTAAACTCTTCAGAATATTGTCCAAAGATCTGCATTTGAGGTTGTTACCCTTCACTTATGCAATGGCATTTAAATCCATTTTCATCTCGACACTGATTCTGAAAATACCATATAAGCTTCTGCAAATTGTGAGAAACTCATTCTTTTCCATTAAAAACCATTTTGATAAAGGATCAAATAAAACATTATCAGTGCTCCTGAAATTTTGTTAAGGGATGAGAATATGAAAAACAACTACATTGCTAAAAATCTCAACAAATAATTAGATATAATGATTAAATAATGAAATATGATGACGAACGAAGATCTGTTGAATTTTGACCATAATACAATAAAGCTAAAGATTCTCAGAGAAAATCATCACAAAAATCAACACTAAGCTCAATTACTTCGATTATCAAATCTCCTTTCCAGCAATTCCTTGATTAGATCCGATTACTCGAAACACACTTGTGTCTTTCTACGCTTTTCAATCAAAGATTACCAACTAAAAATGTCATTCATTTCATTAATATAAATAAAACGAACAGAGAGAGAACACAAACCCGGGAAGCAGGTGGCGTAGTGGTTTATGGTGGCGGCGGCAGCTACAATTACCGGAAACCCTAGTGTTCTTATTGGGGTGGTGTAGATGGACGGTATACCGGTGTGCGGATATCGGTATCCAAGTAATGCCTTCAGATGATCAGAAGTACTTTCCTTTCAAAATAGCCTAGTTCCAACACACTAATATTCTATTTCAGAGTAAGTGATACTAGTAGGATGAGATTTACTTATCTGTTAAGTCTTTTTTTTTTTTTTTTTTATACAATAGTAAAAGATAATAATTAATATAAGATATCCTATAAAATAATAATATATTAAAGATAGTTAATAAAATAATATACAATAAGATAATACGTGAATTAGACAAGAGTTAATTAAATAAATAAAAGTTGATATTTTAACAAAAGATGAAAAATAAAATTCTTTGAACAATTCAGTCGGTTTATGTAATAATAAGGAAAAAAAGTTTATGAAATAAAAATAACTTAAAATTAATAAAAACTCCTTTTCCTAATTAAATAGCGTGGAATCGTTTATAAGAAAATAACACCACTTTATTTTAATTACTCTTGCTGTAAAAAAGATATTAATTTTTTAAAAATATTTTTTGAGCATTGTTTATCAATTTTTTTGTTAGATTAGAATCAGCCTTTATGACCAAATCATTTGGTAAATTATATTTAAAAACTTTAATTCTGTTTAAAAGTAATATCTTGTAAAAGAATATACTTACAAAAATAAAAAAATTAGTAAAATTAATTTAATTCTGGTTAAATTATTAAAATAAATAAAATGTTAAAATCATATATATATATTTTTTTTAATGTCACAATTATTTTAATAATTAATTATATATAATATTAACACAAAAATGAAATATTAACTACACATGCTTGTTAAATAGGTATGTAAAATAATATTTATAGATTAAAAAAATACTAATTTGATTATCATTAATATTTTAAATTAAGTAATACAGTAAACTTTAATATTGATATACATAATAGTAATTAGACTCTCTTGTGGTACAATATTCAATTTTTGATGATGATATTGCAAATGAAATAATGAGAGAGATATAAAAAAATAAAAAACAATATTGACAGAGAAATTCAATTTTTTTTTAAAACAACTCCTAATTACTTTCTCAAAATCTTCTAGTTAATAATTTTTGTCTTTAATTCCTTACTTTTATTATTTCTTTTAAATATGAAACTAATTATTTCTAAGAAAATCTGAAAAATAAAAAACAGGGGGAGTCAATTACGGTTTAAGTATAAAAAATATGTACAAACAAAATTGTCATGAAAATTTAGAGTTAATACACTTTTTATTTCCATATTTTATTTTGTAATTCATATCTTCCTAATTGTAATTATTTATATTTAATATCCATACTTTTGATTTTAAATTTCTTAACCCAATACTAAAGATTTAGGAATAATGTTTTTGTCTGGATATCAAATTAGAATTCAACCGACTTAAGTTTTCTTTTCAACAAATCTTCGTGACAAAGTTCTGTGTTATTTTTAATTTTAACGTAGTATATTTATATTTCATAACAACTCATGCATTTTTTTCAACGAACTAAATTTGATCTCTTTATAATTAATATAGAAATAAATGTTAAGTTTTAATATTTTGTGATAAACTAATATATTTATGTCACAACATAAAGAAAGAAGGTACAGCAAAATGAAATTGGTGAAGAAAGTCATAATTATGTAATCTAACCCAAAGACCCAAGGGGTTGCTGGCTTACTTTCAAATGATTACGCTGTATACGCAATCCGGCAATTTTTTACCTGAAAATCTACACAGTCGACTTGTATGGTCCAATGCTCAGATTTTAGTAGAATAATAATTTCCTCACAAAACATAGAACTGTTTCTAACAACATTAGACATCTTCATCAAGACAAAAAGAAAAAATCCCTAAGGTTGTACAAGCAACAATCAGTTCCTAAGAACGAGCTGGATATTGAATTGCGCGTAAGATGTCCAGAGTCCTGGCTCAGATTACAATGAGAAGAAACCTGCCATAAGAATTTTAAGTTATCTATTTGGTACGGACAGGGAAACGGGAAAAGTCAGATAGTCACGTAAGTCACAATAAATATAATATAATACAAGCCGTTAAATAAAATATTCAATTCACCGAATTTGTCAAAAATAAAGCAGTTCAACAATGACAAAGGTTAAAGATTTCAGTGAGAAATATACGGGAAATGATGGAGAAAAGCAATATAAAGCCGTTGACAAGGCAGTAAGTCAAGCTGTAGAATGAGACAAGGATGGGATTGGGACACAAACAAAGACTACACTGAAACAATAACCAGAAAAAAAAATAGTAAATTTATACCTCATATCATGTAGAATACCACATAATATCAACACCAAATATTTTTGAATCATCAGTTAAAATAAGATGAATATAAAATTCATTCCCTAAATAACACATACAAAATTATGTGCCAAAATTACGAACATAATAGATTGCTGAACATATTATACACACCAATATTTTGACAGAAACATGGGCACCAGCGTGTAATTTATTTTACCCGCATCTTGTTTAGTTCTTTCATTTCTTCATTGTTTATCACATATAGATGAAAAACAAATCAATGAAATAACTTCACTCTTAATTAAGACAAATCGGTATCATATAGCTGGCGAGTTTGACAAGCATTTAGAGACGACTCCTAATCAAGGTCGACACCTGAGTTTGACCCCCAAAAAGCCACATAATGGTTCAAAGTTGAGGACTAAATTAAACTGGACAAAAAACAATTAAAATTGCAAGATAACAAATATGAAGAACACTTATCAAGTCTCGGTCATGTGGGTAGAATTGGTGGGTAGACTTGCATAAATTTTCAACTTAAGAGTGTCCAAAAAATCTACTGTCCTAGGGCATGCATTTATGAACAAAACAAAAGAATTGTGCCTAAAAATAAAGGTGAAATTAAATAAAACACATTGTATCATCTATTCCATGCTGTGTTACTGCTATTTTGTTCATCCATATGGTATGTTTGAAAATGGGGGATCAAGGTCCTTCCACGAGTAACAATGTTGCTACTAAAACTACAAGAAGATACCTGAAAATATGAACAATCTAGGGTGAACAGACAGAGCATAGCCATGGTAAAAAAGGTCAGGCGTATAAATATTAATTATGGTTATGGTTTAAATTTCATTTAGATATGGGTTTTTTTTATTAAGGTACACTCTTATCAGTTCACATATCAAGTCAATGATTGCTCCATGACTATGAAATAGACTCTTTTATCTGACAAAAAACTATAGGTCCTTCTGTAACTAAGCGTTGCCATTGTTAACTAGTGGCACAGAATACCTAACCCTAAAATTGGTTATCTGGATAGTAGGAGGATGGCTTCCATTCTCGCCAATTAGAATAAAAAAAATTAAAGGGAAAAACTTCGAAGAGAGTACAAGAAAAAGATAAAATACCATGTTTTTGAGAGACTATAAAACAGATCATATATTATAAAGCAAAAAAAGGCATCAAAGGTAAGAGTTGACTTGAAACAGTGACAAGTTTACAGAATTCTCAGGGAAGATCAGAGACTATGGAGTGCATAGATTGGGATGGCCAATTGTTACAGCTACAAGGAAAATGCTGAAAAATGTTACGAAACAAGGGTGGGTGTTTGACATTAAGGAGAATGACAAGAGACGGGTGACAGAGAAAGTACCCCCATAAACTGACCTGACAGTTTGCTTGGTAGAGGGAGAAGAAATAGGTGACAAATGATAAATTAATGTTCTTTGATTGAGCGGAAACAAGAGAGGAGAGAAATATAAAGGTGTGGAGGCTACACCTTTTTTAGCACAAGAAGATGAAAAGTGAACTGACACAATTTGTGACAGGCTCTTTGAGTGGATATAGAAACTACTAGTAATTATACACAAGGTAGCTCCATGATTCATCACACAACCGCATAGAAACCACATTCACAACTTAGAACCATAATTGTATGTTTAGAGGCGCTTTTGTAGTTTTCTAACATTCAGAACAGCCAGAAATGAGCTCTATGAAAAAAAAAATTGTTTCTTTGTCCTAGTTCTCTCTTCCATATGTCTTAGTTATTTCTTATGTATTTCTCTCAAACCAAACACTTAAAAATCCATTTTATATATCACCTATTTCCGTTCACTCTATTTCTCTCTACCTTATTTGCAATCACCCTATTTATCACCTATTTCTTTCCTTCCTACCAAAAACCTAATCAATGTTGTTCCATCGTTTACATCATTAGCACTAACAGCCACGTTTTATGACAATTTAATCCTCTATTGTACCAGCAGCAGCTGCTTCAAACCTCTCTGCTATTCAATATTTGCAGAATGATCCAGCTGCTTCACGATGTGTAGCAGCATTATTTGGCACTATTGACAATTATGCTAAAGAATACTCCTTTATAAAAGTAAAGGAAATGAGACATATTTACATGAATTCTCCCAATTGTAACCGTATTAATCCATGAATTCTCACAGTAACAAGGATCACGACTGTACCCCCATTTTAAAACTTCGATGTGGGAAATTTTAAACTACATCTTACATCAAACTAACTTGCTATGAGAGTAATCATTTCACAGTAAAATTTACAATCGCACATTCAAGCACATACACAGACGCACGCAGTCTCAACAAAATCTAAAAGACAGAAATGAGTAAGACATCAGATACAACCTACCAATCCATTGTCTCATTACTGTTGCTGTTGATTTGGAGGGTTTGGCGGAGGAGGCATGCCAGGTCGAGGAGGACCAAACACCGGAACACCGCTGCCAGGTGGTGGCGGCATGCCAGGACGAGGAGGAGGCGGCGCAGGCATCCCAGGGCGAGGAGGAGCCGGAGGTCCTCTAACCATCTGTCCAGGAGGGGGAGGTCCCATGGGGCGCTGGCCAAACTGCGGCGGCGGAACGGAGAATTGCGGTGGACCACCACCAGGTCTGGGAGGAGCAAACTGCCCGGGTGGCATCGGAGGAGGCGGACCCCTCGCCATGGGGGGAGGAGCGAATTGCCCTGGCATCTGCCCCGGTGGTCGCATCACCGGCGGACCGCCAGGATACGAGACAGGCGGCGCATTGAGCTGTGGTGGGCGCGAGATCTGCGGCTGCATCATGCCTGGAGCAGGGCCGCCTACGCCTCGAACTGGGCCAGCAAGACCAGGCTGGGCCTGGACAACGGGGGCGGGAGGAATGCCTCTGCCGGCAGCACGACCGATGCCAGGGCCAGCGAGCGCGGCGGCACTGACAGCCTTTGAGCGGGACTCTTCCGGCGGGGGTGGGCCCTCGACGGTCATGGAGATGACCTCCTCACCGCGGAGAAGGACAAGGCCGAGGGTGCGGCGGTCCTCACGGTCGCCACCATCGGCGGGCTTCTTGCCCTTGGCCGGAGGAAGCTTACGGAACTCCTCGCAGTCGCCGAGGACGAGGTTCATGTGGCGGTCGAACGCCATGAATTTTCCGACGAGCTGGCGTCCATCCTGAATGGTGACGCGCATTCGGTAATTGATGTACTGCAGCATCTTGGAACTCTTAGACATCGACATTTTGGAAGAACCCAAAAATTTCTTCGCAGTTTCTTCAGTGAGAGTGTTCTAGGGTTTAAGAACAATTGGGAGGGAAGCGTTGGATACTCTGTATATCCGTTTGGTATAACCCAACCACCCAATTTCCCAATTCATTGCTATAAACAAAGCGAAACCCAATAAAAATGGGCCCAGCCCAGGCCCATAGATCAAAAGTGATTTAAAGAAAAAAATAATCGTGTCTTTCCATTTGCGCGATCATATTTTAGAAAAATGAAAACCAGTTTTATGGAGTTTATTTGAAACATTATTATTAAATTTTAACGTAGACAAATAGAGTATAATTTTTCTTTGAAACTAGTAAAATTCTTTTTTTTTTTTATTTCTTTTGAGGAAGTTTTTCATTTCAAATAATATCATTTATTTTATAAAACCTCCTTTAAATATGTAATATAAATTATTATTTCATTCCAAAATTTCTCAGAAAATCTTCATTCCCTCTATATAATTTCTTGTTTTCCAGTAATATAATTACTCAACAATTTTTTTTTCAAAATATAAAAAACATATTTTTAATATAAACATAAAAAATAAAACATAAGCTTTTAAAATGTAAGTCCCATTAATGAAATTAATTTTAGTTTTTGAATATAATAATAGAGAAATTGTAAAACATTATAAGTTTTAATTTTATTTAAAATATAATTATTAATATTTAACACTTCTACGCGTCAATAATTGGATCGATTAATCAGATGCATAATAACTTATAGAGAAAAAAATTATTACGGAAATTATAATTTTTTTAAAAACTAATAATAAAAATATAATTTTTTATTGTTAAAATGTTTGTAAAAATATTTTAACTTTATAACTACAAGAAATATTTTTTAAAAACCATATTAAATGTTAAAATCTCGGAAACATTAAAACCATACATCAATAAGAGAATTTTGAGTTTATATAAAAACATTTACAGTGAGAGAGTATTGTGAAAATATTACAATAAATTTATTCTATTTTGCACTGATTTCTCCTTTTACATCAACCATAACCATGCACATTTTAATAATATTTTATTTAAATTTAAATTTTAATAATTTAAAAATGTTTAATAATTATTTTTATAAGACACATGTTTTAAATTTAACATGGAACTTTTGTTTATGAAAAAAAAATCAAAATAGTACAATTTTAATTAAAAATTATTAATTTAAGATAATTTTTGTAAAAACTATGTAAAATAAATATATCGTATTTAATAGAATGATTTTATAAAGAATAAATTGTAATATATGATTCATTTTTTTTAATAAAATCATATTATCTTTCACTTTTATATATATAATAATTTTTTACATTTATTTATTTATTTATTTATTATTATTATTATTATTATTATTAAATTTACTATAAGTAATTAATACAAATATTAATAAATATATGATTTAGTTAATAATATCATTATTATTTATTATTAATAATGATAATTATAATATAAAAATAATAATTATATGATTTAGTTAATAACTAATAAATATAATAATAATAATAATTAATATTAAAAATTTTATTTATAATATTTTTATCTTTAATATTATTTTTACTTTTATTATTTTTTATTATTATTATTAATTCTATTAATTATTATTAAAAATTATGATAATTTTAATAATAAATAATAAAATTTATAAAAATATAAAAAATAAAAGTAAAAGTAAAAATATTATAAATAATTAAAGCTATTATTTTTATATTATAATTATCATTATTAATAATAAATAATAACATTAATAATGATACTTTTAATAAAAATAAATAACATTACAAGTAAAAATATTATAAATATTTTTTATAATATTATTATTATAATAATAATTAATGATAATAATATTTATAAGAGATAATAAATAAATATAAATAATTATTATATATAAAAAATGAAGTTGTAGTACGACTTTAGAAAAAAAATAAAAATTTATATAAAATTAAATAAAAATACCAGCACTTTTTTTTTTTTTTATAAAGTCGGATTGTATTGTATGATTTACCTATGTATATAATTTTTTAAAAAAGGATTTTAAATAGTAATTTTAAAGTAAAATTATACCATTTTAATGTTTTTCAAGAAATGAAATAATAATAATAAAAATAATATTATAATAAACTAAATAATATAAAAAAAATAAAAAAAATATTTTATATGATAATAATTTTTTTTAAATATTAATATTTAAAATTAAATATAAGATTAGAATGAGACAGGAACGAGAATCATAAATCTATCCCATAAAGCGAGAAAAATCAGATCCTACCCCGCCCCTATCCCATCAACTCGTTTTTGCGGTGAAATTCAGAACGGGACGGATGAGTCCGCCCGCGGTTATGCTTTTAGTTATCGTCCGTGAACGTGTCAGAGTATCGAATGACACCTATATGTGGAGGTTTGTGCACCATTTTAACTGAATCAAATCCATGTGTTCTCACGTTGTTCTCTCTCACATCAATAAACTCCAATTATAGAAAACCTGCTACTGCTACATGCCAATTTTTTGGGCTCACATAATTTTCTTAAACCTAAAAAATATATTTTTATGCTTTTTATTTTGTAAATTTGACATTTTTTTACATACCAACATCTAACCTTATTTTTTTTATTAAATAAATTGTTTAGTCATATTATATAATTATATCCTTTAAGCTATGAACCCTATTTTATATTGCCTCTCATGGAGATCGGAAAAATTGAACCCACTCCTGTATCTCGTGTCATGTCTATTTGATATGTAGATCGTGATTGTCAATAAATATTTTTTATTAATAATATTTTTAAATAATCTCTCACCTATATTCTTTTTGGTCCATATAATTTTATTACGACTGAGTTTAAGAAAATAAAAAATACTTTCAATAGAAAATAAAAGAAATGTTTATATTATAAATTTAAATTATATTAATTTACATTTTCTAAAATATTTTTGGATTATCATGAATTTTAAATTTAATCATATAAAAATATATTTATTTTATTAAGTACATAGCTTAATTTTTTATCACAATAATATTAAAATTTCAAAAGTATATATTTTTATCATAATTAAACTATATCTTATAAATATTTTATTATTATTTTGTCTTATTAAACATTAGATATAATCAAAGTTTATAATGTTTTTTCATCTTATCATCCATGTTTTCATAATATTCTATCATATGTAATCACTAATGGAGTTTTAAGAAAAATAATAATAATAATTATATATTTAATCAAATAAATGCTCATAAATAATGAGTAAATTATATATATATATATATATATATATATATATATATATATATATATATATATATCTTCTTCTTTTTTCTGAGAAAGTACATGAATGATTTGTGTTTGTTAATGAATATAAATGAAATATTTTCAATGTAGTGAATTAAATGTTTTATAAACTTATAATGCATGTAAATGAGGTATCATAAATGAGCATAAAAGAATCTACTCTTTCACCCTTTTTACAGCACAACATCCTCACCAAACCCCTTCAACCAGGTTAAATGGGGGAAAACCAGCAAGCAACTGCATCTCTCCTTCTCTTCTACCACTTCACCAAACACCCTTGCCATCTCATCATTTTCCAATATTAGATTCCAAGTGTCCATCTATCAAAACTTTATAATATCTTTTCCATTATACGTGTTTGATATTTTCTAAACTTAAATATTAATTACCCTAGCAAGTTTATGCTATTCTGCAGCAGTAACTTCTTCTAAAGTGCCAAATCATAGAGACATTCTCAAATCACTTAATAATCACAGTGCTCAGTCCGTGAGAGCTCATTCACGACTCTGATATTGACTGACACACTCGCACGGGATCCCTATTTTCTGTTGTCCTTTTCTGATTTCCCCTTCATTTATTTTGCTACCCATTAAGGTTTTGGTCGGAAAGTTTAGTTTTTTATATTCTTCTTTTTGTATAGTTTGGCCGTTTCATCAGTGATCACACCATGATTTGCACGGTCAAACAACCCTCCATATCGATCGTAGCTTCTCATGTTTTGCTACGGAAAAAGGGTTCATCTTCAACTCCAGTTCAGTCATGTTCCGTTGTTGTCCCTTCTTCCCATCTAAGGGAAAATACTCTGAGATCTTTGGTGTCAGTACAAAAGCCACTGCACCTTTCATGTGTTGGTTTGGGGAATTTTGTTGGGTGTCCGGTTAGGCGTGAGCGTGGTCATTTGGGGACATGTAGGGCGTATGAGGCTGAGAGACCGGAGGTAGAAGGGGCTGGGAATCCATCTGAGGCTGCTAAGAAGGTGAAAATTGGGATATACTTTGCAACCTGGTGGGCTCTGAATGTGGTGTTCAATATTTATAACAAGAAGGTGCTGAATGTATACCCCTACCCTTGGCTTACCTCAACTCTCTCCCTTGCATGTGGGTCTCTCTTGATGTTGATCTCTTGGGCCACCAGGATAGCTGAGCCTCCTAAGACTGATCTTGAGTTCTGGAAGACTTTGTTCCCTGTAAGTTAGTGGCTTTTGTTTGTTTCCGGAGAAAAAAAATTGATGGGAGAAAGTGAAAACGTGTTTTGTTTATTCATGTGTTATATATGTTACCTTGATTTTAAAATGTTTTCATTGCCCGGTTTTGTTGTGATTCTTGATATTGTGGGAAATTGCGAAGGGTGGTTGACAGGCCACAGCCATGGTGTGCTCATTGACATCCTAGAAAGCTTGATGTTGTGGCTGAAATCACTTTTAAAAATGGAATTTCGTTCCATCAATTAAAATCTATGTGTTTTGGTTTAAGACAGGTTTGATAATTTCATGAAAAAAAGAGAAAGTTTAATTCATTTAAACTGTGTTGATGAATTGGGAGGAGCTTTATAAGTCTTTTTTTTTTTTCTTTTTTTTTTTTCAATGATGAAAATTGAAGTTTTGGAAAATTCACATTTTTAGGATTCAAATGAGAATTGTACGATGTGTTTAGTGTTTGATGTTTTCCCTCCAGGTTGCTGTTGCACATACAATAGGACATGTAGCGGCAACTGTTAGCATGTCAAAAGTTGCAGTATCCTTCACCCATATCATCAAGAGTGGTGAACCTGCTTTCAGTGTTCTTGTTTCCAGATTTCTTCTGGGTGAGACCTTCCCGGTGCCAGTCTATCTGTCTTTAATTCCTATCATCGGTGGATGTGCACTTGCTGCTGTTACTGAGCTCAACTTCAACATGATTGGTAAAGAAGTTGCTTTTGTAATAAATAACGCTTTGTCAATTACATTCTGCTGCATTTTTGGTATTTTGTTGTTGAGCATAAATTTGATATGAAATAATAAACTGACTTGAGCTAAAATTTGACCTGAGAGAAGATAATTGGAAGGAAATTTAGTGGTTAAGGTAATATCAGAGTCCCCTCCTCCCCCTACTGAAGCAAAATGTTTATTACTGAACTTCTATTTATTTATTTCATTATTGTGTGTTAATGCTTTTGTTGAGGCATCAAGGCAAAGGATAATTTATTGCTATATAGTATACTTCGGTGCTTATGGTATTAGCAGAGGTTATGATAGAATATATTTCTCATACTTTTCTGTAATGGTATCTTTTCATGCCCTCTTGATTGTGATTTCATAACTGCTTTATTATATTTTTCAGGTTTTATGGGGGCTATGATATCGAATTTGGCATTCGTGTTCCGTAATATCTTTTCAAAGAAGGGAATGAAGGGAAAGGCTGTTAGTGGAATGAATTACTATGCATGTTTATCTATCTTGTCCCTTGCAATTCTCACACCTTTTGCGATTGCTGTGGAGGGACCACAGATGTGGGCGGCTGGATGGCAAACAGCACTCTCTCAAATTGGACCTCAATTTATACTGTAATTACAAGATGTCTACTCTGTCTGATGTTATCTCTATCTGATTTTATCAATGCTGTGTTTTCATAAAGGTGTTATTTTGAAATTATGATAAATTCATAATGTTTTCCCAACTACTATTGTCTACATCTTTTGTGTCATTTTCAGAAATTCCAATTTATTTGATATTGGGCTAATTATTAGTTCCTTTTTTTGAAATGTGAGCAAGATATCAGGGCAGGAGAGGGTAAGGTGGATGTGGTTGGATTGTTTGTTTTATGGAGTTGCTATGTAGTTGTAGGAAAATAGCACATGTATGAATTTAATGGTTATGCACTATCAATATAAATTTTACATAGATAATCTATCAGAAATAACTGTTGTTTTGGCTATTAAGGTAGTTATTGTGAAAGTCAACAGACATATCATATATTCTGGTTAATGATTGGATAATATGTATAGACTATTCTCTCTCTTAGTGAGAGCTCTATTTTTACCATAGAGCGAGAAGAGCAAATATTGACCTAATAACTAGAGATGGGTGATCCACTTTAACTTCTTGTTTACTTTGAGAAGTAATTGAAAGCAATTGTTCTTAAATTGACTGTTCATGGTTTTTGTTCAATTATAAATGATGTGATTTTTTTCCTTTTTAATTAAAGATCAAATGGGATTTGTTATTAAATACACAATTTTTATCGTTAAGTTTAATTTAATAGTTGTGATTAGATGTTTTTATTTGTCACAACAACAAAGTTCTCATTTGATACACTCCACCCAAACATATGCAGCTGACTGAAGTTTTATGCGAAACCTGAGTTATGTGTTTGGGTTTTCACACAGAAAATTGACCTGAGTTCTTTTGTTTTGATTTTGAGTTATCCATTATTCTTGTTCTTCATTAAAGCTTCTGTGCTTCTGCTTTATGATTAACATATGGTTGTTACATGTGCGCAACAGGTGGATGGCCGCTCAGAGTATATTTTATCACCTGTATAATCAGGTGTCATACATGTCTCTGGATGAGATCTCTCCTTTGACATTTAGCATTGGAAACACCATGAAACGTATATCTGTTATAGTTTCTTCAATCATCATCTTCCACACACCAGTTCAGCCTGTTAATGCTCTCGGAGCTGCTATCGCGATCTTTGGAACCTTCTTGTATTCACAGGTATTATCTAGATGAGAACTTTTCATAATGATATTTGATTTGTTGACTATTATACCCCTTTTTCTTATCATGCACTTAAGGGAACATAGGCATGCTCTCTATCTTACCTCTTAGTGCTTTGAGCCTTGGAGGATCCTTTGCAAAGGTTGTACTAGGGAGGATTCGGAGGGTAACCTCTGGGTGACAGATTGTCGGGTGATTAGGGGGACTAACTTCAAGGTGGAGGAACATGCATTGTCTAGTGAGAAAACTGTCTTAGGATTCTATTTCAAAAGATGTTTGGTGGAACAACTTGATTTTGAGTATACAAGAAGGAAAAATTGAGATTTAAAGTTTCAACAGGTCAGAGTCGAGTGCCAATTTACCTTGGATTGTGTCTATACTTTCCATGTAATGGAAAGATATTCTAAATGAGTAGCTTCACTTTGAATTACCACCTAACTGCTATGGTTTGAATCCACCATAGTTTTTATTCCTTTTCTAAATTTCTCTTAACATGAATGAGCATACCAAAGCTTCAAAAGTTTACTGCACCAACCACATTTTTTCACATCATGTTCTGATAGGCACATACCCTTTTTTTGGTGGTAAGAAAGAAATAGATTATATAATACTGACTATGTGGATAGCTTATGATATTGCTCATGATATGATTTTTTCTTCTGAATATAACAATTTAGTTGCAACTTTCAAGTATACACAATCTCTCATTCTACTCATTTTTGCAGGCAAAGCAGTAGGATGGAGGAGTTAAGAATAATCCCCGGACTTCTTTTGTAGTGGTCATAGATAAGGAAGTCAATTTTGGAATTGGATGATCTGGCTGTTTCGTCTATTTGTATATGAAAAGTAATAGTTAATAATGATGAAACTGCTGAGGAACATTATCATTAGAGGTTATTAGTTTTCTTAGTTCTCTTCCCCTTCTCTATTTCTGAATTACCATCAAGTTTGAGGAATGAATGTTTGTATTTGTTTACTCTGAGTTTCTCAAGACATGGCATATTAAAATAAGGTTATAATGATAATCCAAATTCTGTTTGATGCTCGATATGGTTCGCAAAACGTATTGTTCTTTGCTGACACTAATGAAGACAAGGCTTCAAATCTAGTTACTACTTATTTGTTCTCTACAATAAAAACTTTATATAGTTCTTACATTTAAAAACATCACCTTTTACTGCATATTTTTTTTAATTCTCTGCAGTAAGAACTAAAACTGATGGAAATGGTAAGTATAAAACGGAAAAGAGAAGTTTTGATAACTAAAAAGAGCGACTGAATATCTGAACTTTTAATAGCAGATGGACATAACAGAAGCAAAAATATCATATTTGTTGTGGTGATTCTAAATATCTATCTATTTCACACATTCAATTGATTGTGTTTACATGCACCCTGAGAAGACTTGTGAAGAGGTATAGGAAGGAACATAAAAATGTTAAGAAGTAGATGAGAAAGCCGAACCAGTCTGACGGTGAAACAGCTACATGCTGCTCTGCAATTGATATGAAGGAAAAGAGAGTGCCCCTAGTCACTGTGTTCGAACTTTACCTTCCAATATGCATCCTTGCAGTTAGAGAGATGATGCAAAAAAAAAAGTGTTTAGAGGAAGAAATCTGAGTCCTGAATTTGATATTTGATGTCATTGTGCAAACTGTTGTTTTAGAATGTATAAACTATTGAAGAGTGTAGAAGGAGGAAGCAGCAATGAGAAACTAGATGGGCCTCATACGAAACAAGTTTTTATCCTTTTCAAATTTTGGTCAACGAATGGTTTTTAATGGCTGTTTGTGGATGATATTTTTGAGGCTATTTGAAGCCCAAAAACATTTTTATGGATAAGGTTTTCAAAATTAAAAGCCAGAAGGAAACTAGTTTTCTATCTTTCCTACATATAAATTTAATTAAATTCTTACTCTTGTTAATTATATCATTATATAAGATTTCATCAAATTTTAAAAAATTATTTAAAGATTTATTACATTACCTAATTTTAACATATAATATGATATTTAAAAATACAAAATATTCTTTTCAAGATAATATATCTTCAAAATTTATATATGATTTCCTTGTGAACATAATAGAAGCAAAAATATCAATCAACTGAAACTTTTACCAAATGATATACTTTGAGTAGCTTTATATAGGAAGTGATTATTGTAGATTTAACTATTAAATTATAATTTTGCATCATCACCATCACTATCATCATAAAGTTTTGTTAAAATTGAACGATAATAAAAAGATGATCAAATTATTCATATTATATTTTTTATATTATTATTTTGTAAAGATATAAATTTATTAAATGTTTTAGAAAATAACTTAAATTAGTATACTTAATTTAAATAAATTATTTTCTATCTTATAAAAATAGTATTTTTTTCCTATTTTTCCTTAACAATCAATGCATGCTAAGTTTTTTGAATTGAATAATAGTGTGACATTATAAACAAATTAAATTATAAAATATACATTTAACTATTTTAATGTCATTTTATTTTACTAAAACAAGTTTATGTTGATTAAAAAAATTCAGATCAATTTTTTTATTAATTGTTAATAATTCCACTTAATAAATAAATATATTTAAAATAAATTTAAAATTTAATTAACAACTTTATACTTAAAATGAACTAAGAAAAGTAATGATTAAGATAAAACAGATCCCACTAAAAAATGGCAGAGTTACTACGTTTCTTTATTAATTTTACTTTTTTTTTCATTAAATCATTTATTAGCTGTTCTCTCTTCTTTTATATTTTTTTCCTCTCTCTTTTGTAATTATATAACAAAAATTAAGATAAAAGAATTAATAAGTTGCTTATTTCAAGGTATATAAAACTGTCATTTTCATTTAAAAAATTGAAAATATTTCTTAAAATTTGTTTCCAACCATGACAACCATGGAGGAGCTTTAAAATAAATGGTAAAACAAGAAGAAAAAATTAATTACATTTCTAAAGGTAACACCCATGAACCAGATCCAGCAATATTATAATAATTGATTAATATATATTTTTATACGTTTTTTTTTTAATAATTCAACTCATATGGCAAGAATTTTAAAAAATAAAAATACAAAAGAAGAAAAAAATTACAAAAATAATTAATTCAAAGCCTTAAATATTTATGTGTTGTACAAATTATCAACTTCTATAAAATACAAGATCTCAACTTTCTAACGTTCAACGCATTGCATTCATTAATTCTTATATACATTTCAATCCCATTGGAATATTTTAAACAAATTTGATTAACCTATTAGCCGTCTTCTCTACACCTTAATTATCAATCACTGTAAATAGCATATAGCTAGCCATGGAAGCGAGCTTGAACTGGTTCAGTGAGTTCCCATCTCAACTGCTTTTAACCATCGTTTCACTCCTCCCCTTCAAGGATGCAGTAAGAACTTCTGTCCTCTCAAAACAATGGTATTGAACATATGCAAGTTCACGCCAAACATAGAGTTCAATGAATTCTTTTTTGTTGAACCGAGTCAACATGTTGGAACAAGAGAAGCCCAGAGGAAGTCTTTTCTTGACTTCATAAAGTTTTGGATTGAAAACCACAAAGGAACTGTGCTGAACAAGTTCTCTTTAAGGCTATCAATGCCTGAAAAGGTTACTGAGGTTATTGATGGATGCATAATTTTGTCACACAAAGTGGGGTGAAAGAGTTGGAACTTGACTTTGCTGATCCGAACCTGAACGAAAATAGTGTTTATTTTTATGATTATCGTTGAATTGCCAACGCAGGTTTACAATTGTAGCCTCGAGTCCTTCAAATTGTATTCATGTAGCTTTCTTGAGACTGAAGTGTTTAGCTTTCATGAACTCAAAGAAGTTTCTTTGGGTTGGATGGAAGTGAAGCTCAGTGCGATCAAGGCTTTGCTTTCGAACTGTGAAAAGCTCGAGTCGAGAGTTTATGTTTCACAAAATGCTGGAGCTTGAACAATTTCAACCTTGGGGAAGAAGAACACGCAGGACTAAGAAAGCTGGTTCTGGAAAAGTGCCGTTTTGAATTTGCTCTTCCAAAGTCAATGCACAAAATCTCAAAATTTTCAAGTACTATGGCTTGATGAACTTTCTCACCATTAAAATCCACTCACCCTTAATGGAAGAGGCAGATCTTGACTTCTCTCTTGAGTACGGATTCGAAGGACATGGTCATCTTCTTTGCAATCTAGTGGAAGGTGTCTGTGCTGCTAGAGTTTTGGCCGTATGCAGTTTTGTGCTTCAGGTATATATATATATATATATATATATATATATATACCCTCAAAATTCACTTGTTAATTATTATCAATCAATGGTTTGTGTGTGATTTGCTAAGGTTATTCCAAGTGGACCCGAACCTCTACGTATGCAACGTGGTATGCGGCATTTGATCATGAAGACAGCTTTGCACACCAGAATGAGTTTATAGGGATCGCATTCTTCCTCAATAGCTGCCCTATGTTAGAGTGTCTCACCATTCAACTCTGTTCAGAAAAAAGATCTTTTTGTGAGTGTCACTTATACGTGCATTGAATTTGGATCTATAAATGTGTGGTTTTTTCTTTAAAGAGTTGCATTGCATGCATTCTAGGATTATGAAGCAGCGTGAGATTAACAGCATGACATTTTGGACTGACAACCTGGGAGTTTACTAATGCTTGAGTTCAAGTCTGTATAGATGGTTAAGATTAATGGGTTTAAAGGAACTGATGAGATTCTTGTGCTCAAGTGTTTCATCAATGGTGGAGTTTTCTTGAAAAAGATTCGCATAAACATGTTAAAGGATGGTTTCGGACGGACTGTGGAGTTCCATTGCCGTGAAAAGGCAGAATTTCTGTTGACAATTTGTAACAAGTCCGACGACGTCTCCAAGATGTTGAGCTAGTAGTTTTGAGGATGATTCTCCTCTTAGCTTTAGTGTTGTTACATTACTGCTTTAATTGATAGTCAGCCAACTCGAGAAGGGTTGAGGGTTCTGACCGGTAAAAAGATCGAGTAGAGTACCGGTGAGTGAAGTGTGGTGGAGTGCAACCATCAAACCGGGTGGTATTGTATCAAAAATAAGGATGGAGAGTATTTGGTATAAGATTTCTTTCTTGATTTTATAATTTTCAACAAATTTTAACTAATACTAAAACGTGTGCATGAAAAAAACAAATTGAAATTAAGTTTGATGGATTATTATACATTTTCGTTGTTCGATAATTGATTTTTCTGTATATGGCACAACACTTTTGAACAATAAATAGTTAAATAAAAATGAAATGTTTAGAATAGTTAAATAAAAATGAAATGTTTAGAATTTTGGTTGGTTTGAGTGGAGCTCATCATAAGTTTTAGGGAAATTTAAAGTCAATCAGTATTTGTTTAAATGAATAATATATATAAAAGACTATATACAATTAATCTTTTTTTCTTTCAATAAAGAAAAATTAAAATTAATGTTCTGAAAACCAACCAGCAGTTACAACCAGGACTAAAAATGGTTTGGTAATTACTTTTAAATAATAAAAAAAATCAGTAAAATCAATTGAATTTTTTAGTTGAACTGATTTTGATAAAAAAAATTATGATAAAAATTTGTTAATATAATTTTTTTTATAAAAATATAATATATTTTATTATATTTTTATCTTATTTTAATAGTTATTCATTTTTTTAATATATTTTATATTTATAATTTTTATTCTAATTTATAGTAATTATGAAATAATTTGTATTATTTTTATTTTTATTATAAAAAATATTATTATTAATAAACTTATTATATATTTATTATATTATAAAAATATTATTTTATTAAATTCCAATTACTAATGAACTTGATTAAATCCCAATTTAAGACTTTTCTTAAAATCTTATATTTGAGTATGTCATCATAAACTGATAAAATTTTAATTAAAAATCATAAAAAAAAACATATTTAAAAAATTTCCGTGTCAGAAAAACAAAATCAATTTATGAATCAGTATTCTTAAGACATTATTAGCTAAATAAGATTTACTTTTTATAGCATTTCATTATTGCACTATAGCTCTTTTAAACCCTCACTTATACTTATTTATCATTTCATTTTTTATGTTTTACGATATAATCTTACGATTTATTTTATTTGAACATTTCTAGAATAATATAATAATAATCTAATATGACTAATTAAAATTAATCATTAATCACTTATCTTATGATTTATTATAATTAATAATTATGATTGAGTTTATTTATTAATTCAAATTATATAACAGCTAACATTACTGAAATTATTCATTAATTCAATTAACTGAAATTATTTAATTAACATGACTGAAATAAGTTATTAGTTAACATTTTAAATTATTTAATGATTAAAATAATTTATTAATTAGAATAATTGAAATTAATAAATAATTATAAAGTTATATTAACATAAAAGAAAAGATAATATACTTAATACAACCTGTAAAGCTTACAGTTTGAGTTATTTTAAAAATTGAAACAAACGGCTATTTTCAAGAAATAACTGATTAAAAATAAATAAATTATTCTTAAAATTTATTTGTAAATGTTACAACCGTTGCTTGACTTAAAGAATTTAATCACTGCATTCATTATATAGCCAGTAATATTAATGTAATTCATTAATGATGTGACTTGAGAAAATTTTATTTATTCTAAATCCATTAATATTAATGGTGGGACTTCAGAAAATTTTTAATGTTATTCCTCAACGAGGAGAGAGATATGTTATTTTATGATTATTTTTTATCTCACATTTAATTTTTAATGTTTCATTTATTTTATTAAAAAAAAAAGAATTCAAGAAATAAATAAAAAATGAAATAGAGGAAAAAACGTACAGGTGAATTTGAGAATAAAATGATATAAAAATAAATAAATTACCATTTTAAATATAACCATCAAATAAATTATTTTTTTGTTTAATTTTAAAAAATTGAGAGATGAATAATTTTTAAAATATTATATATATATATATATATATATATATATTTTTTCATTTATGATATAACGAATTTAAACATTAATTTGAATTAAAGTATTTAAAAATACATTATTAAATAAAGTAAAATAATAGTTAACATTTATTAATATTTGATAAAGCGTTAATTTTGAATGAATGAAAACAGAGTTAGTATTAAGTATTTTAATCTCTCATTAAACAAATCGTAAAATGTTTTTTTTTTTGTATTTTTTATGAAATTTGATTTTCTTCCTTTATATTTTAAAAATTAATTAATTAATTCTCAAATTTAAACAATACGATAATTTCGTCCTTATATAGAATTATAAAAATAAAAATAAATATTAAATTTAAATATAAAATTATTTCATAAATTTAGTTATTCTATTAATTATGTGTAATAATAAAAAATAAGTATTAAATAATAATTTTAAACATAAAAATAGTAAATTATATATACTTTTAAGATTATAAAATTAAATTATTAAATTAAAAATACAAGAAATAAAGACAAGTTAAATAAAAAACATACTCATATCATACTTATCCTAAGTATGTTTAAAAAGATTAAAATAATTTACAAAATTCTATATAAACAGCTCAGCAAAGACATTTTATCTCAGGAAACAGATCAGAACATTTCCTCACACAGGGTTGTATTCATTGTCTTCTTTCTTATATATATACATTTCAATTCCATTCCTATTGCAAACAAAATTCACTAATCTCATAACTCTCTCCTCCACACCTTAATTCTAACTCACCTCCATATTATATAGCTAGCCATGAGAGATTTCCTCAGTTTGTTACCATTGGAGTTGCTTTTAATCATTGTTTCATTCCTTCCCTTCAAGGAAGCGGTGAGAAATTCTGTCCTCTTTAAAAATTGGTTCAAGGCATGCAAGTCCACCAAAAACGTAGAGTTCAATGAACTCTTTTTCGTTAAACCGGACCAATCTTCTGAAACAAGAGAAGCCCAGAGAACGGCTTTTCTTGACTTCATCAGAATTTGGATCGCAAACCACAAAGGAGCTGACTTGGACAAGTTTTCTTTGAAGTTGTCGATAATAGGAAACGTGGGTGAAATCATTGATCAATGCGTTGATTTTGCCACACGACGTGAGGTGAAAGAATTGGAACTTGACTTTACTGATTCGAGTTGGGATATGCATGAAGACTACTTTGCAGATTATGAGGCACCGTTTGAATTGCCAAGACAGACTTACGCACATATTGGTCTTGAGTATTTAAAATTATATTCGTGTAGTTTTCTTGAGACTGAAGTGCGTAACTTTCGTGTACTCAAAGAAGTTTCTTTGGGTTGGATGAAAGTGAGTCTCACTGCTATTAAGGCTTTGCTTTCAAACTGTGAAATGCTTCGGAGTCTGAGTTTTAAAAGGTGTTGGAACGCAGAAAGTTTTCACCTAGGGCAAGAAGAGACCGCGGGTCTAAGAAAGTTTGTCATTGAACGTTGCCGTTTTGGATTTGATTCTTTCAAGGTCAATGCACCGAATCTCAAAATTTTCAAGTACTTCGGGCGGATGAGATTCAATATAATGACAGAAATTCATTCAACTGAAATGGAAGAGGTGGATCTTGACTTCACTTTTGAATATTTATATCAAGGATATGGTCACGCTCTCCACTGTCTGCTGAAACAGCTCTCTACTGCTAGAGTTTTGACTGTATGTAGTTATATGCTTCAGGTATACATTGTCCATCACTTTTTCTCTCTGAAAATAATTTTGTTAATGGTTATACCATTTAGTGTTGTATAATGATTTTGTAATTATAGATTTCACTTCTTTGAATTGCTCCATTTCTGTGTGGCAGAACTGAAACATTGAGCTACAATGATATCTAAATTATTTTAACTTTGTGTGTGATATTCGAAGATTATCCCTAGTGGACCTGAACAACTACAAATGGAGCATAGCATGCATGTACGACATTTGATCATGAAAGCGTCCTTGCACGAGGATGAGTTGTTAGGAATCGCATTCTTCCTCAACAGCTGCCCTATATTAGAGTGTCTCACCATTCAACTGTGTTTAAAAAATGATCTGTCTGTGAGTATAACAAGTTTAGACTTTGAATCTGCTTTGACATGTCTATATTAGGCTAATAATTTTTGTTGTAAATATTGAAGGATAATGAAGAACCATTTTATTTCAACCTCATGCGATTCTGGGTTGACTTTTTGGGAGATTGCGAATGCTTGAGATCAAGTCTGGAAGTGGTGGAGATTAATGGCTACAGAGGAGAGATGAATGAGAATCTTCTGCTCAAGTATTTGATCTTTAGTGGACTTCTCTTGAAAAAGATGAATATAAACTTGTTGAGGGATGAGTCCGGTAGGCTCGTGGAGTCTCACAGTCGTCAATATGCAGAAGATCTTTTCACAATTCACAGGGCTTCAATAGACTTAGAGATATCAATATATTAGTCAATAAATAATATTTGAAAGTATTTGCATCAAGAATATTATTCTAAGCATTTAGTTTCTATCAAACTGATACCGGTTATATATATATATATATATATATATATATATATATATATATATATATATATATATATATATATATATATATATATATATACTGAATTGGTTGTTATTTAAAAACATTCAATTTTATAATAACTTTATTCTCTCAGGCTGAAACTTGGTTTTTATCTGCAGTCTAATATTCAATTGTGAAGGATCTGCAGATTTATGTTTGGTAGTATTTCATCAAAAGAACAAGGATTCATAAAGACAAAATATAAATTTAATTGTTGCTTTTATGGCAAAAGAAATGATAAATATATTCCCCTTTATGACAAGTTGGAAACTAAATATAATGAGAAACATGATAACATAAATTTTTATGTTAAATTGCCCCAATTACTTCTCATTTATGTTCTTGTCATTGCGAGATAGATACTTGAAAACATTCTACACCCGATCTCACTGTGGCCTCCTCCTCTATAAGATCTTACTGCCTCAAGTGATTCCACGCAACTTTTTGATTCTCAGGTAATAAAATTGTTTCTATTAAAAAGCAGCATAGAAGAGGTCGAAGATAACACCAAAAAGTTATCTCCTTTTGACACTTTGTAATTTTATAGAAAATACTTAAATATAAAAACTATAAAATATCTAATTGGATAACAAATAATAAATTAAAAATAGACATGATGAGTTTACATTTAGAATTATTTTTCAATTTTCCCTACATCACTTTTTTCTTTTTTATCCTTCTATGGTTTTTTTTTCCTTAACTGTCTCAACCTTATATCATATTTTTTACATAAAGAGTAATTTTCATATTTTCACCTGGTTATTCAAAATATTGAATTAGGACTTCATTGAATTTTCTCACGATCGATCTTAATATATTTAATATATTCTTGAAATACAAGATTATGAGTTATTAAAATAACATATTGTCACATTAGATTACAATAGAATTCAATAAAATATAAAGATCACGGAAAAGATAATATAGTCATTGAATCTCACAAGCAAGGTTGACTAATGCTTGATATTTTGCTTTGAATGATGAATGAGAGATAATAAATTGCTTCTTGGATTTCCAGGAAATCAAAGAAGAATCAAGAAAAACACAAAATCAGGTGATCGAGGGCGAATGTCCAAACAACAGGCCCAGTCCAAATCAGCAAAAGCAGATAGACGAATGTCAACAGAGGTAAAGAAAAATAATCCTTGAGCAAGTGAACCTTTTAAGTATCTAAAAACTCGGATGACAGTTTTATAATGAACATCAAGAGGCTGAGTCATGAATTGATTAAGCTATTGTACAGAAAAGGCAATGTCAGAACGCGTAAGTATGAGATATAACAGTTTACCGACTAATCTGCGATAAGCAACAGTATCAGAATAAGGTTGTCTATGATTAGTCTGAAGTTTAGTAGAGGGATCAGAAGGAGTGGTAGCAAGTTTAGAACCAAGTAAATCACTATCATCATGAAGTTCAAGAGTGTGTTTATGTTGGTTCGTGTGAATGCCGGATTTGGACTGTGTAGTTTCTAATCTCAAAAAATATTAAAGAGCACCAAGATCTTTAATCTTAAATTTAGTATCCAAGACATATTTGACACAATTAATTTCATCCACATCATCACTAGTTAAGACAATGTCATGCACGTAAAAGAAGAGGGAGTAACCTTAATAAACAAAGATTTATCAGTGGAAGATTGTTTGTAATTGAGAGATGAAAGAGTGGTAGAAAGAATATTGTGTCATTGCCTATTGGCTTGCTTAAGTCCATACAACGACTTGTGAAGTTTACAAACCTAAGAATAATCTTATGGAAGTAAACTAGGTGAAGAGACCATATAGACTTCCTCATGAAGCTCTTCCTCAAGAAAGATATTATTCACATTAAGTTGGTGCATAAACTACCCTTTAATGGTTGTTATGACTAGAAGAACACGGGCAATGGTGATCTTGACAAATGGACAGTGTATCAAAATAATTCACTCCCTCTAACTGAGTGTAGTCCTTGGCCACTAAGCGGACTTTGTATCTATCAACAATATCATCTGTATGATATTTAACTTGTAAACCCATTTACAACCAATTTGACTCTTTCCTTGTGGGAGATCAACAATAGACCAGGTGTTATTTTGCTGTAAAACCTATAATTCAACATTCATAACCTTTTGCCAACAATACAATTTAGATGCTTGAGACAACGTAGTAGGTTCAGAAATGTTAGTAACAACAAAACAAATTTTTTTACAAGAGGAATTGCATTGGGAATAATCAAGAACTAAGGATAAGAGATGCAAACAAGTACCCTTAGGAGGATATGTGGAACTGCTAGAAATAACCGCGAAATGACAATAAAAATCTGTTAGGTAAGAGGATGTTCTGGTGGATTGTCAGGCGGGACATGAGAACTTAGGTTCTGGTTAGAGTTTATAGTAGATGGAATGTCTGTAGTAGGAGGTAATGAATAGGCTCGGGCAAGGATAAGACATTTAAGGTTGGAAACTCCACAACGACAAACGATCATTTTAAGGTCAAAAACTCTACAGCGATGAACAATCATTTGAAGTTGGAAACTTTATAATGACAAACGACTATTATAAGGTCGAAAATTTTACGACCGTACGAGGTTGGTCTACAAGTCGACCTTACAAGATCGAAATATCTTATAATGACCCATAAGAGGTTGAGATATTCTACAATGACTCATAAGATGTCGGAACACTCGGTTTATAGGTCGACCCAAAGAGGTCAATCCATAAATCGGCCTTAAATGGTTAGTCTACAAGTTGACCCGTTGAGGTTGGTTTATAAGTCGGCCCGTTAAGGTCCATCTACAAGTCGGTCCTTTGAAGTCAGTCTACAAGTCGCCCTTGTGAGATCAGTCTACAAGTCAGCCCTTTAAGGTCGGTCTACAAGTCGATTTTGTGAGATCGGTCTACAGGTTAACCCTAAAAGGTTGGCCTATAAGTCAACCCTAAAAGATCAATCTACAAGTCGACTTGGTGAGGTTGGTTCACAAATTGTGGATGAGATAAGACGCATCATACAAATATGTAATTGATTGACCAATGTAATCGGACAAAAGACAGGGCCTTGTAATAATCAATACATAAAACCTCAGCGTTTAACACTCGAGGTTGGGGGTTGTGTAGTGTCCAGATCCCCAACCTATGTGGTCGGACTAAAGATGAAACCTTATAACAATCAGATACATAAATTCTCAGGATTTAATACTTGAGATTAGGAACTGTATAGTGTCAGATCTAAGTAGTCCGATCCGTTATAATATCCAAGTAGCCTGATTTATTATAGTATCCTACTAATCCAACCGGTTACATAACCAACCTAATAAATCAAACATGTGATGAATATTTAATTATAAGCTCCAAAAATATAATCTAAATATCTACCCTCTAACTTACAAAGAGAAAGATATTAACCTAATACTGAGGATAAAGACAAGAAAAACATTAGGATTAAGAGAAACAAAACAAAAAATATTTTATAACAGCCACCTAAATCAATAGGTCAAACAAATTATTCACAATAATTAAATTTATGTAACCACTTTAGCAAATTTGTCTATTCTTTTTAAAATAAAATTTAATTTCTTTCATTTTTATGGTTTCAAATTATGTCATCAATTTCTTCTATTTTTTTTTTCTACTTATTCCATGCCTCTTTTACAATTTTAAAAGTTAGCAAAATCTATGGCCAGGTTTTCCCTTACTTTGGCAAGATATTGTATATCTCTATGTTGGCGTTTGAGCCAAGATATTGGCTTCTTCCTTTCTAAAATAAATAAATAAATAAATAAATATTATATTATCACGTATAAATTATCATACATGTACCTTAATGAAACATGTACAAAAATTCTCAGACAAATTATAATTCCTTTACGGTTTTTTTACTAAAAGGGAACAATTTTTCTCCAATTTTATTATAATTGATCACCTTTAAAAATTACGAGTGAATTAAGTGGAAAAGTGGATTAAACGATAGTACGTGGGACGATTTTAAAGATGAAAAAGTAGTTTTACATAATTTCGGTATAATTTTTTTAAATTAAAATACGAACTTAATTATATCCTTTTTTTAAGTAATATATATCATTACAAATTAATTTGATTTAAAAGTAACCCGCTTTTAGTAAATTTGAAGAAAAAATTACTCCTTTTCATTAAAAAAAAAAAAAGTCTTTCCTTTGCATTACGATAAATGGCTATACTCATTCAAACAGACACAAGTTTTATATATGGGTTACGTAATTTATCCATTAGTCCTTACATTTTTGCGATTTAAAACAAAATAATTGATAGTTAATTAATACATAACTATTTTAAATATAAATTTTTTTATAATGATATACTTTATTATATATAAAAAGTTTTATTCATAAATACACCAAAAATATAAAATATTAAAATTGAAGGGAGGTTTAATTACTTTATGTAAATTGAAATTATAATTTTTAAAATTTGGATAAAGCTAAAATTTAAAAGTGAAAATAAATTTGTAATGAACTCAGGAGGATAAAGTTAAAACATCATTATTATTTTTCCTCGCGTTAAAAATTAATTAATTAAATGTTTACATTTTTTATTTGACATCAAATAATTGTTTTAAAATTCAGAATTGATTTTTAAGTTAAAATGTTTTCAAATAATTCTATTTTACAACAAAAGCATTATAGATCCTGAATTTTAGTACTAATTTGCTTTTAGAAGAAAGCATTCAAGTATAAACTACGTTTCATCAAAATCATTTTTTTTTCACAATAATTTTTTTAACACTCAAATTCATTCTATCCTACACTTTTATTAGACAAATACAACCAACATATTTTTTTCAATAACTTAAATTTATCATAAATTGCATATACATGCGCTTTTTATTCTTGTTAATTCGGTCTCACTCATTGTTCCATAATTTGTAATAAATGTTGAACTGTATTTATAGCATTAGAGAAAGAAAAGTATTTCATACAAAATTTATGCAGAAATAGAATTTCTCTTCCTTTATCAGCAGCACACGTGGAAAAAATATCAATGCCTGTGGGCTTTGACCTCAGCCACGACAGGGGAAGCTAGACAGAAAAACCGAGTCACAACATGTCAAGTTATCACTCTCTAAGATGTGTGGTCAAAATGGCCTGTTGAAACATGGAATTTTTAGGTACCTAGGTGGTGGTGAATGGTGATAGGTTCCTAGTCAATAAGAAAAGGTTGACTTGTTTTCTTCCTCGTTCTATTTTTATTCTCCTTTGCCCTGATATGTACATATAATTCAGTGTAAAGAACAATTTAGAAGTCAATTATGGGTTCTCCAACTCTCAAATTTCTTTCTACTGTCCATGGCAAGTTAAAGAGCTTGGCCATGATGAACTTGAAAATTTTGTTGACATTTATGTTGTGAGTTGCACTTGAAAAGAAAAGGGTTGCCTTCATTGCCTTTGCATATGCCCTTGCCTGTATGAATGTGCCGTAGCAAGTTAAATTTTGAAAAGCCAAGGAATGTGATAGAAAGTAAGACTTTATTTAAAGTGATAACTCTGAATTTGTGCCAGAAAAAGAAAGTAATGGAATGTGAACATCACTGATCAGACTTTAATCAACATGTAGGCCCCAAAGGGAATGCTAAACGCGGAAACATAGAAGTTGATAATGACAAATGCTGAAGTTTCAAACAAGACTCTCATTTATTAGAAGAGTTTTTCTTTGTTTCTGAGTCAATCAAGGATGCTTCAATAGGGGGAAAATAAGCAAAACAGGTAATTATCATTCATTCATTTACCTGTGTTACAATTGTCCATTGCACATCTGGGGGAAGTCTAACGAAATCGTCAAACTTGGTTCCTATTAGAATTGGGATTGCACTCTGCAAAATCAACAAAATTTCATAAAAATGTGTCAAATTTTAAACAGTATCAGCCTAAAACAGGATATATATAGTTACATTAACAAGCCATTTTGATATCTTAATTCTTAAACAAATAGTAGTATACCCAGGCTCTTCAATAATCGGTTCCTCTCTCTGTTTAGTGTTAATGCAAAAAACAATGCACCATACCATGTGCAGTTATAGCAAAGCATGATCAATATCATAATGCAGATACTCTATCCATATGAACTACTTCAAAACTTGTCTCGTTTTTTTCAAAAGAGTTTCCATGCGAAAAGCCTTTGGAAATTACACTTTAATTTAAACAGTGGCAGTCACTTTATGAAATAAATTCAATTCAAGAAGTACTACTCTTGAAGCCCTGCAAAATTAAATTATTGTACCTGATTCCACTTTCTTGCTTCACTATACCATCCAACAACACTGCATGAACATTGCAAAGTACAAAAAACGCAAAGAATCATTATTTCTGTCATTTACGTTTCCAAAAACCCTCCACCGAACTCATTACTCAGATAATATCTCTCAGCCTACCTATTTAGTGTACAACGACTGGTGAGATCGAACATAATCAAAATTGCAACTGCATCTTTACAAGCCATGGGAATTTGATCCAGGGACTTTTTATCACCTGCACACGCCACATAATACTTCACCATCAATAATCAATTGAAAAAAAGCACCCAGAAAACTAAGAAGAATAAAAATAAGAAAAGCAAAGGTAAAAGTACAGAGTGCAGAGAAATAAAAGAAAAGAAAGGTAAAGTTTAAGCAAAGCACCTGCAACATCCCATATTCTGAACGAAATACGTGCTCCTTCAACTGACAAAGTTTTGTCCATTAGATTCAATCCTTCCATCTGTAGACTCCTCTTTTCTTGTTCATTCCCTACATACTTGATCTGGTGGTAATAGGAATTCACATAATAACCCCAACCTTGTTAGACCCTTCGAAATGAAACACTGCTACTACACTCGACCCATTTCAAAAGAAATAAATAACTATGTAAGGAAGGAAGTTTAACAACAGAAACTTAAAACTTTTCATAGTAAAAATTCTCAGTATTTATTTATGACAAACAACTTAAAAACCATATCAAAATTAAATTCAAGTCTATAAATAGGAAAATAAATAAATAAATTTTGGTGTTGGAGTCAAACACTAATTCCTGTATACAAATATTCTTTTGTACACATAGATAACAGAAAATCGAAACCAGATGTTTAATAAACAAAATTATCTGTAAATCATGATCATATTTTGAATGCAAAGTTATACACAAGTTTACCACAAAAGTAGTTTTTCCAATATGGCAATCACCCAACAAGCTGATCTTGAGGTTCACCAAATCGGAGTCGGAGTCATAGCCGCAAGTGGTGGCAGCGAGGAAGGCATCGGAGTCGAAGGCGGACGGCGAAGAAGAGGGGTCCCGGAGGGGTAATTTCCGGTAGTGGGATGGCCTTCCGGCGACGGAGCAAACGAGAATTCTATTCCAAATGAAGCGGAAAAAGTGGCCAACGAAGGATACCCTTCTGAGGACGCCCCACCGGACGTCGACCTGAACGAATTTGCGGCAGAGCTGAGACATCTTTCTAGAGGTTTGGTGAATGATCTTGGCCATGATGGAGCATGGTTTTCTTGTGAGCGAAAACGTTCACATAATAGATACTACTTACTACCTATTATCTTCTTCTTCAATTGGATGCAGTTCTTAGGTGTTGTTTATGTTGTTGTCGTTGTGGTGCGTTTTTGGGTTCTGGTCCCACTGTTTAGTATAGGGGACAGTTGACCGGTATTTTTCACTTCCCTTCCCCAAAAGCACCGTATGCCGCCTTCTTGGTTTCTGCGTCGGGATCCCTACTTTTAACAAGTTTCAATGCTGGATAGGTGATACGGGCAAAACACTCAACATAATTTATACTATTTTTCACACAAATATTTTCCTGAGATTTTTTTATTTATTTTAAACTCTCGACATTAATCCAAATTTAATAAAATTTATAATTTTATTTATTATAATTTTGTAGAAATATACTTTTTATAATCAAATACATATTTAAAATTAAATAATAAAAATAAATTAAATTGAAGAATTTAAATAAATTGAAACTAAAAAAAAATAAAGTTTAGAAACTAATGTTGTGGCTTATTCTTTAATCTATGTGTATGTTTGTGAATTGTCATGATGCATTAGGCATCTTGTGGCGTTTAAGGATAGGATTAAAAACAAAACCGCATGAGGATTTATCTGCTGCGGAGAAGGTGCACGACGTGACCACGTGGCTTTATTTCTGCTTCAATCTCTCTACTTTAAATAATAATAATAATAATAATAATAAAATAAAATTTATTCACATGCCTGAAAAAAAGTAGGAAATAATTTTATTCAGATATATTCTTGCTCGTTATTATTGACATTCTAGTATTAGTTTGAATCCAAGTATGGAGAAAATGATTACATGTATTAAAAGATTGAACCGTTAGTGAAGGTGACTCTTCTCTAAACAAATAATAACTAATATTTTCGAGTTCATAAATCAGACCTTTATATACTTGTCATTTGCTTCAGATTTTTATTTAAATATATATATATATATATATATATATATATATAATTATATCTTCAATAATCTATAATGAAATATTTATTATCATTAATGATAGTTGTAAACTTAAACACAATATCTACTAAAAAAGCAAAGATTTAATATTTAACATGTGAAACACGTCTAAGATTTGATAAAATATTTACTAAAATAGCAACAACTAATATTTGGCGTGTTAATAAAACACAAAAACATTTAGCATGATAGACACGTCTAATATACTTGAAGTTAAATTTTGAATTAGTCTTGCTAAAGTCAATTAGAAAATTGTCATAGTAAAATTAGTAAGATTTGATTTTAGTTGGTTTGTAGAAGTGATGATGAATAGAGGAATTAGAGGTTGTAGATTTGTAGTAAATTATTAGTGAGAAATTATATGATGGTAATGTGATTGGTGGATCTGAATCTAGTAATCAACATTAAAGTTAAAAGCATTTGATAAAGAAAAAAAAAAAGCTGCTACTAGCCTGCAACATTTGTAATTTTTTTTATCTCCCATCCAAATGTATGATTAAAATTTAAAACATGGTTATCATATGTGGACACACTATGACTATTATATTATATTACTCATGTTTTTATTTTATGTTTTTTTATTAATAGATACCATCACTTACCAACCTAGTTGAATCAAGGGATGAGGTTATAGTTTTGTGGAATTAATGCTTTGAATTTTGTACCTATGCGACAAATTTAAAATAAATAATAATATGTTCTGGAACATATTTTAATATTAGTTGTACATCACTAACCTTATAGACTTCAACTCTAACTAGAGCAAGGCATCTAAACTTTTATGAATAATTAAATCCACCAACCTATCTATCTATAATATTATTTTATAGTTTTTAATGTTAATTTATTTTGTTAGTTACGTAGATAATTGGGTTTGGATAATGAAATAAATGAAAAGCTTCGCACCAAGCTCATTCTAGTATGTAACCACCGTAACCACTGCCAAAATATAATTCCACTAACATGATTTTTTAACATAAAACCATAAATATCGAGAATTTTATATATTCTTTTAGTTGAATTACGGTGACTTGCACGTAACTAGATCACTGTGGTTGATAATATATATTAATTAGAATAAAAATTGAACTCAGATGAAAGTGAGCTAACTTCAACGTAGGTTTAGTATATGTTGACGGGTAGTAGTAGAAGAAGAACACAAACACGAACACTGAGGACGAAGACACGTGTTGAGAAACAGAAAGAAAGTGAAGATGACACGACTAGGAATTATGGTAATTGAGTGATGATGGGTACTTCGCATATTGATTTTTTAGTTATTTGACGGTGGAAGTTTGGTAAAGTTTAAGTAGGTTTTGTAATGTTCCGCTGTTCGTCCTCCACAATCTCACACTTTCCCTGTAGTTGTTGGGACTTAGAGAAGATGGGATTACGTGTGATAATAATTTAATAATTATATTGTAATAATTATTTGAGATGTAGGTTAGTTATTCTAATAAATTTGGTGATTGTTATTTTTATTAATTGTATAATTCAGTTTTTATATTGAATATAATTATATTTAATGTATTTTTTTCTGAATATTTTTTTATACTTATTTTTAGTTTCTTATTCATTAATAATGGTATAAAAAAGCTTCAAGATAAAAAATTAATAAAAAATGATAATAATAATAACTTGATTGTGTGATAATATGTCGATACTCAATAGCTAGAACTTAATGAGTAGGATAGTTTGTATGTGATAATAAAAGTCATTTTTGTTATTTAAAAAATCTTAGACGTAGTTCTGAATGGATATGAAGGGCTACCTAAGAATTTTACTGAGGTGTAGTGTGCGACGTTTCAAGAGGATAAGAGATGTGATTGTAAAATTATATTCTACATTCATCAGTGTGTTGATGAAAGTAACTTTGAGAATATTTCAATGACAAACTCAGCAAAAGAAGCATGAGATATACTGGTGCACAGTTACACAGGTAGAGAAAAGTTGAAGGTAGTCCAACTGCAAACATTACGTCATTAATATGATTTGTTACAGATAGGTGTAAGAAACGATTCAAGAATACTTTGAAAGATTGTTGTCAATCACAAACTTGATAAAGTCTTGTGGTGAAAACTTGAAATAAAGAGCGATATTGCAGAAGGTGCTGAGAACCCTTAATGTTAGGTTTAATATAATTTTTGTAGTTATCGAAGTGTCTAAGAATCTCGATTTATTGAAACTTGATGAACTACATGGATCATTGAAGGTTCATGAACAATGATTATATTAGAGAATGAAAGAAAGGTCCAACACATAACAAACGTTGTTGATAAAAAAAAAATCAAAAGAATAAAGGAATAGAGGAAAATCGAACAAAAGAAGTCGAGAAAAAGGAAGAGGCAGAAACAATGGTGGATGAGGCTCAAAAGGGAAACAAAAGAGCTCTTCACAGTCAAGAGGTGATAGAGGTAAAAACTCACAATGGAAAGATGGTCGATCAGGCTTTGATGCGAGTAAGAAGAATGTATAATATTATAACTATTACAAGTATAACCATTATGTTACTAACTCTTTGAGCAAAGAAGAAGAAACAAATGTTGCACAAAAAAAGGACTCGGAGGATGAAATGTTATTAACAGTGACCACGAAGAAATCAGTGGAGTCTTTTGGTGACTCTTGGTATTTGAGCACTGGTTGTTCGAATCATATATCATTTCAGAAGAATTAGTTCGTCGAACTTAATGAGAATATTAGATCGAAGGTAAAATTTACAGATAATTCGATAGTGCTTTATGAAGGGAAAGAAAGAATAATGATAAAATAAGAGATGACAAATCTACAATAATTTCATATGTTCTATGTTCTAACCATAAAACACAATTTTTTGAGTATTAGTTAACTTCTTCAAAAAAGACATTTGATCGATTAGAGATCAAGGAAGCAAATGTTGAGAATCTTTGATAATAATGAGACACCAATTTTGAAGGAACCTCTGAGTAAGAACATAGCTTTTCGAGTCAATATTCCAATATCAAATAACTTGGGTTTTGTAGCAATAGCCTTTAATGTCAATTGGTTGTGACATTTAAGGTATGGTCATCTTGATTTTGATAGTTTGAGTCAACTTGCAGAAAAGGAGATGGTGATTGGATTGCCTCGAGTCCAAAAATGTAAAGACATATGTGAAAGTTGCATGACAGGAAATCAAGCCAGAAATCTGTTTAAGGTGCACATCAATATTAGAAACAAGGATGTGTTATAAGTTATTTACACCAATGTGTGTGGACCCTTAAATGTTCCTTCATTAGGTGGTAAAAGGTATTTTGTGACATTTATCGATGACTATAATAAGAAAATGTGGGTATACTTGCTCGAGAAGAACTCAAAGGCATTTAATCACTTCATCGATTTTAAATCGATGGTTGAGAAATAATTTGATTGAACTATTAAAGTGTTGAGATCAGACGATAATGAAAAATACATCAATGGTGAATTTGCATCATTTTGCAAGAAGAACGATATTTTGCATGAGATTATACCCGTATACACACTACAACACAATGAAATTGTGAAAAGAAGAAATCAAACAATTTTAAATATAGTCAGAAGTATATTAAAGACCAAAGACTTGCCACATTTGTTTTGGGGAGAAGCGGTATCGACAATAATATACAGTTTAAATCGATGTCCAACAAAGAGAGTGAAGGAGAAAATACCACAAGAAGTATGGTCTAGGAGAAAACCAAATATAAAACACGTGAAGATATTTGGTTCAATTGCATGGAGGCATGTTCTAGTGGAGAAAAGGAAGAAACTTGACGATAGAAGCCAGATGTTAATTCTTATAGAATATCATTCAACTGTTACGTATAAGTTGTACGAGTCTATAAAGAATGAAATCATCATCTGTAGAAATGTTGTTATTAATGAGAAAGATTACTAAAAATGATGTTCGATGGTGAAAAATTGAAGTGTTAGCTTCGATACTCAGGTGATGCAAAAATCAAAGTCTATGTCGATCAATTTTTGAAATCGAAGATGGTGAAAATCAATTGATATCAGAAATTGAAGCAGAAAAAAATTGATCGGTTTCTGAAATTGAAGGGAGGAGAAATCGACCAACAAGATCGATTAAAACACCAACAAGACTTAGTGATAGTTTAATTAATACTAATGATATAATCATAACATCTAGACAAATGATTGGAGAAATAGAAGACGAAAATGATCTTGTACACCTAACATTGTATGTTGATGTCGACCCTGAACCGATTTTCTTTGAAGAAGCAATCAAGGATCCCAAGTGATCGAAACCATGAAAAAAGAGTGGTTGACAATCGAGAAAAACAAAACATGTGAATTAATTGATATCCAAGAGAATCAAATGCCAATTGGAGTGAAATGAGTGTATAAAATGAAGTTGAAACCGAACGGAATAGTTGCAAGACATAAAGTCAAATTTGTAGCAAAAGACTTTCTACATAGAAAATGTTTAAACTACAAAGAAGTGTATGCATCATTTGCCAAGATGGAAACAATAAGAACAGTTGTAGCTCTCGCCAACTATAAAACGTGGCAGATGCATCAAATGGATTTAAAATCTGCATTTTTGAATGGTGAATTGGAGGAAGAAGTTTATGTTACACCACCACCACTAGGGTTTGTGATTACAAAGAATATAAGGTTCTTATATTGAAGAAGATGTTGTATGACTCGAAACAAGCCCCAAGAACCTGAAATACTAAAATAGATGGTTGTCTTTGATAACAAGGATTCTTGAAGTGTGAAGTTGAGTATAGAATTTACTCGAAGATCGAAGGAGATAATATGTTAGTTGTTTGCATGATTTTTTTATTACACACAGTAAAATTAATTTGATTAATAATTTAAAAAGAAAGATACAAAATCAGTTTAAGATGACCGATTTAGGGATAATTGATTTTGGCATTCTATTATCAAATATTACAAATGAGAGTGGAAAATAGTTGTTTGGATATTCTGATTCTGACTGGGTTGAAGATAAAGTTGGTTTCAGAAACACATCAAGTTATGTATTCTTATTAAGAAAATGACTGATTTCATGGTGTTTGAAGTTATAACCTGTTGTGACACTCTCCTCTTGTGAAATTGAATACATGGTTGCTGCTTATACAACTTGTCAAGCATTATAGATTGAGAGTTTGGTGAATCGAGTCCTTAGAAGACCAAAGAAGACTATGATATTGAAGATTGACGATAAGTCAGTCATCAATTTATTGAAAAATTCAATTTATCATCAGAGAAACAAATATATCAAAGTAAGATTCATCGAGAGATGAAGTAAAGAAGAAAAAGTTTAAACTTGAGCAATGTGGGACGAAGGAACAGGTTAATGGGCATTTTGACAAAACCTTTATATAATGAATATTCGAAGAATAAAAAAAGAAATTGAATATTAAATTGATTGTTGAATTAGAATATCGTATTAGATAATAATTTAGCAATTATGTTGGAATGATTGTTTCAATTATGTTAGTTAACCTAACAAATCTTAGTAAATATTGTCTCTATAATACAATTGTATAATCTATTTCTTATATTAAATATAATTATATTTAGTATACCTATTTCTTTTAATACTTTCTTGACACTTATTTGTAATCCATTTTTCACTAATAGATTATACTTAATCGATATCTTAAGAGTAAAATTCAACAAAAATTTATTATTGATTTCATAAAAATCATAATCTTGCATTAAAGAATAAAAATATTTCATTTTTAAAAAATAATTTGATGAATTAAGAGAATAATATATATATATATATATATATATATATATATATATAAAAGAAAAATAAAGGTTACCATTTATCTCAAATCTAAATAATATAAGTATATATATCGTAACATAACTCTCTTTTAAAGATTAAGGGAGAAAGAACGCGAAACACCAACTTAAATATAGTGGTCTCCAAAAATATTCTTTCTAAATATTGATAAGAACATCTCAGATCTATCACCGACTTATATTATTGAACTTTAAACAAGAATCATAAGTAATTTTTATAATACCTTTTTCAAATTTCACTGACTCACACAATAAATATCAATAGATTATATATAATATATATTTATAATATATATATATATATATATATATATATATATAACTATTTTTATTTTATAATTACATAATTATTATACATACATGTTTTTATGTTGAATTTCAACTCTTCATATAATGTTATTTTTTATTTTTTTCACATCAAACACACGGAAAATGATATTTGGGTTTTAATGAAATATTAGATACGATTAATGAAGAAAGGGAATAATAGAGTTTATAGAATTCATGCATAAATGTAACTTTATGGAAGACAGAATAAAGAAAAACAACGTTTTCAGAGGTTTAAAGTGGCCTATAACCTAATTAAAATGACCAAATCTAACCAATTTTTTCCCATAACTTTTTCAATTGTTTCACATGTTTTCTATAAATTTGGCCTTAGCATTAATTCTCCCACTAATTTTTTGGTTTTGGTCTCGTCACCAGCATTAAAGAAAAATGGTTTCATAGAGGTTGAGATTCCTGCCTATTGAGAAATTAACTCATCTTAAATTAGAAATCAATCATTAGCCCTAATGTCCTACAATCTCACCCTACAAACAAACTTCCATAAATAACCTATAAACTGAAAATATAATAAAATTTTTATAATAAATTTAACCAAAAATAGCTATTAATTGTGTTAAAAAAGTTATGTAACTTTTTTTTTCAATATATAATTATATATTCGTTAGAGGGAAAGTGTTAGGATGAACTCATAGTTCATAAAGTGTTGGTTAGCTTTAACGGAGTAAAGTAGTTAGGTAGTTAATAATGACGCTGTAGAGCTTGTTGATAGATTGGGCCTTGAATGGCCAGTTTAACAAAAATCAAATGTAAGGGAGGCCCAGTTTCATTCATGGGACCTAGGACGACGATGTTTCAAGAGGATCTTTTGTCTTAGAAACCAAACTACGCACCTTAGTAAGAACATCAGAATGGGAAACTGTGGACTACTAGTGACAGCGCAAAGACATGGTAGAGGTTCTTCTACGACCGTCACCTCCTCCACCTCACTATGCTACTTATCCCAGGTAGCAAATCCAACTTTTTTCTCTCCTTTATCGTTAATTAATCTTGTAATTTGTTGCTCAACGTGTTTTTTTCTATTTATTATGTCCCTTTATTTGTTTTCCAATTCTGGAACACCCCTTATATTTTTCTCCTAAAATTTGACGTGTTGTAGCTTTTCAGTGTTCATATTCTCGTCATTTCTGAATGAATTTTCCATTTTATACTCCCAGGGTTTTGTCATGTAATAACGATCTTTTAGTTAATTAGATGATACACTCCATTATCTTCTTTTTTTTCCTCATTGTGGTCCTTCTCTTTCATTGGGATTTAAGTGCATTATTTGTCTCTTAATAAGTAGATGCTGTTAAATGTCAACTCTTTTTTCTAAAGCAAGATGCTCAATCCGGGATTGTGTGAATGATTTTTTGTAATTTATTTTTCGGTGTCATTGTTATTCAAATGGGGTGACATTTTTTTGTTCCAGACAATGCAGGACAGTGTCAGGTAGAACATTGGTAAAGTGCTCGTTGGAAGTCCCAAGTAAGGTTCTGACCAAGCATGTCTTATCTGGGCTTACTGCTTCTTTGTTCTTTATTTCTCCAGCAAATCAGGTTTGTATTTTGTTGTATTCAACAATCCAAGAGTCTTGCTTTTGACATTTCAGTTGAGCACGCAATGTCATGAAGTCATATCTCCAGTACCCATCCGGAGGACTTATCTAACATTCTCAGATTAATATTCCTGAATACATGATAACAAGGTTTTAAATCATGGTCACAGTTTTTTAAAAATTGCATGATAGTAGTTTATAGATTCTATAGCTATAGTTGTTCTTAATCTTTTCATGACTACACAACTATGTGGACATTGGATGAAGCAAAACGCATCGCTATGAGTTATTGTAGTTTCCATTAGCAGGTTGCATTACATTCTTATGTGGATCTCTTTACTCATAGATATTTTGTATTCATTCTTTATTTTTCACCATATTAAAGTTCTTACAAAGGCGGATATTACTATGGAATCACGGCAAATAGAGAATGCTTTTGATTGATAAAGGGAATCTATAAACAAGTGTTTATTATTATGATGAATGAGCTGTTTTAAATATTTGCTCATTTATTTCATCACCAGTCTGTTGCAGCAGATCTCTATCTTGCACAAAACAATATATGTCAAATTGCCAGTGCCAGTGATACTGCACTTACTTCTCCATTCGAGAATGGATCTAATGAAAAAGGTGCAAATCTAATGATGATGAGAGGTATGACAGCCAAGAATTTTGACCCTGTAAGATATTCTGGAAGATGGTTTGAAGTTGCTTCACTTAAACGTGGATTTGCTGGACAAGGCCAAGAAGATTGTCATTGCACTCAGGTAATGCTAAATAAATATAGCAGTGAATACACAAGACAACATTTGGTTCAGAAAAGAGCTGATTATATTATTCATAACAAACATGTGTGGAAAATTCTGTGATTCAGTAGTAGTGTAACAGTCACTACATCTTAGGAATAAGATCTGTTATATACCTTTATTTGTCATTGACAAGCTTCTTCATATTAATTTGGGTGTAGTAATGACATTTCAGGGTGTATATACATTTGATAGGGAAGTACCATCTATCCAAGTTGATACTTTTTGCGTTCACGGAGGCCCAAATGGATTTATAACCGGAATTAGGGGAAAGGTTCAATGTCTTTCGGAAGAAGATTTGGAGAAAAATGAGACACAGCTTGAGAAGCAGGAGATGATAAAAGAAAAGTGCTATCTCCGCTTTCCTACATTGCCATTCATTCCCAAGGAACCTTATGATGTGATTGCTACTGATTATGACAATTTTTCTCTTGTTTCAGGAGCTAAGGATAAAAGTTTTATTCAGGTATTTACAGAGCTTAAAAATACAGCTTAAATACTCTTGAATCTTGAACCATGTCATTCAAAAGGCTTCTTCTGAATTTTCAACGATGGCATACATGACATCTAATGCTAATATTGCATCATAGATTTCTTTAATTTGTGGTTATTAATCAATATCACAGATATACTCAAGGACACCTAACCCTGGACCTGAATTTATAGAGAAGTACAAGTCTTACCTTGCAAAGTTTGGATATGATCCAAGCAAAATTAAAGATACACCCCAGGATTGTGAAGTCATGTCCAATAGTCAGCTGGCTGCTATGATGTCAATGTCTGGAATGCAGCAGGCACTTACAAACCAATTTCCTGATCTAGGACTGAACTCACCTATTGAGCTTAATCCCTTCACTAGTCTATTTGACACTTTGAAGAAGCTAATTGAGCTTTATTTTAAGTAATAACTATGCTTTGTTTTAAGATATTTGCTCCTGTAACCAAAAGCTACCACCCTTGATACTTATCTGATGAAACCCTGTGGTATGGTTTATAATGCACGCAAATTTTCATATTAATCACATTCTAATGTTGAAAACAAAAGACTTATTATTACGGATTTCCCCTTCCCAATCGACGAAAACAGCTTCATATACATGTTAATGACATAAATAAATAACATATTTCATTCTTCATTAACATATTTATACTTTGATAAATTTAAAATATTTAACTCTCTGGATTCTATTTGTTAAGGTTCCAACATAAAACCAATTGGCCATATGTGGAGTAGCCTAACTTGTATTTAAACCATACCAAATGATATAAGGTAGGCGATGTGGGACTTTCAACACACCCCCTCCAACGACCCAACTAAAGGGCAACTTTTGGCCCATGACAATTACCGGAAAGATGTTAGGCTTTGGCTCTGATACTATGTTAAGGTTCCAACATAAAACCAATTGGCAATATGTGGAGTAGCCTAACATGTATTTAAACCATACCAAATGATATGAGGTAGGCGATGTGGGACTTTCAACACACCCCCTCCAACGAAGTCCGCCGGACCAGGCAAAGGGTACTTTTGACCCAACTAAAGGGCAACTTTTGGCCCATGACAATAACCGGAAAGATGTTAGGCTTTGACTCTGATACCATGTTAAGGTTCTAACATAAAATCAATTGGCAATATGTGGAGTAGCCTAACATGTATTTAAATCATACCAAATGATATGAGGTAGGCGATGTGGGACTTTCAACACTATTAATGACAAAATTTTGACAAAAATAAAACTGGTTTGAAATATAAGACATTTTACAATTTCAGTAAATTTAATTTTTATTTTTCTCTAAACATCTCGGTTAATGACATGGTTATGTGTGGTGCTATTAATTGATTTAATAATGATTAATAAGAATAAAAATGAAAGATTAGTAAAATAATTAAAAATAAATAAAATTAGATATTTTTATTATTAATTATTTATAAATTATGTCTTTTTATTTTTTTTATAAATTAAGTGTCTCTTAAAGATATTCTTTATAATAATTATTTATGTCATGATGAATCCTAAAATACCCCAATTTGAATCACAATTGCAAGTATTGTTAATCCACCTTAATGTCACCAAATGAGTTTTCTACTGTTACTCCCACTTCAATGTCTCAAAATTGAAAATTACTAATCACCTAAAAATACTCGTTAATTTAAAGTTCTTTTGAACATAATTAAAAAAAACAATAATTTTTGTTAATCTTAAAAAAAAATGTACTACTTTTGTTCTTCTTTTATTTTTTTAAGATTGTTTTGAATAATTTAGAAGTACAATAATTTTTTTATTTTAATGAAATAGTCTTACAATTTATTATTTTTATCCTCTTTTTCTTTTCTCTCCACCCAATACATTCCCTATGTTTCTTTTTATCTGTCAATTTTTTTACAAAAATTCCTTCCTTTTAATTTGTTACATTTCAAAGTTCAAGAGAGTCTTAATTATATTTTTTATCAATTATATCTTTGCATTGATAATTAAAAAAATGTGATTCAAATTGATAAACCGCATCAGTATACACGTTCAATAAAATAAAGCACATTTATTATACTCCTATGTAAAGGATAAAAAGGAATGGATAGAGTATATATATGTTAGAAATATAATTAATAAACAAATAATTAATATAATTTTAATTTTTTAAAATGATGAAGACAATTTAATAGAATATTATTTTTTATCAAAATTATTAAATAATAATATGGCCATTACTTAATTTATTTAATTATTTTTATTAACTAAATATATATTTGAAATATTAAATTATTTATATATTAAATAACAGTCTATTTTAAAAAAATATTTTAAAAATATCCCAATCTAAATTAATTAAAGGTGAATTGACTTGAATTAAGTATAATAAAATGAATTGCATAAGTCTAGTCCAATTAATTAGACGAATTAAGTGTATGATTATATTAGTTATTAGACGAGTTGACCCAAATTAAATTAAATTTATTTGAGTTGGTTTAGTTTGGGTTATTTAAATATGAAACTAGACCATTTTGACCAATCTAGGGTTTAACTTTCCTATTATCCAATTTGTCAACCCTATGGCCTTACCTATTTATAGTTGTAACAACAAAAATAGTTATAGTTTTGAAAGAACAGGTATATTCTTGAAATGCAGGATATGGATAATATAGTAAGGACATGATCCTTTTTCATGAATGAGACACTCCTTAGCTTACCCGTGAATGATATCACCGCAAAGGCCGTGACGAGGGTCCAAAGGCACAACTTCCTCAAACTTTCTCTATCTCTTTTTGGGTAGTAAAGTAGGGTGGCAATAATTTATGCAGATGAGTAGAGTAACATCCTAATACAGTTGCAGAACAACAAAATTTGTGAAGGAAGAAGATACATGAATCTTGCTTCCTGGTTTCCTCAATAGTTGCTTAGAATGATTTTTAAAAAGTGTTTATAAACTATAACACAAGATTCATCTAACAGACCCCACATGAGTCTAAATTACAAAGTAGATAGAGGCAACCTAAACCAAATAATCCACCATTCCCTTAACATGAAAGCACTTAAATAATTAGTTGCTTTCCTGATTTTGCTAGCCTTACTATTCCTTGCCAACAAAAACACCAATTTACTTAAAATGTCAATGGAAGAGATCATCCTATCCTACCTATCTATCTACTTTTACCTTTCACATGAATCCCATCAGATCCACTCCACATTGACAAGGGTTCCAAACAAAGACCAAGCATGTACTTAGGAACATGATGAAACATAAAAAGGTGGTATGGTAGTTAGGAACTAGAGTGTTATAACTGCAAGCACATGAATGTAGTGATCATGTCATCAACCAATCTTTCATCTTCAAGACCTATGCCATGCATTTCAGAAATAAAACATAAAGTGAAGCATTCTTGTGAAATCACGTCTCTTGTAACAAAAGAAATGCCTCAGAGTCTCTGCAGTTTCCCCACTGGAACAAACACACAGACAAGCCTTCTTAAAGCAAAAGATTATGCTTTCTCCCCAACACCAACCAAACAAAGCATGCATAAATCCACCACCCTTGGCTCAAAAAATATGGCTGAATTTCCTCCAGTAGAAATAGGAACCCGAGGCACAGTTGCATCGCTTATAATGCAAGAAATCGAGTACTTCAGCAGGGTTGATTCAAATTCACAAAGGAATAAGTTTCAAATCACAGAGGTGGGTTCCTCCATTAGTAGTACAAGTTCTAGAACCACAATTGTAACTACAGTAGAAAGTACAAAGAAAAAGCGAGTGAGTAGTAAGCTTTTACCAAGTATGTGTTCTATGGTTGATGTATCGGACAATGGTAGGCCTAGTGGGACCTCTGCTTTCAGTTACAGGAACCTGAAGTCTGACACAAAAAAATTTCAGGTTTAGATTATGCTCTCGGAGAGCTTTGAAAAACCAAGCTTCTTAAGACGACTTGCTAAGGGTGTAGCCCAAGCCTTTTCTGCATTCCCACATTTTATGTCCACAACTTCAACAATGTTAGGTATCTTTTTATCATTTTTCTCCCTCACTGGAGTTCTGTCCACTGAACATTTATCAGAACCTAGCATGGGTATTCTCTGTGTATTTCTGCCATTAGTTTTTGATTTTTGGGGCATGCCATTGCCAGGGCCTCTACGATTTGTGTTTTTACTGCTTCCACTGCTACTCGCTTCAACTGATGATTTTCTTGGTTGTAGTCTTTTTTGGGTAGTACTGCCACAGGGAACTGAAACAGGAATTGTTTGTGCTTTACTCCTTGTTGAAGATACCTGTTTATTTGGGGCAGAAGAGACGTGATCCAATTCCCTTGTCATCAAGGAACTGATTGTTCCCGTGGTGCCAAGCTTGACGGATCCTCCTCCACCTTTTATGGTCTCCATCCTCTGAGCCATGCTCCTATTAGTATTACCTCAAAATATCCCAGTCCTTGAAATGGATGCTCCTAGCAGAATTATTCAACGATCTGTCTGTTACACAAATTACTGTCATCCAGTGATTTGAGATGTAAAGTCATATATTTCTTACAAATTAATTAGTTTGGTTAGTCTTCTATTTACATGATTGGACAAACTTTTCTCCAAGCAAATGAATTAAATAAGTTAAAATAACTTGTGCACTTTAGCTTTTTCAGAAATTATTCAAGAACTTCTATAACAGATGAAGTACATAAGTTAATTTTATCTTGTAGAAATTCATTTGATCTTATCTTTTTCTCTTGTAATTGTTTATTGTGAAATTTATTCAAACAGGAATTAAGTTAGGAACAAAATAAAGATATGGGTGGCATATTATGCAAGAGTAAGAGGGATGGGGAGGGGAGGGGAGTTGCTAGATTCACTAACAAACAATTCCAACATCAAATCAAAAGCAGCAGAACAGCGATTCTGAAATAATTCAAAAACAGTAACCCCCACTTAGCTTCTACAGATTTTAAGCTACAAAATAAGGAAACCCGTTTTCCAGTAGAACCAAAACTGATAGCATGGAAAAAAGAAAGATGATTCAAGTTGTTTCATTCATGAAATGCAGGTCAACAAGTTGAAACATCATAGACTGTGCATCATGATTTCATAGCGAAACAAATCAGGTATTCATACGCTGAAAGGTTCTCTCTCACAGTATGCCATGAAACAACAATCACACGTCATAACTTCAGGATGAGAATGACAATTCAACTACAACAATCTATCATTACATCGTCCATCGAAAGAAGGCGAGAAAAAAAAAAACACTACCAAATCACAATGGGTAGGTGAAAATGAATCGAATCTAAATCACCATTCCACGTTAAAGGAACCCAGAGAATGGTAAGAGAATCCATTTTCACCAAAACTCGAGCAAAAACAAACGCAAGAGTCATCAAATTTGTCAACTTAAATAAACATACATATACAAAGAGAAAACCAATGATTTCGTTTGGACAAAAATAAAAGCAAAACATAAAGGCACAGACTTCCAATTCAATCAAATTGCCTCGCTTCAAAGAATGGCAATCTAATTCCAACAGTTAACAACCCATCACTAAACTACAGTGCCGAGGAAAGAACCAACATTTTAGATCCACACGAGAAAGCATGAAAGATAAAAAAGAAAAAAAGGGAAACAAAAGTTGGGTATTGTACGCACTGCAAGCTTATGGCTCCACACTCATGCAAAATTGCAGATTCGAAACAGACCCAACAGAGGTAGGGAACTTTTTTGTGCTAAAATTGTGTGAAAGTGAAAGTTGGGAGGGGAAGAGTTGGAGAACTTTGTGTTCTAGAAAAAATCATATCTAATCCAACCAACTTTAGGACACTATCTGTGTGTCTTGTTTTGGAGTTGGGCATCCAATGCTCTTGATTTGACTCTAACATGGTTATGCAAGACTTAACTTTGCCACCAAATATTCACAACTCATTATGAACAAATCAAATCACAATCATCAACTAAAATACTTGGTGGAAATTATTTTATTACTTTATTTAATTTATTAGACACACAGCTAAAATAATTTTATACACGAATTGAAGTAATTAATGGAGTTTTTACCAAGTTTATGATTCAATTGAGTTTGTTTCATAAATTGTAATTAATTTATTAAATTTGCTGTAAAATAAATTATCCAAAAGGCAAGTTTGAAAGAGAGAAAATGAAGGTGATGAGTTGAGAGTTGGCTAAAACACTCATCACGTGGGTTACAGACCGACCAAGGAGACAGGAAACAACTTATTATTTACCCGCTCACCTTCCAAAACTATTAATATTATTATTAATTTTATTTTAATAAGTCTTTTTCTCCTCAGCTATTTGAAATTTTCATTTTTAATTTGTAAAATAATAATTTCTAATTTCTATTCTTTCATTTAAATTAAATCCGTTAAAAGATAAAATTTTCAATAAAAATTCACTTATTTATATCATATTCCATACTAGCGACACATTCATTGTAGTATGCGTCATAGCACGAATATGTCACATATCAATATATGGGCATATCACATGATATTGATAATGATGTCAACTGACATAGTGTTTTTTTTATATATTTTTTAAAATATAAATTTAATATTAGTTTTTATTTATATTTATTTTTTATTTTTATCATTATAATTTATATTGTGTATCTTAAAATTTTAGTTCGTTTTTATTTTTTATATTTCAGTAAATTAAAAAAAATAATATATAAATTATTAATAGATACGAACTAGTTTATCGAAATAATATGAATTATTTGAATAAAATGTTAAAATTGTTTGGTTTGAAATAAAAATGAGTAGACTGAGATAAATAAGAGAAGTGGTGGAGAGAAAAGCAAAAATTTGTAGGTTAAGATACAATAATAAGGAAAGTGTTTACTTGAAGAGTTAGTGTTGATCTTCAATTCAATTTGGAGTTTATAAAGGATGGAAGTTGTTTTTAGAAGAGTACATTATGTAGGTTTTTTCCTTGAAATTACATTTTATAATAAATAATTAATATTTACACGTATAAATTATGTGAGTTTTCTAAAAAAGGTTATATAATTTTTGAGTAGTTTTGACTTTAAAAAGGTTTTAATTGGTGCGGTAGACAAAGTCAATGTCTGAATAAATATGATTATGGAGTGTGGAGTCATGATCCACATGATTGATTGTGGTAGGTCTACCAAAACTGCTTCCCGTCGAATTTATTCATCCTTCATTTAAAACAAAAAATCATTTCTAGTCCACAACATTGGGGGAAAATAAAACAAAGTGGGTTGGTTAAATTTTATTCCAAAATTTCCGTTAAATAATTCTATGAATTACATATAAAATTTAAATATAATTTTTTATTTATTTTAATTTAATATAAAATTTAATTTAAATGAATTTTGTAATTTTTGTTACCGTTAAATTATTATATATATTTTAAATTATAAAACATATTTTAAAAGAATTGTCCGATAAAAAGTTATTAAATAAACTATATATTATAAAATTTAATTATAATTATAATTTTATATCTATTAAATATATAAATAAATTATGCATTTTCATAATTAAAAATTATTATCAAATTTTCAATAAATATAAATATATTTATAAATAAAATATATCAAACTTTAAACATAATTATTAAAAGATATATATATATATATATATATATTAATAATTAACTCCAAACATATAATAAAATATTTAATTTGATTTAATTTTTAGTTTGAAATTCAAATTAAATTGTGCTAATTAAAAAATAGATTTAAAAAATATAATAAAACTTCAATTTTGATTATAGATAAGATTTTTACTATAAATATAATAAAAATATATTTGATTACAATTTTAAGTAGAAAGAATTCCATCTTGACTATAATTAACTTTTTGACTCGGTAAAAATTAGGACCTATCAACTCCATATATATATATATATATATATATATATGAACTCAACCAAAAATATCATAAGAATCTCAAGGTCAAGTCATGGCAAAAACAAAGAATAAAGGTAAAAATGAAAATCAAATAAATAAGGTGAGGAAATAAAAAAAAAAAGAGTCATATTAAGATGCATAAGGATAAGAACATGGTTGATTCCTCACTTACAGAAGATTTCCAAGATAAAAATCTATGCTAGAAATACCAAAATCTCACTCAATCTTACAAAAGAAAGCTTTATTTCATATTTCTCGAGTATGTAAAATACAATAGAGGGATATAGGACGAAAAGATATATTTGAAAAGCTTCTTAAGGTAGATAGGAGATGCAAAACAAACCATCCAAGGACCATGTATCTATGCTGACCCAAAAACAAGGTAAAACAATTCATTTGACAAGGGTAGCTAGCAAACAAAATAAATAGCATATTTTATATTAAAAAAAAAAAGATATTAGGGATGTTCGGTTACAGAATTTTATTTGTAAGTTACTTATTTATATCGTATAAAAAGTAAAAGCATGAGTGTATAGTTTGTCCATGGTCCAGTCTTGTATCCCATTTGTTATTGTTCACAATATCATATCACAAAATTCATTTGTACAGAATATCTCACAATTCTGCTTCATATTGCTGAAAATTGTCAATCTCAATTGTCACTGGTTACACTGATCATTTTTGCATGCAAAGTGCTATATAACGGTCCAGGTATCATTACTAGATGTTTCTACAATGAAGTATATGTTTGCAACAGATCAACAGAAATGAAGATAAATTCATTCTACAATAGTCTATATACAATATTGATATAGTTTGCATCAACCAAAAAGACCAAACTGGTACATGATGCAAGGCATAAAAATAAAACCTGTCAACTAAAGAAGTAAAAAGCCGAGGCCAGAGGTTTTGGCCTTTTTCTTCCTTCTAAGTTCAACGTGTTAGGCTTTGGTATTACCAAATCATCACACTGAAAATTCTCTAAAATTGTGTTATGCTTTGGTGTTATCAAATCTTCACACTGGAAATGATCCTAGGATGTCAAAAACCTCTATAAAAATCAAGCAAATGATTACATTTATGGCATATTAATTTTACCTTGAAAGTAGAGGCACCAGAGTAGTAGCATATTTTGTTTGCAATCACCAAAGGAGCATGCAGCCAAAGCTATCTGAATGAGAACACATCTCCAAACAGTACAGTAATGGCTTTCATGCTGTATAAGGGAGTACCTATTTACCAGAGTACCAGTTCTGAGCACACTTAGCATCAACAGAGAGGTCAACTTTAAGAATATTCCTGCCACTAAAGGGTTTGGACATGCACTCAACGACTATGGACTTTGCAACCTCAGCCGATTCTGTTGGTCCTTCCAATATGACTTCATCATGAACCTGCTTTGTCAAATAATCTTTGTGAAAAAATAACAAGTTTGGAAATAGATATATGAACATTAATAGTAGTTAGGAATTGTAACTATTTTGTCTCTAACATGCATTGTATAACTGCCAGATTAAGGAAATCACCTCAAGCTTGGAAAAACAAACTACTTTTGAGGTAAAATATTTCACTAATGGAACAATATTGTCATGCAACTGTTATTACAATGGGTTATAAAAATCACTGCAACCAAGAGAATGTGTTCATGAATAATCAACAGGAAATGAAGAAAAAAAGGACGAACTACATAGGTATCACTTAATTTATCCAATGATCCATAGAACTTGTTGAGACAAAAGATGCATAAATTATTGATTACATAGTAAGCATATGCATACGTAGTAGATATGTCAACCAAGCTCTCGATTGGGTATTACTTAATACTTATCCCCCCAATTCCCTTCCCAACTCCGGGAGCGAGAATGGATAGAATTGATTATTGAATCAAGACTCAAGTAGAACATGGCAAGTGAGATCAGGTGTAGTTTGACACTCCAATAAAATAAAAGGGAAGCAAGAAAAATTGAAAAAGGAAAATAGAGGGAGCACTATACCTGTAGAAGTAACTTCCACCCAAGTTCCTTCAACCGCTTATTCTTGGAAATTTGCAACATGGCGCACATGGCAACATCAGCTGCACTACCCTGTTGAATAACACAAATCAGAAACTCAAAAACAAAGGCTGCATGTGGGAATGGGACCAAAGTAATGGCATCTCAACTGAAAGCATTGGGTTCTTATGAGAGTCAGAGGAGTGAACCCCTGTTTGTTCATGCAAGCATATAGGGCTTTTAATAGCAAAATCATGCAACCTCAAGCCTTTTTACAATGGTTAAGTTGAATCATAGTTAGTTATTAATTACGATGGTGTAAAAGATATGTTTAATAAATTAGACATTATAAGTATATTTAATGAAATAGTAAGTAATTCCTTATATTTTTCAGAACATATATTAATGTTTATATTAACATTTAATTTTAAGTATTATGGAATACTATGGGCATTGTCATGCACCAACAATCCCAAAAGCACTTGAATGACTTAAATGTTGTATTTCTTTATAGGCACAAATACATGAAAAATTAAAAAAATAACCAAATAATAGATTTCAAGAAAGGAGATTCCTGATAGGAAAGATTACTAAATAGAAGAATGCAAGATAGCCCTGTTGTAAGATTAAAACAATCAAGCCATATTCTTATTCAAAGCTCTATGCGAACTACCATTTCAATATAAACTTTGGAATATGATATTTTACAAGTGGGCTCTAAAAATATTATCACATCAACTGTTCTTATCAGGAAAAAGTTCAAAACTAGACAACACAAATAATTCAGAACATTTTTTATTTACTAACATGAGAGTATAAAAACAGTTTGATAGATGAGTGAGGAAGACACTATTGATTTGTTTATTAGAAAGAGTTAAAGACCTGCACTGGAGTATTAATAGCAGCTCGTTCAATGTGACCTTTCTGATATTTGTTAGCTTGGGCCATCAAAGGGAACCGTCGTGCTCGCCCTAGCAATGTGTGGACACAATGTAACTCATGAGCTTCCTTTTTACGCTCCTCTTGCCATTGCAAAACCTCTTTTCTATCATTGTACCAAAGGTCAACTGTTTTCTTAGCATCTTTCACAGAAACCTGAGAGTAGACAATCAAATAATAAATCACAGACACTTGTGACCTGTGTGAATACCTCGTAATAAGTGAGAGTTCAGATTACCTTCCAATCCTTGGAAAGCCCCACAGGTGTCTTCCCGTATGCAATTGAGAAGTTAAGCATTTTAGCTTTTCTTCTTTCAGAACCAAAGGCATCCTGACATGAAACGGGAGAAAAAAAATAAAAACACAATCAAATTATGAAACAGATAATTATAAGTTATAATGATAAACTGCTAAAACAAGTTATTTCATATCTTGAGGGACAGGCACCAAATGGTGTTAAACTACTCAATGCAAAGGTACTTACTACTAGTAGCAGACAACTACCTTCAAAAGAGGAACTGGGGGTTTATCTTCACCGGGCTTAGGATGCCACTCAAGAAGCACTTCCTTTTTCTCAACTGCTTCACGAATATATGGGTACATATTCATTGCAGTCCTTGAATGAAAATCTCCACCAGCTTTAAAAGCTTCCAACATGCTCTTACAGTCTGCAAGATGTGCCAGAATCCGAAGTTCCAGCTGTAACAATACACAAGGCTGTTAAAAGAATGAAATTTATTGAAAATAGTTTAGTTAGATATACAATATAGACTTTTAACCTGTCCATAATCAGCAACTATAAGAGAATTCCCAGGTGCAGCAATGAATGCTTGACGGATTTTGTATCGGTCTTTTTCCAGAGCAGGTTGATTCTAATTCATGAAGTGTATGTGTTAGGTTATGTTTCATGAAAGTCAATGATTAATCGTCTAGGTGTAATACTCATATGTGAATTCAAAATACAAATTGAATATGACTTAGATGCATTGTGCCAGCCAATTTGGAATTGCAATGAAGTAACAAAAAATGCATCAAAACGAAGTAGACATCAAATGATTACATAAATGTGTATACAAACCAATGATTAGTTCAAATGATTAAGATATTTTTAACTTAATGAATAAACTAATATGAAAGAGTGTACGTTTGAGCAGAGATGTCAAGAGCTAACTCTTGAGCTTGAGACATTAGATAGATAAGGCCTAAAAAGGGTAAAGGATAGAGTGGAGGTCCAAATCGGACTTATATATCTAATAGGGAAGAATCATTCTGAAAGGAGAAACTACATCTTGTTTTAAAAGAAAATGAAAAGCCACCTACTAAGAATTTAGTATCAAGGAAACTGTATGACACCAATTAGTGAAAACACAAGCACACATATGAAGGTTGATGGTCAAATCTCATATGCATAGTACTTCTAATTTCAAGTTCAGAATAACTACCGTTAAAATGAAAATTCCTAATCAAAATCGTTAGACGATGCTGATCAATATTGCAAATTAGAATAACCTGCAGATTTGGCCTTCTTGCAGACAAGCGTCCTGTTTCCGTGTTGATATTTAAGGAACAATGAACACGGAGATCTTTTCCAGATATATTATGTCCCTGACAAAGAGAAGCTGAAGCTATTATAGAGCATATATAAAGAGCTTCAGTGTAAAAAATATAGACATGCATTTACTTAATGTAAATGGTGGCACAGTAAGCATAATACAAAAAATCAGTATAAACTCAGATCAGGAAATATAGACCATCTTGAATAAGTATTTATCCTGCACACCAAACTTACAAGTATACCAAAGCATAATACAAAGCCTCTTATTTGCTGCTGATGTTTGTATAGTTAAAATATCTGTCTATAAATATCCTATTTAGGAAAAAAAAAATAGAAAACATCTTTAGTTTATCACGAACAATATGTATTATATTGAAGTTTGTATACTAGTTTCAACATAAAAGAGATATCGGGCAAGCTCAAGAAACTTCAAATTGCAAACAAGCAATAAAAAAAGTACCTGCAAGGGAAGGATGAAGTTAGAAATCAAAGAGTTGATAGAACAAACTTGACATAAAGCAGCAATTGCATGGCAAGCTTCTCTCCCTTCTTCCTCTGTTGGAAAAGCCGCATAGGCTGTTCCATAGGCAGATGTATCAAGTTTTAGAGCTGCAACTTGACTTTGAGAAGAATTTTCATCTTCATCATCACGATCCAAGTTACAATCGTCATTAAAAAAGTCATAATCAGCAGAAATATTTCCAGCCATGGCCTTTAAAGCATCACCACTAACTGATGGCCAACCAGTTGCTGTGTACATCTCAGTCTTCAGGTTATAACCTAGGCTCGTCACCTTTATATCACGAAATTTTTTTGGAGCCTTCTTTCCTTCTTCAATCACATTATCAACATTGGGAATTTTGAATACTCGTTCAGTGGGAAGTGCCATGCTGGAGTCCTTTCTGTAATGAAGAATGTGACAAGTGAAAATGAAAGTTTTACTTCAATCTTAGATCCTACTTTGTGATAAAGAAATATCAAGGTAACATTCAATAATACATTAAACATACGAATAGCAAAATACTTCAGTTTTTTACTAGCAAATCATTAATATATTGAAATTGAAATAAATGTTACATGTACGATTTTAAAAATGCACACCTGTTCAAAGTGCCACCAAAAAGCAGCTGGCGCAACTGTGAATCACTTCCCACATTCATATATTGGGCATCAGGACAATACCTACTTGCCCATTTCCGGAATCTATTAGTAGCTACCTCTTCCTCTGCTTTGGCCACCTTTTCTATGCTTTCAAGATAAGCCCGATCAACTAGCATTCCCTCAGATTCCATCTTGGCTAGAAGCTCACCAAATGGCTGCCAATATTCATTGTAGAAATCATACATGGTTTTCCCATAAACTGGTACACCATCAAATTTCCAGGGCATGTCTGAAAGATGGCCCTTTAGGCTCTCATACAGCTTCAAAGTGCTGCTAGCATCTAAGGCAGAATAACATATCCAAGGTATACGCTCATCTCTCTGTAGCTCTTCCACAGGAGCAATGATACTAGTTTTACCCTCAGATCCATCTTTTTTCACTTTTTTCTTACTAAATATAGTTTTCATTGATACCTTACCAATCAAATCCTTTTGATGGTTCAGCTGAGCCCTAGACATGACCCTTCTGTCGCCTGTAAGCCCTTCAAGAGAATAACCCCCATCCAAAAGTCTTGAAGAGTCCCATAATCGGGCCATGTGCATTGTATCAGCATGAAATCCAGAAACTTTGAATCCATAATTCTCTATAACATGAGAGTCAAAGCTATAATTATGCCAGACCTACAGAATGTACCAGTAACTCAGTTATTTCAAATATGGTTTGTAATATCTGATTGTATACATAATCAAACCCAGAAATTTAATGGCAATATGATTTTAGAAAAATAGAATTATTTTCCATTCTTGGTAAAAATCACTGAGAAATACTTCACTAATAAAGAGGCCTGCAGATAAAAAAAAAAGAAATATTTTTCCCACCAATTAGCTCATCGTTGCAGCAGAGGAAGGAATGAGTATTTGCCAGGCTTAGCCCAGAACAACTCTATACAACTATTTTAAATACTGGAGTCTTACAGGGAAAGCCATTCCCCTATCCTTCAAGAGGTCATGCTTACCTACATGATCTATGGAGAGAATCCAGTATTCTCCATGCCCCGTTAGGAGATGGTCCATATGTGCTTAAGTAGTGGAATGAGTGAGGAAGGAACTTGGCACAAAAATATATCAAGTCAACAAAGCAGAGGCATCATTTTGTCTGGTATGAATTAGTACTGAATGAGCAACTTTTTAATGTCTTCCGAAGTGAACAAGGGAGTAGTGGCTATGTTTATGCACAAGTATCACATAAAGATAAAGTGACATGGTAAATCAGATCTCTTGCCTGTTTGTGTTACTACAAGATAAGAATATCTAACTACAACACAAATAACAAATAATGCTAGTCCACTTCTATCATAAGATCCAAACCTCTCTGTTCTATACAAGAAAACCATGCACTGACTATCCCAAATCAAGTACATATTAGCATGTTATTGCGACCTATCTTAGCATGTTATTGTGAAAATAGAATATACCACTGAACCCACATTATAAATCAATATGGCTCTCCGTATAATACAATACCAAGGTGATTTCAGACCAGACAGTAGCTTATGGTCGTATATCATAACTAGTTCGGCATCTTTCATAGTACCAAGAATAGAATTAAGAGTTGAGAGAGGCTGCATACTGAGGTAAGTAATAGGATTAAGACATAGAAGGGAGGGAAGAAGAAAGAAAAAGTTCACCTTCTTGATAGAAGAGTCACTAAAAAATTCAGCAAATTTTTCTAAAATCGCTTTTCCTCCACCATCAAGAACATCTACCCAGATACAAGACTTTCCACCTCCAAAATCCGCTTCTGGACCACAATAAATGCTGAAGCATATTATCTCACCATGATCTACAGGAGTTTCTTGTTTGACATCTATCTTGGCTACCTTTGAGGACAATAAAATTAGTAGATAATGTGTTCCACAAATATAAATTAGTTGAATTCATGTCCAAAGTACACAAACAGACACATGCACAAGAGCAAATGAGGAGACAATCCAGCTATATAGACTCTTGTGATTAGGAGTAACCATAATACTAGTAAAATCAGTGAAAAGATTAATACCTCGGTATCACATGCGTATATGAGATGCCTGTACTTCGTTGTGAGCATTTTCGAAACTTCCTGTGCAAGAGGAATATTATCAACCACCAGAATATCTTCATAGATACTACAGAGCCTATCCCGAAGCTTTGAATTGTCAGTATCTCGTGTCTGTTTCGCAAATGTTTCATTAGTTGAATCTTTTGCAGTTCCATCCATACCATGATCACCATTTACTACAGTGATTTTTGCTTTACCAATTCCCAGTGAAGACATTTTAGACTGGCGGACCACCCTTTCAGAATCTGTAAACACCTTTGATTTGTTTACTACAGAATATTTAACATTAGATGAGACATATTCACGGTGATCCTGCAGTATAATATTCCTATCCCCGTTCTTTAAAACAGCCCGGTTCTGACCAAAGGAAGCAACTCCATTAGATGCATTGGAACTGCCATTTTCCGTATCAAATTTCTTTGAGCCATTCATTTCCTTTTTATTTTCAGTTAACTTATCTTTTGCTATAGTCCAGCCTCTACAATCACCACCAGACAAATTTCTACCTGCAGTGGTTGCGGATAATCCATTATTACAAGGAGCCACATCCACAGTCCTAACTTGCGTTTCACATGAACGCAAAAAATTCAGCTCTTCTTCCTCTATCACCTCCTCTAGTGTGCCAGTTGATGCATTAGCAATTTTCATAGATGTAGTGCAAACTGAACTTTTGCAGGGGAAATCACGATCATACCTCACGCCATAGTATTTATTAAGCCCCATTGATGTCCCTTTTGGACAGCAAGGAAAATCTGCTCTAGATTGTACAGAATTTCCAGGCACAGAGCTATTTCGAAGGCCATTGTATGAAATTTGGAATGACTGAATTTTTCTTCTGCAGTTTACATCGTACAACCAAAATAAAGGCTCCAATCAATTAAATGTAAAAGTATTTTATGTAGTCATGCACTAGCTAACATAAAGCTGGCATGTATGGTAAAAAATAAAAAACAATACAGTTTCTATTCCTCTATTTCGACATAGACAAACAAAAGCTAATCCCAGGTGAGGGTACCATCCGTAATAAACCATTTCAAGTTCATCAACAAATTGTAAATTACAGTAAATTCAACAATACAATGAATGTTAAGGCTCAACCTTTCAAACCAGTGAAGCACAACAAGGCACTATGACCCATTAGACTAAAAAACACAAACAAAATATTTTAGCGTGTAATATAAAAACATTAGTTTCTTAAGACAAAAGAAGAACACCCAGTTGGAAAATATGTAAATTTTGAGGATGTTAAAGAGACGGGCAAGGTGAAGGCAACAAAAGACGTGAACTTTGAAGTGAAATAGAGAGAAGGAAAAAGGGGTTAACCGTTGCAGTGATGAAGAAGGTAAAAGGGAAGGGCAAGGGAAGGGGAGTGAGAAGCAGCGGCGGCATAAGGGACAGTGCGGCCTTAAAGCAGACACCTCCATTGAGGCAACAGTCACCTCCAGTCGAGTGCTCCCTCCACAACGAAACAGATTAGGAGCCAGCAACTATATATATATATATATATATATATATAAAATCTTGGTAATTAATATTAATATTTAATAAGAAAATGGTAAATAAGATGTAATAAGATTATTCGCCACCTAATTGATTGGATGGCCAGGATGTCATGCCACTTGCCAAACGGGCATAACAACCCCTATTATCGGACTTTTAAAAATAATTGTTTTTTATGAGAATTTTTAGCTACTGTGTTTTTTTTTTGTGTGTGGAATATTAGTTTGAGCTTAATTATTTTTTATTCATATTTTTTATATTATATTTTCTAGTCCACGATGGAAAAAATAATTAAAACAAAGAAATGGACTTTTTTCTATTTGTGCAGTCCATCAAATAATTTCGAAGTAATTTAGTAAGAAAACATGTTTATATTGTGACAATTTTATTTATTTGTATAACCTATTTTACTTTACAAAAAATTAAAGAATCCAATTCAATTCATAATCCATTAATGTTGGATTGATTTAATCTCGAAAATAAAACAACTTAAATTTGTTGATGGTAAATTGAGTTACGTCATTACATTTTAATATTTCTATTTTTAATCTAGTCAATGTAAAAAAAAGTTTATTTTCGTATATTCTTATTTTCAATTCATAATCCTATTAAGTTTTTTTTTTCATTTTTAAAAGTTATTCACTATTATTTTTTATATATAAGACACTGAACTTTGTCTTAATTATTATAAATTATTGTCCTTTTGGTAAAAGAATACCGAAATCTTGACAAAACATCTTTTCTTCTCCTCTTCTCAGTTCTGTGCATGAAAGTGTGTCTCTTTAATTTGTGTTTAAAGAAACACAATACGTAGGCAATTATGAATATGGTAATTACATTATCAATATCTAATGCTACTACATAAATCTTGAACAAGGAAAAACATGCAATAGTGGCATCAAGATAAGGTACAAAATTTTATAGAATGATTCTCAAACTTCATTAGCAGCTACATTTTTATCCACTGTCCTCAATCTTCTGTAATCCTATACTGTCTCAGATACGTTTTGTCAACTGCATTCTCCGTTTCCCAAAAATGTCTCTTTTGTACGTTGGAGTTTTCCCACTTGTATCTGCTTCTTTGCCAAAACATCAAGAGCTGTAACCACGTCACTAATCAAAGGTCGGGTATGTGCTTCCTCCTGAAGACACATTGCTGCAACTGCAAGTGCTTGGTGTAGACCCTTTTTAGGGTAGTTACCTTTTAGCAATGGATCAGCCATTAATGTAGATTTCCTTCTGTCTTTGAATAGTGGTTGTGCCTGATCAAGAAGAAACATTATGAATTCAATTGCTGAGCATTTTTTCATATTGGTCTAGGCATAAATTTTTGGACTAGTTTTCATACTGATAAGAGGGTAAAGTTTGTCCCAAGTCCCTCAATTGTCTATTGAAATTGATATTAGTCTCTATACTTTCATGTTAATGATTTTGATAATGGTATTTTTTATAATCATCCCTCTTCATGGAACTTTGATACCAGGATCATTGGATGAAATTCATCCATTATAAATACGACAAGTAAAAGAATCATTTTAAAATATAAAGATTAAGACTAATTTTGATTAGATTGTAAATCCTGAAATTGTATGCCAGAGAAATGATATGATTTTAGACAAATAATAGAAGTTTCATGACATACCCAAGTGACCAAGTTTTGCTCTAGAGATGGTCTTGACTGATCGATTACTCTTCTTCCTGTGATCATCTCTAGAAATACTACTCCGAAGCTGTATATATCTGATTTTGTTGTCAATTGACCTGTTGATGCATACTCGGGTGCACAATAGCCATAAGTTCCCATCACCCTCGTGGATACATGAGTTTTATCACCAGTTGGACCAAGCTTTGCAAGTCCAAAATCAGAGAGCTTTGGATTGAAGTTTTCATCTAATAGAATGTTTGATGATTTGAAATCACGGTATATCACTGGTGGATTTGCTACTTCATGCAAGTATTCTAGTCCTCTAGCTGCACCTGCTGCAATTTTCATTCTAGTATGCCAATCCAAAGGCTTTCTATCCGCAGGTAGTTCTGACAATCATTTTTCTTTTGTTACCAAAAAAAAAAAAAAACACTAGGGTAAAGTTTTTAAACGGGAAAGAAACATCCATGGTTTCAGTTTTGCAGATATATTTGATTTCTCAGTCAAATGAAAGGTAAAACAGAAACCTAAGTAATTTAAAAGAACAAAATTTACTTAAAAAGATCAATATGCAAGAAGTTGCTTTATATTGTAATTAAAACATGGCCACATTGCCATGCTACTACACTTGGTCTAATCATTCCATTTATTCAAGTTTGATACTCAAATTGGATGTTACTCTCATTTTGTATCCGTGATGAATTTCATTACAAGACATTGTGTAATTAAGAAGCAGTTACTTACCAAGAAGGTGATCTTCTAAAGAACCATTCACCATGTACTCGTATACCAAAATCCTTTGCTCACCATCTGCACAATACCCTACCAAATTGACAAGGTTAGGGTGGTGCAAGAGACTCAATATCAAAACCTCTACAAGAAATTCCCTGTTTCCTTGGAATCCATTCCTGTTAAGTTTCTTCACCGCAACAACCTGCATGAATGTAACTCAGTATGTAGAAGGTTACTACTCATCAAGAGCTCGAATTCTTTTCTTTCTTGGCATAATATTCATATAGATGTGAGTTAAAGTTACCTGATTTATGCTTTTAATGAGTCCCTTGTATACCATTCCAAAACCTCCTTCACCAATCATATTGCCAGGGTGAAAGTTTCGAGTTGCAACACATAGATCGTGATAAGAAAAAGTCTGAGAGGAAATATTCCCTTTTCCGATCTTTGCGATTTCTTGTTCTATGAACTTTCTGCTTCTGTTATCTACGTGATAAATTGATAAAAGTTTTAAGCATTTGTATTTATCATTGTGAGGAAAAAAAAATGCAAGTGTTTGAGAAGGCTGAAATCCACTATGAAGGTTCACTATATGACCACTTTGCATCTGCAGCTTACCAATCTATTGTCCAACTCTGAAGGTTGGACATTGATAAGATAAGATGAAAGAATAAAAGTTAAGGACCAAAGATGCAGCTTCTGCCAACAAAGATTGGTCCAATTGGTAAAGATTAAACTCGTATCTCACCAGAATTTGAGTTTAAATCTTTTTGTCGATACGAAGACTTTGTTGGTGGCACAAATTGCTTCTAAACATGTTATCAAGGAGCCAAGAACAGCCGAGTACTAAACTAAGAAGGAAACCAAATTGCATGTACTACAGCATTTAACACGGTTGTGGCCTCATAATAGTTGTTGTAACACTAACAATGTTGATTAAGCCTATTGTGATGGTACAAACCTTTCATAACCAGTTTTGGATTTCATGTTGAGATAAATAAAAATGTACTTGAGGAAAACAATTTGTAGAGGAAACAACATTAAGCTCTAGACATAAGACATTAAATTAAGAAGTTTTACCCTAAAATGGTTACAAAGAAAATTTGCAGTCGATCTATAAAAAATACCAGGTTTAAAACACATGCTGGCGCATGGTGGCAAAGCTTGTGCATAATGGAAGTCCGCACTGCTCCTTTCCAATGTGTTCTTGTTGATCTTCTCTTGTGACGTGCAACATGAAAAGAAACTCATCTTCGACTCCTAAATATTTGATCTAACCAAACCCACATTTATAGAATTGCAAAGTTCATGCATCTGCATTCCAAATGTCTCATAGCATGCAGATGTTAATTGGCCAATGATCCAATGCATGTAACATCAGACACTCCAGAAGTGGCTGAAAATCAATTTTTCATGCAGATATTGGCCCTGCAGAAACCAAATTGGTCCTGAGTTCTGTCTTCACAGAACCTTCCCCTCATGGCATGGCTACTTTGGCTTCAATGATATTCAAAGGCCATGGTTAGGAAAAGAAATTATGACTTTGTCAAATATGGTAATCCAAAAATGACCGATAGGGAGTCACTCATCTTTAATATCATTATCCAAAGTTCCTCAATATAGGATTTCATAAAGTGTTTTCTCTTATGTTTCACTTTATTATGCCAACCAAAATGGAGGATCACTCCTTTATGAACCTCCTCAAGAATAAATTATGACAACTATTTTATATGAACGGCTTATATCTACTTTGCATCCTTCCCATCTACCTCTGTTATATTCCTTTTAATTAAGCATGTACCTAATTTTGTGTATCATCAACATAATGCTGATTTCAACTTTTTGAATGACAATAAACTTACTTAAGTCATATTATGAGACATCAATTATTTTTAAGCTTTATATAAAAATTGATGTCATGATTGTTGGGCAATTGACATCTGCATAAATTATTATATCGTTGAGCATATCATTTTTTTTACTAAAACATTGTTAATTTTTCATGAGAACTTGCAAGGGAGGAAAACAGAAATCCTCATTCCAAAATAAAGCAATATGTGGTTCATTTTCCTGTTTAAATGTGAAAAAAATAAGAAAGTAACAAAAAAATGAATAGGAAAAAAAAAAGATGAGAAATGAGATAGAAATATTCTGTTTGGGGACAAAAATAAAGATAATATTACTCCCTATTAATTTATTTTATTTCTTCTTTTACTAACTATCAAGTCAAAATTCCATTCAAAAACTAAATTAAACTACAGATATATTTGGTCATTTTGGTTTCCTTCTCTCTACCAGCAAGGTTGCAATGATTTTTGCCCCATTCTTATGACCAAAAGCTGAAAAGCTTCATCTTTGATTTGAGTTGTTGAAACCAAAAGCAATAAAAATTAGCTGGCTCCAATTAAAGATAATTTACAGGGTCTAAAATGGACAATAATTAGAAGATAGGTTCAGCCGTGTGTTCTTAGATTAGTGAAAGCTTGCACTAATTTAAGTTTGTAGGTATCTAGATCACCTACTGAAACAGAAACTGTAAATGAGATGCTGATAAATTTCGAGGTCATTCATTAACATGGCAACCCCTTTTAGGAACCCTTCACCTGCCTCAAACTGTATTCAATGTATTTATGTACAATAAAATTCAATGGTATCTGTTAATAATAAGTGCAGGGGGGCCACATAGAACATTAGGAAACTAGTAAGTGTTCATTTTTCTCACTCAGCCAGCCATCATCATGATTAAGTAAATCGAAAGCAAGGTCAAAGGGAAAAATGTCTCTTTATATGACCATCAACTTCTGTCCTAAAAGCTGGCACTGAGTGGAACTTAAATGTTGAACAATTGGTGGACATCTTTTTTTCTTTTTTGGTGAATCAATCTTTGGCCATCCATGGAATGCACATACACATGTACATGTAAGACCAATAACATAAAAATGATTTAGGAATATGAACTGCTACAACAATACTTCTGAAAGTGCACTGCTAAGTAAATTATAAGTCTTCAAAAGTAACATATAATAATGACACAAGGAATCCTATATAGCTAATGTACTGACACAGAACTTTAAAAATGGTTCCAATTTGTCATGTTATACCTTCTAAATCCCTGTCTCTGCATCAGTCAAGGACTTGACTTAGGTTTTAATGAGATTGGCACTTGCACTTTTCTTCTGACCAGCTCTATTCTCTTTTATCTTATCATTAGATATAATGTTCACTTGTATATTTTACCCAATAAACTGTAAATTGGTGTCTGAGGCGATACACTTTGACATGTTAAAAGTTTGTATTCCTTTACTTTATATTATATGGTATTGTTTAAATACCTATATAGTATTCTATGTATTATGTATTATGTTATTATACTTAAATTTCAAAGAGCTTTGTTTATAATTTTTGTTTTACAAATAAATGAAATTTAGAAAAATAAAAAATAACAAGTCGTGTCATTGAACTCCTCAATCCGCGTACATGTCAATGTCATGCTTCACAACATTCCAATCAAAAGAATGAATGCAAGATATTTTGTAAAGTTTATTCTAAAAACTAAAGTAGAGAAAAAAAATTCTTATTAAGATAAGTTAAATATAGGTTAATAATTTATATTTATTTTTCATTCTGAATGAAAGAGTTAAATATATTATGATTTAATTATTTATTTAGTTTTTTTTATCTACGCAATTTTTATATTTTAGTTTTAAATTTCTATTAAATATAATTTGATTCAGTTAATAATGCGACGTTGTGTAGTTCACGTAGTATTGATATATAGCTATATATTGTAAAAAACTTTCATGTTAATGTCAGATGATGAATAAAAAAATTGAATATAAACAACATGCAATTGGACCACCGATTTCATAAGAAAAATAATTAAGTGTGGCATTAGCAATATTTTGCTCAGGTAAAAATATGATTTGTTATATTAAATTTGAATTAAAATTTAATTATAATAATTAATTTAATTTTTTTAATTAAAAAATGCGAATACATAATTAGAAAAGTATAAACTACTGTTGAAACAAAACTTCCAGTTTGTGTAACCCAATAAAATAAACTAAAGCGATGTAAGTTTTCTTTCCTTCTCCGTTTGATAGGAAGAACAAAAAGCATGTAGATAAACTGAATAAAGATAAAAATTTATGTAAAATACTAAAAATAAAAAGTGTTACGGAAAAATAATGGAATAATAAATTAGAATACAAATGTTTATATATTCCTTATCTATTTTAATTTTCTACTTAGAATGAAAAATGTCAAATTTCACCAAGATAACATTATTTTTTCAGTCAAAAAATTATTCTTAAAGTCAATGGAATATGATTAAAGCCAGAAGCTTTAACTACGTACTGTCAAATCACAGTGATGCCAATTGGTCGTTGGAAGCTGCGTTCATATAAACATTTCTCTTTACTCTACAAACTTATTATGTGATTATTATTAAAGTAAAAAGTATTTTAAGAATATTAACTAAAACAATAAATGAAAAAAATATTAAAATCTATATTTCAGTAAGAAAGAGATTATTCATTAATATATTTTTTTAACTTGTAATTAATATTTTTTCAATTAAAGCGAGGTATTACATTCTGTTACTGTGTAGAAAGGGAAAGCACAGAGGTATTAGATTCTGTCTTAAGGACGAAAGCAAGAGGGATTCGCGAAGAAACGAACAAGTAACAGTACAAATATAGAGGGCTAGATTTTTAAAGAATCGAACAAGTTTTAACTATATCTTATTTCCATAGATAAAGAATTTGTAATGATTACTTATATAATTAGTTAAATTATTCATCATTAAAATTACTATAACTAAATGTTGGTCATACGTTAGACAATAATTTCTGGGAACTTGCTTGGAGAACCTGAGTTACGCGCTTACAAAAGTGAAGTTTGCTTTAAGAATTTCCATACCGAGTGGGTGGCATACATACTCCTATTTATGATCCTGGGATTGTAAGAGTGTGGAAGGTGTGTGTGAGTGACAAGCATAGCATGGAATCGGAACAGTGTTACGATGTTTATCTGAATTTCAGAGGGAAAACGCGCTACGGCTTCGCGGGAACTCTCTGCAACGCTCTGCGGGAGAAGAGGTTCAGGACTTTCATGAACGACGAGGGAATGCAGAGTGGAAGCCAAGTTTCAAATTTTCTTCTGGAAGCAATCGAGCAATCTAGAATCTCGATCGTCGTTTTCTCCAAAGACTACGCATGTTACACCTGGTGTCTCGAGGAGCTTGTGAAGATTGTGGAGTGTATGGAGACCAGGAAACAATTGGTTATCCCAGTCTCCTACAAAGTAGCACCCTACAACGTGAGGGAACAGAAGAAGGTCTACGGCGAGGCCTTCGCCAGACACGAAAACAAGTTCGGGAAGGACTCTGAGAAAGTGCGAAAATGGAGGTCTGCTTTGTCTCAAGTGGCCAAATTGCCTGGAGTCTTCGTTGGATCTGGATCTGGGTACGTCGACTTTTCTATACTAATTGTTTTTCATGCATCTGGTTAGGTTATAAATGTTCATTATATGAATCATTTGCAATTGTGTTATGTGTTGTAGTTAAATTCTATGGTCAATGTGATCTTAATTTGGTAGGTATGAACATGAGCATATCCAAAAGATCGTGGAAAAAGTGAATCAATCCTTACCTCGCTACGATATTTTTCTGAGTTTTAGAGGGGTAGATACTCGCTACTCCTTCACAGGTTTTCTCTATTACGCGTTGTGTCGAGAGGGATTCAAAACCTTCATGGATGATAAAGAGTTGGAAGGTGGGGACAAAATTTCTTCATCTCTTATCAAAGCAATTGAAGCATCGAGGCTATCCATCGTTGTTCTTTCTGAAAACTATGCACAATCGCAATCGTGTCTTGAAGAACTTGTCACTATCCTTGAGTGTACGAAGAAAAAGAATCAACTAGTTTGGCCAATTTTTTACAAAGTGGAACCGACAACAGTGAGGAATCAAAAGAATAGTTATGGCAAAGCCATGACTGCACATGCAGAAAGATATGGAAATGACTCTGATAAGCTTCTCAACTGGAGGAGAGCTTTGTTTGAAGTTGCCGACTTGAAAGGATTCTCCCTTGAACCTAATCGGTCTGTGTTATATTTTCATTTACTTGTGTTATCATTTTTATTTTAGATATTAATCAGAAAATAACCATGTTCAGATACATATTATGATTCATCTTGTTTATTTATTTTGTAGGTATGAATTTCAACTCATCGAACAAATTGTGAAAGAAGCCATTGACAATGATAATGGAACTTACTCCCGTATATCAAGTCCTAAGTTTAGTCAACCCATAAGCAATGATAATGAAAATGAATTCTCCAACTCAAATTCTAGTTCGAATCAAAATATCATCAACAAGGATATTGAAGATTGCATCTCTATATCAAATCCTAGTTGGAATCAAATTATCAATGATGATGAAGATTGTTCCTCCACATCAATTCCTACCTAAAGTGGGGTCCTGAAGGAAAGACTCAACTTTTTTTAAGGGCAAGTTCCTCTTATATATGTTAAATGATAGACAGGTGTAATAAGTATCTAGAGAGGGGGAAAGAGTTGTTTTGATGGATATTTTTATATATATTATAGTTTCTTGTAATTAAAAACGTAATGAGAGTTTTATAATTATTATTATTGTACTTAAAAATTGAAAAATTGAATTTAATTTATAGTTATAAATTGTCAATATCTTCATGATTATAGATATAATCGTGGTCATATGTTTTTTGTCACATATATTGTTTTATCCGATTGATCTTGTTTCAATTTTCATCGTAACAAATTTAAAAGTGTTTATTATTCTCTTACATGTGATATATCTCTGCAATAGATCATGTTCTTTCGTAACAGATTTAGAAGGTTTCACTACTCTCTTACATACAATACATCTCTAGCTGAATATTTTCTAACTTGTTGCTCTCCATCTTTGATTCGTCCTTTATCTTGTACAAATTTTCCACCTTATGCTCGTCTTTCACCTTAAAAAATAATATTATTTAAATTAAAAAAATCTTTTAGACATAATGTGAAGTCACCAAGTCAAATAATAAGGAAAGTCGAAGGTGAATGCTAAGTGAGAATACACTAATGAAGCAATGGTTGAAGTCTTACCTGAGAGTTCTAGCTAAGAACTCACAACTAAAACCCATCTTAGTATCATGGAATAAACTCACAACAACATATAAGGAGAATTGAAATATGTAAAGAAGATAATGATGATTCAACATATCTATAAGAGCATTTGAAAATATATAAAGCACAAGTAAATTTGTATACAACAATATGCATGAGACCACATTTGTGACATTGAAAAGTGTGAAATAGGATGATGGTGAATCTCTTTGCAAATTCAAAAAATAATTCACGAAAGTGTCAAATTCCATATCGACCTTATGATAGTACTACTCTCTATCATACAATTTAGTTTGTTGCCAACAACATGCATAGGTTCCAAGTTTAGTTTGTGGTTAACAAGATGTATGATGCCACATCTATGGCATTGTAAAGTGTGAAATAGAAAGATGGAGAAATCATTTCTAGTTTCAGACACGATTTGCAAAAGAGGTTTTCAAACATGATGTGTGCATCACCACCTATGCCATCTTTGATTATGTTGATTATCGATCAATAAAAAATAATTAAAAGTATAAGTTTTTTTATCAAAGCCTAGTTTCGACTTAAGGGTTTGTGGGTTAAAGACTCACCACGCTTCCATTGCACCACTCTAATGTTTTGAAATTTTAATATTCATTAATTTCTTTAAAATATCAACAAAATATGAATTTGATCTTTTAAAATACATGCAAATTTAAATTTAGTTTATAATTTAAATAAGTTAAAATATATTTCTTAAAAATAAATTTTATTTATTATTATATTTTTATTTTAAATAAATATGTACATAGTATTATTATTATTATTATTATTATTATGTAATATTTGACAATGCAAAAAATACAAGTAAATCTTTACACAAATAGTGGAGCAATCATGTGTCATGTTTTCCTACAATATTACATAAATCGATCCTAAGATGATACTACTCTCTACCATATAACTGATGTTACGATGATATATACTCTATACCAAACAACCTATCTTATGATGGTACTACTGTCTACCGTACAACTCAATCTATTCATATTGCACATTAGTAAAGAGGTTCTAAGTTTAGTTTACAACCATCAACATGCATGAGAATAAAATTAGAGAAAAATTTGGAAATATACAAGTAAATTTGTATACAAACAATGGAGTAGTCATGCTGTGTTTTTCTCACAACATTATGTGGATCACCCTACGATGATATTATTCTCTATCATATAACTCAATTGATTAATATTACATATTAGTAGAGAACATGAATTTGCATGTGACCACATTTGTGACATTGGAAAGTGTGAAATAGGACAATGGTGAATCAATTTGCAGTTTTAAGGAATGATTTGCAAAGATGTCAAAATCTATATTGACCTTATAATGATACTACTCTCTATCATACAACTCAATTAATTCATATTACATATTAATAGAGAGGTTCCAAGTTGCAGCCAACAACATGCGTGTGGTCATATCTATTGCATTGTAATGATTACCTACATAAAAATTTATTAAAAGCACAATTTTTATTTTATTTGAGCTTATTTTCGATCTAAGGACTTATGAGTTATAGGACCACCACACTTTGCTATGTCATTCTAATTTTTGAAATTTTAAATTAAATTGTAATATTCATCAGCTTTTTTAAAATATCATTAAAATATGAATTTGATCTTTTAAAATACATGCAAATTTAAATTTAATTTATAATTTAAATAAGTTAAAAATTATTTTAAAGTAATTTTTATTTATTATTATATTTTTTATCTTGAATAAATATGTACATAATATTATTATATAACATTTGACAATGTACAAAGCATAAGTAAATTTATATACAAATAATGGAGCAAGTCATGGGTTATGTTTTTCCTACAATACTAAGTTGATAAACCCTATAATGGTATTACTCTCTATGATACAATCGACCATATGATAGTACTACATATTGTCTACCATATAACTGAATCGATTCATATTACACATTAGTAGAGAGGTTCTCAGTTTAGTTTGCAGTCAACAACATGCATCAGAACCAACCTAATAATGATACTACTACTCTCTACCATAATGAAGCAACAATTAAAGTCTCACCTCACTGTTTTAGCCGAGAATTCACAATTGAAGCTCACCTTAGAATTATTGAACAAACTCATAACAACATACATGGAGAATCAAAATAGGTGAAGAAGATAATGATGGTTCAAAAAATCTAGAGGAGCATTTGCCAATATACAAAGCATATATATTACGTTTTTTTGTCCTACGATGATATTATTCTCTATCATACAAATAAGCGATGGTGGATCTATTATGACATTAGAAAATGTGAAATGGGATGATAGTCAATCTATTCACAGTTTCACCACTTATATCATCTTCAACTTATGATAATTATCAACCAATAAAAAAAACCAAAAAAAAACACAAGTTTATTTATGAGAGTCTAATTTCAATCTAGGAACCTATGGGCTATGGGTCTAGTACACTCGGTGTCACTCTAGTTTTTTAAAATTTAAATTAAATTGTAATATTCATTAATTTCTTAAAAAAATCAACAAAATATGAATTTGATTTTTTAAAATACATGCAATTTTAAATTCATTTTATAATTTAAAATAAATTCTTTAAAAGTATTTTTATTTATTATTATATTTTTTTATGTTTAATAAATATGTAAATAATATTATTATGTAACATTTTACAATGTATAAAACACAAGTAAATTTATATACAAATAATAAAATAGTCATGTGTTTTGTTTTTTCTACAATATTAGGTGGATTGATCCTACGATGGTACTACTTTTTGTCTATCATATAATTTAATTGATTCATATTACAAATTAGTAAAGAGGTTTTGACCTAATGTTGGTATTACTCTATACTATATAACTTAATCGATAGTACACTAATAAAGCAACAGTTGAAGCCCCACCCTCACCTGTTCTAGCCGACAACTCAATTGAAACTCACCTTAAAATTATCGAATAAACTTATAACAACATACATGTAGAATCAAAATATGTGAAGAGGACAACAATGATTCAACATATTTAGAGGGCATTTGGTAATATACAAAACACAACTAAATTTGTATGCAAACAATGGAACAGTCATGTGTTTCATTTCTCCCATAGCATTAAGCGATGCAATAGTGAAACTATTCGTCATGTATCACCACCTGTATCATCTTCAACTTATGCCGATTATCGATCAATAAAAGATAATGAGAAGCACAAGTTTATTTATCGAAGTTTATCTTCAATTTAGGGACATATGAGTTATGGACCGACCATAATTTTGTTGCACCACTTTGAATTTTTAAAAAATTTAAATTAAATATTAATATTCATTAATTTCTTTAAAATATCAATAAAAAATGAATTTGATCTTTTAAAATATATTCAAATTTAAATTTAGTTTATAATTTAAATAAGTTAAAATAAATTATTTAAAAGTAAATTTTTTTATTATTATATTTTTATTTTAAATAAATATGTACATAATATTATTACATAATATTTGACAATATACAAAATACAAGTAAATTTGTATACAAATAATGGAACAATCATGTATCATATTTTTCTTATATGTGGATTGATCCTACACCCTACTTAGTACTACTATCTACCATATAATTCAATCGATTCATATTATACATTAGTAGAGAAGTTCCAAGTTCAATAATTGATTCATATTACACATTTGCAAGTACTATTGTCATATAACTCAATAGATTTATATTTTTCAGTCAACATCTATTGTCATACCACTCATACCATTCATATAATTTTAGTAGAAAGAATTTAGATCTTAAAAAGAATTTACATCTAAGGACATGTGGATTATGATCTCACCATGCTTTTGTTGTGTCGGTCTAATTTTTTTAAAATTTGAAATTTAGTATTCATTCATTAATTTCTTTAAAATATCAATAAAATATAAATTTTGTATTTTAAAATACATGTAAATTTAAATTTAGTTTATAATTTAAATAAGTTAAAATAAAATCTTTAAAAATAATTTTTATTTATTATTATATTTTTTATTTTAAATAAATACCTTCATAATATTATTATTAAAATTTAAATTATGATAAAATATAATTATATATATAAATATAAAATATGAATAAATTTTATTTTAATGATAATTTGAGGAGAGTTATATAAAGTAAAAGAAAATTGAGAGATTTGAATGTTATGAGGATTTTTTATTTATATATTAATATTTAATGATTAACTATAAAAAAAATACATATTGAAAAGAAAAGTAAAATATTTAAATTTTTCTTTATTAAATATATTTTTAATCCTTATATTTTTTACAAATTTAATTTTAATCTCTTATTTAAAATTTGATTAATTAATTTTTAAAATTTAAAACAACATGTTATCAATTTTATAATAATAATTTTTTATGGAGTATCAAATTTAAATATACAAAACTAAAATTATATTCAATCCTTTGATAAATATATTAAACCAAAAAATAATTATCAAATATTAAATTTAAGTATAAAAAATTAAAATTGATATTCATAAATTAAAGAATTGGTTAATTTTTTTATAATATAAAAACAAAAAAAATATAATATAAAGATTAAAATATATTTTTTAAACGTCACTATTCAAGTAGCAATAATCAGTAACCACTAATTATAAAAAAAGTGACAACTTTTGGGGTCCCGTGAATAATATATTTGTGTTGGAATTGTATTGGATGGCGTTGTTTGGTTCGCCAAAACAATAAGTTCTTCTGACCACTTAATTTGTCATGACATGGCTAAGAAAAATATGTTCCTTGCACGATTAAACAACAATGGGAGCATTGTTCAATAAACAGAACAGACAAGACGATGATGGTGGAAGGAGAATATACCAAACATCATGCCTCATATTTTGTTTCCACCCTCATCAAAAATTATTATTTTGCTCATGAATGTATTCAGATTTATAATTAACTTTATATTTTAACTAAAGTTATTACAACAAAATATGTTCTTTACATATTTTTCAATTACATAATTAAACGTAATTTTTTTAATAAAATATATTTATGAAAAAAAATGATTTACTTAGTCGGAGATTAATTTGGTTAAAACTAAATTAATATAAAAGAAAGTTAAAATTATACCCTAAGCGTAAATGAAGGTAAGAGTACTTAATTTCTCATAATTTTTTATTTTCCTACCTACGAGTCACAATATATTCATATTTCAATAGATATATAATTAAAATATATAAAATAATTTAAAATATTTATTTTCATATATATTCTCTCCAAAATAAACAAAACATAAGTCTATATTATTTAGCTGAAAAGTTATTCTTGTTTTAACATTTATTTCTATATAAATATACAATTATCACTTTTCAAAGTAATATGTAACAGGATAAATTAGTCATTCGATTTAAATATACAAAATTTAAATATGAGATAAAATAACATAATTTAATTTTAAGTTTTCATATATTAAGTCATATCCATATAAGATCATTTTCAAACCATATAGACACTATTCGACTCTTGGAAAACTAAATATTAAATTAGACATTAGATATTTATATCTATCACATCATCTATGTGATTATAGTGATAAGTAGAGTCATAATATCTTATCGAATTTCAAATCAATATCTATACATACAACACTATACATATGATGACACTTTTTCAAACACTACATTTCTTTTTCATAAGATATATTTTAATATCTTAACTATAGTCATCTTTTGATCATAACTTTTTCTATAGTCATTTTTTTTAATTAATCATTATTTTATTGGATTTCTTATTTTTGGACTTCAATTTTCATATCATTTAATTTGAAGTTTAGAGCTATTTTTTATGATTTTTTGAAAAAAACCTAAGTGAATTTGAAAACGCTGAGCAATTTCAAATTTGTTGAGCAAAATTTTGATATATTGGAATATACATCACTACCCAAAATCTGTTAGATGAATATAAGTGTGTCTTACCTTAAATTTTTTGAGCAAATTTAATACGTTTAATATCATGTTTCTAATGTTTCAAATCAAATTAAATATCCTTCAATTTGTAAATCAATTCACTAAATTTAATCTAAGAACGGTACATTCATAAACCTGTCATTTTCAATATCATAAAAATCAATTATACATTCACATTCAATATAATCATAACAAATTAACACATACATAATCATCGCACAATCCAATTTCCTAAAATTCAATCAATGTGACAAAATACTTTTATAGTATAAATCTTTTATTATGGAAATTGAAGAATAATTAATTTCTCTTACTTCAATATCTCCATTAGAAAATCTCAACAACTCCTAAATTTTTAAGAAGATAAATCATGTTTACAAAAAATTACAATTAACAAATTTAGTATACCAAATGTTTTGTAAAATTCCAATTAACAAATTTAGTATATCACAATGTTTCTAAATTAGTCAAGATTCATCTTTTCACAACACGAGTCTATATGCAAGTCATTCATGACCCACATGCAAACCTAAATTTAAATATGTAAAAATGGTCTAAAATTAGTAAAGAATAACTTTATTCTATTTAAAATTTTGATTTGATAGAAATGATTTTCTCTCTTTTAGGAATAAAGTGTGTTTGAATTTAGAAAAGATAAAAAAAGAAATGAACAATTTAGAGAGAACATAAATAAAATAAAATAAAATAAAAAATAAAATTTTGTGAAAATAAAATTTAAATAATTATACCCATTCTATTTTTTTTAAAACGTTTATTTGATATATTACTGTAATTTGAATATTAATTACGTGGTTCCAAACTAATACTAAATATTAGAAACTAATTTTAATAAATGTTTAATCTTCAAAGCTTTAATACTTTCTCACTATATTTGATATACGTTTATTATAAGCTTTTAATATTAATTGGATGATTTTAAAATTGCAACTGAATATTATACATCAATGTAATATATGAATATTTTTTTTATATAACTAAATTATTTGCCTTTGATTCTAACTTGAATTCAATATTTTTAAATATCAATAATTAACAAGAAAATATGTCACAGTATAAATAACTCATAAATTTAAATGATAATTTTTATAAAACTATATATTTTGTATAAAATTTAATTATAATCTAATTATATATTTCAAATGAATGAAGCAAGATAAATACAAACAAATCCAAATACTTTGGTTAGGTAGTCGTAGCACTTTAAAAATTCCAACATGAATAGAGAGAAAGAGACACACGTTTCCTACTCCAGTTAAATATCCTAAATTATTAAGTTATTTTGTTTTTTTTATATAATTACTATTATCCATTTCTATTTGTCTATATATTTTTAATTAATATAATTTAAAATTAAAAAAAATGATGATAAAAAAATCTAAAAAAATACAATACTTAAAAAGTAGAAAAAGTAGTTGTTATGTTTAAATCAAAACAAAAGGTAGAATTTACACTTTATAGCATGTTCATTTTTTTAAATTAACAAAATGTCTGTCTTTTCTTCAACCGTTTTCTTAATTATTCAACATGCATTACTTATTTTATTTCGTAATAAGTGTTGTTTTAATTTTTTTTACCTAAAGTAAGAAAAACTATTAAATAGATAAATAACATAATACAATTAATTTAGATTTATGTTGTTAATGACAATTACTATTACATTATAAGATTAGAATGGCATTTTTTTAGAATTAATTTTTTCTTAAAAAACATTTATTATGAACATAGATAATGTACTTTTTACATTCTTCCAAAAAAACTGTAAATTAAAAAAAAAGTATGATTTTCAAAAAAGTAGGAAGAGTGACCTTAATTAGTTTAAAGAAATTACAGCTTTAACTATGTGACAAAACAACATCTATTTATGTAGTTTGTGAGATCAAATAATTAATTGATGATTATTGATTACATCGAGTTATTATATTAAACAATTATACCATTATCATAATTTTTTTATCAGTAATCATTTTTTATAGTTTAAACACATTTGAAAATTTCTTCTTCTTATTATATCCGTCTTTTCGCAGTAATATGAGGTTTTTGGTTTGTGGCACATTATTCAAACAATGACCAGCTTGTAATTATTAGTTAATATTGCTTTCCATTCACCCATGACTACCTCGCTTTATTCTCATCTTCATCCAAACCAATAAAAAAAAATATTTCTAATGTTTACATAATTTACGAGTTTTATTTTAATCTGATATAATATATATACAAACAATGTAATTTAAATATTTTTACAAGTAAATTAACATAAATGTATTATTCACTAAAACTTGTATGTTTAATAATTTAATCAACTACAAGATGAAATAAAAAGATAACAAATATAAAAAACAAGTAAATTTTCCAATTATACCTAAACCGAACCACATGAGACGAGGAACGAAGGACTGATGTATGTATGGTAGTTAACTCTCCAAACCAAACACTATTCAAAACGGTTTCTTGTGATTTCTTCAGCTTCCATCGTGCCATGGCGAAGAAGGTGGCGTGGCTCCTGCTGCTACTCATATCAGTGTGCGTGCCGGGCCTTCAAGCTTGGGCCCTGAAACTACCGTTTCACCCGCGTGATGTGCTTCCTCTGCTGCCGAGACAGGTTTCATGGCCCATCCTCAACCGCCTCCACAGCGCCGTCGATATCCTCCCGGTCTTCGTCGGTGCCGCTTCTTCGCCGGACGAATTTCTCGAGTGGAAGGGCGCGTGCTTCTACAAGAACAAAGCGTGGATGGTGTTTCACAACAAGAGCGGTACTCAATTCGGCGGCGGAACCCTTCACATTAAGGTCGCTTCCTCTTTTGTGTCAATCTCAAGTGGTGGAAATCTAGGTCACTTCTTTTTGCTAAAATACCAATTCAAATTTTATATGACAAGGCTTGTTGACTTTTTTGTTATAATGAACTTCTATTCACTCCTTGTGTCTCAGTAACAATAGCAGTCTGTGTATATGGATATGGTGTTCATTGCTTAGGATTAACCCCTCAAACAAACCAATTAAGCTGGTTTGAATTTTGGACCTATTTGGATCCAATTTGAACCAAACCAATTAAATTTAATTGGATCAGGTTTTGTTAGGTTCAAACCCGATAAATCCTAACCAATTATTATTAATTATTATGGTTTTGAGTTTTATGATAAACTAATTACAATTAAATTTATTGTTGTTTTTTTTTTTTTTTACCTTTTACGGACACATAAATGTAGGAATTTTTGGACAAAATCATGTATTTTTTTTTTTCATTTGTTTAGAGTAAAATTTACATATCAGCATTAGTCTTGATTGATTTGAATCAAATCAACCCATTCTTAATCGGATTGGATTGGTTTCGTTCAGGTGGAAAATATTATAAAGTCAAAACCAATCGAAATCAATAGAAATCACTGGTTCTGATTTCATTTTCCTTTAAACCCGATTCAAGCTGATCCATGAACACCCTAACAGAATAATTTCTTTCTGAGTCTAAGAATAACAATAAATATACCATTTACCGAAACAATTTTATTAAAATAACTCCAGTCTCTCAATAAATGTATTACTTTTATTGATTTATTGAGAAAAATAGAGTAATTAATTTAGAGATAAATTAAAAATGAAATAATTAATATTACATTGAAAATTGTAAACACCAGTCATTTTTTTTTCTGAAAACTTAAAACTGCAGTAATTAACAATAACCAGTGAAGGACTAGGTGAACTTCGATTATAAAACTGTGAACCTGAAAGATAGTTAAGTCGAAACAAATCTTCATGTCGGGTGGTTAACGGAAATTGGTCATATTCACGAGTGTTTCCTCGTTTTATTATTGATTTAATTAGTGAGTCCCTGTAGCCAACTTTTTGTTTCAGTCTCTATACCTGAAAACTCCACACCTTTGTCTCCGGCTTGTTAGATTTCTCGGCTTAAAACTATCACAAAATGGAGATATAAAGACTAAAACACAAATATTATTGTGTATGACTAAAACGTTGAGTTTTTGGATTTAGAAACTGAAATGAAAAGTTAATGGAGTAAAGGGACCAAATGATTAATTAACTTTTTCTTTTATTTCAAAAAAATGCTCAGAGACTAGGTGTGATTATGAGTGTTTTCTGAATATTAGAATGGATAGGTTATGTTATGTGGTTGGTGGATTTTGGATGGATATGTTGTCATTTGAAAGGTTCATAAATCTGCCGCTGGTGGTTCCCTATCTTATACTGCATTAGAGGAGATTAAGCAAAGTTATTGAATGTCACTCAGTCTTTTGTATTTTTTCTCTCCCTTTCTGTGTATGTATGGATTTGGGATTCATTGATTGATTACTACCTATGCGGTGATATAGGTTAGCAATGCTCACAGTTGGACATGCATGGATCTTTATATTTTTGCTACCCCATATCGTGTAACATGGGATTACTATTTCCTGGCCCGTGAGCATACGCTTGATATCAAAGCATGGGAAGGGAAAGCAGAGTACGAGTATGTAAGTGATTATGTTTATTTAGAAGATTGTGACTAAGTAGTGTTTGTTGAAACTTGAAACACATTTTTGTTTCAGAGATCCTTAACCCGTTTGCAAACAGGTGAAAAACCATGGGTTATCAATTTTCCTCTTGCAAGCTGGGATGTTGGGGACCCTTGAAGCCCTTTGGGAGGTCTTCCCTCTATTTACAAATACTGGATGGGGCGAGAACTCCAACATTAATTTTTTGGAGAAACATATGGGAGCTTCTTTTGGAGTGCGCCCTCAGCCTTGGGTTACAAATATCAGTACTGATGACATCCATTCTGGAGATTTCCTTGCCGTTTCGAAAATACGAGGACGGTGGGGTGCTTTTGAGACTCTAGAGAAGTGGGTTAGTGGAGCTTATGCTGGTCACACTGCTGTTTGCCTAAGAGACTCCAATGGGAAGCTTTGGGTTGGAGAGTCAGGACATGAGAATGAGGCGGTAAATTTTTAAGTTGAATTATATCTATTGGTTTTTGTTATTTTATTTTAGTCCTTGTAAAATATTCATTTTCTTGTTTTTCTCCCAGTAGTATGTAGGTTACTTGCTTTTAGTCCGTTTGCTCAGCGGGACTAATTCATAATGAAAAATAAAAATAAAAATTATAAGGAATAAAACAAAAATAAATAAATAAATATTTTACAGAGACTAAAACAAAATAACAAGGACTAAAACAAAATAACAAGGACTAAAATAAAATAAAAAAACTTTACAGAGACCCAAAAGTAAATAAAAAAAATTGTATGGACCAAAATCAAAATATGGCTATATTTCAAGGACTAAATATATATTTAAGTCTAATTAAATATATGGTTCAATTTGCGGTCTGGAAAACAGATCTTCCCATTCATGATTTGTATCTTCAACTATCTTGCATTGCATCATAGTCATTTCGTGATAATTTTATTAATATTTTCTATTTTCAACCTTAGAAAATAATTCTTCTATAATCCTATGCAATTTTAGGTTTTGATTTAATTTATTAAGAGTTTCTTATGTTCCTTAAGTTAACCAACCATGTTATGATCAGAATAACAAGATTCTGTTCACAGATGCAGTTTGAAATTGTGATTGAAATCAATGCATGGAATTTATCATGTTAACATATATAGATTTTCTTTTATGACAAATAATTCATCATGGTAGGTTGATTGTCAACTATTAGCATTTGAATTTTGCAGTCAAGTTGCTAGCTTTATATTTCCTTCCTCACCTTTTGTTTGCAGGGAGAAGATATAATTGCTGTGATGCCATGGGAAGAGTGGTGGAACTTTGAACTGAATAAAGATGATTCTAATCCCCACATTGCACTGCTTCCATTGCACCCTGACGTGCGTGCCAGGTTTAATGAGACTGCCGCATGGGAGTATGCAGTGAGCATGATAGGAAAACCTTATGGCTACCATAACATGATCTTCAGTTGGATAGACACTTTAACTGGAAACTATCCGCCCCCCTTGGATGCTAATGTGGTATTAATCTAATCAGTTCTGCTTAAATTTCAGTTTGTGTTAACATTAGATTCAACTATCCTGGGTTTTTGCACTGTTATGCCAAGCTTGATCATTTTTGGCCTACAATTTTTCTGACAATTATATGAATTATTTCTAGCAGAGAATAAAATAGACCATGTCTCGATCTTGCAGAAATTCAACATGAACCTTCTACTAGATTGTTTGAATTAAAGTACCATATGCTCATGTAGCTTTAGGAATAATTGCCACACAGGAAGACCATTGCTATTCAAGAAAATGTTCATTCACATAAAGCAAAAAAAAAAAAAAAAAGGATAATTCACAAAATATGGTACAAATTATTCACTATGTGTGGTCTCTATCTTCTGCCCGTTCCATCTTTTGTATGTTTTAGCCACATTCTAAATAGCTTAATGATTTATGAGTGAGTCTTTGGAGCATTTATTTTATTGCTCTACAGGTTGCTTGCGTTATGACAATCTGGAGTCAAATCCAACCTGATTATGCTGCAAATATGTGGAATGAAGCCCTGAACAAACGACTTGGAACTAAAGTATGCTGCAATCTGGTTTCTTGCTCCATTACACACACTTGAAAAAGGAGAAATAATAAGAATTATAATTTTAATCAGAAATATATTATGTTAAACTCAGACTAAATTACATTAGTGCTATTAATGCTGAAATCTCCTAAATGTGGAGACTAGGAATTTAAATAATACACACAGCTAAGCAAATAATTACCATGTAACAAAAAATAACATTTTTTTTCTCACTTTTTAAGCAAGATTTTTGATACACACGACATATTTGGCTTATGGTGGTTAATGAAATCAATTTATTCAATTGTCTATCATTAGTAATAAGATGCTTGTAATGTCATCTATTACATAGATAAGTAAGCAATGTGTATATATTTACAGGACTCTTAATCAGTGGCGGACCTTGACCATTGATTTTGGGAGGTTAAATAATATATTATTAATAAATAATAAAAATAAATATAAAAGGATGAAAAAAGACGAAAGAATGAGAGGATAAAATTATAAATATGTAAGTAAATATATTAAATGATCGTTAAGTTTTGGGATCAAAATTATAATTATATGAGAGTTATAAAACTAAGATGAGGTTGAAAGGATAAAATAGTAAATATATAAATAAATATATTAAATGATCATTAAATTTGGGGAGTCAAAATCATAAATTATATGGGAGGTATAAAATTTGGGGGTCCAAGAAAGACCCACTGCTCTTAATATTTAACATATGACAGAATAGGCATCTCTTTCTTTTGTATCTGCTTTGTGATAATATGAAATTCCCACATTGATTAAAATAAGTGAATCATGTAGCTTTTTTGTGTTTCTACAGGGACTTGACCTTCCAGAAGTTCTAGTAGAAGTTGAAAAGCGTGGATCATCTTTTGATGAACTTCTGACAATTCCTGAACAGGATGATTGGGTCTACAGTGATGGGAAGTCAGCTTCTTGCATTGCTTTTATACTTGAGATGTACAAGGAGGCAGGGCTGTTTGATCCAATTGCTAGTTCTGTTCAAGTGACAGAGTTTACGGTGAGTTTGCTGGGAAGTTTGGTTTCTGTCTTTTTGGACGCAATATTATGGTGATTTTTTATTTTCCACCGACACAATTGATTGAACGGGTTAAGCATATATAGTTATTATCATGGTAGTCAGTTTTTTTGTTGGTGTGTTTTTTAACATTACATCAATTTTAACTAAACTCTAGTGACATATGGTTTACCCCAATGCCTTGAGTTCACTATTATGTTTGTTGGCCTCGGGGGGAGGGGGATAGGTGAAGTAACAGGATGACTATATCTATTACATATGTGGAGGTGTGTTTCATTCAGTGAAATCAGCCAGTAGATTTTATTTCACCATTATTAAGCAGGAAACATGAATATACAGCATTGACAATTGGACCATCTGTGCTGTTCAAAGGAGAGAAGGGGAGGAGAAATAAATATACTGTCATATATGTGGAATAATAAAACCATTAGGCTAAAATATTTGAATTAAGGACAGTGATTTGCAATTTGCATAGTCCACAAACTTTAGAAATTTTCTCTTTATTCCAAATCCCCCAGGACTGGATGGGAAGGAAATAAAGATGGGAGGAGATGGAATTTTGGTCTCCTTATTTCCCCTCCTAAATTCAAACAAGGGATTTCTATAAAAATCCTTCGCCTCCCCTCCAAGCAAACGCTACGTAGATAAATTTGTGAGGTGAAATCAGGTTGTTGAGCAAGGTTGATATCAGTTCACGATTCAAATTAAAACACTTTATTATTGTAGTTTCTTGACCAAGCGCATATGGGGTTTAATTTTTGTGCAATAAATGCAGATAAAAGATGCTTACATTCTCAATTTTTTTGAGAACAATTCTAGTCGCTTACCAAAATGGTGCAATGATGGAGACACGGTGAAGCTTCCTTATTGTCAAATTAAAGGAAAGTATCGATTGGAATTACCTGGATACAACACCATGCCACCATACTCTCATATGAATGAAAGGTGCCCATCTCTTCCTCCCAAGTACTCCAGGCCCAATGGTTGCTAGCAGTCTTCAATTTTTTGCTCTAATCCTAGGGCTGATTGCGTCACCAGATTATTTCGTCTTCTTATTGCTTAGGAGATGCCAAATGAATTATTGTTGTATCCATTTCCTTGTTAAAAAAAAAAAGTTCAAACAATTCGATATTCTGTGTACATATATTCTTATAACTTATGTCAGACATTCACGTGATTTGGATTATCTCTGTAGCTAGATTAAACAGTGTAAAAAATATTCGAGACTTGAATATCTGTACATCATGCAAAGTTAACTTTGAGTAAGTGTCATATGTAAAATCTTTTATATGTCTTCTTGCATCTGCATTTTCTTTTCCGTAAAGTGAGTTTGGCAACTATGAATTGAGAATTTCAGAACTTTCCCGTTCTTTCCTCCAATTCAGCACTTGAACATAAACTTGTTAGAGTATTACCTGATGGTGTGCATGTGTGAATAAAGTCATATATTATGTAAAAATTAATGTTTTCAAAAATCAGACTCATCATCCAACTGAATAAGATATTGGTTCAAAGTACTTGAATCGATATTAATAATTTTTTAATAATTAAAATACATAAAAGAATGTTAAGAATATATAATATTGTAATTTAATGATATTAAAAACTAAAATAAAGTATAAATTTATGGATTCTTAAAATTTAAAATATTTATAAAAGTTTTAAAAATTTTGTGTATCATACTTAAATTGAAACTTCAATAATATATATCAATAATAACAAGTATATATGTAGAATAAAAAAAAATGATGAATATTTGATTTTCATTTTGTTAAGAAAAAAGGTTATAATTGTGATTTATTATTTCTTTTATCTTTCCATTTTGCCAATTTGGGTTTTGTGCATAACTGATTTACATCTTAACTGGATTGAAAAGGGATTGCTTTCTGGTCCGAGCAACTCATCCAATCTGATTTTAAGAACCATAATATAAATTATCAAGTTTTACAATATATTAATAAGAAATCTCGTAAATTTATTGTCTTTAAGGTTTTGGATTATAATCTCGTGTTTTCTTACGTAGTTGGTTTGTGTTGAATATAATGTGTATGACATTAAAGAAACAGTTAATCTGGAGATGTATTCAGCTCCTTTATTCCGGCTGTGAATTCTGTAATCCTTATGCAAATGAGTTGATCAAAAGTAATTAGGAAGTTAGGTTCCATCATGTTTCTGGGGAAGCAAATAGGTGCGTGCATCGACTAGGGATGCATGGGGTTTAGTTCTTGTGTTTCTGATGTTTCTTCCGCCTGGCTATATGTAGTGTAAGTGCTTGCTTGAATTTTTTTAATTTACAGAAAAAGTACTTTTTTCCCCTCCAAAAGTCCCCGTAAGATTTAACTAAAAGTTATTTAAAGTTCGAACACAAAATAAGCTAATAAACGCTCATTATTAATATTGACTTATTTTTGGTACATAGAAGACCAGCAGTTATTGAAACGACCATTAAGAAAGTGTCCTTGGCGAAATTTGAACCAGTAGTCCTTGTGAAGGTACTGGCATTGGATCCCTACTGAAGAAATTGTCTGAACATAGCTTCCAACTGAACCGGGTCACAAGGTAATGAATTGCAACGAGAGTTTCAAGCCTGGCAAACTCATACCCTGGACATATTCTTGTGCCCCCTCCAAATGGAACGAAGCAGTAGGGTGGTACAGATGCTTGGTTTTCAAATCTCTGAGGTTCAAACTTTGATGGCTCTGGGAAAATGCTGCTATCCATGTGGGTCATTGCTGTGACCCAGAATATCTAAAAAGGTGTAGAAAGGTTTTGATCAGTAACATGATTACATGGAAAGAAGATCTCTAATGACAGGCAACAAAGTTTCAATTACCTGCCATCCTTTGGGTATGACGTATCCTTCATATTCAATATCTACTGTAGCCTTTCTGAAGCCACCAAAAACAGGAGGAAACATCCTTAGAGTTTCCATTGCTACTGTCCAGGTGTACTTCATCTTTGAAAGGTCTTCCCATGTGAGTGCCTCTCCCTCGGGCTTGCTTTTTGCTATCTCCTCCTGTTCTGCAAGCATGAAAGCAAATGAATTTAATTTCTATGCGGTGTCAGTGTAAAAATCATGACACGGACATATATAATTTTTTTCTTGTTTCTATTATACAAATAAAAAAGTGTTAATCAGGAGTGATATCTTTCTAATGAGTAGGGACTCTAGGATGAACAAAAAAATTGCTTTGCTTGTGCTGGTTCACGCACAATTTGTTGATGCATACCTTGAAGAACTGCTGCATAAATAGCAGGTTTATTGGCTAAGAGTCTGATGATGAAAGTGATTAGAACAGATGAAGTGTCATGTCCAGCAACCATGACGAGCTTAATGTTGTCAAAGATTTCCTTCTCGGTCATAAGTTGTTTGCCATCTTCATCAACCATGCCTAGCAAGCAACTAATCAAGTCTTGGCGTGCAGATGCTGCATTTTGTTGGAGTTCAATCCTCTTCTTGTGCACAATCCCTTTCAGTATGGTCTGGATTCTTGCACTTGCCCTAAGGCTGCGGTTGTAGCGTGTGAAGGGCACGTTAATTGGGATTGACCACATTCCTTCAATCATCGCTTGGAAGAAATCCAGGAATTGATCTCTTTGTTTTCCACTCTCAAGACCAAACAAAAGGGAGCAAATTATGTTGAACGTGAGAGCCTTCGTCAGGGGCAATACCTATAAGAAAAAGAATAAATAAAAAGTGAAACTTTTTTTTTCAATTTAGATTTGCTTTTTCTTAACCCAAAAACGAGTGTATATGTATAACAAGTTACAGGCTATGGATCCAGCATGTTCTTTGGTTTGTATTTTATTAGGATTTGCTTCCCAAGTCTCTTTTTTTCCCTCTGCACATGCCAAATTAGACTGTTCTTTAATCTAACAGATATTGGGTTGTAAATTGTAACAACAAAGTACATACCTTGACCTGCTGTTTCCCCTGCCAATGCATCTCAAGGTGCCTCCTGACTTCTTCATCCATTTTTCCCACATATCTCTTCAAGGATTCTGGCTTCAAAAATGAGACAAGTGCACCTCTGACTCGGCTGTGATCTTCACCACTCAGTTCCAGCAAGTTTCGGTCACCTAGAATCATTTTGATGGATTGTGTTTGTTGGTTAGCAATTGCGTTACCACCACCGGAGAATACAAACTTGTTTGCAGCCTGTCCATAGACTAAAACTGTCGGTTTTCCAAAGAGGCTTAACTTTGAAATGGGACCATACTTGCTTATTCTTTCTTGAACCCATTTTTCTGCGGAGTTGGCACGCATAGCTCGAAGAAGGCCAAGGCTTTGACCAATAATAGGTATTCCAAGTGAACCTGGAGGAACCCTTCTGGATGAGCTTCTTTCTCTTCTAAGCAGAAGAAGGATTGGGATGAACAAGAGGAAACTCAACAAGAGAAGACTCATCCTTCAATTTTTTTTATTTTTTTTTTCAGATTCTCAAGGCAGGAATGCTCTAGTGGGAGTATTTGTGTAGGGCTTTTGTAAGAGTGTGTGTCCTTTCTTTGATCTTCAATTGGAGTGTCCAAACAAAACTTTTTTATGAAGCCGGCTGATGTTCATTGTTGTCTCTCAGCATTTGGAACAGAACAGAAATTTCAATGTTATTTGTCTAGTTGAGACACGTGTTATTATTAAATTATATCTAAAAAAATAACAAAATGGTGTCACCTAGGCTAAAGTTAGGTGTAGGATTTTTGAACTAATAAAAAAGTGTAAGATTTATGCAAAAGATGGGATATTAGGCTAAGGCACTGAGAGTTATTCTTCTTTGTCTCATGTGTAAATCGGACAACGCATAGACACTGTTAAAGGAGATTCAATTCTTTTAAAAGATAAAGATAATGAAGGAGGATTATTTTCCAATCATGCCACACAAAACAATGACATCAAAGAGTTAAAATTTATTGTTATGGGGATGTGATGTAAAGTAGAAACAAACAAAGACAAAATTATACTAACACTTTTTACTTCGAATGATATTAAATAATAATAATTTGCAAAAATAATTAAGTTAATAAATATATTATTATCTATTTGGAATCAAACTACTTAAATTGGTATATATACACACACGCTCGTGCATGTAAGTACGAATGTTTATTAATTTGTAAATTTTAACCTTAACGGAAAGAGAGTCTTTCTTTTCTTTTACATGATAATCTCTTTAAAACAGTTTCAAAGTTTGAAAACCAATAAAATATATTATTTGATGATATTTTTTTTTATCAAGTAGTTAAAGAACAGAACAGAATTAAAACAAAAATTCCTTGACAGTTTTTTATTTATTTAGTTCTCAACTATATAAACTGTTTTGTTGGAAAAAAATTATAATTTTAATTAAAAGCACAATTTTAAATATCATTCTACAAATTATATTTCAAAGAGCTTTTCTGTCAAAAGTTTCAGGTATGCGGAGTAACAATTTAATTCCTGGGAGACACATTTCAGAACCAAATCTAGTTGACAATGTAATTTGGTTCATATTTCAAGTAGACTTATTAAAAATATATATTATCTCTCCATTTATGTTGGCTAAGACTTCACCTATAAATGTGAATTTGTTGACTGGTCAAATAAGTCTTCATACATTTCATTTGGAAGTTCACCGTTTTTGTCACCGAGCCAGATTTGCATTTAGGTAACCAGTGGTAATGTATGTTAAGAGAAAAAGGAAATGAGGAAATACAGAAAACTTCTTAGAGAGTGACAGAGAACCTGACCCTATTATCTAGGTGTAGGACAATAACAACAACAACAACTGTCTTTTCTTCCATAAAATTTGAAATCACTGAAGTACAATGATATATCTGAACCATCTAATGCATGCAGGTCTACCAACAAATATGTATTATAGAAACAAACATATGATATATTATCATATCATCACTCAGCCTTGGAGGGGAGATGGTTACCACCAGTTGCTAATTTGTAGAGATAAAACGCAGTCATCAGAGCACTGCATGAAAAAGACAGACATATTCTCAACTCTATATATAAACCCTATGTTACTCATTTAGGATATGCACACCCATGATCAAAATTTAGAAATAACAAACACCCTCAGTTGCATAAATGTCTACAAATGTAATAGGATAATAGACAAAAAAAAATATATATTTATTACAACATTTCTGGGCAACAGATGTGGAGAAATTTAGTATGCTTGATTTATGACTTCAAAATTGAAACATTATAGATCTTTAAATAAGCAATAGGAAGTTAAAAATAAATTTTAGAACATGCATAAATAATAGCAAATTAAATTATTTCTTTTATCTCAAAAAAAGATGGAAATAGTGAAGCCTTGAAGAGTTTAAAAAACAAAATCATTTTCATGCATATATTTACTTTTCAAAAAATATATGGTCATGGATTTATAATGTACAAACCAACAACTTATCCACCAGAGTTTAAACATAGTTCTTATACTTAGAGTAAAACTATGTTTAAAATGACTTTGGGTACTTCTGATCAATCCTTTGATTACCTGATTCCTGCAACAAGACCGGAAGGCATAATCTTGGATGTTTCCAAATATCGTTGCCCCATAACCCAAGTTAGTATGGCTGCACAAACTGTTACACAGTATACAAATTAAAAAAAAAAAAAAAGAGTAGAAAATACTCCTGTTAATATAGACCATAATTAATTCAGTGATCATTGTGTGACAGATAAATAGAGAGTAACAGACATACATTCCCGCTATAAACACAGAGATAACCATTGATCATAAATAACTTGCAACTTACTAAAATATTATTGCTTAATTGAATTTGGACATATGACAATATAATCTGATACATCTCTACCCCGTCTAAAGTTTTTCTCCTTTTATTAATGAATAAGAGCAGCGCAAGTCAATACTAAAACAGAGCATGCTTTTATTGCAGAACATACCATAGAGTCAGTCGAAAGATACTATGAATCAGAAGGCTTAGGTTTCTGCAACTAGAAATCAACAAAGGTTATCAAATTGCTCTTGTTTTGTTATGCTATAATATTAAGACACCCACACAAAAAGAAATACTTGTGACATGCATAAAGCTTACCATTTGATGTCCATAGTCTGAGAGATTTTAAATTCTATTGTGAGTTGCAAATTAGAGGCATTATTATAATAAATCATGCACCCAATATATCTTGATCAGGCTACATGTATTCATTGATGCTTCCAAGTCATTCAACATTATCCATATAAACCTCTTTCCCAACTGCTTCACAGTAATTCAAAAACTATATCTATGTGTCACTTCTCCTCCTTACTCTTACATCTACCCTAACGATCCCCCAATATCCTCTTCCTATTAATCACTTGAAATAGAGAGTAGCAAACAGAAAGACACTACGGTGAAGTTTAGATAAACTTCTCAACAAACATTTACAGAACACAAAAATAGAATGAATCCTACAGGGAAAATAGGTCAGCCTTCTCCCGCACAAAATGAAACAACATATGCATCTTAACATCTTAGTTCTCTCATTTAACTTTTCATAAGTTGATGCTTGAGATTCAAGAAAATAGTGTATGCAATGAGATTGTAAAATGATATTTAAACTGTCATCCAATCACACTTGCCACGTATGATACATTTATTAACTTTTACAGTGACTGCTTTAAAAGTCATGAATTCATGATTTCTGATTGGTTGACAAGTTTTATGATTAATTGACAATGTAAAACTTCTTACCCCGTTAGTGTATAAAAATTAAACTCTTGATTTCAACTCATATGAGAAATTTTATTCATTTTAACTTATTATTTTCTTCTCCAATGAGTGTTACACGTGGCGCTCTTAAAACAATCTAGTTTAAGAAACTCAAGATTATCGAGCTGATTCTCTAGTAAAACATAGAATCATTCATGCAAGTATCATCATGCCAGAGAGAGATTTCATATCCAACATTTCATGCAATCCGAAAAGAATCCGACAAATATCCACGTCTTTCCTCACATCCATCACAACAAATTCATCAAATCACGAATTCTAGCACAAAACGCGAATCAGATCCAGATTCGAATAACAAGTCAACTATCATCGGAGGCAAACATTTCGAAACCAAACCAACATTAATAACAAAATTATAATAATAAAAATAATAACGAAAGGAAGGGGAAAGAGAAGATACCGGTCTCGAGAATGAGAGCGAGGTAAGAGTTTTTTCGCTTGCCGAAGGCATTGAGACTGAGATAACCGGCGATGATGAGAAGCAAACCGGAACCCGCGCCTCCGGCAAGAGAAGCAATGCTCCCTTTCGTTATGTATGCAAACAGTCCACCACCCACTAGCATCAAACCGTACGGTATCGTGAAGCAGAAATCGTGCATTTTCACTTTCCTTTTCCGCAGAAATTCAGATTCCTTCAATCGAAAATTATTGAAACACAGAGAGAGATGAGATGAAAGGGAGCGTGGAGGGCACAAGTCAAAATATTAACACCTCAACTCAACCAAACCCTTCCACTTGCTCCTTCAGAATTATTCAGACATTCAACCCTCAATTTTTAAAACTTCATGTTTGTTATTTTAAAAATGTGTATAAAATAATTTTTGGAATGATTTTTTTTTCATATTATTGACTTATTAACATTTTTGGAATGATTTTTTTTTTCATATTATTGACTTATTAACATTTTTGGAATAGTTACTAAATCCTTCTTATATATTTAATTATTTAAGATTAATGAACATATATATTGAAAATATTTAATAAATACTTGAGCTACACTTTCCTGCTTAATACTTTAATTCTTATTCTCTATACCATCAGTAGTAAATACTGTTAAATAAGAACATGTGAGAAGAAAAATACTAATTAGATTTAAAAATTTAAAATATAAATTGTTTTAGAAAAGAAAAAGACTAAAATAATTATAGAAATGAGATAATGTAATAAAAAGTAGAAGATAAATTAAGTGATGAGAATTTTATAACGTTATCTAATAATAATATATATGATAAATTTAATAACTTTTTATTTTACAATGTTTTTACATTATTGTTAATAGCTAATAAAATTATGGGAAAATCTTATAATCAAAATAATTATTACAGATGAATGACAATAAAAATTTTTTTTCTCGTAAAATTAGAGATTAACTAGTGATTTTTAAATTTGACTAAAATATAAACTATAAGATTTTAATTTGGAATTTACTCATTCAATCTTCAGTCAGAGAGCCTCGTAGAATTTTGGATTTGGTCTCGTCAACAACCAATAAATTTGCTATTTTCAATTAGTTATACTCTGGCGTACGCTAGTTAAGAAAATATGAACAAATTTAATATTTTATTTTTGCTTGGAATAGTAAAAAATAATTATGTGTAGGCCTCTACTCAAATTATCATTGTTATTTAAAAAAAAATAAGGTTTTTACGAGTATAGAAAACCATTTTAAGTGTTTTAGTTTTTTACACCTAGAAACTACTTTCAATCTATACTCATATTTTTTAAAATATTTGTGTTTAATAAAGGTGGTCACAATTGAAGTTAAATTAAATATAAGAGATAATTTAGGTTCAAACGGATTAGATTATTGCTAGCTGATTTGGATTGAATTATATTTTAATAAAATTATAACTTGAAATATAGATGAAGATGAAATGAATATTTTTAAATGAATAAAGGCAGGTTGATTTCTTCATCCCTTACAAAAAAATATACAAGTTAGGATTTGAGAAGGGTTTGAAATGAGATATGTTTAAAATTTTTAATATCATCTTGTGCATTTTTAAAAAATGTAATTGAATATTAAAAAAAAACTTATTTATAAAGTATATAAAATTTGCTTATTAAAAAACCAAAACATGCCAATTTTAAAAATAAGTAAATAAAATAAAATATAAATAAACACAAATTTTCTTGTTTTATTAAATAAGTATTTTTTTTAAAGCCCAACTTTGTCTTCAATTAAAGTAAACCACAGATGATTAATCATACTAAAAATAAATAAATAAAGTTAAAAAATATAATAAATCCATCATTTTAAAAAATATAATAAACCATCATTTAAAAAGAAAATTTTTCTTTTAGTTTCCCGTCCGTCCTATTAGTAAACTAGCGGTGACATATTAACAACTGTTGCAAAACAAATATCCTCCAAAGTATGCGTAGAAACGGGGTGGGGCTGGTTCTTTCGTCTGTCCGCTCCCGTTCTCCCCGTCTCCGTCCCGTTTTCACTTCCGACCTTCTCTTCCGTCCCTTTCGGGATAGGAATTAGATTTTCATTCTTTTTCTGGTTAAGGTTTTTTTTTTTTTCATTCTCTATTGTTCTTATTTATATAATTATATTTATAATAAATTAATTTATATATTATATATATATTTTTATATAAATAAATTTTTTATAATTTTATAATTTATAATTATTATTAATTAAATATATTTTTAATTTATTATATTTATATTAAAATATTATATAAAATAAATATTTAATTATTATTTTTATAAATATAAAATATTTATAATAATAATATTAATATTATTAAAATAATAATTATTATAATATTATTAAAATAATAATAATAATATATTGAAAGATTTGATTACCTAATATTTGATGTAAAGTGTAATTTAAAATATGAAATATATAATTTATATGAAAATATTTAATAAGTTAATTTTTATTTAAATAATTTAAAATAATACAAATTTTAATTATTAATTATTTTTAATTTTTTAAAATATAATTATTTTATTAGAATAAAGTTTGATATATAATAAATAAAAATAAAAATATACAAAAATATAATAAAATATAATAAAGATAAATTATAAATAAAATAATATTAATTATTATAAAAATTTATGTAAAATATTTAGAAAAAAATAAATTTTGTATTTGTCATATTAAAAAAAATGATGATGAGAAATTAAGAAAATATAAATAAGTGAAAAATAAAGAAAAATAATTTAATGAATTAATTGATATAAAATATTAAAAAAATAATAAAAATTATATAAAATTAAAATAAAATTATAAAAATAATTTTATATAAAAAATATTTTAAATATTAATATTTTAAAATTTAAATTTAAATTTAAATATAAATATAAAATTAAAATAATAATATTAAAGATGAAGATTATATTATTTATATATCCATACCTTGACTTTTAAATCGAAGAGAAGCAAAACTTATTTCTATTTCCTTCAACTTAATTTTTCAGGTCAAATTTGAGATAAAAATATATCAATAAAGGAAGATCAAACCTGTCTTAATCTTGCTCAACTTAATTTTTTCACATAAAATTGGGGACTAGAAGAACTCAATTTTACGAGAACAACTCAATTTTCCAGATAAAATTCGAGACGAGAACGTATCAATCCTCGCAATTACGGGTCATCTCTGTCGGATAATCCATTTTTATTAATATAATAATTATAAAAGTATTGAATAAAAATAAAATAATTTAAAATTATTATTAAGATATTAAAACCGGTTATATTTTTAGATGATTGTAAAAATCTGGTGTGAAAATAGTTTTTTTCTTGACAAACCAAACATAGGGACGGTCCTTTTCCATCCAACGATTTAGGGTTTTGAGTTGGAGCCCAAACTTATACAGATGGTTTTTTATGGTACCCAAATCCAAACCGCCTTATTCAAGTTCAACCCTTCACCCTGTTACAAGCTCCTTCTCCCGAGAGTCACTAAGATTTCGATGACGAAAATCCAGGGTCATTCTAAAAGATCCATTTGCCCGTCTTGTTCCAAACCCACACGAACGTGTCTCTGTTCTCGAATCCTCACACCGGGTATCCAAAATTCTGTCCACGTAACCATTCTGCAGCACGAGCTTGAGCGTAAGCACCCCCTCAATTCTACTAGAATCGCTAGATTGGGCCTCAAGAATCTCACCGTTGCAACTGTTTCTGATGTTAATTTCCAAGCCCGGTTCCTGTTTTGGTTGTTTGATCGGAATTCTCAATTGGGTGGTGCTGTAAACGTGCCGAATGGACTGCTTTCTCGTCCGTATTGCAATTTTGGAGACACCAATAAACTGTTTTCTGAGAAAAATCCGAACTTGAGTGATACTGATAATGCCGTAAAATGTGGGTTCGGAAATGATCTTGCTCATGTTATGGATTCTCCCACTCATACTGAAGTTGGGACTCAAGTGAGTATCAGTGATGGTGCAGTCGTGAGTGATGAAGTTGAGAAAAACGCAATTTGTCCAAATTGTGATTTAACTAGAGGTGTGCATGAAGAGAATGGTAGGCTGGCTATTAGTGTTGCCATTGGCAAATATGGTGCTATTAGCTCTCTGTCTCATATTTGGATGGCAGAAGCACAATTTCCATCCGCCAAGTTAAGTTTTGACAATATTTTGGCTTATCCTGAAGCTTCCGGAGCACTCTCGAAAGGGTTTTTGGTGAAGAAGTTTCAAAGGAAGCACCTGAATAGGGATGCAGACTTGGAAGAAGAATGTGAAGAATTTGAGCTGGAGGTTCGTCCTGGATCAGTGCTACTATTTCCCTCTAATAAGGCTGTGAATATTAGTGACCTAGGTGCTATTGGTTTTAATGTGACGAACTTGATTGTTCTGGATGGAACATGGGCTAAGGCAAAAAGGATTTACAGTGAAAATCCTTGGTTGAACGTTTTGCCCCATGTGAAGTTGGAAGTGAATGAGACGAGCTTATATAGTGAAGTGAGACATCAGCCTAAAGCTGGTTATTTGTCTACCATTGAGAGTATTGTATTTGCATTGAAGGCAGTTGGGGAGAATCACGAGGGTTTGGATGGTCTCTTGGATACTTTTGAGTCCATGGTTGGAGATCAGAGACGCTGTAAAGAAGAGAGACTGAACAAACACTTCTCCAGCTGAGGTCCTTTCTTCTTTAGAATTAACAGTTTGGAAAAGTTTATTCAACCCAAACCAGAAACTATATGCAATAAATTGTGAACCATGAACTTTATATTAGTTTTTTGCCTCCTTGTCCTTTTCCGTCATTGCACAACTGAAGGTAAGAGTTCCGCAGTATTATCTGTATATGATATGCTTGATACTTCATACTCCAATGAGTTTATTCCTGTGCCCCATATACTAAACAAGGACAGGACAGGAGCAGTCTGAGTAAAGTAATCAGTTCACTAATTGGAATTGCACTATGCTATTATTAAGAGTTTGTATCTATGTTTTAGTAGCCCAGCGCTTCTGCCACATCTACATGACCTGACCTATATATGTTTACACTGGATAAATGAAAGACATTATGCGCATTGGACACTACTAGTCTAGTCTCTCAAGAAGATAGAGTTCAGCCCGTACCCCTAGAACTTTCGGACAGAATCAAGGCTGCTCAAGCAAGCTTGGTTTCAACATCAAAACCAAGATATATTGCGAGCATTGAGCTGGATAGTTAATGATTACATTAATAAACAGCAAAAACAGACAGTGCCAAAAGCTATCCAGACACTTGATGGTGAGAATGTAAAGTGGAGTTAATTGTCCACAAAAAACATGGAGAAACAGCAAAAAAAAGAAAGGGAGGAAGGGAAAAGATTTTACCTGGCTAAATTCACAAGATACAGATATCTGTTATCAGAACTCAATTTGTCTACAGATCATTGTAAAATTGCTAAGATGGCTTAAATGTAATTAGATTCTATTTACTAGACTTCATGTGTCGATGCGTATTGTGTCAATCAGTTTTAGTACTTAAAGAAAGAATAGGCCAACCCGGAGCTTCTCACTTAATGCTTAATTATCCAGTCTGCTGTTTGTACCGTTTTATTCTTAGATTGCTAATTTAAATTGTATCATATCCCATTTACTCTTCGGCACTTTGTTGATAATTAGAACTTCGGACATTCTAGTAATCATCATGGCTTTACTCTTTGCGTGGATCTAGAATCATATCGACAATCTGAATGTCAGACAGGTAAATAACATGTATAAATTTTTCAAACCAGTAAGCAACCAAGTTTTAATTTTTCTATACAGAAACCAATCTTAAAGGTTCAGACTAAACAGGCAACATCATCAATGCAAAGAAACAAGCCACCTTATTCTCCATGTACTGACTAGTCCAAGTCCTTAGATTATTTAAATACACGCACCAGCAAAACCAGCAGATATGTACCGAAATACCTAACTTTATCCGCTCTGACGCCAGTGATACATCATAAACTAAGGTATTGCTTCATTGTCTATATTTACCAAACTTTTGCTGATCCACGAAGTTTAGGAATAACAGTGGCAGGCCTATACAAATTTGAGGGTGTCGTAAGTGTACTTATGATCAACGCATCCTGAGCTGACCAAAGAGTTTATCCAGATATCATCAGCTTTTACTGAATTGTCATCATCGTTCCTGTGCCAACTCCAGAGGGCATGAGTGGAGTTTACAATATTCAGCTCACCATGACCAAAACTGGCTTCACGAAATTCTGACCACTTTGGCTGTGGGTTTATATACCTGTCAATAAATAATCATGTAAGGGTACATCTAGCAACAATGAGAGATAAACAAATTTCAGGCTGCATGCATGCTGATAAACCTTAATATAGCTTTTTTTTGTTTCACATAAACGATTCTGAGAACAGATTCAGTGGAATGTTTCTGGCTGTGAAACTTACTTATGAGCTAATCCTTCCCTATTTCCTCCATCACCTATAGTTATATGGACGGGACCACAGCGATCCAATCTTCCATCATACACACGTTTCTGACAATCAGAGGGAGTATTAAGACTCGGTTTTCATCAAATGGGTGCTTAAAAAGAGAATAAAGTGCTAAACTATAAAGACATACTGAACGTTCATAAGCGTGAACATGACCAGTGATAACTAAATCAACACTAGCAGCATAAAGCAACGGCTCCATAACTGTCATCATATCATCCCCTTGACCTTGATGGGCCTTGTTACTATTATACCACGGTACATGAAATAACGCAAGCAGCCAAGGCGTCCTTTCCCTATTTACCTTTGACAGATCTTCCTGGAGACGAAAGTGAAAATTAAATGCTGAAAAAAAAGTGGTCCCTTGATCATGACTCGCATCACACTTATCCAACTATAGTAACCCTTGATCAATAGGGAAAATCAACTAACCTTTAGCCATCTATATTGTTCAGAGTACACATCATAATCTGCATAGGAGCCAAGCATGATAACGTGGACACCTGCAACTTCAAAAGAATAATAGAGATTTGAAGTTGATCCACTTTCCTCAAATGGCATTTTCCATCTGGAATTATAGGACACAAACTCATCCGTTAACAAGGGTATGTTCTCTTCTTCATGGTTTCCCTCTGTCACCATCCACGGCCTTGCACTAGCAAGCGGCTCCACTAGTGTCCCAAAATTGTCCCACAGATGCTGCATACAATCAGCATATGAAAGGTCTCCCGGAAGCAGGTAGACATCATATTTACATTGGTCAATGTGAGCCAATGTTGATTTAGTCCAGCCAGTTTGACCAAGATCACCAGCCACAGCAAACATAATCGGAAATTGGTTTGGAGGGGTTTTGAGCTGGAACTCGGGACCTTTTCCACCACACCGGTAAAAGTACACGGTGTTGTCTTCCAAAGGTCCAATTACAACATGGTGTATATTTCCTGAGCTATATAACATATAGTTGTAAGAGGTGCACTCTCCTTCAGCAATTGAGTCATATCTCCCAGGTAATGTACCGTATTCTACATATGAAGGTGACTTTTTATCATCGGTTATCCAGGTAACTCTGATGTGCTTCTCTCCCGCCAAAGAAATGTGTACCTGGAATGGAACAAACATTTGGCATCACAGCAACTAAAATTTAGTTGTCACAATAAATGAACATGCGTAAAGTGGTCGATATGATTGCTTTATAAAGCACGGTTGATAGTTCACATGATATTTGTCCTAGAATTGGGAAATGATTCAAGAAAGCAAAACAAGCACCTGCTGAAGTTACAAAATAAGCAGATAAATAATAATCATTCTGTTTATAGATATTACAACAAACAGAAACTATCACAAATAAGGAAATTCATTTGAAGATTAGAGACCAGAACCAAATAAAAGAGTGTCAGAAATCATCGATGAAGTTTGAATATCCCAAACATTTGCAGGAGAAGACAAAAATGAAAAATATAAAAATCTCTCTCATAAGTTAAAATTAATAATTTATACGTTAATTAGTTTATAAAAGCTCTCTGAAAACTAATTTTAAGTTAAAGAAGTTTATTTCATTTTACTTCTTTTTTTCTTCTCTTCTGTGATGTACTTATTTTTTATCCTTATATGACCATAAATCAAACCCCATATATGATATACAATCTCAGTTTTAAACGGCTAGCAGAGCCAAATTTGATCTACATCTGCTAACTCTAATTTCTCTATTATTCTCCGTGTAACACAAATTTGAGCTAAATATGAAACTGACAACTCGTACCCGTCCTATAGAAGCAAAGAACTATCTACTTTCAATTAAATCCAATAAACCTACATAGGAAAAATGAAGCCTCCCAACGGAACACAATCATCCCATCTAAAACAAATGAAATCAGGTACTATAAGGAGGTTAATTGACCTGTTGAGGATAAGAAGAGTGGGCCTTGGAAATTGAATTCCATGGAGCTGTTAAGGCTTTACGAGGAAGAGGACGAAGGTATTCAGATTGAACCGTGGCAGTTGAAAAAAGAAGCATGAGAATCAGAAGAAGTTTGTGTACGAGTTGTTCCATATGAATATGATTTGTAGTGTATGGCTTGATATCAGTAATTGCCTGTGACAACAAAGTACTTGCTTCCATTTAAATTCTTCTTTTTACTTTTTATCATAGCCCACCACCAAGTCCAACCTTCCCATCACATCATCCTTTGTCCAACTAAGTAAAATATTAATATTTAACTAAAATTGTTAACTAAAACAATATTTATTTACATGATATATATAGACAAAACAAGCAACGAGTTTATATATATATATATATATATATATATATATATATATATATATATATATATATATATACTCGTATACTCATTGTTTAACCTTGACGAATAAGAGATAAAAATAGAAAAAGAAGGAAAAATATAAAATATTATGTATTTTTTTTATTTCTTCCCATCCGAAAGAAACATAGAGAGCACATATGAAACTCCAACTAATGAAATTGTTTTTATTTATATAACTTTTTTTTTTGTCAGAATTATGGTGGAAAGTAATATAGATGTAAAATTTGTTTATTGTTTTTATTTGAGAGTTATTTGTATCATAATATATAAAAAAAAGTTATATAAATAAAAACAAATTTGATAACACCTTTTGTGTTCTACTTTTTATTTATATATATATATATATATATATATATATAATTATTTTTAGTATATTTGACAGAAAAAATAATATCAAATATAATAAATTAAGAATGTAAGATAATAAAAAAAAGAAATATAAATAATTAAAAAATATATATAATACATGTACAAGTACACACTCTAAATACCTATATTTTTATAAATATATGAAAAAATATTTCTTTATAACAGTTTCTTATGCTATAAAACAAATAATAATATATATTATATTTTATTTTATTTTATTCACAACTTTCAATCAAATATTCTACTTTATCTTTTTTTAATATAAAATAATAAATATTATTTTTTTCCTTTAAGTTTTTTTTCTTAAATTTGTTCATTAATATATAAAAAAATATTTCTTTTATAATGATTTTTTATATTATAAAAAATAAAATATATTATAATATATTTATTTTATACATAACACTCAATCAAATATTCTACTTTATTTTTTCTTTTAATATAAAATAATAAATAATTTTTTAAAAATATTATTTTTCCTTTCATTTTTTTCTTAAAGATTTGTCTTACGTCTATTTATTAATATATAAAAGATATTTTTTTTAAGTTATAAAATATATTTATATATTATATTTTCTTTTATTCATAAAACTCAGTTAAGTATTCTATTTTATATTTTTCTTCAAATATAAAAAATAAATAATTTTTTTTTAAAATATTATTTTTTTCTTTCAGTTTTTTTTTTTTTTTTAAGATTTGTCTTACGTCTATTTATCTCCTAACATTTAAAGAACAAATCTTTATATTTTAAAATTGATAGTAATATTTGTTTTTTCTATATTTATAATCATAAAACCCCTAAACCCTAGACGCAGCTCAGCTCAAAAGCCATACATATAATAGTTTCTTCTCTTGTTTTTATTTTGGGTTCTTTTAGAGAGTAGAAGGAGAAGGAGCATCCACAGAGAACCAAACTAAAACAGTTGAAGCTTCATTTTGGTGCGAAATCCTAACAATGACGACCTCCATAGCCTCGCAATTAGAAGCTATAAGGTCTTTTGTGAAAAGTGACTCCCAACCTCTTAAAAGACCTTTCACTCGTCCTTCGATACTGTTCGAACCCAAAGAAGCCGCCGATATCGATATTGAAACCCTTTTCTCCATTGCTCTTGAAGGTCTATCTTTCACCTCGTACTCATTCTCTTTTTAGTGAAAATCAATTAAGCAAATTAAATTTTGCACTGTCTTAGCTGTGACGAAATATGAAGAGTGCTGCTGCTTTATATTCTGTTTTTGTAGTTATTATTATTTTTTCTGAATGTTTGGTTTCGTTTTGCACTTTTTCAGGATTAGAGGTTCTTATTGGCAAGGATGAGCGGTTCAGAAACTATAAGAACGATTTGTTTAGCCAAAGGAGTAAGGAGCTGGATAGAGAGTTGATGGGAATAGAACAGAACCATCAACTTAATGTCTCCATTTCTGCGTATTTAAAACTGCTTTCTGGATATTTTCTTCTTCGGCCTGCTCTTAAAACTCTTGAGTACTTGATACGCAGATACAAGTGAGCACTTCATTTGTTTTTTATATTTATTGTTGTTTGAACAAAGTGTTATGAATTGTCTGTGTTGTGCGTATAATCACATTTGCCCCCTACCTCCTTTACCTATTTTAGGTGATTCTGATGTAATTTGTTGAGTTTCAGGATTCATGTGTACAACAATGAGGATTTGATCTTGTGTTCTTTGCCGTACCACGATACACATCCTTTTATCCGAATAACACAAATACTTGAGACAAGGTTAGAAAGATATGATTATGTGTTTTTGTTTTGCTTGTGATGTAAATTACTAGTCTGACTTCTAGCTTTTTTGTAAAGGAATACTAAATGGGGGTTTCTTGATGGTGTGAAGGCCTCTGGTGCACCACCACCTAGGATGGTCATAGTGCAGCAATGTATCCGTGATAAGGGCATATTAGATACTCTATGCAACTATGTAAGATGTTTTTGTTTTAGTTGTGAATGTGGAAGTGGATTAGTGGAATCAAATAATTAAATACCAAATCATTTGGTTACAGGCATCTCCATCTAAAAGGTCTCAACCTTCAAGGCATGTAATTGGCTTTTGTACTGCTGTTTTTGTTGAGGTTTTGGGTACTGTTGTTACTGTAAAAGATGATATTGTAAAGAGGATACTTCCTTTTGTGGTCTCTGGTCTTCAGCCTGGCATTAATGGAGTTTCAGATCACAAGGTTAGTTTCAATGGATTAAAATTTATAACTGATTATAGTTAGACATCACACTGTAATATATTTTCGATTACTTTCTCATTAGTGGGAAACGAAATTACTTTCAATGGTAAACTTTGTGAAAGGAATTCGCTCTTCTCTTCTACAATAAGAATAGTGTTGCAGCGTTTTTGTTATAGAGATGGGGCTAATATTTTTTGTTCACAAATGTTATTCACTTTTACTTTGTCTATTGCCTTAAACTTTTTGTACATTCTTAACAATCTGTTTCCAAGAATGAAGAATATGCTTGGACTAGCTCGTGGTATAATCTATGATTCATCCAAGTATACGTTTTAGATATCCTGTTATAATCTATGTTCAGTCATGATTTTTTCCTTTTCATGGTCAAGCTGTGATGATGATTGAGTGCTAATTAGTTTTAGATATCCTTTATTTTTCATTCAAAGCAGAAGCAAAAGTAACTCACTGTAATATAAAGGCCTTCTAATCTCTTTACATGTCTGTGTGACCTCCTATTAGGACTTATTATATCTGTTGAAATTATGGGGATTTAGGTATAGACGGAAGTAGGAAGAGAATAGAGGTTTTGAATAATATTGTGCTGATTATAATGATATGCAATGTTGTGGTATATTCTTGAAATAAAAAAACACTAGTCTTTATTTACATTGATCATAGAACAATCCTAAGTGGTAATGATAATATTGGGAAACTGATCCTAAATCAAAATATAATATATGGTAAAATATTTTCCCTTATTTTAACAATTTTTAGCTATGTTTCTTGGTACTTTGACACAATTGTTTTCTCATATTTTTGTTGTATGCAGGCTGGTTCTTTGATGATTATTGGTTTGCTTGGAAACAAAGCTGCATTATCTCCCAAGCTTTTGAATAGTTTGATACGTTCAGTTGCTGAGGTTGCTCGTGGGGAGGCTATAGAGTTGACAGATCTCTATTGGTTTCGATTGTCTCTGATTACCTTAATCAATCTTGTTCAGGTACTAGTGTAATCCTCTATGTTTGCATAGAGTTTAAACAGAGTCTTTGATCAATTTTTGGGTGGTAAATAGTATTGATCAAATTTTATTTTACAATGCTATATTTATTCTGAATCTGGCTAGTTTTTATTTTAATCTGTTCTATTGGAATTTTCTCAGTCTCAAAATGTTGAAGTACTCCCAACAAAGGCTGTGGATATTTTAAAGGAAATAAGGTAGTCTTAATTTAACTGCTCAATCACGCTTGGACTGTTGTCATTTCTTTTTATATATATATATTCCTAGTTTATTTAATCCCTTTCTATATAGGGACTTGCCAGGGGTTTTATTAGAATTATCTAAGGAGTTCAATATTGAAAAGTTTCTTCGGGTGCTTTTGGACTCCCTGATTGACTGCAGGTGCGCATTGTATGATTGTCTTTCTGGGGATATATATGCTTTAAGTCATATTTTATAAACGCTTGTGTCTTCTGTTGACTATAACAATAACAAACTTGCAGTTCTGACGAATACTGTCAGCAGACTTTGCTATCCTTGATAGAAAAAGTCCCCATTGACAGTTTTGTTTATCATGTGGTCACAAAGATTCTCTCAACTTGTGTGAAATTAGCACAAAAAGTTGGTGATTCAACTTCTTCCATGTCAGGTACATCTGATTTTGAATTGTAGACAGCTGATGACTTAGTTCGTTTTGGATGATTCCTGTACCCATAATTATACATACTTCATAAGGTTGAGCTAATAATAATAATCCATTGAATCATATAACTTTTAAAAGCTTCTATAATTTTTTTTTAAAATCTAAGTGAAAATTGTCTTCTGAATTCTGAAAGCAATGGCCATGGTGGCATTTTAAGTTATAGGAATTTTTTTTATTCATTTAGCTCTGTACTGACTTTATTTTTTTAACAGAAATCTACCACTAGTTGTTTAACTTTTGTTGCCTTGCTTATTATTCTCACAATATTGGTCTTTCATATGTTGATTAGCTGGCTGGGCAAAGAAGATACTGATAATTGTCAATACAAAGTACCCTTTTGAACTACGTGGTGCAGTTCATCATTTTCTTCAGGCATGCTGATGAATTTTCTGTTTTTTTGTTGTTGTCATGCATTGCAAGACTCTCTAAAATAATGTCTTGAAACTTTCAACATGTTCAACAGGATAACAAAGTGCGTTCCAAGAAAAATGATTCATTGTATAAGGTTTTATGTAAATTGTTAGATGGAAATTCAGATTCATCATTTGATATCTCGGACTCAAAATTTTGGTTTGGCTTGTATCATCCAAAGGTATGAACTTTTGTCTTACTCTTCGATAAGTAGGTTATATAAATTTATGTGTGTATTCTTACTTACAATAATGAAATTTTTTTTGTTAGTTGTGAGTGCTTTACAATTCTTATTTTTCATGCTATAGGCTGATGTTCGTCGTGCTACACTGCTTGAGTTAGATAAGTCTGTTAACTTGGAAACCAAATTGGTTGGTTCAGAGGTATATATGCTCAGCTAATTTTCCCATCCTTCTATAATCTTATCTTTCCATTAATTCGTATTTTTTGTTTATGATAATGGTTGAAGAACATTCATGATATTACCCCTTTTGAATGGAATAAGTTGAAACTTTTGGTTGATTGCATCTATTTCTTTTATATACCCGCCCTCCTAAAACCATATATTTCATTGTATTTTTTGTTTATGACATTGGTAGAAGAACATCCTTGATGTTTCTAATTTTGTGTGGCAAAAGATTTTGAATTTTTGTTTGATTTGATTTATATTTCTTTTCTACACACCAATATAGACACCTACAAGCAGTGTTATTGTAAAATGGCCATGGTGGAAAGCAGTGAGAGTGGCCAAACAAGTTTTTCATGGCGGGCCATTGTGGCCGCTTTGGATGCCATGGAATGGTGTTCAGGAATGGTCATGATGGAAGTCATGCTACAGCTCCCACACCTCATCTTGAGGAGGAAAAGGAAGAACCCTATTCAGTGTGGCCAGACCCAACCTGAGGGTAGTAAAACCCTATTTTTGTTATTTTTACAACTTTTCTCAGTCTTATCCGTGACCCAAGCTCAATAGATTTCTTTTTTAAAAAAAGGTTGGGTCATAAACCTGACCCATAAAAAGAAAAAAACCTATGTTACCTACCAGCTGTGCATAGCTGTTCTGTTTCAGCAACTGTAGTGTGCCGTTGACCCATTTTAGGGCCACCACCTGCCCCCTTCTCCTGACACAGTCCCCCCTCACCAGCTGCAGGGTGCATATTTTTTTTTTTCTCCAGTGCCAACCACCCCCATTGTTTTTTCCTCTTTGGTTCTGCAGTGCCACGATCCCCTTTTTCTCTTCTTTTCTACTCAATAATCATGTTTTGCATTGGTTTTATCTGTATGTATACATTGTATTGTTTTGTTCGTGATGCTTTGCCATAACCTGTTATAGATTTTGGTTTATTTTTGTAAAGGATTTTTCGATTGTCGATATTTTCCTATTATTTGATATTGATAACACTATGAACAAGTAGGAATTGTTTGATATAGTTACACCTACTCTTTCACAATTAAACAACATTTTACTGTATAATTTTATCTTCAAACCTATTTTAGATGAATCCAAATTGTTCCGGTTCAATTGTGAGTCTCACATCATTTAGAAGTCAAGATCAGGGTAATTTATATTTACCCTCCTCTCTTACCCACTGAGGGATCTTTTAAGAATAAAACTGTGACGAGTTAGAGTTCCAAAGCGGACAATACCTTAGACATGAAAATTGATCATAACGATGCTATCATAGCAGATATGAGGCCAGGACACTCTCATTCTTAGACATGAGGCCAGGACACTCTCGTTCTTAGACATGAGGCCAGGACACTCTCGTTCTTAGACATGAGGTTAGGACACTCTCGTTCTTAGACATGAGGCCAGGAAACTCTCGTTCTTAGACATGAGGTTAGGACACTCTCGTTCTTAGACATGAGGTCAAGACACTCTCGTTCTTAGACGGAATACAAATTATTTGGTTCCTCATTCATAAGCATCAATTTTAATTTAATATATACTTTGAAAATATATAATGATAAAAACCATTTCATTTTCTTCTAATTTTTCATGTTTTGCAAGATTTACATATACAAATTATGGTATTATATAATTATATTTCAATTGTTGGATCAACAAAAAATACATTTTGTAATGATGTAAGAGTAAGTGTAATTGCAACAATTGTAAAAAATGTTGTATAATATTTTTTAAGTTTACTTTTAGGATTTGGTTGAGTATAAAAATGTTGCTGTTAGTCTTTTTATATAGTAAACATGTTATCTGTACAACACTTTCAAAACTCAAACGAAACCCCTCTGTAAACTGAGCCTTGACCCATGATGAACCCAAGGGCAAAATCTGTTCAATGAAAATGTGATGGCAGAAAATCTATAAAAAATTATTGAATGATCCTTCATTGTACGAGGAACACAAATTAACAAATGCTGGTAAGAAGTGCACCATTGGTACTAGTTCAATGGTCTGGAGGTAACATTGATTAGTTTATTAATTAGTACTGGTCTTCTGTAATCAATTATATATGTAAGATGTGAATCAATTGATTATCGTCATGGTTTATGCTATTTATTTATGTAATTTTTGGTTGATTTCATGTTGACTTGGGGAAAACTTTATAATATGAAGTTCTTTCTAGGATATGTTAATGCTGTCTTTCTATATTGCAAGTCTTTAACTTTTTTTAACTAACCCCAAAACACATCTTGTTATCAGAATCTTATAAACATCGAAGAGGCCATATTGGGATTGCTAGATGATAAAGATTTAACCGTTGTTCAAGCTGCTTTATGTGTTGCTGGCTTGCCAAATGTAGTAGATTCTTCAAAGCTTCTTTGTGCACTACAGAATGTGCTAAGAAGATGCACTGACAAGCTTCTGTCAGGTAATTTGTGATATATTATAAATAATTTGGTAGAAATTCATCTTTTTTGTTGGTGTTATATTGTGGCACTACAATGCATTGCACACAATGCATCAACTTATCAATATACTGGGAAAATGGTTTTGTTCTCTGAATGTATTCTTGATGGATCATGATTATGACTTTTTAGGTGGAGTTTCCTTAGTGTTTTCGCAATGGTTCAATATCTGCTTATGATTATATCTCAAGTCGATTATGGAATTGATTTGTTTGTTGAGCTCATTCTTTTCCATTTCTTTGTTGAAGGGTGTCTGGTTGCCCATTTTGATTTTTATTTCTATCAAAGTATGCTTTTCCTTTATGTTTAGGGCTTATTCTTGGAAATTTTTTCTTCACATGCTTTTTAATTAGTGCCACTGGATGACTAGGGCTGTTAAAACCCATCTTAGATTCTACTGTTAATTATAAAGGGAATTTCAATTAGGTAATGTCTGTATTAAAATAGAAAAAGGAAGCTTAGCCATGGAGGATGGGCTCTAGCTCATCAAAGCATGTTCTGTGGAATGTATAAATTATTGCTTTTCTGGTGTCAGTGGAGTATATTTGTCCTCACAAAATTACAGCTAGTTAGTTGTTTCCTGTCATTCTCAAGTAAACGTATTTCTGTTCTGTTATACCCACAGATATGGATTAATTTGGCTTTGTATCGATTAATATTTTTTAAAGAAATGGTCTTTGCTTAGTTCCATAGTAAACATTCATTCAAGGACAATGCATGTAGGCATAGAGTGGGTGGTGGGTGGGGGGATTATATAATGGAATAAAACAAATATATTGTGCTCTTTGTCCACTGATGTATTATGCTCCCCACTTTCTTATAGGTTCAGCAGATAACGATAACCTAAGTGTTGAAGTTGCTGTCAGTTGTGTAAAGAATGCTATCTCCTACTTCAATGATCATACTGATTACTTGAAGAACATTGCTTCTATGATTTTTCCGATACTCATTGTTCTACCACAGGTAATGGCTAACTTCAGATTTAATATTTGTATTTTGGATAAAAAGTTTTAATATATTTTGATATTGTTCTTACTTAATTGTTTTTTGGTTTTCCCTTGTCTCGGTGATTATCAAATAACATCTTATTTACCATGCACAGACAAAGAGCTTGAATTTAAAGGCTTTGGGACTAGTCAACAAAATACACTGGCCACTTTATAAGAATGTTGCCATGGCTTCGTCAGGAGAAGGGGTAAAAAATATTGACTTTTGAATTATTCTGCTGTTAAATTTATATTTGATGTAGAACTTAAAGTAAGATGATATTTATTTCTAGTTCTTAAAAAGGAAAGTTTGTCAAACTCTAGATTATGTTCACTTGGCCAAAGGTAATGAAGATATGAATGAAGCATGAGGTCTTGTCCCTTTGGCAAAGCAAAATAAATCAGATTTGAATCTGATCTAAATGAAATAAAAACAGAAATTCAGCAAATGTTGGAGGAAATCAGACAAATTAATCAAATCTCAACACTAGTAGTACTTATATAGTAGGGTTTTATTAAATTGTTTTGGTTTCATCGGATCTTTATGTTGTTCATCAGTAACCACAGCCATTTGTGAATATGTTTGTCTGATGAAATTGTCAATAACCTTTCAGTTTACTGACTGTTGAAGTAAAATTGCAGGCTGGAAGTTTATCTTCCATTAACTTGAAGCTCATCAATAACATGGCTGAAAATTTCTTGGTCCATCCTGAGGAGCATGTTACTTGGTTTGTGCAATACTGCAGTGATTTGGAGTTGTCAAAGACACTCTTCTTTCTTGTTCTCTTGCAGTCTCTTGTGATAAAACCAAAAGGTTTGTTTTACCCCTCTCTTTTTGAATTACATATGTTCAGAAATAGTTTATAACCTACATAAGTATCTTATATTGTTGAATGACCAAAAAAAGCAATGTTTGTACAAATTAGTCAGAAATAAATGTTTGAAGTATATGCTATCCTTCCCTTAGTTGTAGTTTCCTCTTCTCTCTATTAGATGTGAGTCAAAAATTTCTGAAGAATTGACTTCTGTCTTTTGTTCAAAGATGAAGACATTTGTGCATTATTTGAATGTGTATTTCCTATGCTAAAACCTGAGTGGGAAACTTCAGCAACTGCTGATCTCGTATTGGATGAGGTACAAAAGATTTACTGGCTTACTGGTTATTTTATTTCATTATATGTCTTTTCTGTGTTGAGAAACTAATATTTACTTGTTGCTGTTTTGGTTGTTGGGAATTGGGATTATTTTGCAGTTCAATTCTGAAATGTTAAAGTGGGAGTGCAAGGAATTCTTAAAACATCTTTTGTATGCCAATCTAAGACCAGTAAATGTGAAGGTTATGATTTGCATATTGTGGAGGCTGCAAGAACTACTATTATCAGTAGCACCTTCTGACATTCTGCTGGTTAGCAATTCCTTTACCATTTGTAATCCTGTTTTTATTTTTGTCTTACAAACCTGCTTTTCTTCTCAGAATTTGTTCTAGAATCTTATTTTTCATCACTGGTTGGATGAATCAATCTTTCACAAATTGCAGTGTCTTGATGATCAGTGCATCAGCAAGATAAGGGACATGTTTGTCTTTTTTGCCTCCTCAAAATTGAAGAATGCATTCCGTGAACACCTCAATCACTTAACAACACAGTGCAGAATATCTCCTTCTTGTCTCTTGTCTAAGTTTTTCACGGATGAAGGTTGCCATACACTTATTCTTTTTGTTTGATTCTTTGATATTTTATAGTTGGACAATGTTTTTTCCCTTCTATTTGGATGTGCTTGATCATATTTTTCACCCAACGGAGCATATTATTTATATTCAACAACATTGCAAAGATAATCATTGCCAAAACAATTTACACCTCAATCACTTTACAGCACAAGCAGATTATCTCCTTCTTGTCTCTTGTCTAAATTTTTTGCAGATGAAGGTTGCTATACACTTATTCTTTTTGTTTGATTCTTTGATATTTTATAGTTGGACAATGTTTTTGTTCCTTCTATTTGAATGTGTTCTTGATCATATTTTCACCCAATGGAGCAGACTATTTATATTCAATAATCATTGCCAAAAGAATTTATAAGAGAACAATTAATATACCAATACCTTACAAGATGCTTTGATCCTTGTATTCCATGTATTTAGGATAGTGGGAAAAGTAAACAATAAAGATACCAATGCCTCATATTTCTATTTTAAGGTGGAGTTTTGAATAGGTTTACTTGAGAATTGTTAGAATAAGATTTGGATAGGCTTTGTTAAAAAGTTATTTTGAGTTGTACCTATTGTACCTAGGATCTTTGAGGCACCTTTACTTGTTTCCTACTCTTTTTCTCTTTCATTGTATATGAAATGATGTCTAATTCAACCTTACATAAACAACTTGGAAGTTGAACGTTGCACCTCAATTATATATTATAATTTGTGTTGGAAGTCCCAGATCGCCTGCTTTATGTCATTTAGTATGATTTAAATACCTGTTAGGCTATTCCACATATTGTCAATTGATTTTATGTTGGAACTTTAGCATGGTATCAGAGACAAAACCTAACTTCTTTCCGGTTGTTATCTTGGGTGAAGAGTTGCCTTTTTGTTGTGGGTCAAAAGCACCATTTGGTTCGATAGGCTTTGTTGGTGAGGGCGTATTGGAAGTCTAACATCGTCTGTCTCATGTCATTTGGTTTTATTTAAATACCTGTTAAACTACTCCACATATTGCCAATTAATTTAATATTGGAACCTTAACAATTTGGTTATATCATGTGAGATTTCCAACACACCTTCACTTAGAGAAATGAACATCTCCAGAGCACGAGACTAAATATTTAAGGATGATGACAACATGTCGATAATGAGTAGAGTGACAAGCTAACAAATCATATTAGTATAGGTTTTGATACCATATTAAAAATGGATTGAAGTCTAATTCAACCTTACAAAATTGACTTGTAATGTAAGGTTTGCATCTCAATTATTTATTACAATTTGGTCATATTTCCAGTCAATGTGAGATCTTATCTCATATTGAGACTTCACATTCAATACAAATATGAGAAGCTAAGTTAGTCTTTTTTAAAACTCTTTTAAACTCTCTAAAATATATTTTATCTCTATTTATCTAAAGTTTGTATCATGGATCCCCTTGACCTATCTTGGTCTTTTTCGATGAACAAAGTTTTTGACCATCATCTACTGTTGTCTATCGCCACAGTTTGCTCCAACAACCACTAGATTTGAAACGTCTCTCTCAGCAATTGTCAATTACTTTCTCACAAATCCGGTGCATATTGCCCACACATGTCCTTTTTGCCAAAGTTACATTGCACCCCATGATTGTGTTCATTGTTTACATGTTCCATTCCAACCCATTTTTGTCTCTTCTTTGCGGGTTGGTTGTGCGGCTACCTTTTTCTTTTCATAGAATTCTTGTTTTACCTTCTTTTCTTGGTTAGAATTGGCTATTGGGCCAACATATTGTTTTTCAAATTCTCCTACCATTATGTTAGAAAAGCTTGTTGGAAGTCCTACCTCACCTGCCTCATTTCAAATTCTCCTTCCTATTATGTTATTTCATATATTGCCAATTTGTTTTATGTTGGAACCTAACATGGTATCAAAGCCAAAGTCTAACTTCTTTGTGGTTATTGTCTTGGGTCAAAAGTACCTTTGTTGTTATCTTGACCAAAAGTTACTCTTTATACTCTTTGCCTGGTCCGGGAGATTTCGTTGAATGGGGTATGTTGGAAGTTTCACATTGCCTGCCTCATCATGTAGTATGATTTAAATACTTGTTAGGCTACTCAATGTATTGCCAATTAGTTTTATGTTGGAGCCTTAACAAAGCCTAATGAGAAAAATAATTTATATATCTTGGTTAGCATTGGTTGAACTTAGGTTCCTTGGCCAAGGGTTTCATAATCAATCAAAAGAATGTTTGTGAGATTTCATCTTAATGTTTGCCCAACAGAAAAAGTAGGACTTTCAACTCTTCTATATTGTGGCAATGGTGGAACCCAATATACTGAGAATTCTTAGAACTTTAAGACATGCAAATCATTTTGGAAGGTCTATTGTATTTTTGCAAATGACATTTAACAGTTCTATTATTTTGCCTACAATCTGGCTTCACTTAAACAAAGCTGGAAAATTATTTATGGTTATGATTTACTGTGCCATGAATCCTTTGCCATTATTCACACGTGGAAGAGGAGGACATGGTGGAAATAATCAATGCACTTGATGTAAAAGAATGAGTCACACAAGAAAATTGTTACTCTTTGCATAAATTTCTTGATATAGCAGCCAATATCTCTAAATCTAAAGTTGTTGAGCCAAAGTTCTCTAATAAAGTATATCAAGAATATTTGAGGTTGAAATTCAACAACTTGGCACAATCATCTACAAAGTTTAGTTTGTCACCTGCCTACAATTCACAATAGTGGAAAGTGAAAGTCCATGGAACAAGTGCAACTTTGTCCTTATTAGAAAAGAGGTGCAAAGAGAAAATTCAATTTACGTTTGAGGATGGATTGGAATTTAATAGCTAAAACATTGAGTATGAAGAAATTGAAGAATTATTTTTGATTATTTAGTCTTTTCTCTAAAGGGGAAGAGGAGATGAGATGTGCCCTATTGATTGAAGATAATTATGTTGGGATTGAAGTAGAGCTAGATAATTATCTTTTGCTTTGATTTCATTGTTACTTGAAATTGTAGACTTGCAATTATTATTAATTATATGGTCATCTCATATTTATGTATTTTTTATTTATTCATATGTATATCATTTTTCTTTTGTTCGCAATGTGATCGAGATGCTTTTGCCATAACCCATCATGTGGTATCTGATATATTTTCATTAAAGATTTTTGAGTTGTCAATGTTTTTTGTTATCTAATATCATTAACAATATTGTGTATATGTTTGTATGTTTGATTTTAGTCCAAAGCTTTAATATTGTTTTTTATTACTACATATATAATCAAAGTCAAAGTTAGTGTTTTGTTCATCTATGCAAATGCTATTATGTTGTCATAATTTTGTTATTTTCTAGGGTAAGTTATTGAAATCATGATTGCTTGAATTTAAATTTCTAAATAATTTAGGTATTCTATAGCTAACACTTTATGGTTAAGAAGTCATACAAGTTGGCCTGATTTTTTGGTCGGATCTTTGATTTTTCAGGTGTTCCTGGTGCAGTCCAGGTTGAAAGTCTTCAGTGTTATGCATATCTTTGTAGCCTGCAACCAGATAGCTGGATAACTGGACTTTTAGCTGAGTTTCCTTCTATTCTTGTTCCTCTAGCTTGTGATAATCAGGTAAAATTCTTTGTGAGCTTTATTTGCTAACCTTAGCATCTTATTGTTTCTTTTCTGTACCCTGCCAATTTATAATTGTTGGCAGATTGTCCTCTTTTCAATGTATCTCAGTTTTTTAATTGATGGTTTTTCTGTTTTATTTTTAATTTCTTTCAGAATACAAGAGTTGCTGCCATGAACTGTATTGATTCATTGTATACATTGTGGTGTCATTTTGAGCATTCTGGCAAGAAAAATGGTAATATGTTAGAATAATTTGATGTAGCTCTCAATGATTTATTAATTCACCTTAATACTTTAATAGTTTCTAAAACTAATAAGAACAGGGAAGAATGCATCGTGGCTCCATTTTGTGGGTGAGCTTCTGTCATTGATGATTCAGATGAAGACATTCATATTGTCCGACAAGAAATTTCTTCCTTCATTGTTTGCATCGACTTTGAGCACATCCTTTCCAAACATCTCGGAGCCTCAAAACATTTTGGTACCTCAAAATGTAGACAAAAGGTAGTTATGATGTTATTATAACAATTCTCATTTCAATGGCACCAATTTATTATGTTAGAACTATTTGTTATATTCATTGCTTTAGCTGCTGCTTATGAAATATTTGTCAATGCTTTCCTTTTCTGTTGGAATTGATCTGCTAAATGTGGAGAACAGCATTTGGACAGAGTTCCCTTCCCCCGTCTCCCTCTTTTTAAAATCTAATTGAAGTTGAGAAGGATTGGAGGGTTTCATCACACACACAAAATCATAGAGAAGGGTAAAATAAGTTGATGGTGGGAGGAACAAGAAGGGGGAATTTATGTATATGCTAAACCTGAGAATTAAAATGTCACTTAACCAATGCTTAATTTGAAGAGTAGAACCTTAACTTGGCAGATTAATATTCCATGTTTAGTCAAAATCCAAATTAGCTGAAATGTGCTAATGTGCTGTTCAGTATTTATATTAAAGGATAATGAAGGATAGGAGGTGTCAATTGCTTCACTTCACACATGTACAGTCAGATATAGATTTAGCATTGTTTTATTTGTTTTACAGTAGTGTTTTTCTCCTTTGTTTTATTTCTTTACAATCTGTTTAATGTTTCAGATTGTGTGGCTTATCTTTTTAGAGGAGTTTATGCTACTGTTTTATGTTATTGTTATGGATTGGAGGGATAGAGTAGGTTTAGCCATTTTGGAATATTCCATTTTGACTTTTTCATTTTGCTTTTTGGTAGTTTCAATTTTTATATTTCCTCAAGAAAACTGTCATTTGTCCAAATTTCTAGATCCTTTAGTTCGCTTTGTTTCCAAAAATATCTTTTCAGGTTCGATGAGAGTACAAAAACAAGAATTCTTGGCTTCATTTTGGGTTCCACTCTGAAACTCTCTAACTATGGAAAGGTTTGATGTCTTCACTCTCCTCTATTTTGCTATTTATATTTTAGTTGTGGAGATAGTGATGCAGATGAAGTTTTCATATGTTCAGTTCTATATTAAGAGTGTTACATGTGGGATTATATGCATTGCTGAGACTGTAAGGAAGTAACTTATTTGTTGACGTCCTTGCAGCTAATGATTTTATCCTTGTTCAAAGGAATTGGGTATACCCTTATGCATGTTCCAGAAGTTGATTCGTTTCTGTTCAATTTTCTGAATCAATACTTTGAAGAACTCAGTAAGTCTTGTCCAAAATTGTCTGACAATGAAACTCAGATAGCATGCCTTTTGCTGGAGGTATGTGTGTTATGTTTATTTTAGCTTATGGAACCTTTATTCTGAGGTTTGTGTGAACTTGTTCCACTCTGTTTGTAGAGCTGTGTTATGTCATCTCCCTCTGGTGGAAATCATCTTCAACATCTTTTACTGAAAGCTTTGCAGGTGAGATACTATGATGTATGATTTTTCCATGTCATGTCTCGTTATTTTGAATTTACTGACCTCATTCTCGGGACTTTTCAGTTTGGTGGCTTGACTTCTGATGACCCTGCCTCTGTTAAGCCTTGTATCACTGTTTTGAACAAACTCAACAGTAAATTCTTTATGGAGTTAGAGAATAAAGTGAAGGTCTTATTGGCAGTATATCTTTTATTTAGAGTTTGTTATTTTCATTCATGATAATTGTTGAGTCTGATATAGTGATCTAGGCATTCTTTTGGCTTGATGCATTTAAATGTTTGTGATAATTTTGTTTTTTGTGTAAAGAAAAAAAATATGACCAGCGTATCCCATACTGTGAACTAACTTTTACTTTTTCTTATGCCTAACAGGAGAATGTATTTTGTGAGCTTGTGTTTCTGTGGCGTAATGGTAATGGGGATGTACAATGTGCAACTAAAGAGGCATTAATGCGCATAGATGTGAGTTTCTTCCTCATGATAAAATATTATTATGAATCATGTGTTGTCTTGGTAATTCCTTTTTGATGTTTTTCTTTTTTGTGTCGGAATTCTTTTGTGGTTACTAGCAAATAACTTGATCTTTTTGTAATATTCTATCTGGACGTTTCCCTTTAAAGGGGTGTTTATTTATTAATTTAAATTTTTTGCAAGCTGGTGATCCTCCCCTTTATCATGGTTTTTAATGAAGCCCAGTAGTTTTGGCTTCATGATTCTGGATAAACCATGTGAATAATGTTTTGTCTTGGTTATTCCTTTTTGATGTATTTTGCTTTTGGTGTTGGAATTCTTTTGTGGTTACTTGCAAATAACTTGATCTTCTTGCAATATTCTATCTGGACTTTTCCCTTGGGAAGGGTGTTTATTTATTAATATAATTTTTTTTGCGGGGTGGTGATATTCCCCTTTATAATGGTTTTTAATGAAGCCCAGTAGTTTTGCAGCCATGTTTCCTTTCTTTCTTATTAAGATGCTCAAGAATAATCTGCTGGCTTCTAATTCTATTTTTTTCATAATTTTAATGTTTTTCTTTAAAAAAAGTTATGCATTTGTACAAGAATAATATAAATTGTTTTAATATTCATCTCTGAACACAATAATTGGTGGTCATCTTTCTAAATGGCTTTTTGTAAAATAAATTTTTGATGGTTAATAATGTGAAACAAATATATAAATAAAAATCTGAAACATTCAAGAGTGAGTGCATGAGCTGACCTATATGATGATGAGATTGAGAATAATGAAACTTGAACAATGTTAGCCTAGCTCTTTTGGAAAGAATTTTTGTTTACATATTTGAAATTCCTGTGTCTGTTATTGTCAGATTTTTTTTTAAATATAAGGAATAATAAAGTTATTAATTTTCCAGTTAATAGTAGTTTGTTTAGAAAAAAATGAATAATATAAGATAAATGTTTCGTTTAGAAATCATTAAACAGTTAATGTGGTGATGACCTGAGGCAAAATTTCAAAAATGCAAATTGCATTTTTATCAATTGCCTTAGGCTTTTGGATCAGCTGGTTGCTTTGCACTGTAGATGTTTTATCAATGTCCTACCTCACCTAGTGGGAATAAAACCTTGTTGTTTTAATGTAGTGGGATGGTTCTTCCAATTTAGTATTCTGCTGTATGAAGGAAAGAATCAAATTGAGAATAATTTGGGATATTTGGAATTGCAGATTAGTATCTCAACTGTTGGCCACATGCTTGATCTCATACTTGCACAGAAACGTTTTATACTTAGTTCTTTAGATGAAAATACGGTGAAGAAACAAAAATTGGTAGGACATCTAGAAGCTGAATATCCGTCTAATGAAATATGCACAAGAGATGATCCATTCTGCATCCTTAGTTCCCTTCTTGATGTTTTGCTACTGAAGAAGGACATAACAAACAGGTGATTTGGTTAATTTTTAATATGAACGTTACATTATGTGGCTGTTTCATTAACTGCTAAATTCTAAATTTGATTCTTGCAGGCATTTACTGTTAGGACAGTTATTTAAGCTTCTTAGCAAGGTATTTTCTGAAGAATGCATGAATGAATTTATGCCGGTGCAAAGCTCAAGCCATCGATCAAGTCCTTTTGAAGGCAACAATTACACAATCTATCAAATTCAACAGACCCTTTTAATAATCCTGGAGGATATAATTATTTCTCTAAAAAGCATTGCCGTGCAGAATGTATGTTTCCTAATTGTGAAGCTTGGAAATTTATTATTTTAGAAAAATTAGTTTGACTACCTTTCCAATATTTTGGCTATATCCTTATATAAAGTTTCACTGTGGTCGACAGGAAAAAATGACAAATGAAATTAACATTAAGCTAATGATAGAGTGTGCCCGGAACTCCAACAATGATATCACTCGCAACCATGTATTTTCTGTTCTTGCTGCTATTGCTAGAGCTTTTACAGAAGAAGTTTTGGAGCATATACTTGATATTCTAGCAGTTATTGGAGAAGCAGCTGTCACACAGGTTTATTAACATACAGTTTCTCTGTTCTTAACTTCGGCATTCATTTGGTAGAATAGCCTATTATATCCTTTTATACTCAGTTGAAAGACAATTTTTCTAATGTCAATTGGTTTTAAGATAGAATTTTACATGATACCAAATCCTATAGGCATTTCTGACAATTCTGAGTTTCCTTCATGCAACATTTTTCAACAGACATCTGTGCAGGAGGGTGGAAAATCTTTCATTGCCTACCTCAATTATTGGGATGTGCTTTATATTGAACAACCTCACTTAATACCCATTGGTTTTAAGACTGCATTTCTTCAACAATTGCCTTTTAGTCTCCATTTGAGATTTGATTAAAAATTAATAGAAGTGCATGTTTATATTCTTATTAGCTTTTGCAACTTTTTTTAGTTAGTGTGTTTAAGAGATAAATTCTTCATGTAATGATTAATTATGTGTAAGAATTGTGGTGTCACCATTTCTCCTTTTATGTCTGCCTGTAGATTGACAATCATTCGAAGCATGTTTTTGAGGATCTTATATCTGCAATTGTTCCTTGTTGGTTGTCTAAGACAGATGATGTGGAGAAATTACTGCAGGTTGGTTTTTCATGGAAGTGGTTTGTGATTCCATGTCTCTTCTGCTACTAGACAGAAACAAACTCTTTTCAGATCAACCTTCTAATATGTTTTTTTTCTCCTTTCAGATTTTCATGGATATATTTCCTGAAATTGTTGACCATAGAAGGCTGTCATTTGTGTTGTATCTATTAAGGTATTCTTTTTCTATTTCTACATCATGATCCTGCTAGCCATTGGTTTGTGGTCTGCATCTTATAATGATGGCCGTTTTGCAGGACTTTGGGTGAGCGGAAAAGCTTACCGTCATTGCTTATCCTACTGTTCCGTTCCTTAATTTCAAGGAAAGCCACTTGTTTCCTTAATGTTGAGACCGCAGATGATTTAAAATTGTATACTGGAGAGTGGGAATATAAATGTGCAGTTCAAATTTGTGAACAATTTTCAAGTATGATTTGCCTTCCTTCTTTAGTCATGCTGCTTGAACAGTGGCGAAATAGAGATGTTGACCAGACACTGTTGTTGGAATTGTTTCTCGTAATGCAATTTTCATTGCAAAAGTTGCAAGATCCGGAGTTTGTGTTTATGTTGGAATCAGGAGAAGATGTCACTGTCATTCAGGTTAAATCCACATCAGATGCATGCTGCTAGATACTATATGCTTTTTATTGTCTTCATATGGGGCAAAGTTTTTATGTTACTTTCATTGTGATTTTTATATGAGTAGATTTTTCTTTTTTTCCTCTCCATTGCCCTATTTTGGGGAACAGAGACACAGTATGTTATTGAGAAATTGATATTTCCTAATTAAAATAATTTGGGCAAATTATGTTGACACCCTTGAACTTAGGATGAATTACACATAACCCTGTACTTTATATAATGACACAATGTTGTATATCCCTCTTTAACGGATGAGAAAGTTGGGAGAACCACACCACCATAGCTAACAATGGTTGGTCGAAAGCAAGACCTTATAGTACCTATTATAGAATCCTGTACTTCCAATGTGGGACTAAACTCTTACACATTGTAACTGGATGCTAACATCCCGCCACACTTTGCAGCCACAGCACTCACGTTGGCTGGCTGTGCACTAGCTTTCTGACTAGTCTCAGGAGAAAACTGTAATGCTGGAGTGTCCACCAGTGCTGCTTGTTTTGCAGCTAAGGGACATGGTTGAAATCTTTGATATCAGTTGATAAAGAACTTTGGGAGGACCGCACCACTAAAGCTTGTCATTGTACTTGGAAAGTCCAAGGCTTTATTAATCTTACACTAGAATCCTATATTTCTAATGTTGGACTCGATTCCCATACACACTTCAATTGGATCCTAATATTAGAATTTCTCCCCTGATTTATTAATTGAACGATGTCTTCTGGGGTAAAAAGAGGTGGAATTAGACGAATAAGGCCTATGTTTAAGGGGCATCAATGCAATTTCTTTATAAATTAGATGAAGTTGTTAATTTCCATTAATTTTTCTTTATAGATTTTTATTGAGATGGTGTTTTTGTTTTTAGTGTGATGGCAATGCCATTGGTGTTGTATACTTATATTTGTGATAATGTTCTAATCTTTGAATGAGCTTAAAAGCACTTGTTTTGTAGTTGAACATATTGATAATCAAAATATGAAGTGAAATATCATTAATGAATATGGATAACTTTTTTTTGTGTAGGTTTCATGATGAGATGCTGTTTTTGTTTTCATATTGTGATGGCAATGGCATTAGTGTTTCATGCTTTTATTTATGCAGATGTTCTAATATCACGATTAAAATAAATTTTATGGCTTCTTGAACATTGCAGGGTGCATTGGGTGAGCTTATGGAGCAGGTTGTTTTATTCTTGCAACTTGTAGATGCAAGAAAAAAGCATCTTAACTTCCCTGCAATTATGAGGAGAGAGTTGAATGAAACTATGCGTGCTGTTGTGAGGAATCTAACAGCAGTCATGATACCCTATGTGTACTTTAGCAGCATAATTAAATTGCTCCGCTACACAGATGATAATGTTGGGAAGAAGGTATGGTGTTTAAAGAAGTTACAATATATAATATTTTGATAGATCTTGTATTATTTTGATTCAAGGGTAGACCATGATTTGTTGGTGTCTCCATGTATTTGTAGTATTCTGTTGGGCATACTGATTTTCACGATGATCCCTTAATTTTGTGGGTAAACACAGTAGTCATTTATTGTTTTTTTATGATTGTGTATTATTATTCATATATATTATGCATAGCATTGAGATCTACTGTTTTAGTTAGTTGGTCTTTTCCACATATCTTGGTAGCAGTTTTTAATAGAAAAGAAAATAATTATATTTCAAAGACATAAATGTCAATTAATGTATTTTTAAGTGTAGAGTATTTAATCCTTGCACGCCATGGAAATGTGGCAGAAATCCACGATCTTTTAGGGCATTGAAAAACTGTTTGAAATTTGTATTTTTGGGTTGCAGGCTCTTGGGCTGTTTTGTGAGGCTGCAAGAAGTCATAAAAATGTGAGTAAACATTATAGGTCAACTCCAAGTTCTCATTTGCTTCCTATGAACAAAACTTCTCAAGAATCGCTTAATAAACTGTGTGTTGAAATTATGCGAGTACTTGATGGTTCATCAAATACCTCCTTGAAAGTGGCAGCAGTTTCAGCATTAGAAGTTGTGGCTGAAATATTCCCATCGAATAATAATATCTTCAGTCTGTGCCTTGGATCGGTTACAAGATATATTGCATCTCATAACTTGGCTGTGACTTCTAGCTGCCTCAGAACAACTGCTGCCCTGATCAATGTTCTAGGTCCAAAAGCACTGTCAGAACTTCCCAAAATTATGGACAGTCTGATGAAGTCATCTCGTCAACTATTGTCTAGTTTGGATATGAAACCCAAAACCAATGATGTTTTATCTGCCTCAAATGAAACACGTGTTTGTGTTCTCATCACTTTGGAGGCAGTTTTGGACAAGCTTGGTGCATTTCTAAATCCGTACCTCGCAAATATCATGGAGCTTCTGGTGCTTCACCCTGAATATGTTTCAGGAATGGATGCAAAGGTGGAATCTAGAGCTCATGGGGCACGAAAGCTTCTTGCTGAAAAAATTCCTGTAAGTGTTATTATAATGTAATATTGTGTAACTGTGGTATGAATCATAATGTCTGTGTTTTCTTTACCAAATGCTTTATTCTTTTACAGGTTCGACTTGCCCTGCCACCTTTGTTAAAATTGTACCCAGCTGCCATTGAGGCTGGGGATAAAAGCTTAATTGTTGTATTTGATATGTTGGCAAACATAATTAGTACAATGGACAGATCATCCATTGTAGCATTTCATGGAAAGGTATTTGATCTTTGTTTGGTTGCTCTTGATCTGCGTCGACAAAGCCCTACTTCAGTTGAAAACATTGATGTAGTTGAGAAAGTTGTGCATAACACAATGACTGTTTTGACACTAAAACTTACTGAGAGCATGTTCAAGCCTCTTCTCATAAAGAGTATTGAGTGGGTAGAATCTGAAGTACATGAAACTTCATTTACCGGAAGCATTGATAGGGCCATATCTTTCTATGGCATGGTAAATAAGCTTATAGAGAACCATCGGTAAGTCAGTGTTCATATATTTTATTTTTAGTTACCTTACCTAGATATTGTTCTTTTCAGAAAATGTTCTTTGAAGTAAGCATGCTTAGAATTTTTAGTTAATCGACACTTAAGTTGTTATGTAGAATATTTAGGTATATATTGTATTTTATTCTCAGAGCAAGAGTTTAGCATTTTGTTTGTATTAAATTATGTATGAGTGTATCTACAAAAAGTTGAACTGCAGTAAATATTTCAACTATTTTTGGCAGTAGATAAGATAACCTTAATACAATTTGGTTACGATATTTAATTAAGAATTTTTAACAAAATCAACCAACCTATGAAAAAAGATAATTTAGCTGAATTTTCAAAAAATTATTACCAATGTACCAAAGTAACCTTCATTATTAATGACTTTTAAAATTTTCTTTTTAATATTCATTTATACAAAATTTCATAATTTTTAAAATGCCTCATTAAAAGTACCAACTATTTTTTTTAAAATGTCTTATGAGGACTGGAGGGAGTATTATGTACACACCCGTAAACATTAGTATATATTCAGTTAATTTGTTTTCCCTAAATAATGATCAAATAACAGCAATTGTTATATCCTTATTTGTAGGTCATTGTTTGTTCCTTACTTCAAACACTTGCTTGGTGGTTGTGTTTATCATCTTAGTGATGGGGGAGCTGGGAAAGTGTCTAGTGTGAGTTTGAAGAAAAAGGCCAGGATTCTGGATGATTGCAATATAAAAGAAACAGGCAGTGTGTCTATAAAGGGCTGGCATCTCAGGGCACTAATCTTGTCATCTTTACACAAGTGTTTCCTGTATGACACTGGGACCTTGAAGTTTCTGGACTCGTCAAATTTCCAGGCAAGTGAATCCGTATATAAAAATTAATTTGCTTTCTGTATTAGTATCTAACATGGTTATCGGACTCAAGAATCTAAGGACACTCATGGGAGCTTCATAGACTCAGATAGTAAGAGTCAACTTCATATGAAAGATAAAGACAACATCTGTAAATAACACACCAATTAAACATTTCAGCACTGTAATAAAGTAAAATAGTAAACAATAATAAAATAATTAAGTTTAGTGGTTTTTCTCTTTCATTAAAAACAGTTTGCATTTTTTTTCTACATTCTCTTTTCTATCATTATTTTAAGGCATAAAATATTCTTAAACCTTCCAGCTTTCATCAGTAATATTCCTTCATTTATATTCTCCCATTGACCGTGATATCATACATGCTGCAGATTTTGTTGAGACCTATTGTCTCACAACTTGTTATAGATCCACCGAATATGATGGATGACAGCATGAATATACCAAGTGTAAAGGAAGTTGATGACCTGTTGGTTTTGTGCATCGGTCAAATGGCAGTGACTGCTGGATCTGACCTTTTGTGGAAACCCTTGAACCATGAGGTGAAGTTTAGGATTTCTTTCCTCTCTAGCATTCGACATTGTTTGTGCATCTTTTGATACTGGCATTCTAGTAACATACTAGCTATACTATCCTCATTTTCATTGAGTGAAAACGCATTTGGGCTGGGTTTAATGGGAAACACTGTTATGAATTTGACCATAGTAAAAGAGTAAATTACAGATATGGTCCACAAAACCTTTGAATTCGAAAAATCCATTCCTCCTGTAAACATGAAGTAGCTTTGGTGCAGTAGCAAGCCAACAGGGTACTCAAGGGCAACTGGACTCCTAGCAATGGTTGCAGGTCCGAACCACCCAAACTGCTTTTAATCTCAAGTTTCAATCACCTGTAAGGTAGCACCCTGCTCTTCATCTGAATAGTACCACAAAACCAGTACTTCAAACATGCAACCTGTTCCTCAACTCAATTGCCAAATATACATCTGCCACAGGGTCTCTTAGCCACATTTCTACCTAATAACCCATGGGAAGGTACCATGTCCTTGCTTTTTAAGATCTTATTCTTGTAAGCTGTTGATCACGGCCGGTGGACATCTATGGGGCTCAGGAAAGGGATGAGGGATTTGGAGCAAAGGTTTAAAGCTGATTGGTGTGAGTGGTGGATCTGGGCTGGGCTGTGATGTCGGTTTAGTATATGGAGTAGGCTAGGTGAAACGGTTTAGTAAGGGTGCTTAATTGAATTCCTATCTGAGTTGTGCTGGGATGCACCAAACTAGACTAGGAGCATAGAAAATCAGGTCCGATCTGGGTAAAATTCTCAACATGAACTTTTGGTTGGTATAATTTTAGCCCATTAGTTTGTTATTCTAATTTTGGGTATTCAGTGACATCTAGATCACTAGAATGCCATATGTTTCTACCCCACGCATACTAGTATTGAATTTCGTTTGTTACCCATAGTTGTATAAGCAATTGAATATTCTTTATCCGGTAATTTTGCAGGTTTTGATGCTGACACGGAGTGATAAGATACGCCCTAAAATATTGGGCCTCAGAATTATTAAATATTTTCTGGAGAACTTAAAAGAAGAATATCTAGTTTTACTGGCCGAGACAATTCCCTTCCTTGGTGAACTGCTAGAGGATGTGGAGCTTCCAATTAAATCTCTTGCTCAGGATATTCTCCAGGAAATGGAGTCTTTGAGTGGGGAAAGCCTTCGGCAATACTTATGATGTAAAGATTAGGTATTGTCGAAGAGGTGGAACTTCAATTTTGAAACTCTCAATTATTTAAAGCAGAGTCCTTTTAGAAGGATTTTCTGTAATGTAACACCAAAGAGGGAAAAGAACATAAAATTATTCGATTCGTTTTAAAACATCTTCATATTTTGTTCAATATCTTTATCCCCATATTAAGTTAATCCCCCATATTAAGTTAATCCTGTAAAAGATTTGCGGGTACCCTCTACAGTAAAACTCAGAAAAACCATCATAGCGGATATCCTCTCCACACAATCTTAATTATTTCTATTCATCAGAACCTTTAATTTACAGCGCAGCAATCTCAACAGATCCATGCAGTTCTCCTGGTTAAATGAACTCACTGTCTAAAACCATAATTACACGACCAGAAATCATGTTTAACATCAATTTTGGAAGTTAATGAAATAAAAGTAATTCAAATTTAAAAGCGTAGTACAGACCCAATTCTTTAAGTGCATCCATTCAAGTTGGCCACCTGAATCAAAGCACTCTGGTAAGGAACATAGATCTCTTTCCACTTAAAAATGGCCACAAGTTCCTCAAGACACCTTTAGGAGGACACATTGATTCTCCTTCACTTCTGCGCTCTGGTGCCCTTGGAATTATTTTTGAAGCCAAGTTGATGACATTGGACCATCACTTGTTACTGATTTGTTCCAAAAAGATCTGTGCTTTTGTTAAACTAAATAAATAAATGATGTTCTATTTTTCAACTGTTATTGCAATCACACGATGCCAAATAACAGATTATGGATGTGATACCTTAGGAATGGATTGGATTTAATAATTTCAAAGCCAGAGCTTCTTAGAAATGCATCTCTAGTTTTTCTTATTTCCTTTTTGTTTTCATTGACTACTTTCTTTTCATTCTTTTGTTTACCCTGTTATTTTCATCTGCATTTTTTTGGTTATTATTGTTCATGAAGTTACTAATGTGAACAAAGAACAAACCTGTCGTTAACATATATTAATTATTGTGATTTACTTACCTAAATTTTTTTATCATAAACTTATCCTTACGGGTTCATATATCTTTGTATCAACTCTAATTTCTCTTTTTTATTTCTTTTCACTTGTAAAAATAAATGGACTCGCAAAGGAATGCAATTTTTAAAGATACATTATGAAACAAGTGAAGTAAGGATGAGTTTTGAATATTTGTTCATTTTCTTTGTATATGATTAAAAAACCTTGAATGATTAAAAAGAGACTACCACTTCGTGTGATTTCAAGGACCATGTTTGTCAATGTTTTGACTTCTTTGGGTTACTTTCATCCTACAACCATTATCATTTCCTTTTGAGAAAGCAAAACACTACATCACGATTATAAAGCTTATATATTATGGGCTCTAACTTAATATTGTTTCTTCGATATGATTTTTATTTTTTTACCAAAACTACATTCAAATTTGAGTAAAACATAGTATAATTCATAACACTTCCAGTTTTTTAAGTGTACTTTAACCGTTGGCGGTATCAATTATAACTTGTTTATACTGTTTTAAATCCAGAATATATATATATATATATATATATATATATATATATATATATATATATATATATATATATATATATATATATATATACCAAAACTGGTGCATTTCGAATTTAGAAAGTAAAAATAGAAAAAAAAAACATAAAGGAAACAAAGACTTGTATAAATCTTAACCCAGTAAATTGAATTATAAATGTGGAAGAAAGTTGATATTTCTTGTAAGTGTTGGAATGAAATTGTTCAGACTCTTCTGAATAGATAAAGAGGGTACATGGAGCTTTCACAATACTTAACCAAAATTGAGATGATGTTCTTCTGCATCACAAATTTCACTCACTTCAAATTCTTTCGATTCTTAGACTTTTCTTTACATGGCCTTGGCAATTCATCATGAGTTTGGTGTTGTGAATTATGACCAACAGCATTATTACTGCTAAATGAACTTGCATGGACGTGGCTTCTTCTACTTTGACTTCTTTCCTTCTGAGGCTCCAAAATCTCACTGTCTTTCGTGTTGCCCAGGGATAATTCTCTTTTCTTTCCTGTTCAAGAAACGCACGGACAACTTTCTCAATTCCATATCAACCGAATCTGTTCTATTTCTATATTCTTTCTTTCCATTTTCACTCTCACTTCCGCTTAAATCTTCTTTCTTCATTTTCAAATTCCAAATGCAGTCTGCCAAATGTTTCCTTATTCTCTGCCTTTATATATACATTTATACATGATACATGTAATAACATATCAATTTACACTAAATTGAGAAAAGTTAGTTTTAAATCATAATAATAAAACAAAATATTCTCTTTATAGAACTTTTCCTATTTTAAGTAATTTGCTATCTTATATTAATAATGCATGCATGCATTCACGTTTAACTCCTAAATGAAGATAAGCTTAACCATAAAACATAAAACTGAACCATAACATGAAAAGAGAAGAGAGGTAAGGGAAAACAAAACTATTTTCATGTTTGTTGTTGTCTATACTTGTTATCAACAAAATACATTATATTCAGTACATTTAGAGTATAAATCCTTCCAAAATCAGGATAAATCCATAATTGACTAATACTACTCAGAGTATAAATCCTTCCAAAATCAGGACAAATCCATAATTAACTAATACTACTGAGAGTATAAATCCTTCCAAATTCAGGGCAAATTCATAATTAACTAATATTGTTGATATAAGCAACTGAAATAAGTAAACATAATAACATAAGGAAAAAAGTAAAGTTTTACAGCTTGTTCGTTTAACACTTCTCCTTAAAATTTTTCTTTAAAAACTCTCATCTTACTTTTTACCTCATTAAACTTAGCACATGGAAGTGCTTTGGTTAAAATGTCAATGATTTACCCTTCAGATTTATAATGCAGTAAAAAGTGCTTTGATTAAAATATCAGCTATTTACCCTTCAGGCTTATAATGCAGTAATTAAACATCTTCATTCTTCTTATTATAGCATGAAATTTAATATTGATATGCTTGGTTTTTCTGTGTTGGATTGGATTTTTAGCAATAATCATGGTTAAATTATTGTTACACCATAAAATATTAATTTCCTTACCTGTGATTTAAGTCTCTCAAGATTTTTCCGATCCACAATGCTTGATTTGAAACAACTACCACAATAATATATTTTACTTCAAGTGAGGATTGAACAACTATATCTTATTTTTTAGGGTTCCATAAGAACATTTCATTGTCAAGTGAAAAAATATATCAAGTTGTACTCTTTGAATCATCAATAAAATTGGTCTAAGCACTGTTATAATCTGCATAGGAGTCAAGCATGATAAGGTGGAGGGACACCTGCAACTTCAAAAGAATAATAGGGATTCGAAGTTGATCCACTTTCCTCAAAATGGTATTTTCCATCTGTGATTATAGGACACAAACTCATCAGTTAACAAGGGTAAGGTAATGTTCTCTTCTTCATGGTTTACCTCTGTCACCATCCACTAGTGTCCCAAAATTGTCCCACAGATTAGCATACAATAATCATATGAAAGGTCTACCCCAAGACATCATATAAAATTTGTTTCTTGTTTTTAAATGGGAGTTATTTGTATCATATTATATTATATTATATTATATTATATATATATATATATATATATATATATATATATATAATTCTTTTAGTAATTTTTAGTATATTTGACAGAAAAACAATAATATCATGTATAATAAATTAAGAATATATGATCATAAAAAAAGAAAAAAATTAATAATACAAAAATATAAATAATTAAAAAATATGTAATACATATAAAGATAAACATAATATTATAAAAAAATAAAAAATAATTATTTAAAAATTAATAGCAAAAAATATAAAAATACACTGTAAAACACCTATATTTTTTATTAATATATAAAAAATTATTTCTTTAATAACCGTTTCTTACGTTATTAAATAAAACAATAATGTATATTATATTATATTTTATTTTATTCACAACTTTCAATCAAATATTCTACATTATTTTTTTCTCTAAATATAAAATAATATATAATTTTCTTAAAATATTATTTTTTTCTTTCAATTTTCTTTTTTCTTAAGAAAGTCTTACGTGTATTCATTAGTATATAAAAAAACATTTCTTTTATAATGGTTTTTTATGTTATAACAAAATATATATTATATTATATTATATTTTCTTTTATATAATAAACATAAAATAATAAATATATTTTTTTCAAAATATTATTTTTTCCATTCAGTTTTTTTTTCTCAAAGATTTGGCTTACATCTATTTATTAGTATATAAAAGATATTTTTTTTATAAGTTAAATATATATATATATATATATATTATATTTTCTTTTGTTTGTAACACTTAATTAAATATCTATTTTATCTTTTTCTTTAAATATAAAAAATAAATAATTTTTTATAAAAATATTACATTTTTGTTAAGATTTGTCTTACCTCTATTTATCTCCTATCATTTTAAGAATAAATATTTATATTTTAAAATTAATATATATTTATATATATATATATATATATATATATATATATATATATAATATTTTTTTCATTTTTAGAATAAAGTGGGAAACTTTGGTTTGAAAACACAAAAACCCTAAACCCCTAGGTGCAGCTCAGCTGGAAAGCCATACACATATGATAGTTTTTTTTTTTTTTTTTTTTTTTTTGGTTCCTCTGGAGCGAAAAGCGGCAGAAGAACCAAACTTAGCTTCATTTAGGTGCGAAACCCAAACAATGACTACCTCCATAGCTTCGCAATTAGAAGCTATAAGGTCTTTTGTGAAAAGCGACTCCCAACCTCTCAAAAGGGCCTTTCACTCGTCCTTCAATATTGTTTGATCCCAAAGAAGCCGCCAATATCGATATTGAAACCCACCCTTTTCTCCATTGCTCTTGAAGGTCTATCTTCTCAACTCATACTCATTCTCTTTTTTAGCGAAAATCAATTAACCAATTAAATTTTGCACTGTCTTAGTTGTGACGAAATACTTTATATTCTGTTTTTGTACTTATTATTGTTTTTTCTGAATATTTGGTTTCGTGTTGCACTATTTCAGGATTAGAGGTTCTTATTGGCAAGGATGAGCGGTTCAGAAATTATAAGAACGATTTGTTTAGCCACAGGAGTAAGGAGCTGGATAGAGAGTTGATGGGAATAGAACAGAACCATCAACTTAATGTCTCCATTTATGCGTACTTAAAACTGCTTTCTGGATATACAAGTGAGCACTTCATTTGTTTTCGATAATTTAATGTGTTATGAATTGTCTGTGTTGTGCGTATAATCACATTTTGCCCCTACCTCCTTTACCTATTTTAGGTGATTTCTGATGTAATTGGTTGAGTTTCAGGATTCATGTGTACAACAATGAGGATTTGATTTTGTGTTCTTTGCCGTACCACAATACAATTCCTTTTGTTCTAGTAATACAGATACTTGAGACAAGGTTAGAAAGATATGATTATGTGTTTTTGGTTTGCTTGTGATGTAAATTACTAGACTGGCTTCTAACTTCTTTTTTTTCTTAATTTTTGTAAAGGAATACTAAATGGGGGTTTCTTGATGGTGTGAAGGCCTCAGGTGCACCGCCACCTAGGATGGTCATAGTGCAGTAGTGTATCTGTGATAAGGGCATATTAGATGCTCTATGCAACTATGTAAGTAAGTAATTGTTTTTGTTTTAGTTGTGAACGTGAAAGTGGATTAGTGGAATCAAATAATTAGATACCAAATCATTTGGTTACAGGCATCTCCATCTAAAAGGTCTCAACCTTCAAGGCATGTATTGGCTTTTGTACTGCTGTTTTTGTTGAGCTTTTGGGTACTGTTGTTACTGTAAAAGATGATCTTGTAAAGAGTATATTTCCTTTTGTGGTCTCTGGTCTTCAGCCTGGCATTAATGGAGTTTCATATCACAAGGTTAGTTTCAATGCATTAAAATTTATAACTGATTATAATAGACATCACACTGTAATATATTTTCCATTACTTTCTCATTAGTGGGACGAAATTACTTTCAATGGTAAGCTGTGTGAAAGGAATTTGCTCTTAGATATCCTGTTATAATCTATGTTCAGTCATGATTTTTTCCTTTTCATGGCCAAGCTGTGATGAAGAAGATTGAGTGCTAATTAGTTTTAGGTATCCTTTATTTTTCATTCAAAGCAGAAACAAAAGTAACTAACTGTAATATAAAGGCCTTCCAATCTCTTTATTTATTTATAACTCCCTTAAAATGAACCTGCACCGAGCATTGAAGAAAGACCATTATGTTCTGTTTCTAGAAAACACAGGCCGAGGGAACTATACATGTGTACAATCGTAAAATGTGATTACATGTCTGCGTGACCTCCTATTAGGACTTATTTTATCTGTTGAAATTATGGGGATTTAGGTATAGACAGAAGTAGGAAGAGAATAGAGATTTTGAATAATATTATGCTGATTGTAATGATTTTCACTAGCCTTTATTTACATTAATCATAGAACAAACCTAAGTGGTAATGATAATATTGGGAAACTGATCCTAAATCATAATATAATATATAGTAAAATATTTTCACTTATTTTAACAATTTTTAGCTATGTTTCTTGGTACTTTCTGACACAATTTTTTTGTCATATTTTCGTCGTATGCAGGCTGGTTCTTTGATGATTATTGGTTTGCTTGGAAACAAAGCTGCATTATCTCCCAAGCTTTTGAATAGTTTGATACGTTCAGTTGCTGAGGTTGCTCGCAGGGAGGCTATAGATTTGACAGATCTCTTTTGGTTTAGATTGTCTCTGATTAGCATAATCAATCTTGTTCAGGTACTAGTGTAATCCTGTATGTTTGCATAGAGTTAAACAGGGTCTTTGATCAATTTTTGGGTGGTAAATAGTATTGATCAAATTTTATTTCACAATGCAAAATTTATTCTGAATCTGGCTAGATTTTTATTTTAATCTGTTCTATTGGAATTTTATCAGTCTCAAAATGTTGAAGTACTCCCAACAAAGGCTGTGGATATTTTAAAGGAAATAAGGTAGTCTTAATTGAACTGCTCAATCACTGTGCTTGAACTGTTGTCATTTCTTTACATATATTCCTAGTTTATTTAATCCCTTTTTACATAGGGACCTGGCAGGGGTTTTATTAGAGTTATCTAAGGAGTTCGGTTGAAAGTCCCACATCGCCTACCTCATGTTATTTGGTATGGTTTAAATACATGTTAGGCTACTCCACATATAGCCAATTGGTTTTATGTTAGAATCTTAACATGGTATCAGAGCCAAAGCCTAACATCTTTCCGGTTATTGTCATGGGTCAAAAGTTGCCCTTTAGTTGGGTCAAAAGTACCCTTTGCCTGGTCCGGCAGGCTTCGTTAGAGGGGGTGTGTTGAAAGTCCCACATCGCCTACCTCATGTTATTTGGTATGGTTTAAATACATGTTAGGCTACTCCACATATAGCCAATTGGTTTTATGTTGGAATCTTAACAAGTTCCATATTGAAAAGTTTCTCCGGGTGCTTTCGGACTCCCTGATTGACTGCAGGTGCTCATTGTATGATTGTCTTTCTGGAGATATATGCTTTAAGTCATATTTTATAAAAGCTAGGCATGTTCTTTTGCATGTTGTACAAGGATGAAAAGCATCCACTGCAGTTGCTTAATTAGAACTCTTATCCATCTTATTTTTCCCATTTCGACCACCGTTTGCTTTATAATTCAACTTCTTTTGATTTTTCTAAACTGGTTGCTTCACCTTATGCCTAGCTTGAAATGCACCTTCAGTTACATCATCCATCTTCGTGGAGAATCTTAACTCTTGAGCTTGTAATTTGCTAACCCTCTCATAAATAGTTAATTTCTTTAGATACCATGATTCTTCAATGACAACTTTGGCTTCAAATTTTTCGGGTAGGCTAATCAAACATTTTTTCTGGATCGTTGTTGTCTTCTACAACCTAACCATATAATCTTATTTGATTCACCAAATGGGGCAACTTTGAAGTATACTCCTTTACAGACCCATTCTTCTTCATTTTCAATATTTCAAACTCTCTTTTTTAAGTGTCAAGAGTTTGATGGACCTTACCCTTTCGTCACCTGCATATCTTTTATTCAGTTCGTCCCATATTTGCTTGATGGTTTCCAAATGCATAATGTTGGTAAAGACCTCATCTACCAAAGTTGAATGTAGACATGAAACAGCTTTCTCCTTCATAGTCTCCTCCTAATGTTGTTTGATTTGAGCTATAGTAGGATTAGCTTTTAATGGTGGAACTTGCTTATCTTTATCTAGATACTCTCATAAGCCAAAAGACTTTAAACATTGTCTCATTTTGAAAACCCAAATGTGACAAACATGACATAAATCCTTGAAACCATATCCCTCATCAGTGTTTAAACTCTCCTCACAATTTTTTTCAGACCCACACCCTATAAGAACACTGCTCTAGATACAGAACCATAACATGAAAAGAGAGGAGAGGTAATGGAAAACAAAGCTGTTTTCGTATTTGTTGTTGCACCATACTGTATGTCACTTACTGAACCATGTTTAAGGACAAATACATGAGAAATGACAACCTGTCATTATACCCATATTTACTATCAATAAAATATCTTGTACCCATTACATTTAGTGCACAAGTCTGTCCAAAATCAACTTAGATTCTACTTATTAATACTACTGACACAAGCAAACTAATTTTATTTAACATTAACATCGTCTAAATTAATCTATGCTATCAAAAGTTGTTTTACATGACATAATGATTTGTCCTACAAATTTCACTGCATTACTTTAATTCTTCTCAATTATCTTTTGCTTTGCTCATATGCCTTCCTTTCTCACAGGTTCGCATTCTCCTTCAACATGACATCTTCTAAGCTCATGTTTACGTCCTAGAAGAAGATTACGTGCCAAGTTTGATACGATTTCAATCTTTAAAATCTGGTTTTATTATATACGAATTTATAGGTTGAAGTTAGGAATTTGATATAGTATGATAAATATACATTTTTGTTGTCGTTAGTTGCATAACAAAATTGTGCAATAGGAGTGGTGATTAGTGTTAACAAAGCAAAGGTTATAGACATGTGGCTGAAATGGGAATTTAGATCGCAATCAACACTTTCGACTCATTTGCTGAGTCTAAAGAAAGAGTATGCACATAGTCTTCAGTATGATTGAAAATTCGAGAATGACTACAGCTCTTCAGTATTAGTATTTAAAATATGTGGGAGTATTAATACAGAGACAAGAATATACTATTAATATACTAAAATATATATGGCCCAACTCACGTATTGTGTAGGACCATTCATATATATAACGTAGAGTCTTAGTGTGCTCGGAACAGCTTTCAGGATCCTACAGTCTTTCTGAAAGAAATTTGCTCCCAATCTTGCCGGGTGGGATAGACAAGCGAGCGTTCTTTGGGTTCAAATCTGTGCCAAAAATCTACACAATATATGCCCTATATATTCATCTAATCCACATTAGCTTTATTTCTTCATCTACACACTATCACATAAAATCAAAATATACATTAATGAAGGATGTCAATTAAATTTACACAAATACGACGTTATTAAATCAAATGTTTTAATCTGACGCCATTTCCCACCAAAATATTTATCAATACCTTTATTACTCAATATCATAAAACCAACCTGATTTGATCTGATACTGTTAGAAAATGGAAATATGCTACATATCTATTATTTTGGCCGGATTATTGAAATTTAGTGACAAGAAAGTGTTTGCATAATATATAGGAGTGAAGGGGGAACAAAACCTTCTGTAATCGACAAGAGGGAAACCTAAAGCGATGGAAGATTTTTTTTTTTAATAAAGATCTTGCAAATGAAGATGATTCGACTTCAATCGCATTGAAGACGGTGGTTCGTGGGTCTCTTGAAACAAAAGAAAAATACTTCCATGCAGATTATTCTTCATTTATTTCTGCAGATGAAGACTTGTCCATGGAAATGGGAGAGGGGTCTCTAAAGCAAAGCCGAAGAAGTATCTAATTATAATCCATCAAAAGTCAAGAGTGATGAAGGGTGTAGCAGTAACCACGGTGATGACGTGTAGAGATTGAGTTTAACCAAAAGGGTTAGTCTTTTTCCAACGTTGCAACTAAGAAGAATAATTATAACCCACGAAAGAGAATCAAGAGGGAGGAGGGATGCAGCAGGAGCAGATCAAAATTTGAATATTTGTTGGAGGCTGTTTCCGTATTTAGTGCGTACGAAGAGGAATGAGGTATCAGAAAACCTCGTAAGTCTGGTGAATTGCTGCCAAGGAAATTTCGAGAAAAGATCCAACGTGCATTTTTTCAGACTGGACGGGGAACGTGCATAGTTTTCAGAAAATACAACGATTGAAAGCCTTGATTTTTCAATAACTCCAATAGTAGATTGTGAACTCTGGTCCCCATCACTGATGAAGGTGTGGAATCCCCTTCGGCACAAAGCGTTGTTGAGAAAACCTGTGAAGGTGCGTGTTTCTTTTCCACTGAAACTGAGAAAAATGCTATAGCGGGGTAGAACCAACGTGACGTGTCGCACAATCTCTTCAATGAATTCATATTCATATTTGAACCTACAAAAAGGTCCACAAAGAGAAGCTATCACTTCTCTTGTATTTCTTCTTCTCTCAATGTTTAAGTTTGATTTAAAGACATTTGCAAAAGTATCTGTAAATAAATTACTTGATAGTCATACATACCCGCTTCCTCTTCCGAAACACCATCCTGATAAGTTGGCCACTTGAGTCAAAACTGACCTCCACTTCTGCACTTCCTTAGTGTCCTCTCCGAACCTAAACATCATGGCTTCGCCAAATCTACCCCGTTGGTTTCTTACATCGGAGGGATCGACGTTGTAAAAGATTGGAATAACAACTTGGTTCTTTGTCCTCATGCACTCTAAGATCTTGACAAGTTCATTAAGGCACCACCTGGAAGACGCAAAGTTTTGGGAGAGAACGACGATCGAAATCCTGGATGCTTTCAACGCTTCAATGATAGTATTCTCAATCTGGACGCTACCCTTCAACGTGCCGTCAGCCATGAAAGTTCTGAATCTGGCCTGCCGCAAAGCAGCATAGAGATTACCTGTGAAGGTGCAGCGCGTGTCATTCCCTCTGAAGCACAGAAAAACATCGTAGCGACGCTTGGGTTCCTCGGTGACCGTGTCAGTGCCCCCTTCATCCGCCATAGCATACGAATGAAATGAAACAAGCACTGAAAATGCGTATTATTGTGATTATTTTAGATATTCATGGTGAAAGTGACATACCGAATGGGACCTACGCGGTTTCTCTTAATTTCCAGCTTCTTTATTTGCTTCACTCTGATGTTGCAATAAAATACATCAACATGAATCCATTGGAGTTAATAAACACGGTTTCCACTCCATGATGAAAAGATTGTTAATGGAGTTAATAATTATAAACATTATTATTAATATTATCCCATCAAGTTGATGACTATGTCATGTTTGTTATTAGCGTGATTTGGATAATACTGGCAGGTGAAGAAGAAGAGGTCCAAATATTCTCAAAATAAACAAAAATATTGCTTAGGTACAAATTTGAATTTTTCAAGGACTAAACTGAAAAAATAATTGACAATTTTAAAACTTTTATGATTAAGAAGGACACTTTTAATATCTGTTACATTGCACACCAAACTTCAGCCTCAGGCCACTAGGTACCTTCTTGCTGTTTCACATTGTTGACGTATCTTTTTATTTGACACATCAACACTTGAGAGTTAAAATTTAAAGTTAGAGATTAAAATTGTTAAGTAAAGCATATGCAGAACTAAAAATGATAAGAAAAACGTATGAGAAACTAAAGAAAGTACTTAAAACATATGTATATACTCAATTTCCAGTTGTGTGTGAGTAGATTGCAATGTCGCAACGGCAAGTATTTAACCTTAGCAAATGTAATGTCCATATGCTAAAATAGCACCTCTTATTACATTTTCTCTTATCAGCACAAAAGAAGATGCAAAAGAAAATACATCAGACCTCAAGAATTAAACCTTGGGAATTGAAACAGGGTGTGGAAAAAGCAATGATAAGCACAAAGAAATTGAAGGATAGTTACTGATGCAACTACCAGTTACTCACACAGCTCTACAACATACACATTTTGACAGTTTCATTCATTATTCATTGGAGCAAGTAAAGGACTTCCTATATGCTTCTTGCCATCTTCAATGTTAATGAGCCGTTCCACAATCCTTTCTATACATTCATGTTGGTACCTACAAAAGTACAAGCCCTTTTAACCTCTTCTTTTTACTAAATACACATCTCATCAAAATAACAATACTTCTACTGATCAATCTTCTCATTAACAGATTTTTTAGTCTACAAAGACTGTTTCAAACAAAGCAACCCACATGACCCCCATGTACGCGACTATAATTAGTGAGATTTTCGTTTCCCTGAATCTTTAAACTTTAAAAATGTTTCAAATGGTAAATTTGTTATTAGGGAAGATTTAAACTTTTATCATTGATTTCGTCATTTAAAATTTTAAATAAGTTAAATGATAGATTAAATATTTTAAATTTGTTGTAAATTTATACATAAGGATGCTCATATAAAGATTTTGAGACTCATAATATATCTTCAGCTGCTAAAATTTACCAAAACGTACTCGTTTTCACTGAGATGCTCTCCTTCTTCCAAGTTGGTAATTTCAGACAAAGCAGACCTCCATTTCTGCACCTTCTCAGAGTCCTTTCCAAATCTTTTTTCATATGCAGTCATGGCCTCACCATAACTTTTTGTTTGATTGCATACATCCAACTTTTCCACATTGTAAAATATTGGCCAAACCATCTGATTCTTGGTCTTCATACACTCAATGATCTTGGCGAGTTCATCAAGACACCACGGGGAATATCCATAGTTTTCAGAGAACACAACAATTGAAATCCTCGAAGTTTCAATGGCTCCCATTAGAGTTTGAGAAATTTGGTTCCCACCCTCCAATTCTTCATCATCCATGAAGATTTTGAAACCCTCTCGGCGAAGGGCATTGTAGAGAAAACCTGTGAGAGTGTAGCGGGTATCCTCTCCACAAAAACTGAGAAAAACATCATATCGGGGCAGGGATTGCAGGGCTGATTCAACAATCATTCCGATGAATTTATATTCGTACTCGTACCTATAAAAGCACAATCCCTTTTAAAATTCATCAGAAGGGTATTCGATCAAAACCTTATTTTTTCTAGTAATCAGGGTTGACAAGTTTGCACAAATCATATTGCAACTACTACCCTGAAGCTGGAAACAACTTCAATTTACAGCAGACACATGAAACTCTCCTGGTTAAACAAAGTCATCATCATTTTCGCAAGGATAATTAATTAGAAGAGCATATTTCCAGTTTAATAGGTTTTACAGATAAAATATGAGTACTTAAGAGGTGGTTCTATGCTATGCCAGAATTGATCAACTAAAACTCTGAAAAGAAATCATATACCCTCGGTAAAACCATCCACTCAAGTTGCAGACTTCAAACAAAGCTTTTCTCCATTTCTTCATCCTCTCATTGGAGTATCTATCTTCAAATTCATACATGGCTTTTTCATATATACCTCTCTGATTTCTTACATCCGACGGTTCCACTTCGTAAAAGATTGGCCAGACGAGTTGGTTGTTCATCATCTTAGACTCAAGGATGGTCACAAGTTCATCGAGACATCTTGGGGAGGAGGCATGATCTTGGGAGAAAACAATGATGGAAATCTTAGACTCTTGTATTGCTTTAAGAGCAGAGGGTGAAATTTGGGTGTCATTAGTGTGTGACTTAAGATGATATTCATCTTCTCTGAAAAAGGTCTTGATTCTCTTGCTGCACAAAGCTTTAAAGAGATTACCAGTGAAGGTGTAGCGGGTGTCGTGGCCACCAAGACTGAGAAAAACATCGTAGTTTTGGTGTTCATTGGACATGATGGATGATGATAAGCAATGGCTGTAGCAGAAGAAGGTCTTCTCTTCTCAATAAATTCACTATTATTGATATATTCACCTGTCATGTTTTGTAAAGTGTTATCATTTTTTATAGTAAATTGTAAAATTAAAATACATTGATAAATATCAGTTGGAACCATTAATAAATAATGATTTACAATTATATGATGCTACAAATAAATAATCATTTTATTATAAACTATTTAAAATCTTACTGTATTACTTAATTTGTGTTGATATTATATATATGATTGAAATTTAGGTTATTGTCACATTATTAACACTGACAAAACTTAATTCTACGTCAAGATTCCAGAGAGAAACATTTATTTTGTTTGAGAGCTTTTATGCTTTTATTATTAACTTGAAGATTAATCATGAAAAGATGTTTATATTTCTACAATCTCTTTCTACTCTCTACCCTTCTTCATCTCAAATTATTTAACTTTTTGCATTGTCTTTTAGATTCTATTTTCCTTTCAACTCATTTATGCCTATGCATGTTTAAATCATATAATTATTTATAAATTTCATAGTTTACTTTTTCTTAATTCAAAATCGTATGAGAATTTTTAAAATCAAGGTAAATTTATAATTAAATATATAATCAAAACCACTCATGCTAATAAAATACTTTTTAGTTTCACAATAAATAAGATCTGATAGGTTAATTCACTGAAAAAAAAATTATTAAATATGGACTAATATAGAGACAAAAAATATTAATCATGACTCAGTTAAAAACTATTTTAGTTACATTGAATTAGAATTACAATTTAGATTGATTTTTAATCTTAATTATCAAAATTTTAATTATTAATTAAAAAATATTTTTTAAATTATTAAATTAGAATCTAATTTTTAATTAATAACTAAAATTTTGATAATTAAGATTAAAAATCAATCTAAATTATAATTCAAAAATTAATTTAATAAAATAATTTATAACTAAATTAATATACTGATTAAATAATGTTAGTTATTAGATCAATTTCATAACTCAGCAATGTCACATTTCTCAGCACATTAAAATACGACACCTTGTCATCATCACGCAGGCTATAAACCACTCAACCAATTTATTAACTAATGAATTTCATTGGACTAGGCTAACTAATGCAGAGGACAACGACCCCATTTTGGTGGTAGCTTTTGTTTCTTATAAAAAATTATAATTTTGCTACGGTAATGTGTGCCAGATTGGCTAAATATGCTATATAAAGATTAAATTATTGCGTTTAAATTACAATAATTTTGAGGCATACAAATGTTGTATAACTCTTACAACGATTACACAATATTCTTCATATCATGCAGAAAATTGATTACACAATGTTCCTCATTCCAAAACGATTCTTCGTATAAGTAAAAGCAGAAAATTGATTATAGCCGTGTTTCTTGAAAGAGATTTAAGTAATTAATTTGAGATTAACTGGCCGCAAAATTCATTGATCATAAAAACTCTCCTATGAAGTTCCAAAATTTGCTCTATTTTTCACTTGTTTTGGTGTCACAACATGCCGTATAACTCAATTCTGCATATCCTAGGAGTGCATAGAATTTAACAATTTTAAAGCCAGAGCTTCTTGCTCCTCCAAAGTAACCGCGCCAGAACTTGTACGTGCATTCCCTGCGACTTCATTTCTTTCACCCTCGTCACTGTCACTATCAAAGTATACTTTACTCTTTTTATGCCGTCTGTTAATAGTTTCGTCTCCTTCTGATCCCGAAATATCGTCTTGGTCGTCCTCTTCTTCCTCATTCCCAGCCTTAAATTTCATCTTCTGCTTTATTCTTTTTTCTCTAAGCCGCTTCCGCTCTATAAGCTTATCTTCCTTGTCAGCCTTCTTTAAATCATCGCGCATCCTTCTATAGAATTCAGCTTTTTGTTCTGTATGATTAAATAAGGACAGACGTGTCAAAATGAACAATATCCAAGAACACATTTGAGTTAACTTATTCAATTTCAATGCTCCGAAGTACGACTACGATTGTATGTACCCATGATCAGATTCTTGAAAACAAGAATGCTTGCAGATAATACAAAAGAATTTCCTAACTTAAAAAAGAGTAGTTATATAGTTATATTATATTTCAAACAAACTTTTATTATATTTCATAAAACTATGAAAATAAGGAAAGAAAAAATGTCAGTTTACACCACTTTGCTGGTTTACCATTATTGAAAAGAGTGTATGAGTATATTACTCTCTAATGTAATATAACTGTCTTCTGACAACTGTCACTAGTTAGTTTGAGCCAGTTACAGTACCAGCTATCTACTGTCACTAGTTCCTTAGCATGTATAGATACCTTTCTGTAACTGCTCAACGGAACTGATTCACTAATTCAATAAATATAGTTAAGTTTTCTTGAGCTTTCTCTCTAAATAAATTATCTGCCATTCTATGAGAGGGCGTTATCTCTCTAACTTTATTACTTAAATAATCAAGGCGCGTCTGTCACACTCTTATGTCCTTCTCTAATTCAACTTCTAAAAGAAAGAGACGATAAGATCAAAGTTGCATTGTTACATTCATTTCCTTCTCTAATTAACTTCTAAATGAAAGAAGGGACCATAACATGAAAGTTGCGTATTACAGTTCCTATGCATTGAGAATTTTAGGCTAATTTTAGGTCCTAGCCGCTTTAATTAATAGCCTTATACACAGGGACGGAGGCTCTTGGAAGGATGTGTTGGCAGTGGCCATCCCAAAACAAATAAATTTTTTTATTACTATGTACATATTACTATGACATGCCCCAAAAAAATTGTAACATGACCCCATTTTTTTAATCTATTGAACCTTGTGATCTTTTGTTATGTTAATATTGTTAAAAAAATTATTTTATTTTAATATTTATATCTTGCCCCTCTTCAAAAACTGTATAGCTCCGCCCCTATTTATACATGTACAAGTAACAATTTCACAATGTAAAATTATTATTGCTAAGATTTAGAGCTTCAGTTTGCAGATGAAAAGAACGGACATACCTGGGTCAAGCAGCACACCTTCCTTGCCACTTTGTGTGTCAGCTATCCTGGCTAGCGGAGGAAGTGTGTTGCCTTCATCATCAAATACAACCCTGGTCCCAACTGGCCTATGTACATTAATCTTGAGTTTCTTTTTCTTCAAAACACGAGTTTCTGGTCTGCATAGGAAAGAAGCAAATTGATAAGAACAAAAAATTTGACACTCCAAATAAATGGCTCCCACCAAAAAAGTAATCTAATATTTTTTGTCTGTACCACTGAAACAAAAACATACATCAATTCTTCAATTTCAGATGACTTCATTTCGTCTTCATTTGTAGGAGGATCTGCTAACTCAAAAAGATCATTTTCAATTTTTTCATCCTCCAAAGGATCTGTGTATATCTTGTTTCTTGAAACCTCCAAGACATTATTTTCCTTGCTTGAATCTTCTGGTTCAACTAAAATTGATTTCTCTGATGCAGCTTTAGATTTAATTTTCTGGTTTAGAAAACGGATTTTGGGGGTCATTGGTAAACCTAATGATGCTGAATACTTGTCAATAGGCAGTTTCAAAACATCGAATATGTCTTTATCCTTTTGTAAATGGATGGATCTCAAGTATGTGATAAACGCCCTCTGAGCCCGATGCTGCAGGTCTGGGTATTTGACAAGCAAAGATGCCAACAGACTAGAAACTGGTTGCAGTAGTTCTTGCCTTGGCTGAATAAGCAATTACAAAAGCATGGAAAGCAAATATGTCAGAAAAAACAAAAGCCTGAAGTGAGCCGGACATAAAACTGAAAACTTATGTTCAAATGAAGATTGAAATTCATACATACTATTAATTTGCACGTCAAATTACCTTATTAAAATGCACTGGAACCTTTGCTGCTTTTAACTTTTCAAGCATTTGCATTTCTGAAGGCAACAGAAATAAAACTGACTTTCCACCAGATTTATATCGAGCAGTGCGACCAACTCTATGTATGTAAGAAGCTACATTTTCGGGACAATCCACCTACAAATGCGAGAGAGAAATGAGAAATTGACAATAAAAGGAAGCTTTTTGCTTCCAACATCCCACCTCCAAGCCCCAAGACTTTCTACAAGACAGGAAAGAACAAGCAGGATGAGACTCACCTGAACAACCCAGTCAACTGCCTTATTAAAATCAAGGCCTCTTGCGGCCACATCAGTTGAGAAGAGAACTGAGCGCTTCTCACAAAACTCAGAATATATTGCCATTCTTCTTTCCTGTTTCATCCTCCCATGAAGGCACTTCAATGGTATGCCTGGGTGCAGTTTCTTAAATGCTTCAAAGACAAATTTTACCTATTAAGCAGGGATATGAACATTATGAAAGATAGTCAAGCTTCAGAGTCGAAATTTGCACCCAAAAAAAAAAAATACAAACATTGAATCAACTACATGCACTAATCAACAGAAATCCTTTTAAACAGAGGATTTTCCCCATTTACATTGTAAGCATTATGAACAATTCATCATAAAAATCCTTTACAATAACCAAAATTAGCACAACTGAAAACATAACAGAAGTTCTATGAATGTAAACTAAATCTTTTGCAGATACACATACAACAATGTAAATATTACTTTGCAATTGAATATGAAGCTAACAAGTTAAGTTTCAGTTTCAATGATCAAACAAATTACAATAACACATTCCCTCAAACAGCACAAAATTCTTAAAAATTATGACTACCTATCATCAATGGTGCAACTTTTCAGGTGGCAAGACAGTAAAATTGTAATAGAAGCTTAGAACATATGATTCCTATCAAGGCAAGGAACTTCTTGTGACGGGACAGAAAAGTAGAGCTACCTGTTTACAGCTTGAAAGAAAGACAAGCATTTTCGACTGTAGATGTGTCTTTATGAAACTCCACAGCATATCTAACTTTTGATTGAGGGGAACAATCATCACAATTTGTTTCAACAGAGTAGGAGTGGCAGTCAAAGATTCTTCATGCACACTCAGATACTCTGGATCCTTCAAACTTAGTCTGGCAAGATCTTGAATTGACTTTGTTTGAGTTGCAGAGAAAAGCAAGGTTTGCCTCCGCTTTGGTAGTTGAGAAATTATTGCATTTAGTTCCTTCTTGAACCCACTGTCTAGAATGCGATCAGCCTCATCTAGCACCAAAACCTATATCCAGATAGACCATCCAATCATCAGATATATTCAGAAAAGATCTGGGTGCTTTTGGATAAATGACTTAATTAAGCACTTAGTAAATAATTACTTATACATATGTTGTTTCTCAATTGAAGAGGAATCCAGGCTAAACTACTTTCATACAAGTTATAAGTTTTTTTCATAAGTCATGCTAGAATGCTCGCTGAAATAAGCTGATACTACCTGATGAATATATCCTAAGCCATCTTAATAAACTCTCTCATAACACTTACACAAAAACTTATGTCAAAGATATGCTCAATTAAGTTATAAATAAATTCTTCCAGACACACTCCTGTTGCCCAAAATAAACATACTGTGGGAAGATAAAATTTAACTGCACAAATACTCCAATTCAACCATTTTTGCTAAATCACCTAGGAACACGTGTAGAGTTTAATAAGGAAGCCATCTTTTCTGAAGGCTATTAAGGCAGGCAGCTAGCACATCCAATTACTAATTTCAGAGACGGGTTGCAGTTATTCTATCCCATATAGAAAAGACTATACTGACCTGCATCTGCGAACAATCAAAATTGGGAGTTTCATCCATGTGTTGCAGCAGCCTACCGGGCGTGCAGATCAATATGTTGAGCTCATTAACATGTTCTTTCTCCATGTCAACATCCTTTCGACCACCAATGAGAAGGCCAGCACTAAAATTATGGTGTTTTCCAACAATCTTCAACACGTCAAATATCTGACCAGCCAATTCCCTAGTAGGCGATATGATAATGCTGCCAACGCCATCTTCAGGCCCCCATCTCTCTCTATACAACTTCTCCAACACCTGTCGCTCATAATCCACCATAAACAACTAGCTATATCTCAAAGAGTAAATTAAGTTGACACTCCCGATATTTCATGAGATTGCACAAAACCCTTCTATTTTTTCTATCTCATCACTAACTCTCTTACTTGTTTGAAGATTGAAAAACATTCCACTGACACCCCTTACATAATGTATAAACTCTCATTAATTGTTAGAAAAACATTACACCGTGATCTCCTTGAAGGGATGTTGGTGTAAACACTATAAAAACAGAAGGAGTTTATGCAATCTCACGAAAATTCAGTGTAATTTACTCTAACTATAAATATGACAATTCAATATACCATCCGTTTACTGTAATACTTTCTCACTTTTTAGCTAATGCAATGACTATACTATTATTACAATATTTATATTAGTTGAAAAATATGAAAGGAACCATAAGCCGAAGTGAATGGAGCTGAGAACTGAAGCACTTACAGGGATAATGAAAGCAAGGGTTTTACCGGAGCCCGTTTTGGCGGCGCCAAGGATATCTCGGCCACAGAGTGCGTGTGGAAGAGATGCTCTCTGGATGTCGGTCATGACGACGAACTTGGCTTCTCGGAGGGCGTCCTTGGTTTTCTTGGAGAGAGGGATTTGGTCGAAGCGGGACGCGCCGGCGTAGCGCGAGTAGGTGTTGTCTTCGAGGCGGGCAACGGGGGAGTTTTTGGGGAGAGGAGGGAGCGACACTGGGTTGGAACCGGAGTCCGGTGGCTGAAACTGGATCCATGAATTCAACAGGCTTATCTCTTCCTGCTCTGAGAGGCGCTGTTGCTTCCGAAACTCCTTCGATTTCGGTCTCCTCATTTTTCAAGCTTGAAGATGATGCAGATGACGAAGAGGAACGTTGGGTTTTAGGTTTGGTTTGTGTTATTGTTACGGCAGAAGGAGGAACAGTGCAAGAGTTAGCGGAATTGGGCCAACTGATAAAAGATTGGGTTGGCCCGATTAACAACACGTGTATTTTATTTAGTATTTGGAAGTGTCGTGGACAGTGAATACAAAACGTATAATTTTTTTTAGTATCGGATTAAATAAATATTTTCAACAATTTCATATTAATGAATACGAAAATTTTTCAGATTCAATAATATAAAAGTTCTTTAAAAAAAATTGAATTGTTAAATCCAAATTTTTTTAGAATAGATGAATCCAAAATATTAAATAAATTAGCGTACTTTCGGAAATTCAATTTGAATAATAATAATAATAAGAAGAAGAAGAAATATTATTATATAAAAATAATAATAATAAAAAGAATTATTATTATATAAAAAATAATAATAAATAATACTAAAATAATAATAATAAATAATAGAAATAATGATATTATATTTATTATTATTTTATTATCTTTATTTTTTATTTCTATTATTTGTATTGTTTTTATTATTTTATTTTATTATTATTTTCTTTATAATTATTTTATTATCTTTATTTACCTTGTTATTATCTTTTATTTTAATATAATATATAAAATAAAAAAATAGAAATCATAAAGATAATAAAATGAAAACAAAGATAATAAAAAATAAGATAAAGATAATGGTAATAATAATAATAATAATAATAATTTAAAAAACATAAGATAATATTATTATTTCTATTTTTTTATTATTATAATATTAATTTATTAATATTTTATTACTGTTATTTTGCTTTAATAATAATATTTTTTTAATTTATTATTATTATTTATTATTTAATCATTCGAATTTTATTTGAATGAAAAAAAATGATTGGAAAATTGAAAATAAAAACGAAAAAAAAATATATAATAAAAGTTTGATAGTTTAGATTAGAAAAAAATAATAATAATTTATAATTAATTTGATTAATTTAAAATAATAAAAAATAGATATAAATTATATGATTTAATAAATTATTAAAATGTTTTTATATTAAATATTTAATTTTCGCATATATAATATTTAGAAGAAAGATAATTTAATATTTAAAAACTTTATATATTGTTTTCCTGCAAATCCAATAACTTATCAGAGAGAGGATTTATCATCGGTAAATCTCTTCAAATCATCTTCTTTCCAAGAATTAAGGTTCCTTGTTTCAAATTTGTCTTTATAAACACTCAATTCAGAATACAAAATATAAAGTACATTGATTTAACATTCTGATCCATGATCCATCTATCTCAAAAAATTTAAATTCAAAATTTATAAAACATTGTTTTAATATATTTTGTTTAATCCAAAACTTAAAAAAAATGTTTTATGAATTTATCAATTTGAAATTTTCCAAATTTATCATAAAAGATGACTATTGACTTTTGTAATAAATAAGAATTTGCAAAGATAAAGAGGGTACGCATATTTTAAACTAAGTCGAACGAAGCCAATGAAAAAAGAAATGTGATAAAAATGTGAATGAACGTGGAAAGAAGCAGAAAGCGATGTGTAAAGTGTTGTCCAAAGCATGGGGCTAAAAAAGGACCTAACCATGACCACGTGCCACAGTCCTGGATCACCAAATCCCCAAATTGTTACAAAAGTCAAATTTTCATTTGCCCTACCTCATCAATCTAAACCTACTTTTTTTTAGATAAACAAATACTTTTGCAAAATAAATTATTCTATAAACTCGAATTAATTTACATATACGTTATAAATAAAAATTATATAATTTTGTTAGAAATTTTGTAAAATAATTTATTATTAGTTTTTATATATATCATGCCTTACATTACATAGCCGTATAAAATCACAATTTTCTTTTACAATTACTTCGCACACGCACATTGTTATCTCTAATATGCATTCACTTGTACTAATTTACCTATTTATCTTATGTTACATTATTTTATTAACATATCTAACACGTTAATGTTATTTTTTTATCTGATATTTAATTAATTTGATTAAAAAATATATTAACTCACTTAAGAAACAAGAACAATAATAATAAAATAAAAATTACAATAACGAGTAGTGATTAAACTTTACATTTATTATTAAATTCTAGTATTGAATGTAGTAGAAGATGACAATAGTGAGACGCCAGATGTCACGTGTGATCTATCTTAAGAAGTGTGCCCCTGTTTTGCTTATTATTAGTTTCATTTCAAATTCCAATGTCTGCATCTTATCTTAGTTCTGAGACACAAGTTCTATACCCTCTGTTTTCTTCCTCTTCTAAATTATTTTGTTTTGTTTTGCATTTTTCAATTTTTCATTTTCCTGTCCCTACTCTTCCTCTGTATGTGTGGCTTTCCTTGGTTTCACTTCACAACAATCAAATTGACTTTTGCTTTCCTTCATTTTCCTCAGCTTTCTCGCGAGCCAAAGTCACGTACTTGGTAAGAACTGAAAAGAGCTTATATGGTTGTCTTCTTCAAGCACTTGTTTGGTTGCTCAAAAAACAGATAAATAAAAACACTAACGAGAAAAACTCCCTTCAAAATATACAAGAAGAAAACCCCACTTGTCCATCTTCAGCGCTCACTTGAAAGTTTGAAGCTTTTGACGTTTTTTGTTAACTGAAGGAAAATTTTAAGTTTTATCCATTCCGTTTCCTGAAAAAAAAAAGAAAAAACTGAATTTTATCGGCTACTGGTGTTATTTTTCACTGGTATATTGAGCAAAAAAAGAAAAATTCACTCTTTTTTTAATAGGCTCTGCTTGGTCACCGGCCCTTGTGTTTGATCCTTCAGTAGAATTGGGCGAAGGTTTCTCCGAAAGTTATTTGGTTATGTTCTATGCAACCTATGTGGTTTTGGAATTGGTCTTTGTTCATACGGTTCCTCAACGCGCATTCAAATGCTAACATATGAATTGTTCTGCTTTTGCTCGGTACAGGTGGCTTCTATCAGTGTGAAGTGTAAGAAGATTTTGTCATGGTGAATACTGGAGCTGGTGCCCTTCTGAGGTATCGAAGGTTCGAGAGCTTCTTGAATACAAGATCTAGCCGAAGTGTGGAAGAAACTCCAAAATTTGTGGTGAAAGATGGACTGGGAGAAACGCCAAGGAATGATGTCTATACAGATGATGATGGTTGGGTTTCTGCAATCATATCTTGGATCAGAATTGTTACATGTTTTGTGTCTATGATGGTCACAACATTCATATGGGCATTGATCATGGTTGTGCTTATACCATGGCCCTATGAGAGGATTAGACAAGGAAACATTTATGGGCATGTGACTGGTAGAATGCTGGTAAGCTACCTTTAATATGTAGGTCAGCACAATTCTGGAGTGAATAGCTGTGAGAATTTGTTTTCTCCTTCAGACTGATTATTGTATTTGGGACGATGGAATGAAAACTACATGTTCTATTCTTTCTTTTTATTTTCTTTTTTGGAGTAGCATAGTTGCATGCTTTGAAATTTTTGGGGCAGCTTTACAAGTTTTGACTGATATCTTAAACATTGGATGCAGATGTGGATTCTTGGTAATCCTATAAAAATTGAAGGTGCTGAGTACTCTAATGAGAGGGCCATTTACATCAGTAATCATGCGTCTCCTATAGACATATTTCTTATAATGTGGTTGACTCCAACAGGCACTGTTGGCATTGCTAAGAAGGAGGTATGTTGTAATGCTCAAAATTAAAAATACTTTTCTTCTCCACTTGAATGCGTCATTACCAATATTGTCAGGATAAGCTAAGTAGTATCATGTACTATGGAAATTTTTTTACCTTCTTGGGACTCGTCTCTTTGGATCATTGTTCTGTGGTAGTGTGCTCACTTGAGATTGTATTTGTTCTTAACAAAGCTTATTACATGGAATTTATGTGCATCTCCTATCCATGAACAATGTACTTGGATGCTTGAAATATTCAATGTGTCATTATCATATATGCATTAGTACACTATGCAGCATTGATAACCATAATTATTTACATTAAATTTTCTAGTAAAAAAATGCATTCAAAGCTTCAGAAACTATGCAGATAATATGGTATCCTTTATTTGGGCAACTTTATGTTTTGGCCAACCATCTTCGTATAGATCGATCCAACCCAACTGCAGCTATCGAGTCCATGAAAGAGGTATATAACCTTTTTCCTGCATCATCTACTACCTCATTTTTGTATAAGGTTATAATTTTTAGTTGTAATGTTCAGGTAGCTCGTGCAGTTTTGGAAAAAAATCTGTCGCTGATCATTTTCCCTGAGGGTACCAGGTCTAAGAATGGACGACTACTTCCTTTCAAAAAAGTAATTATCTAGCCTCATCTTCTTTTCCATAAGATTCACTTGGAGCTACTTTGCCAGCTCAAACTCGGTTGGGGATTCTTCTTATCTTGACTTTGCACATCATCTACAATACAACTATATGATTCACTATTGTTATCTATGAGTTGGATGCAGATTATGAATATCATCATTTGTCACAGTATATGATGTATTTACTCATAGTAAGGCACATTTATATTAGTATCCGAATATTTTAAGGTTGTAGATATGAGAATAATCTGCAGAATGCATGAATTTTTTCTCTATAATTAGGTGGATATACAGAATGCATGAATTTAGTCTTGTTCATGTGCTGCAATAATTTTGGTTATGCTTCATATCCCATCATTCTTTCACTTTTCATGCAGGGTTTTGTTCATCTAGCACTGCAATCGCGCCTTCCAATTGTTCCAATGGTCCTGACAGGTACTCATCTAGCATGGAGAAAAGGCAGTTTACATGTTCGACCAGCACCTCTCACTGTCAAGTATCTTCCACCTATTAGTACTGAAAATTGGAAGGTTGACAAGATTGACGACTATGTCAAAATGATGCACAACATGTATGCTAAACACCTTCCTGAGACTCAGAGGCCTCTGCCTTGAAAAGACTCAGAATCAATTTTCAGCTGAGACAAATCTTCCATGTAGCTTGAGCGAGGTTCTTCCAAAAGGAAGCCTTGTTAACTGCAATATGCATAAATTGGTTTAACAAATTAAATAGCTAAATCCATGCAATAAGCTTAGCTAGCATGTCTAATTTATTCTCACCCTCTCATACTCATCCCTCATAAAACTCACTCGTCAATGTTGACCTTTTGGTCATTCGGTGATACTTGTATAGAGTTCAAAATTTGTTGAGGAATGCAAGCATCACACTATTTAACATTTTCATCGTTGTGAATTTCATGTGTCCTACAGAACAGAACGTGTCATGCTACTTAGAGAGACTTCAAAAAAATCATGTAATGATAAAGAATGTATTTAGAAAAATGAGTACTTAAAGGAAGTATTGGTGCTTTTTTTGGTGATAGAATCACGTGTCCTTTCAGTTCATGTGGAGCACAAAGTAATGCGAAAGTTGTTGGTCTTTCGAGAGGATTTAGAGTGGTGAAACACAATATATCACATTCAAAACTTACCGATTCGATGGTTCCGAACGTAATAATAATTTTACAAAAAAAGACAAAACATAACATTAAATTCACCAGAAAAACACTGATGTGGTTGGTGCTGCAGTACATTCTTATCAGACACCCCTTAATTAGTTTGGTTAACTTTATATGTAACATATCATATGTATGTACCTTGTAATAAATTGCTAAAATCGTGTATTAGAGTATTGGCTATGACTATAAATCTAATCACTTATATCAAATAAACATCTTAAAGTGGTTCATAAAAGATTTATGGAAATTTAAAACCATTCCTTGTTTTAACTTTGTTGCCCATTTGGGTTTGCTTCCTTTAAATGCAAAAACAACTTTTTTACTAGTTTATGAATTGTGTATTACATTTACACCTAACTCTCTCTTTAATCTACCCATTCTTGGAATTTATCTCATTCAGTTCCATTTTCCTATTTAGGAAGATGGGTATTGTAGAGTAATACGAAATGGTCGATGTAGTTTTTAAATGTTTAGTTCTTCTTCCGGAAGAGTTAATTTTTGAAGATGAGAGTTTTCCAAATGCAGAGTAGCTGGTTGTTGGTGATTTAAGACATGTTATAAATTTTAATATAAATTTAGATATTTTACTTATAATATTTAACTGTTATTTAAGACATGATAGGTGAGAAAAAAAGAAATTTTGATTTCCATTAATTTAGTTTTATTTTGTAATTTTTAAAAATAATTTTAAAGATCAATTTTTGAAAAATTTATTTAATAACTTTATTTTTTAAAACTAGAGAATATATAAATAATCATGAAAAGACGTAACTGTGTGTATTTATTCATTTATGATTCTATAAATAATAATTATAATATTTATAAATAATTATTATTCCTATTTACAAATATTTATTATCTTTTATATATAGAGGGAGTATGTAATTGAAGAAAATAAAAAATTTATGATTTTTCAGGTTTATTATTAGAAAAATAAATTAATATAATTTTGGAGATAAAATCTTTTTTTATTTATATCTTCACTAATTGGCCAATAAACATTAATTTTAGTAATATAAGCTATTTATAATTTGAAATTGAAAATTGATATAACATAATTATCATCATAATTTATTTTAATACACTTGATTTATTTATAGAATATCGAAATTGTAACAATTTAAATAACACTTGTAATGTCACTGTAAATAGGTGTGTTGAATATATTGGAGGAAATCCAAATTTAGTCAATAGATCACGAAATCAAATTATTTCATAACAAACATTATACATGGTGTGATACTATAATAGAGTAGGTGATTTAGAAAATTGAAAAATGATTTTAACAATTTTATGAGATAAAAATAAGTGTTTTTTATATAATTATGAGTGGAATTAGTGGTATTTATTAATATATCTTATATTTGATTATTTGTATTGTGTAGTGAAAGTTAATAGAGTGATTTTCAAGTAAAATATACTTTTTTTTTTAATGTTGAGTCTTTTAAAAGAGATTTATCATATATATAAAGGATTAATATCATCTTTAATAAAAAGATTGACATTATTTTTAACCAAAAAAAATTAAGGATATGTTTGTCTAACTTTTCATCAAAAATCATTTTGATACAATGACCGCTCTTATAAAATTGACTACCAAGACAAACATTCGACTCTAATATTATTGTTGGGTGTTTTGAAGAAATTCACTAAAAAGAAATAACACAAATCAGTCATGATCCTAATCAATATAAAAGATTTACATCATTTTTAACAATTTTTATTTTTATTTTTTTACTTAATGTTATACTTAGACTCAGCTTAGATTTTGTAATCTTGTAAATAATGTATTGAATTTGATATTTTAAAACAAAACTTTATTTATATTAAATTGATATTGAGGAAAATATTAGTAATAAAAGTTAAATGAGATATTTTTAACTTAAAACTAAGTATAATATAATAAGTCATTAGATTAATTAATTCTACAATATAAGCATTTCAATTATATATATATATATATATATATATATATATATATATATATATATTTTTGTGGAAATATTCATTTAAAAATATATAAAATGATAAATAAACATATTTGAGTTCAATTCAACTGTATAAAATTCAAGCATATAAATCTTTTAAAAGTATAGTGAAATGTTTATATATACATGAACGTGATCACATTAAAAAAATATATTAATTGAGAGTTAGACGTTTGATTTCTTATTTCTGTTTGGTTCATTCAATGAAATTTAAGAAGATTATGTGATATTTATTTCATGAAAAATCCAATACTGGCTTATTATATTTTGTTTGGTGTAAACAAATTATATTTTAGGTATTCAGTCCCAATATTAAATAATAGGATGAATGTCTTAGATAATCAATCCCAACAACACTAAGATGCAAGACGGAGAGGGCAATAGAAATTTATAAAATTATTTTTTTAATATTTATTATGAAGTATGTATTTTGGATGGATAAGTATAGCTATATTCTTTTTTAATACTTAAATATATTGTATAAATATTAAAAATATTTATATTTTTTTAGATTTATGTTGTAATTTAAATGTTGTGGGGTTGAAAAAAATATTAATTTTATTAAGGACTAAACGAGAAAAAATATTTTTTGAAAATCATATAAATTTTTAAGATAAAAAAATATTTAAATATTTGTGTTATTTATAATGTTTACCTATAACAAATGGGAATGACCGATAATTTTAAAATTTTACCTTTTTTTTTAGCCAGAATTCTTACCTAATATCTTCCGGTGTTCCAGTTTTTATCTGCGGACAATTTATACATAAACAAACATAACATAAATTAAACTCAAATTAGTAAAAAAGAAAAAAACTATTTTTGACAAATTTAAGAATCTGAATCTGGATAAGGTTAAGTCAAAATTATCTCATATTGTATAAATAATGAAGACACAACTTTCTTCTGTATGAAATATGAAAGAGAAAAACATTAAAAAAAAAACAATAAACTACTTAATTTAACTTATAATGTTTAAGAAAAGAGTTGTGATTATAAATTGCAACTCATTTTTTCGTGAGTTAAGGGTTGGAGTGTAAATAGAAGTTAAAAATTCGCCTGAACGAAAACGAGAAAATTAAATAATTTACAAATAAAAATGATTTATAATCTAATTTTTTAAAATTTAGATTAAAAAATGAGTCATGACCAGGATATTGAGATTGTGTATAAAACTAACAAACTTACATAGTAGACAAAATTGATTATTGTCAAATTTGTTTATTTGATGATATGATAAATTGATAAATCATGTTTTCCTTAACAATGTTTTGAACGAGGGAGAGATATTGTTATGGCTTGAACGAATGAAGTGGCGATTTTCTCTCTGTCATCACAAACTAGTTATGCACTCACCAACTGCTTGTACATTCCACCATTCATCTCTGTTCCAAACCCTCCTCACAAAAACAGGTTTTTTCTTTTTATTTTTTTTTCTTTTCTTTCTATTTTTCTCTCACTATTCATATTGGCTTATGTCAATTTTTTTTTTCTTCCTCGGACTTCCATGTTACATTGAAGGCATTTCTTCGGTTTCATAACTTTCTGTTTTATTCAAAGCATTTTTGGTTACATTATATAATTGGGTTTGATACTTTTCCATGTTATACAAATAAAGTTTCCATTTTGACGAGTATGTTTCCAACTTTCTCTTTGTGTAGTAATAGCCCTGTGCGAAATGTGAAGCTTGTATTTGTGGGCCAGCTTTGTGTGAAGCTTTTGGCTTTCGGGCCGTTGGAGAAGTAGAAAGGGTGAATTGGATTGAATTAGTTGTTTGTAGTTTGGGGCAAGGATACAGTGAATTGAGATGAGTGGAGTGGGAATTGATATTGGAAATGAGAATTGTGTGATTGCTGCAGTGAAGCAAGGTAGGATTGATGTTTTATTGAATGATGAATCCAAACGTGAAACCCCTGCGGTGGTTTGCTTTGGGGAGAAGCAAAGGTTTTTAGGCTCAGCTGGTGCTGCTTCTGCTATGATGCACCCCAAGTCCGCAATATCTCAAGTGAAGAGACTAATAGGTAGGAGATATGCGGACCCTGATGTTCAAAATGAGTTGAAAATGCTCCCTGTTGAAACCTCGGAAAGTACAGATGGTGGCATTCTAATGCACTTGAAATACTTGAAGGAGAGTTATGTGTTTACCCCGGTTCAAATAGTAGCAATGCTCTTTGCACACTTGAAGACTATGGCTGAAAAATATTTTGGGACCACTTTTTCTGACTGTGTTATTGGGGTTCCATCGTACTTCACCAACTTGCAGAGACAAGCTTATCTCAACGCAGCAGCAATTGCAGGGTTGAAGCCTTTGAGGTTGATCCATGATTGCACTGCAACTGCTCTTAGTTTTGGAGTTTACAAAACAGATTTTGCTAGTGAAGCTCCTATTTATGTTGCATTTGTTGACATTGGTCATTGTGACACTCAGGTTTCTATTGCAGCTTTTCAGGCTGGTCAAATGAAGATACTCTCGCATGCTTATGACTGGAGTTTAGGGGGGAGAGACTTTGATGAGGTTCTATTTAGTCATTTTGCTGCAAAATTTAATGAACAGTACAACATCGAAGTGTATTCTAATGTCAGGGCATGTAGGAGGCTGCGTGTAGCATGTGAGAAGTTGAAGAGGGTTTTAAGTGCAAATCCAGAGGGTGATCTAAGCATTGAGTGCTTGATGGATGAAAAAGATGTTAAGGGATCTATCACAAGGGAAGAATTTGAGAATTTGGCATCAGGATTATTGGAGAGAATTAATGGTCCTTGCAACAAAGCATTGGCTGATGCAGCCTTGACAGTAGAAAAGATTAATTCTGTTGAATTAGTTGGTTCAGGTTCACGGATTCCAGCTATAACTATAAAATTAACTTCTCTATTTAAGAGAGAAGTCAGCCGCAGATTGAATGCAAGTGAGTGTGTAGCTCGTGGTTGTGCTCTCCAGTGTGCAATGCTCAGTCCTTCTTTCCGTGTCAAAGAATATAAGGTTTGAATATTGAAACAAAACACTGATCCACATCCTATCTTCACCATATGTATATATGTAGGAGAGTAGACTATTGTGTCTGTGGATTGTTAGATTTGAAATGAATAAATAATAAATGACCCAAGTTGTTACCTTAGGTTGTAGGTTTATTTTCTGTATTTGGATTGTCCATATCTCTTTTATCTATCTAAGTTGAAATATATATAACTTTAATTTCTCATAGATATCATTTTTAGTTTCAGAATTTTGCATTAGTTTGTATTACTCTCTGTAGAGTTAATGTAATTTCTTTTGTTTGTTCAGGTCCAGGATTCTATTCCTTTTTCCATTGGACTTTCTTCTGATAGAAAGCCAATTCGTTCAGTATTGGATAGTGTACTCTTCCCAAAAGGCCAACCCATTCCAAGTGTTAAAATTCTCACATTTCAGTACAGTGATTTGCTCCGTTTGGAAGCCTTCTATGTCAATCCAGATGAATTACCACCCGGAACTTCTCCTCAAATTAGTTGCTTCACAGTATGCCTGCTTTACAACTTTACTACGTTGTGAAGGAGTTTAGATCATCTTGTTCATGATTCCATGTTATCTATATCCTCCCACTTTTCTTTATTGATTATTACCCTCTCTGTTCTTGCTTCTTCTGTTTTATGCTTCATGAAAGACACATGACATAGTCTCTACAAGGTTATTCGTCTTCTAAATTTTACTGGTTTGTATTTTTAATTCTACAGAAAAAAGTAGTATATACTAAATAGTAATCATGATCACAATCTGCAGCTTTTACTTTTGAGACCATACCGTACCATTAGTTACATGGCCTTGGGTCCATCATACAATATGCAAGGAGATTGAGGAAGATGTAAACCATAAGATTCAAGCACAGTAGATGAAATGGAGGAGTGCTTTATGAAATCAGTGGTAGTTTATGATTGGAAAGTACAACTTGAGCTTAAACTAAAATTTTACTGCACAACTATAAAACCTGCACAGTTGAAGTCTTTTAAATATTTGTAATTAGTTGATGAGAGATTTGACAATTAAGATTTTAATAACTTTAAAGTTTGTTATGCATGTGTGTGTATCTTATTATCATAATTTCAACCATTGATTCTTTAATCAATGGTTATAAATGCACATTATTCTTTAAGATGCATTCCCTCACTTTAGAGGGATCAAATCCAAGACCTGCAATGTTGTACAAAGTTGAATGTTGAGTGGTAAAAAGCTGACAAGAAAAAAATCAATATTGCCATGTCAAGAATGCTATGATGGATGGGTAGACTCACAAGATATGATTGCATTAGAAAGTTAAGCACCATATATCGGAGAAAATTTGGTAGAATCATGCCTTAAGTGGTTTTGGCACACAAGAAGACTTGTAGAAGGTCAAGTAAGGGTAGTGAACCAGATCAAACATAGTCCATTCATCATAGGTGTTAAGAGATGAAGAATTAAGAAAGATTTAGATTTAAATGGTTTGTTTACAGGCATTATTTGTGTTATGACATTACGGTGGTGTTTGATCCACTCACCCAACCCCACCTTGTCGTAAAAGGCTACTGTGTTTGTTGTTGAATCTTAGACAATGCAATAGACACCTTCCCCTTTGTTGAAGGAGAAAAAGACTTCATTAGTAAAAGGCCATCCTAAACATCGTTTGTTCTTATCTCAAAGTCATAGTTGTAAAAGTATTAGTAGGTATAGCAATATGAGAATCTGAAGATGTGTACATGCTTGAACAAATCTCCATGTTCGTAGGAGAAGGGGAAATAGATATGGTGGATCTAACACCACCCATATATCTACTTTCCAAGTTTCTCAAATGGAGAGAAATGACTATATTTAATTGACAATTTGCCAACATTTGCTTGTCTATTTTATGACAGTAAACATCTAATATTACAGGACAATGAAGTTATAACAAATAGTTGAGATACTGTCATTTCTTATGCAGGTGATTATGAAATGTTATGTATGCTTATGCATTTGTTTGTTTTTTTATTCAGATTGGTCCTTTCCATGGAGCCCGTGGAAGTAAGTCAAGAATCAAAGTTCATGTTCAACTAAATTTGCATGGCATTATCGGTATTGAATCAGTTACAGTAAGAAACATCACTTTATATCTCCATATTCCATTATTAGTTTCTTAGAGATCTTTCGATGCACATGGTGGACCATTTTTGTTTTTCAGTTGGATGAAGATCATGTGAATGATTCAGTTACAACAGATGGTTCTCATTCAAATTCTGAAACAATCAATATTAAACCTGTTTCTGAGACTATTGAAAATGCCTCAGAAGATAGTATCAATAAAAAGTGTGAAGCTCCATGTCATTCTGTAAGTACTGTCATGTAGCTTGCTCTCCTCCCTGCACACCTTTTTTTAGTGGAAGATATCAAAGTATTAGAGATTTCTAGCAAATTGTCCTTAAAGCATGAAAATTTTATTATCTGATTATTTCCTATAGTGAATTCTTTACCATATCGGTCAGCTCTTGCAATTCACTTTTATAATGTCTGTGATGTTTTATCTGTACATTTTTATCTTGTTGAGATTGTTTTGATTGCAGATATGATTCATGTTGGTGTTTTGAGAATAAAAGTGTTACTATCATGCCTTGTTACAGGCTGATGGTACAAGAAAAGATAAAGCTAACAGAAGGCTTCAAGTGCCAGTGAGTGAAAACATTTATGGTGGAATGACCAAGGCTGAGATATTGGAAGCTCAAGAAAAAGAACTCCAGTTAGCCGATCAAGACAGAACTATTGAGCTAACCAAAGACAGGAAGAATTTGTTGGAGTCTTTTATTTATGAAACAAGGAGTAAGGTACACATTCAATATCTGAATGATATGTTGCATGGTGGGTTTATGAGATTCTTACATTGTATGAGTCTGTTTGGACAAACTTTTTTATAAGGACTTTTACAAGAGAAAAACTGGAAGGAAAAATGAAATTAGTTTCTATATAAGGTAAAATTAGCTTATAAATAAGCTAATTTCAACTTATAGAGAAGTTCATTTTATTTTTCTTATTTGAAGTTCGTATAGAGAAATTTGTCCAAATAAACGACTGATTTTGCAGTCACACATTTCTTCTGCTATAATAGATAATTGTCCACCGATTGGTCCTTTTTTTTTTTTCTTCATTATATTCATATCTTTAACACGAGGTTCTCTTTCTTAAAAAACTAGAGCTTTAGCTTTAGCCATGTAAAATGAAAGTATTAAATTTATGAAATGAGATAAAGTGGTAAAATCATTGATGAATTGGTTTTCAATGGCTTCCGTACGTCATGACTCATGAGTAAATGGAACGTAAAACTTTGTCAACACGAGCATAAAATCTGCATAGGATATGAAATTGAAGTTTTAATTCTTATGTCTTTTTTTACCATTGGTTTTATAAAAGGCTCTTTTTTTTTTTTAATTATTTGGATGCATGAATAGATATTCAGCACATATCTAAGCTTTTCTAGTGAACAAGAGAGGAAAGACATATCTAGGAGCCTGAAAGAGACCGAGGATTGGCTTTATGATGATGGAGATGATGAAACTGTAGATGCTTATTCTGCAAAACTGAAAGATCTAAAACAGGTTAGTTTTGTCTCATTTTGCTAGATAAATTTCCCACGCCACTCTTCTTGTTTACATTGTTTGTCTTCTGTAGCTGGTGGATCCAATTGAGTATCGATATAACGACACAGAAGCGAGACCACAAGCTACAAGAGATTTGTTAAGTTGCATTGTAGAGTATCGAATGTCAGCAGATTCTCTTCCACCCCAAGATAAAGAACAGGTACAATAATAAATAGATGGATGAATATAATTGTGGGATGTTGCCTTGCCCTTAGTATCAGCTTTTGATTGACAACTTTATTCTTTTCAGATCATAAATGAGTGCAGTAAAGCAGAGCAGTGGCTAAGAGAGATGATGCAACAACAAGATCTTTACCCGAAAAACTTTGATCCAGTATTGTTGTCAAGTGATATCAAGAGCAAGACAGAGGATTTAAATTCGTATGGTTTTCACGTTTATATTTTTCTTTTCAGAGGTGGATAATTTTGTAGGGTACTATGATCATTCAAATGGGTCTAAATTATACACTTGTTGATGCAAAGCATTGTTGATTTGCTCCAGTTTAATCCGATTGTCACTAGATACATGATTTTATCTCAAAACTAACAAGTGTTCTATTTTGATGGATTTCAGAGTATGCCAACAGATATTGAGATTCAAGGGTTCTCCAATTCCAACAGAGGGTGAAGAAGACAAGAAGAATACATCTAATCATCAATGAAGATAATGATGTGGTGGTAACACTTGTTCCCCGCGTGGGGAGTTGAAGAGATAAATCTAAATACAGGGGAGATCTTCGGCAATATCTGGTTCAATCTGCTTTCATTATTTCATTTTGGGCCACCTACTGAAGGCATCAAATGATTTAATCTTGATATTTGATCGAACTCTTCAAATTGGTCCTGTTCCATGGATTAAATATGTGTGAACAATGGTTATAGTTTTCTTAAGATGCACGTGGTATTAGGGGTAACTGAGTTTGCATTTTGCATCATCAGGATAGCGTAATTTGCAAGTGCTAGTTCACGCTAATGTTTCCTATCGTGAATATTGAAGGCTTTGACTAAATTGTTCGTCTTTACAACATTTATTATTGCCAAAACTACAGTGTTTTCCGTTTTTAATTATAAAGGTTATGAAGATTCCTTTCAATTAAATCCGTTATAATTCCCATTTTTTGAATATGTACCCGTATGCAAATCTCGCGTTCGTAATTGAAGTTCCTACACAAATATTTCATTTGTGCCACTACCCCAAATGGAGTCATTAAACAAAAACAGCAATCAGAAAAACCAAAATAGCAGGCGGAGCATCTCGCATATCCCACTCGATACAGGGAAGAAAATTCTATAATTTCTATCGTTCATTTATTATCTTTCATCCGCAAATACAAGAAATTATGCATAATTAACAAGGCAAGGAGCATAAGCATAAAAACAACCAAGTGGAATCGAAACATTATTGTGGATCCCAATTGAATCATCTAAATCTACATTTTCATGGTGACCCAGGACCTTAGGTTCGTTTGCACTGTACAGAACCAATTGCATAAGCTCACAATATATACTTGCATCAAAACTCACTATGCAACAATGCCCTGCATACTGGATTTCTCTAAATTCCTTGTCCCCATCCAAAATATGATAAGGGAAACTTAGGGCAACTAAACAGAATTGAGCCTATAGGGATGCTAGTCATACGATTCACAAGTAAATTAAGGGACGTGGATCAGGCGGGGAATCAAGTGTTCAGTTTCTCTTCTTGGGTTTTGTCGTCTTCGAAACAGTTTTCTTTTTTGATCTCTTGGATCCGGCTCCACTCTCCTGTAAGCATCAAAGTCATTCAGTCCTACATCACAACCAAAAGGACAACAAAACTACAGAATGGTATGCAAGTAGGTGTACCTTCCGATATAGTCTGTAAGCATCCCGGCCTGTCAACTCCTTGCCATTTTTGTTGACATACACCTGCAGCGGGGAAATAAAAAAGTCACGTCCTGATAGATTGATACAACGTGACAAAATAGATTAGCTGGAAAAAGGTTTAAAAGTATTTCTCAATTTTTTAAATTTTGGTCCTTGTACTAAAAGTTTGATTTGAGGTCATATAATTTCGATACTAGGAACCAATTCCTGGTGATTTTGAAACTACGTAGACTCAAACCAAATTTATAAAGTATAAAGATCAAAACAAAATTGAGAAATTAAAGGTATCAAAACGTGCACAAATGTTTTAAGTATTAACCGTGAAATGGATATTCTAGACAGCTATACGAAGCATTGCAAGAATGACTACGAAGTGAGTAAAGTCCAGTACGACTTTGCTATTCTGTTTTCGTCACTAGACTGGACTAAAAGATATAATTCAGAGAATAACAGGAGATTCAAGACAACTATATCAAGAATTGAAAGAACAACTACAAGATGAGTAAGTTACAGCAGCATTTGCAATATCAGTATATGCTCATGGCTGGAAGACAATTCAGTGATAAATTGCAAGTAAAAGCAAAAAATCCACACTCTGGTTATAAGAACTTCATGTCTTTAGTTTCTATTATGAGATGTAAAACACTGATGTTCTATAACGACATGAAATTCTATGATACAGTTTGCTACAAAATTAATACATAGGCCCTAGCAGCAAAACTTGAGACTACAAGAGATATTTAGAACAGTACTGATATTATTATGAAATACAAATATTGAAATGGGAGAGCTACAGATAGAAATATTTTTTTTACGGTCCAAGGACGTGAGTTGTGTGTGCCTGCAACCAAATCAGACGCTGTGTGTGGTGCAGTTTAGTGAGAGTGCATTTTTTCAACGAAGTTGAATGAGTGGTGTCTTGGTTTGTGGTGTAGCATGGCTGATATGGGTGGGATGATACAAGGGGGTCTACCTATCTTTGATGGTAGCATGTTCAACGATTGGAAGATTAAGATGAATGCGATCTTCATCTTTCAAGATGTGGCTGAAGTTGTTGAACATGGTGTTTCACCACTGGGTGCGAGGGCTACTGAGGATGATAAGAAGGCTTACAAGATTCAACAAAAGTTAGATGGCAAGGCAAGGTACTTGATCTATCAATGTGTTAGTTCACCGATCTTTAATAGGATTTCCATGGCGGGCACAGCCAAAGAAGCGTGGGATATCTTGGTGGCTACGTATGGTGCGGGGGATAAACATAAGAAAGTGAAGTTACAGGCTCTGAGAAGGCAATTTGAGTTCTTCATCATGGAAGAAAGTGATTCGGTGGTTGGGTTCCTCAACAAGGTTCAAGAACTTGTTAATGGCATGCGTTCTTGCGGTGACAAAGTGTCTGAGCAGAATATCGTGAACAAGGTTTTGCGGTCACTTCCTCCAAGATTTGATCATCTTGTAATTACTATTGAAGAGACGAAAGATCTGGATGCCCTGACCTTTCAGGAGCTGCAACATTCGCTCGAAGCTCATGAGTTGCGGATGTCTGAGCGGAGATCCTATCAAGAGCAAGTTCTTCATGCAAGAACAAATGGAAAGCAGAAAAGAGATTCCAAGAAAGGAACTAAGACAAAGAAGAAGGGAGATTCAGATGAGCAGAAGTACAAAGACCAGAAACAAAATTCTGGAGAAGATAAAGAGAAGAAGTATGACAAGAAAAAAGTCAAGTGCTATAACTGCCAAAAATTCGGGCATTATGCACGAGACTGCTGTGATGGTGACGGAGCCAAGAACAGACCAAAGAAGAATGCGCGAGTTCATCTTGCAGAGGAAGAAAATTCTGATGAAGAGGCTGTCATGTTGATGGCGGAGACAGATGCGAAGCTCAACGGTGAAAATTTGTGGTACTTGGACTCTAGGTGCTCCACGCACATGACCGGGAAGAAAGATTGGTTCGTGCAAATAAGTGATATAAGTCAAGAAAAGATACGTTTCGCAGATAATAATTCTCTCACAGCAAAAGGAACTGGTAGAGTTGTGTTGCGAAACAGTGATGGCAAGGACGTGATAATTGAAAATGTTCTATATGTTCCCGGGTTGAAATCAAACCTTCTGAGCTTGGGCCAGTTGATGCAAAGAGGTTTCAAGATGACACTTGAAGATAGTTCTTTACGTGTATTTGATCAAACCCAGAAGCTGGTCATACATGCCGGTTTGTCCTCCAATAGAACCTTTCAGGTTAAGATGGATGTTTTGAAGCACCAGTGTTTTGCTGCTGTCAGTGACAAGTGCGAATGGCTGTGGCATCTCAGATCTGGACATCTTAACTTTCGGGACTTGAGAGAACTTGGACAGAAGAAAATGGTAGTTGGTATTCCTCATATGTGTGTTCCAGACGAAGTAAGTAGAGAGTGTATGGAGTGCAAGCAAACGCGGAACAAATTCAGTAAAGAAGTATCATCGAAAACTTCGGAGAAACTTGAGCTAATACATTCAGATATTTGCGGTCCATTGCCGGTTGAAACACCTGGGGGCAACAAGTATTTTATTACTTTCACAGATGATTACACGAGAATGTTATGGGTGTATTGCTTGCGAAAGAAGAGTGAAGCGTTTAAAGTGTTTGTGCGGTTCAAAACACTGGTTGAAAATCAGTGTGGCAAGCAGTTGAAGAGACTTCGTGTTGATGGTGGGGGAGAATTCAACTCTCTTGAATTCAAGAATTTTTGTACTGAAAATGGTATAGCTCATGAGGCAACACCACCATATACGCCACAACATAATGGTACTGCAGAAAGGAGGAATCGGACTCTACTTAATATGGTAAGGTGCATGCTTAAAAGTAAGGGCGTTCCAAAATATCTCTGGGGAGAAGCGGTTTCAACTGCTGCCTATGTTTTGAATCGCTCACCAACAAAGAAGCTTGATGGTATAACACCAGAGGAAGTCTAGTCTGGTCAGAAACCAGATGTAACTCATATGAGAGTTTTTGGATCTCTTTGTTATCACCGCATTCCAGATCAAACACGTAGCAAACTTGATGACAAAGGTGCTATGGCAGTCTTGATTGGCTATCACGTAACAGGCGGCTATAAATTGTTTGATCCAAACTCTCGAAAGGTAATCATATGCAGAGATGTGGTGGTTGATGAAGGCTCGTGTTGGAACTGGCAGGAAACGAGTCAAATAACTCAATCAGGTACAACGCCAACAATTTCACTAACTGATAATGTCGTAGGTGATGTAACAGTGCAGCAAGAACCTCATGAACAAACAAGAAGATCACAGCGAGTTACTCAGCCACCTACACGTTTCAAGGATTATGAGGTTTTCAATGATCTAGCGGTAACGGAGAATGGAAATTTTGTGCATTTCGCCCTGATACCATGAAATGGGAGAGCTACAGATAGAAAATGAAGTACATTCCATATTATTGATGTATAAAAACTGTAATGTTTATATACAGTAGAAATAACAGAGTAGAACAGAGAACGTGAACAAAACAAAAAAAAAAAAACTGAAAGAAACTCATGCACGTAATGCATGCCCCATGCACGTAATACCCATACACGTAACTACCCATCATGCATTTTGACTTAAATCTCAACAAATATAACGTACATAATATGCATATGGATCATGCATCATCGCAACTATATAAATCTAAAGTAACATCCTGTATGGGCTTTTAGCAGTACAGTTTACACAACATTAGAGAACAGCTGACATATCTTCCAATGACGATCATCTAACATGACAAACGTAAATAAAGTTAACCAGTTAATGCTTAGTATTATTAAACTTGAATTTTGAGGATTTTTCTCATACCTTTCTTCCTTCTGGAGATGTATACCAATGACCAGCGGATTGACCACTTGCTTGGACACGCCTTTTGCCAGCATCCTTTGGCAAACTGGTACAGCTCTTAGGTTCCACCCAATCCCCGGAAGCACACGATTGGTTTGCAGGGTTTGATTTGTTAGCTTTACTTTTACCTTTTGAGACACTATTCTTAGTGTTATTCCTCTTTGTTGCTTTCTTTCTAGAAGATTGTCCATGGCTAAATGGAGAAACATTTTTGGGATCCACCCAGCCTCCAGAAGTATTAAAAGATCCCTCAACAATCAAATTACTTGACTTGTTTTTCCCCCTTGTTGAGCTGTTTATGCAACCATTTTGAACTCCCTGCATGTTTGAAGCTCTTCCATTGCCAAATTGCCCCCTAAAATAAAAATGCACCAGAAAACAATGTAATACAAAACGACAACCATTTCCTTTTTAAATCATTACCAATGATTAATTAAAAATGAGCACGAGCTACAACTTACATGTAATCAATGTGTGAGGCATCAGGTTGCTGATTCACTCGGTTTCTGGTACCCAATGGATTAAAATTCCGCAAGCGACTGCGAACTAACTGCTGAATTCTTGGATCTTCATGGAAAAAATAACTATGAGCAGGATGAACAGGATCCACAGATTCCCATTGTTGTTGATTCCTCTGACAGCTGGAACTGACCCCAGGATAATTTTCACTGTGACTTTCATAGACATTACCCCGCACTTCCTTGCAGTTATCAGAACGAAAGTACTCTTCACACAACTCATTAAAAGCTGGTGTTGGCACAGAAACATTCTTCACCGGCAAAAAGTCCCTCCATAAATCCTCGTTTCTGTTTTCATCAAAAGATGTTTTCTTGTTTTTTCCTAAATGATTGCTAGGGTTAACTGTATTTGCCTCGCCAACATCAACATCAGAATCCGAATCAATTAATTGGAACCTAGGAACAGAAACATTCTTCACGGGCGAAAAATCCTTCCACAGATCCTCATTTCCGTTCTCATCAAACGATGCTGTCTTATCTTGTTCTAAATGATTATTACAGTTGACACCACCACTAACATCAACATCGGAATCATCGGAATCAAGTAACTGAAACCTACGGAGAGGACTGGTCGTTAATTTGGGAAACATCAAGCCGCTCTTCCCTGTCTCTAACCTGGCAGAAGCAGGAACATGATCCGAAGGTTCCTTTCTTTTCCCATGCCTAGAGGAGTTACTACTCCAATGAGGGGTTAAACTCAAAACTCCACTACCATTCAACGAAACTTTTGAGCTGCTAGTCCATGCCGATGGAAGCGAACGTACTACTAAAAAATATTACAGCAGAAAAAAAAATAGTACGAAAAGAGAAAATAATATTATTTAAAATTGAGAAGCGGAGAGGAAAAAAAAAAGGTGTTAGCTAACCTTACCTTGATTGGGATCTTCCTGCGAGGAGAACTCCTCGATGTCATCCTCGGCATCGGCGTCGAGAGACGTCGGAGGGGGACCACGGCGGAGGCGTTTGAGAATGGGGCGCGGGGAGTTGGGCTGGATATCGGGATCGGAGTCGGAGACGTGAGCGGTGGGAGAAGGGGGAGGATTGATAGGGGAATGCGGGGGTGTGTCGAGACCAAGGGAAAATGAGGGCACTTCAGAGTTGGCCATGGAAATTGGAAGGGAAATTGAGAGAGAGAATGGAATTAAAGTTGAAGAAAATAAGGGTTTGAGGATTTGAATTTGGGGGAAAATGGAGGGAATTGAAATTTTCTGGTTGGCGGGTGCAGGAGTGAACGATGAAGTGTGGCGAAGAAGACTCTTCCAATTTCTCTCAACCCTTTCTTTTGTGTCCTAACACAGTTTTTTTTTTTTCTTTTAATTATTATTATTCCTTAAACATCGCAATATCATTAGATCAAGGTTCTTCATATTGAAATTTAGTTATTTTTAGTCTCTCAGTTTTATTTATTTGCTTTCATAAGCTCCTTTTATTCACATTTCCTTTAATATTTAAGTTGTTAATTGTATTTGGTAATAATTACCTAATCAATAATTATATAAATAATTTTAATTATGTACTTTAAAATAATCTGACTATTTTAACTTTAAATCCTTTTTAATCATCTTAATGTATATATTAATCATAATTACATAATATTAATATATTAATAAAACTTAAAATATCTTATTCGTGATTATTTTAATTAATATAACTATATTTTCTTTATTAATTAAAATTAACGAATTCAATTGGAAAAAATAAATTATATAATAATTACTACTAATTTTTTAATTATATATGATTGAAAATTACTTTAATTATCTCTATTAAAATATACATCCGTGGTTAATTCAAATAATTAGTCACATGTTTTTACGTATAAGAGTAAAAGGAAAAAATAGATCGATAATTCAACATCAGCAAACATCAATTCAATAATTTACTTATTAATAAATAATCCTTTTTAATTAATTTAATTTTAAATAATCATTTTATAAATATAATATGTTACACAGTAAAATCACGTAGATACTTGTCGATGGAATATATATAATTATTAAAAAATCATATTTGTTGTAATTTTTAGTTACGTGTTTAAAAATAATATAATTATTTTATTTTTAAATAGTCTTAATTTAATCTATATATAATCTTAATTATTTGTTGGTCATAATTTTTTTGGACAATTGCAATAATACTGTTTGAATTTACGGTGCAAACTACTCTAGTCTTCAACAATAAGCTGATTTCAATGGGTACATACATGCCATAATTATCTTATAGTAATTAAAATCAAACATTACGATACAGTTATTTTAATTAACATTTTATGTATTTTATGAAATATAAAGAAACTTTTATGATTACATGTTACTTGCGCTAATCTAAATATATTTTCTTAAAACAAATTAAATCAATAATTGAATTTTTATACATTTTTTGTACAGAGTACATTCATATGCATGCTCTAATAAGAGATAAATTACAAATGTTTTCATTATGACATCTTTAAAAGAATTTCATAAAAAAGAGTTATTTAAAAATAAAATAAAATAATTTATTATATGAATTACTTAAAACTTTATTAAAGTTATTTATATAAATAATTTTTTTAAATTTTAAATCACTTTTTTTACTTTTAAATAACTGAAAATAATCTATAATAAAATAATCAATTCTTGTTAGCAATTATGGATATGCTTTATTTGATAACATGTTATGTTCTTTGTTTCCACCAACGATGAAAAGCTTTTATTGTCGTGTAATTCAATAAGAAAGGTGAAAACGTTCCATAAGTCAGAACTTGTTTCAACAATTATAATCAGCAAACGAAAGAAAAACAATGCTGACTTCAATTTCATTGTTTTTCATTAGATAGGTGGAGGACACTAATTAGCAAAACGAACAAGAAAGGAGAAGGACAGAAAGCGAGGTTAACAGTCCCAGAACAAGTATGAAATTATATCTTTCTGTCCCAGAACGTCCTAAAATACAGTCTACAACAAATCCTAAACGAAATGATAGAAAATCAAAATCTGGAGTAGATAATGCTATCATCTATACTTTATGACAATTTTTTCCCTTTACATTTGTCCTCTGACTAGAATCGATACAAGTACAACACAAACTTACATGCTTCTCGTAATTTTTCTCAAGACCCTACCTAATGAAGTAAGGCTGGTAAACCCAGATTACGGAGCGAGCTATTTCCCCAGATATCCAGGATTTGCCGCATGTGGCACAAGGGAGTAAAAAGGGTATCTGCTTAAAGCTTAATATGAATGGTTATGAAGAACTGAAATAAGAACTAACATGAGGCAGAAAATGTGCAACTATTCATAACCCCTCTGCAATTCTGAGCAGATTACCCATAAGCAGCATATATTTGTACCTTGACAATCTAAAATGAACTGCTTTTCGTCAATCATTCATCAATTATACAGGTTGGCAATCTGTGCAATGCCTATGCCCTTGACTAAATCTTCTGTTTAAGAACATGGCGCAACTGAACCTTCTGGCTTTCCATTCTAGCCTCCAAAAGTCTGGCTTTCAAACTATTCTTCTGCGCACCACGAGGAATGCATCCTTTCATACCACCTCTATGTCCATGTGGACTTCCAGAGTCAGGACTCAACTGGTATAGAATGTCTTGGGGGCTCAATCCACCCTTACCTGATCCATGATCAGGAGACACGATGACCCCATTAGATAACCTTCCATTTGAAAGCCTCCCATTCATTTCGTCCACGGAGATTATCTTGTAATTATCCCCATTGTTTGGGTATGACCTCCAAAGCCTTGTTATGGATGATACCTTCTTTGATTGCTTAGTTGGTATAGAGCACACTTCACTTATTTCAGTTATTGGTGTCTCCTCACCTGCGGTTTCTTCCCATTCAAGTACACTTCTCCCTGATACATTACTCTCTCGATGATTCCTGTTCAAAGATAGGGTACTTCCTTCTGGTGAATAACTTGAGCCTTGATCCTCAACATGGCTCACAGTTTCCCATCCACTTTCATCACCTTCTACATCCCCGTTATCATCCATAAATACATCAGAACGCCTCTGAATGCCATCTTTAGTTATTGCATTGGCTTCCGGACTCACCATGTGAATATTCGAGGCATGACTAGCAGGACTGTGAGAAGCACATGGTTCAATCTCCCTCTCATTCGCCTCACCAAAATTTGCTCCTTCAAAAATGGCAAAAATGTCATCAGAGTTAGGTGGTTCGTATGAAAATCCCTTGATGTCTTGAATGTTAATCGCAGCTGCAGCCTGTTGAAGTGACTCTGCCTCTCTCATCTCTGTTGTGTTCGGCTCTGCACTTCTTGACTTGATATAGCTTTCCAAATCTGCAACAAGTTTATTCATCTGCGAATACTTATCTTCAAGAGCAACTTTTGCATCTATCAACTTCATTTGAACACGTTCTTCACGCCATACTTCTGCCATCTGTAACATCTTCCTCTCCTCTTCTACTTCTTCCCTATGTTTCATAGATTCCCTCTTCAATGCTTCAACTTCAGCTTTGTCTTCTCCAATTTCCTTGGCAAGCTCATCACATACTTCCTCAATCAATTCTCTGGCTTTCTTTTCCTTCTCATAATCTTGCATGTAGCGCTTGGCAGAAAGTTTAGCATCTGCCAACTCATTTACCAACCTTGAATTGACAATTTCAATCCTCTGGCGATTTTTCCTTTCTCGATTCAACTCTGCTTTAATGTCATCAATGTATGCTCGGATTTTCTCATGCTCTCTGCTTTTCCATTGCGCCCTTTCCTCACTGACTTTCTTCAGGAAATGTTCAAGCTTCTTTTTGGAGGAGCGGTGTTCAGACTCAAGCTCCTGAATTCTAGTTCGAGCCTGCTCTAGTTCAGCTCCGAGAGCAGATACAACAGATACTGCACTTGCCTTTTGGTCAAGAAGTTTCATGTGGCTGTAGATATGCTGCGCCTCATCTGATGTTTTTAAACATAAAGGATCCCATTTTGTTGCACCCTCCATTTCAGTGTTGGAAAACTGGAAAGGTTCAGCCTGAATAGCACAAAGTAGGTTTTAAATTAGCACTTTAAATTTTGTTCTTTTCACTTTTAGCAAGTAACAGTATAACATTTTTTAAACTCCTTGCTCATTCAGATTGTAAAGGGTAATTACAACGTGTAGGTTTACAAGAAAAAATTGTTGTCTAAGTCATTTCTAATCAGATCTACGCTTCAATACATAGAACGAATCAATGCAATAATCAGTATTATTTTTTAATTCCCAAGTTGCCATCCAATAAACAATTTTTCTATTTATTTATCTCAGTTCAATTTGGGCATCCCATGGGTGGTGATGTCAACCTATATATGCAGGATGTTTGCCAGAATATGAAATCATAAACAACACGTTGCTACGATCACAACGTTTGATCTCAATTTAACAAAAACGATTAAAACAGGTAATTGCACGACCAACCAGGCAACAGGATCATCATGCAGTACAGGGTTCAGTTTTAACTTGAGTTATTACTACATGTATGTGACATTCACTCAGTAATCTTCGATTACAAAGACTGAAGAGCTGTAATAAAACTTCTAGTGGCAATATTTTATTTAAGCAATAAGAATAATCATACCTCACAGAAGTGTCCATTCTTTGCCCCAAATATGGAACGGGGACTTTGCGATGGATTCTTCTTCGGAACAGATACATGGGGAATGCCATTTGGATGACCAAGGAACTGGTGTCGTGCGTGACCATGTCCGTGCTGCAGATAAGTGACATCACATCAGGAATAAGTAAGAAATGGAAAACTATCAAATGAGTATTGTAAACCAGCCAATTGATTCACCAGTGAAGTCCATAATAAATTACATGGAAGATAATCGGTTCTCTTATTCAACTGGAATGCACAGATAACAAATAACAGAGTCGCGTATGTAACGAAGATCCAATAATCCAAACTTACTTTCAAACAAGCATAAAAGAATGTGACTAGGCAAAACATATAATTAACACGGCAGAAACAGGACTTTGTTTCACAATATTTAATGCAGTCTGGATGGCTATGATTTAATGAAGCAGGAATGTACAGGGAACTAATTCTTCCTTCCTCCGAACACATGTTTGCGTTTGGGAAAGAAATCTTAAGACAACTACAACATAACGTCAACTATTTGCACAGACAAACCCTACTCAAATCAATTCTCCAATAATTACAAAGACTAATAATTAGGTTTCCACTAAAACTAGATCACTGAAGAGAAAACTAAAAGAAAAAGAACATTTGAAGCTTCAAAAGACAGTTGCTTTTGCTTTCATAGCAAGCCTCGTTCATAACTCTCAAAACCAAAACATGAAACTGAACAATCATGAAGAGGAACGGAGCATAGAATCTGAAAACCCACCATTCAAAATTAACCAACAACAAAATCATCATTCAAAAATATACCCCTACAATAAACTATAATTATTTTCTCTCCACGAGGGAGGGCCTCAGGGCCTACCACACAGTAGATGGAATAACCTAGTAGCATATAGCTGCAAAATCATTTTTAAATCAGAAACCGCAAAAACATGCAAGATGAAAAAACACTCACACTGAAACGAAGGAAAACAAGGGATCTAAACTCAAACAAAAGAAAAACAAAAAACAAAAGGGTAACCGACGGAGATCCCACATTAGATTAATACATGACAAATAAAGAGTATATAAGGCGTAAACATTGGTCTTCGTGGTTAAGTTAGTCTCAGTATAGTAACTCAAGTTCTACCTTATGTTCCACCCGCTTCCGGCCATCGCCCGTGGCTGTCTCCGGCAGATGCAACCGCCAAAGCCCAGCGGCGAGTCTCCGCGCCGACAAGGCGACTTCCGTTTGCTTCTTGGCACTCCGGCACGTTCTCCGACGAGACCCCGCGACAGAAGACTTCTGGTCCTCCTCCAGTGGATCCTCATGGATCTTCCACTTCAACAGAGGGGTTTCGGGTCTGCTCCGTTTGCCACCGTGTCTCCTCAACCGGGTCCCCGGAGTTCTCGGTTTCCGCCGCTGAAAGGGCCTCGCCGGTTCAAGATCCGAGTCCAGCGAAGGGTTGTTCACGCCCCTCGAAGCAATGCCCGCCGGATAACTCGCCTTGCCGGAATACTTCATCGTCTCCGGCGAGTCTCGGCCATAAGAGTTACTTACTAAATAAATAAATACTAAAACTCGCCTTGCGAGAATGAAACAATGAATGTCTCAAAAAGATAAAATGAAAACGGAGAGAGAGAGAGAGATAGAATCTGTGTGTTGTTGAAGTGATGAAGTTCGTGAAGTGTGTGTATGAGAGAGAGACCACGAGGAAAGTACAGAAGAGAGAGAGAGAGAGGGAGAGTTTCACTGTTTCAGAGATTTTGCTGAGAAAAGGACGAACACAGTGATAATACAAATACAGATACGCGAGAGGTATACGTCGGGCCGTATGGATATACGGTCAACGTACTTATTATTATCCTGATGATTTAACGCGCGGGGAATCATTATACGGTGCCGTTTGCCTTCTTTGATTTATAAGCTACCATGTTTGTTATGGCTGCTCCTGGAAGAGACGTTGTGACTTGAATGATAATAGGTGGTGGGGGGTTTATTTTCGATTTTATTATTATTCATTATTTTTTTTAAATGACGTTCAAAATATTATTTATATTCGAAAATGATTTTTTTTAATATGAGTTCATGTAATTATTTTAGAAAATTGGACAAAATATACATTTTAAACTTAATAATATTCTATTTTACTTCTAAAAAATGTTGTTAAAATTGTCCGTAATTTTTACGAACATTTTTTAATTGGGATGATTTTATTCAAGTTAAGATATAATGTTACTATTTAAAAAAGTTATACAATAATAAACTTCATATTTTATTTAAAGAAAATCAGATATATACTATCTATATTGATCACCCAATAAATCTTGATTTACTATTTTCTTTGGATAATTTGCTAACTTAAATGTTTATTTCTTTTTATATTTTGTCAATTGATAATTATTATATATGGCTTTAAAAAAATTAGAAAACACACTATTACAACAATTAAAAAAATTAAAGGAATAATTGCGTATTAAATACCGATTAGGATATCTGATGAAATCTCACTGGTTTAATTTATTAGAAGAATAAAATTTTATAAATAAAAATAGCAAACGTTTATAGTTAGTAATGGGTAGCATGCTGCAGAGAAAATCCAGATATTACAGCATAACATAAATAAGCTTCTTCTTTTTTCATTTTCGTAATTTTAGTTTATATTGTATTTTTTTGTAAAAATAAAAACTTTTGACGTTACAAATTTGATAACTTAATCCATATTTACTTCTTATTTTAAAAAATAAAAGAATCGGGTTTAAAATTACAGATTCTTATTATTTTAACAAAATTAGTGTAGAAGATTTGGGTAGATATTTTCATGTACTTTTGTTTATTTTAGGTGTTTGTTTTAGTAGACAATGAGGATATAATTGATGAAGCAATCAAACATACATGTCACGCCCAAATCAGAAAAAATAAAACTTCATTCAGGGATTCAGTGAAGTTAAAAGCAACAACTACTTAAAAACAATTTTTTTAACCCAAAAATCTCACTCTATTAATTATTTCATATTATGAAAAAAAAATATATATATATATAATTAAAATAATGAGTGAAATACAGTATCGTAAATCATTGTGTACCATAAAATCAATAATTTGTATGATAATTATTTAACATCCTTTTTAAAACAAGTTATGATTAATGATAATGTAAATATATTTATATTTACATTTACATTTACATAAGAATTTTGTATGATTAATGATAATGTAAATATATTTATATTTACATTTGCATAAGAATTTTGTATTAATTATATTTATTATAAAGAAAAATATTAATAAATTACTTAAAAAGTATTTAGATAACAAGAATATTAATAAATTTATTAAAATGATATTTAAATTAATTTATATAACTAAACTTTATGCGTTGCTTTGGTTCTTAAAAAAGCAAGTGCGTCACTGTCTCGTCTATTTGTTGCTTCCACACTTCACTCTACCTCAAAAGGGATCCGAGGGAGACTCCAGGTGGAAGCACCATAATCTGCCACGTTGATAATGTAAAACGTGCTCTCTTTATTAAAATATGCACTCACATGGGGTCGATAATATAATTAATGAAATCTCTGAAAATTTGAATATAAATTGAATATTCTGAATTTATTTACGTGTTAAATCATTGTAAAAAACAAAAACAAATGTTATGATAATTAATGGTTAAAAAAGTAAAATGAATTCCATAAAAAAAAAAATTGAAGGAAAATAAAATGAGATGATGTGTTGGAATGCATGCATGCAGAGGCATACATGAGCAGAAAAAAAGGGTTGCATTCAGAGAATCCTCGCGATGTGGGCCATGACCAGTGGTTCTTTACTACTTTATTTTCAACTTTTTTTCTATTTGGAAACATCTAAAACATGACACTCTATTTTCACATAATTCTTTTATTTAGGCTTTAAAATATTACTTTCTTACAATTGATTATTCTAATTATTGCTGATTTCGTAATATTTTTATATAGCTATATCAAACATGGCTCTCTCTAATCATTGTATTGATTTATTGTTTTAAACATTTTATTATTTATCGTAATGGCTTCAACATGAAGAAAATAAAGTTTATAAAACATGTTTTACATTTAAGTCATAAGAAAAAAAAAAACTGAAATTTTTTCACAGGGAATCGTGACATTAAAAGAGTGATCAAGAAGTTTCTGGGATATCTCTCATCAGCAGCACAATATGACAAGAAAACATGATTTTAGACACCCTTACAAAAAGCTTCTATTAATTTTTTTTCATTTTGCAATATTTATGGCAAAATAGAAAGGAATTATTTGGTATTTGTAACAAAAATAGAAACATCTTTTAAATACGGTTTTTTTTTTTAAAAAACTAACATAATTTGAAAGGATTGTTTTAGATGATATATCACATGAGTTTATGTACAATTGATAACCTATTTAAGTATCATGTTTACATAAGACATTTTGTATTATCAATTCACAAATTATAAATTCATCGTGAATGCTTTTAAAGTTAGTATTTAAATCATTACAATTTCAAATTATGATTTTCTTTTCTTATTTTTCTTGAGTAGTATTATTTATTACTTTTATTCTACTCATTTATTTTAATTTGCAATTTCCTAAGATACATGTACTTATTATCCGGATATGTCCTTTTAATGAATAGATACTCGTTAAGATAATTATTTTCAATTCTCAATGAGTTTAATCTTGGTTATACAAAACAAAAGAAAATTGTAGTGAGTTTTATTTGTCTAAAGTTTTAAAAGATTTAATTAAATGATTATTTTTTGTACAATTATTATGATATTATTATGAAAATAAAGAATATGAAAGTGTGTAGGATTGAGGATGTACATATGTTGTCTGCATGCATGGAAAATAGGAAATGACAAGAGGCCACGTTCAGTGGGGACTTCATGTCCATAATCACCATTCATTTCATAAAATAATAATAATAATGCACTATGTACATACATGTCATGTCAGGTGCAATCATCCAATATTCTTTTCTGACAATCTGGGATTATATTTATATAACCAATAAATATAATAAAATCCTAGAAATTATTTTAGAAGTTGTTGTAAACTAATATACTAATAATATTGATAACTGATAAAAATATGAATCGTATAATTTTTTAAAAATAATTGGTGGTAGTTCCACAGTTAGTGTGTTTAGTTTTCTTCAATGAATGCTTTTCATAGATACATACATACAAAATGAAACTTCTACACAGTTTTCTTTCTTTCCTTTTTTGACACCTCTGCCACAGTTTATTGATTTTATATGAAATGTAAAATTTAAGATTTCAAATTAAACTTGAGTCTGATACGACTATGATTCAATTTGAACTAGTAAAAATAACAACAAAAAATTGAACTTTCATGATGCTAGATTAAATTTAAGATTTTGTTGATAACTTTTCAATAAAATATTTCATATAAGAAAAAGGTTGTCTAAAAGCAAAAGCTTCAAACCTTTGTTTATTGTATGATTCCTGAGGCGGTTTAGCGTGCGTTTAGAGATGCAGACATGTTGAGCTTCGATCTCTTGTCAAAAGATGAAAATCAAACTAAATTAAAATTTAAAACGAAAAAGGATCAAATTGAATAAAACAAAAGATAATTAGAGTGGTGGAAAAGCAGCACATGTGAGAGAGAGACTAAGAAGGGAATGGTTGTCCTGAATTAAATGCAAATGCAAAGTGGGAAAGTGAATGTGACAGTATCTCTATCAGGATTTGGAATCCATCATTGTTTTCGAACAACTTTGGTTTCTCTCTTCTTCTGCTCCCCACTCCCCAGGTTTATGTTTTGCTTTCTTCTTCTTTGGCTGCATGTGCATCACTAATTAATTACAATTCATTAACATCATTTTCTTATTCCATCTTACTCTAAATACCTAATCCTTGATTGCTAAAACGTCATGCATATTCTGAACACACATTTTTGTCTTCCTTTCTTGTTAGTTTCTACTTTGTAAGGTCAATTTTGTTACCTACCCTATATGTTTCCTACACACTTTCTTTCTACACCACCAACAAAAACAATAAAACACATTTCATACTAATCCCTAACATCCCTCCACAATCCCCTCTGCCTTTCTTTTTCATTACATCACGATCTATCATTTCACATAAAAAAATTAAAACTACTTCATTTTTATCAAAATAAAATACAACACTTCAAAAGAAAAATTATATTATGTATGAAAGACAATATACACCTCTACAACTGAGTTTATGGCCATGTCCATCTTCAACCTTCAATACAGTGTGCACAAGTAACAAATACTTCCTAACATAAGTTGCAAAACTATGGACTTTCAGCATCTAGAAACCGGTCTCATTGATCTTTGGTGGCAATTCCCTCATAACAATTAACCATAGCACCGAATTGGATCATTGCAACCTTTAGCAGCAGATTGCTTGAAACCAAACCGGCCCCCTTTCGCAAGGTACTGTTGATGGTACTCCTCTGCCCTGTAGAACTTCTTGGCAGGAAGAATCTCAGTAACGATCTTCCTGTTCAACTGCTTTTGCTGTTGTTCCAACGACTCCCTGGCTGCCTTCTCTTGCTCCGGCGTGTAGTAGTATATTCCAGATCTGTACTGTGTTCCCACATCATTACCCTGACATAGACAAGATCAAATGGTAACTAAGTCCTTAAGCACTATAATGTTCAATTCACGTGTCTGCAGCTGCATATCATACTAGTTACCATATTTTGGGAAGTTCGTGTATGCATGGATTTGGATGAAAAAGTGAAATCAAGAAACAAAGGTATGCATGACTATTGAAAGGGAAGAGTTACACATAAATAAAAACATGTTGAAAGTGGAGAGCAGAAAAAAGTTAAGAAACAAGGGGTAAAACAAAAATGTAATTATGGGTCATTCTTAAGGTCCATAATCACTCAAAGTCCAACAACATAAATAGTTAAAACTAGTTCATCACCACATATAAACAAACCAAAACTGGCACTGCAACTAAGTTCTAAACGAAACTGGCAAAAATAGAGTAACGGTACATACAACGAAAAAGAGAGAATCCATCAAATGTTGCACCGATGCAACTTAGTGATAATAATTAGGTTGTGCAGGACAGACAGAAAGCAGTCTCTCACTGTCAATGTGGTTCTGAAGGGTTTTTTAAGTCTTCTCACCCTTAATAAATCTCTTGATAATTATATCACAAAATTAACTATCTTCACTTTAAAATGAAAACAAAAAAATAGCGTGGATGTCTCATCATCCTTATTTTCTGTTAACGTATTAGTTAAACTTGAAGCACGTGAAAATACAGAAAAAGGCAAAAAATTGCAAATCTTAGTGCTTCACACTTCTACACACTCTCCCCTTAACCAGCCCCCCCCTCTCCCCAGCCTTTAAAATCATTCAACCAAACACTTCTGTATAAACTAGGGAATGGCAATTAGTCTATTTATCGTCCACTTATCACCCAATCCATCTATGCATAAATCCAATCAATCTGCACGATCATACAAGTAAAACTTAATGAATTGGACCAACAATTATTCCTAAAAGTAACCATTCCTCATGTTTTTAAATGAATGGATTGGATATCTATCAAGGAAAAATTCTGGATGGTTTTGGACTAGGGGTTTGGATTTTTCTTATTAAAACTTGTAAGATATAATTAGTGAACTAATGATTTAATTTTTACCAATCCGTTTGAAACTAACTCAACTTATCCAATCCGCCCATTGTACACCCTCAGTATAAACATCCACGAAATGCAGATAGAAGGTCACAACTGCCTAAACAACTATTACAAAGAGACCCCTGGAGTTTTATTTGACCCATATTAGAACATAATTTACAAAACAAGACCTAACTAGATATCAAAACATAAACACATCTGTTAATTACTGGCAAGCGGCAACGCAGAGAGAACTAATATTACTGTAGGCAAATCAACCATGGAATCAGAAAAGTGTTGGGAAAACGTTCTCATTGGCAAGACACAAAGTCCACACTTATTCAAATCAGCAAAGTGTTGGGAAAACGTTTTCATTGGCAATACACAAAGTCCACACTTATTCAAATCAGCAAAGTCTAGATATATCAATCAGAAACCACTTTAGACTACCTCAATTTAATATGATATGGTAATAACACAAACCAAAAACTCCATATATACCTGTCTATTCAGAGTAGTAGGATCATGTCTAGCCCAGAACGCATCAAGCAGAGACTCATAGCTACAATTTTTGGGATCATATTGAATCCTAACAACCTCTGAGTGGTTTGTGGTCCCCGAACACACATCTTCATAGGTTGGATTATGCACAAGCCCCTGGGTGTAACCAACCTCTGTCTTTGTCACCCCAGGCACCCTTTGGAAGGCCAACTCAACACCCCAAAAACAGCCAGCACCAAACTGGGCAAACTGCTGTCCTGGTGCTGGTATGTCCTCATCTGGACCCTGAGGAATGGATGAATCCATGTTCTCTAAAGCCCTCGTGCTGCCAAACCCAAGTCTGTTCAATAGGTTCATTGAGGGCTTGTTCACAGCAATGCGTGGAGTTTGGGAAAATAAGTAAGAGCGCTTGACAGAAAACCTAGAAAGTGAGGGCAGGAACTTGGTTTTGGAAGGACTGGAGAGGGAAGAGGAAACAAACACTGAAAGAGAATTGGATGTGGTGGTGTAGCTGCTGTTGATTGCTGTTAAGCATTTGAGTAACATGAGACTCCTTTTCTAGAAGAAATAACCAATTCAAAAATGCTCTTGTATATATGAAATAAACAAAAGCGTCACCAAATCAGGAAGCCAAGAAAACTTAAGTTACAAATTTGAACAACTAATCAGAAGCTTAAAAATTAATTTTGAATCACTGATCCACAAGGTGCTATATTTCACTACTATAGCACATAGTCTCTGTATATAATGGTAATGAAAAAGGTTTTAAACTGATCAAGGATCATTTAAACTAATAAAATAATGATTCTCTAACATAATTAATTATAAACATGAATGACAAATCACATACATTATACCATCCATCCATACATATAGGTTGAGTGAAAGTGCACAAATTTTATACAGGAACGAAAAGGAAAAATACAGTTGATACCTTTGATTTGAAAAAATATTTTATGCTTTCATTTGAATTCTTACACATTACTACAAAAAATCATCTAATACTCAGTTTGTTCCCTCTCAAGAATCTGTGCTAGGGCCAAAAACAGTTTGTTGAACGTCAAAACTATAAAATCTTTATAATTATGAAAATAGTAATTGAATACAGAAAACATTTTCTCATGACTCGAACAAAACTAAAACTCCCATCGCTTTATGTTCAAGTCATACATACTCCTCCCTCTGACTTTAGGGATATTTTTCGTATAACTGTATGTACCCGTATGCCGCCAAGCATGGACCACAACTCTACAAGCTGCAGACTCACGTACAACTGTGACTACTGTTCTACATTGTTTTAACACTTTAAGATGCCACTTTGTTTATTCAAACTAAAAAATCAGCTGAAACTTTTTTCTTTCATGCATGTCGATAAAACAATTATTTGTTATGAAATATAGAAATGATTTATGGTTTAACTATTCGCACTCACTTGGGGGGAGAAAAAAAGACATTCATTATAAGCTTCTTATTTCATAGAATTTCCCGTCAGGCTAGATGGGCAACAAATAATGGAAATCCGTATTGGGTCAAAGATTGAGCTAACAAATAATATTATATATTCTCCATGCTACAATGCTTCACAGAAATTGGGAACTGCAACAGAGTCACCTAATTTACATAGTAAAACAAAACCAAACTGACATGGTCCAAAACTTTTTAATAGAATTGGGAGCATAAACATGAAGGAAATAAGTCCACCGAAGAATAAATTAAATAAAATCCAATATCAACCCATACCTGCTCCACAAATTCTCATCTTCAACCCTTCAACAAAATACTTGAATCAATCTCCAAACAACAAAAAATATAACTTTTTTTTAACACTAGAAAGACAAATTGAACAGAAATAAAGAGAACCCACAATCCCCTTTTTCTTAGAGATTAAAGGGAAGAGTGAAAGGGGAGAGATAGAATTGAGAATCGAGAGATGACATGTAATTGGAAAATGGAGAAGAGAGAAAAAAGAAAAACGTACCAAATTGAGAGAGTGAGAGTGAGAGTGAGAGCAGAAGAGAGAGGAATTGAAGGGTGGTTGAGGATTGACAAAAAAGATGAGGATTTGATCACTGCAGGAAGAGCGTGTCATGGTCTTGAACCACCATGATTTCTCTCTCTACGCTGGCATAAATCACGAAAAGTCTTAAGAGCCCCTAATCAACTTAACACAAATAACGGCTTGACCCTTTAAATAGTAAAGGACAAGAATGTCAATTTATTATCAAAATCACATTAAACCGCTTTACGTATACTCATGTAACGTCTAGAATATTACAAAAATTAGTGCATGTGAGGGTTACACGTCATCAAATATAGTTCGTACTTTTTTTTTCACGTTTCTAGAGAGAAAATGTATAAAGTAAAAATTTGAATAAAATGATACATAAAGTGAGAACTTTAACTATATTTACTTTTTATTAAAATAATTAATATATCTCGTAAATGTAAATTATTGTGATGCAAGATGTTGTTGTATATAATTCGGACCAAATTTAATGTAGATTTTTTTAAAATCAATATTACAGTTATTAAAAAAATAAAAAAATATTGCTCTGAGATAAGGTTGATAAATTTTTTATTTTCTAGTAAAATAAAATTTTTTAATTTTTAATTTTTATTTTCATACGTTTGGTTTTATATTTAATTTATTCTTGAGGATGTGCAATAACAATTCTTTAAACAAGTAGTTTCAATCCTAGATTAAAATTATTCGTGACAGGACACTAATGGAAAGTATTTAACCATTAAAAATTAAATTAAACTGTAATTTTAAATCAAACAGACTCTGACCCTGTTCAAATGCTTTTTTCTTTTTGAATTTTCATGAAATTTTTAGTACCTCTCATTCATTTTGGAATGTATTTTTTATATTTAAAAAAAAATCACTATGAAATAAATGAAGACGGCCCATTGAAGTTGGACACTCTTTTTTATACGATTGAATTTGGACCGTATTAAGCCCATAGTAGATTGTTATGGGCCTCTAAGTTTAGTTCAGGATTAAGCCCATTAACAGAATAATATCTCTCCATAAAAGAGGTTGTTAATGTGATTGAAAATTTTAATTAATAGGTGTTAAGAACTCAAATTTTGAGTTGGGATATTTATTTTAAAAAAATAGAATAATAATAATAATAAAACAGAACTTCTTTTTCCATTTAAACAATGTTTTGAACAGAGGCATTTAAGTACGATAGATATATAAGTACATAAGGATGATTCAACCATTATTTTAAATTGATAAAAAATAAATATATTTTTCAAAAGATAAAATGTTTTGTTTATTGTTAACGATTTTTATTTCTCGACAATTTTTTTTTCATTTTACCTTAAAATCAAATTCTGATCATATAGTGAAAACATATAATTATTTACCAAATTATACCGAATTGTTGATTATTATCCTAAGAACTATGAAAATTAAGTCATAAACTTAACTATTATGAATTCAAATATCATTTTGTGAGTAGAAAAATGCATGTAATACACAATTTGAACCCAATTGTTTTGGTTTGATTAATTTAAATACCAACAAGAGTCTTGCACAAAACACTAAAATATTAATTGAAATGTTAACCATGCAATTGAGTCTAAGAAAGGAAAGTAAAAAGAATATTTTAGCAAAAGAGGGCACCTAACTGCTGCTTAATTAAGACTTAAAAAGTCAAAGGGAAGATAGTGGTCAACATGGAGAAGTGAAAAGCCATATTTGATGATATAATTAGGTTCTTAGGAAAAACATATAGTTCTCGTAAGATTCTTTTTTTCTTAGATCGTTAAAGTTGGAGCACAATGTGCAAATTCAAATAGTTATGGATTTGACTATTTCTTTGTTTATTTTTCCACAAGAGTCGTGTAGGAGAGTATATAGAAGCTACATATATAATCATGGTTATGATGATGAAAAAAGTGCGTTTGAGTGCGCACGTGAAAGAAAGGTACCCAAACAGCACCTTCGCTTCAAGATTCCTTTCCCTAATTTGTGTTCACACTTAACATGAACGCCCTCAGATTCCATCTTTATCCCTTTCACACCTAAAACCTACCAACTTTTCATTCAGAAAAGTTTTGGGTAGATTCCTAGCGTAGTTCCGTTCACACCTCAAAAACTCAATTCGACAACATTTTATCACTGGCTGCATGAAAGGGACCCACACTTGCCACGTGTGAAATCCGATGTGGCAGAACTTAGGTTCGGCCTTTTCCATTTTTCACATTTATATATATCTATATATATATATATATATATATATAAGGCAAGGATAAAAACCAACCTCTTACTTTCCATCTTTCTCTCTCTATCTCCATGGGGAATTGTTTTAGGCGCGAATCAAGGATCGGGTACGCCACCGAGGAGGAGGAGGAGTGGGAGGATTTTGCGGCGGAGCAGGGTTCTTTTGCGGCGGGGAGCGGTGGTAGGAGACCGAGGAGAGTGGTGAAGATAAAGATGACGAAGAAACAGTTGGAGGAGTTGGTTGGGAAAGTTGAGTTGAAGGAGTTGAGAGTGGAACAGGTTTTGGCCCAATTCATGAATCACTCGCTCCAACGGGCTTGGAGGCCTGCTCTTCAAAGCATTCCAGAAGATTAATGTAGTTGGATGGATCATGGATCCATGGAGCAGTGAATTGGGCCTCTTGGGTCGATCCTTCCATAGAGACTGAGAGGGTTCGGTTTTCTTTTCTCCTTCCAGGGGAATGTCAATGTAACTCAAACTTTTTGCTTGCTTCTGTAAATACAAAAATGGAGGATCTTAACCTCTTTGCCTTTCACTTCTCTAATCTCGATTTGTTTATTTTTTTCCCTCTTCACATGTATTTTCTTTATTTATCAATGTAATATTTTCTATGAACACTTTATCGTCGGAGGAAATAGAAGGTGTTTGAAAAAAAGTCAGATTCTGTGATGAGCACTGCATTGTGGCCAGGGTGGCTACTACTTTCACAGTTTGTCACCGATTTGTGACCAATTTGTGATAGTAGTTTAATTATTAGTCACTCTAATAGCAGCATTGAAGTTGACGAGAAAGAGAGATTGGTATTTGATTAAAAGGATCTGTGAGATCTTCGAAGATGATGAAAATGAAAAATAAAATTTTCTATTTGTGATAGACTTTGACTATGTTTACCATTTGCTCCAAAGGCTGACTCTTTTATTTTACAAATATTGTATGGAGTGAAGTTAAAGGCTGGATGATTAAGGCCAACCAAAACGGATATGATTTTGAACAAACAATGAGAAGATATATGGTTCATCTTTGAATTGGTAAAACATTCTTAGAATGGATGACATTGGTGTGAATTAGTAGTGATAATGATGGGTTTTGAAATAGGAAGCTTTTATTTTGTCAATCAAAGTACGGGGAAAGTTTGATGCTAAGGTTGGAGTAGTAGGTAAGGATGGTTATGATTGATCATTACATTCCAAAGTTCACGGGGCAAATAAATCTCCTTGTCGTCACTATCGAAATTTGGTGGTTGGTCGATCAATCATGGATTAATGAGAGGTTTGTGGATGGAATAAGATCTCAAATTCTGAGTTCACACTGCTCCTAACACAAGTCCTACTACTACAAGTGTATGTCTTCTACTCTGCCGGCATAACTTCCAAGTTTCAACTAAAATATATGGCTATTATTATAGCAATTTTCTCAACTTAAAAAACAATTATCATTTTCAGATTATACATACACAAATCTAAAAGTATCTCTATTTGATCTGAAAAGTAAGTTTCAGATTATGTTATAATAATTGATACATAAATGACATGATTTAAAATAATAATCATGGAGATATTTTTTTAAAATGATAAATGATTTGAAATAATAAAAACAACTGTGTCGGTTATTTAAAGAATTATTTAAATCATTGGTTTGGTTTGTATGAAATCCATGTGGCATATATATTGGCTCATCAAGACGTCATTCTTTGGTTGTGTGATATATATGGCCATCTGTGTTTGGTTTATAAAATAAAATTGACTTGGGCATCATCGTCACCACTGATATTGAAAATATGTTGCATTTATCTTCTTGTTGTATTATATAAACGACGCATGGGAATATATCCACTGCAATTTGCAATGGGAATATATAACACTGGCACGATGTGATGATGACCTTGTTTCAAGCTGCTGTGTCATTTATAACAAAATATTAACAAATATCCCAGTATAGAATTATAACCTACGTATTACGTAGGATAAACATTTGTTATATATTTACAATTTATATTAAATAAACATTTTCAATATATAGTGATATGGTTAGTTTATTTGATAAAAATCCTTAGGGGAAAAAGTATTTAAAAAAAATTGATTACTAGACTCAATGATCATGGATAGAGAAAGGAACTACTTATATTCATTAATTAAATATTTTTCTAATATCTATGTTCAAAATAATTTTAATTTTTGTTAACAACATTTAGAAGTTAAAATTAGATTATTACTTAGATTTTGTGTAATTTTGTTAGGGATTGGAGTAGGAGGAAAGAGGTTTGAGATATTTAAGATTTTGCTTGATGACTAAATCATTTAGTTAGCGAGAAACACATGTACGATGATGAGCTAAGTACCAATTTCACCCAACAACAATATAGATTGAAGTGAGAGAGTTTGGTTCGCTATCAATAATACATTCTATGGTCAATATTCAATTGGAGAAATAACGTGAATTACCCTCATAATTCAAACTTCTCAACCCTCTTTGCAATGTAAAAGAGTAATTAATCTCCCATCTTATTAGAATTGGATCTAATTATGTAATGAACCTTCTTTGTTGGTCACGTTCTCATTTTTAATATTAATTTCTGTACATGTGTTTCATCTTAATTGAAAAATAATTTTAGATCTGTGATCCAGAAATTTGACAATTAGAGATGATGTGTCAATTACACTTAAATATAAAATATTTTGTTTTTTGGAAAAGATTAAGGACTTAATAAAATTTTACTACTAGTTTAATAAAACTCTGCTTTAAAAGAATTGAAGCTGAAATAAATACTTCGTGAATGCTAAAATAGGGTTTTATCAAATTCAATCCAATCATAATTTACTTATAAATTATAAATTCTGCACATTTGGATTTTTCTTGCTTCATTTATAATAAATTAGAATTGAAATTGCAAAACTAATTCCTTCCTATTGTCAATCTTAGCTAATAAACGTAAACACGATTTAAACGAGTCCAAATTTCTTGAAAAACCATATTCAAATTTTCTATTTTCCTACTAGATTTGGTACGTTTGCCATACAGGTAACACAACACAAGTTGCTACAACAATGCATATGAAGAAATGATTCAGTTTTACTGTCTGCAACAAAGCAACTTCCTTTCCCCAATGATGCTCATTCAAATCAATCTAGTGCATCATCTATACTCTTGAAAGTTAACATGACCAGTAGCTTGTGCATGCTCCATTGCCTCCTGAAATGTTCACGGAAAAACCACCACTCAGAATCATAAGAACAAAGAAGAGTTTAGGCTAAGGTAAGAAGCACATCAAGCACAAAGCAAAGCATCAGGTACTGAGGAGGAATCACCTTCTCGCCAACTACTCCAATCTGGCATACCCCACAACGCAGAGTGAAGTTGGTAGTGTCGGTGTAACTCCTTTTCCTGAGAAAGAGTATCCATGATATTAGCATAACATAAATTGAAAGGATACTTTGGCAGAAGCACTCCACATATTAAATTGAGAAGATTAAAAATTTCCATCAAGCAAGATAAAAACAAACTGACCTCCCTTCCTATTATCCAGATGTTAAAACATATGTTTCTACTGGCAGATTCATAGACCAACTTTTCAATTAAGAAATGTGCATAATTTCATCAGTATGGTTTGACAATAGATACTGGTTAGTTTTAAGTATTCAATATCTCAGTCTGCGAATATGCTGTTCAACTGCTCAGCAGCACATTCACTACTTTGTTCTTGTTCTAAATATTGGCACATAAAAACATGAATTGAGGTGAATTTTTGTAACTATTACTGAAAATAGAAATATTTCCACAATCCAATTCCAAACGCCTCTGTAAGTGAAACCTCAAATATGCATGCCCAAATAGAAAACCTTTGTCGTATATGTAAATAAAGAATCCAAATATGAAAATTTATCCAGTTCAATCATCTAAATGTGCTAATCTTTATTTATTTCTTTTAAAAAGGTTCACTAAGATTGCAAACTACCTCTGCTGGTCCTTCACAAAATCTAGAGCAAGCCCCTCAACGGGTCCAGTGCTTCTGTTCATCTGAACAGCAAATATAGTCTGATCAAACTCTTCAGGAGCTTCCGCAATTGGAGACATCTGATCCATACGAGGAGTGATTAGTCATCAGGCAAAACATGTGAAAGAGAAATAAATATGAACCTTTTTTTTAATTTTTTTTCCTTTATTGTTTCATGTGCAGTAGATATCAATATCATTCACTTGCAATCTAACGATTCACCTCCAAATCCCACCCTCCCCCCGCCCCCAACACAAAAAAAAATGCATAAAAGACAAGGAATGGATGATCAATAATTTCTGGTATATGAGATTCTCACCACTAATGCATCATAGTGGAGCCCATCATAAATCAGCATCACTCTTTCAGCATAGTTACGGTCCTGTCAAATGTATACACAGAAAGTGAAGATGGAGAGTTCAGTCATAAGAGATTGCAAAACTTGAGAGTATAGATTGCATAAAAGTGACTAACCTGACCATACAAATCACATCGAGTTGTCTGGATATCATATGCTGCAATTTCCCGTCCATAATAATCTGCTAATATTGAGAGTTCAATCGCACCTTCACAAAGGAATACAAAGCTTAAGTCACACATCAAACAAATAAAACGTTAACAGTGCATTATTGTTAAATTTGCAACTAGGAGAGTTTGAATTACCCTACGAAACTCATGTTAAATTCATCAACTACAAGATCTATACCTACAAAATTCATATCAAAGTTGGAAACGTGTTTAAACAAAACAACTGAAATTTAAACCATTGTTGCATTGTTTGAGTATCCAGATGTTCCCAAATTTTAATTAAATCTTAATGCCTCATAACGTTTAAGGAAAAAAATACATTATATTCATTTATTCTTTATAGTATTTATGTTAGCAAAGCTTATCAAAAGCCCATTTTTTAAATCAACCTGAGTAAGTTTCCATCACTTTTACGTTCCCAATAAAAATTAATTCTCCACACTTGAGGTTCAATATTCATAAACTGAACACAGTGTAATAATAAAAGTAGCAGTTCCAACTTGCACACTAAAAGTTGTAACCATCTCCACTAAACTTTTGATTTAGAGCAGCCAACTAACCTCCCCACTTCTGTGAGTCAAGAATCCAGCTACAATATTCTGCATTTGGTTTCCCGAGAAATGCTTCACTATATTTCTGTGGATCACTTGCTACTGTTGCAGCTATAATCTTCAGCATGTCAAATAGTACAAAAATATCAAGCTAAAATACATACAAAATTATGTAAAAAACATACTCAGATTTGCAAAATGTGGCAATAAAATTTCCATCAACACTTCATTTAAATTCTTAAATGATATAAGCAATATCTGAAAAAAATATATATTTTGCATTGACAAGCTTTTGATTACAAGTAATTTCATTGAAAGCATTTAGTGGCACAGCATGGAGCTTGACGGCCAATAACATAGGGGCATCTGGTGAATTGATGACAAAATATGAAGATTTACCACACAAGTTACTTACGTCTTACAAAAGAAAAACAAGAGCTACTAAAAAATATGTATGCTGATCCTTATATAATATTTCAAAGTCGAATTTTTGTAATATAAAAATGCTCAAAATATATTGACAGTCGAGAATGACACAGTTCAGAGGAACATTAACTCTCATGGGTAAAAACTCCTTCCAATCTCACAAAGAAGTCCTCTGCTTCGAAAACAAATTCTATGATGCAATGTTGTTAAATGGTGGCAACATGGCCACCATGGTGGAATGGCGTGGCAAATATTTTGCCAATGGCTATAGGCTATTTGTGAAGGGAGACCTGCTGTGTCAGTGCCTTAGGCCACCCACCATTGATAAAACTGCAACGATATGGTTTCACTTGTCCAAGTCTGGTGTTATTGTGTTTGATAAGATTTGAAAAATAAGTTTTTTCTAGAAAAAAGATCAAATTTAATTTCGAAATTTCTAGTAAGTATTAAAAAGGTATTACTATCAATATATTTTGTGGGGTTAAAACTGAAACTCGATATATTTTGAGGGACCAAAACATGTTTTACTCAAAACATAAGAATAAAGAAAAAGCTGAACAGTCAGAAATGAAGTACCCCTTGCCACTAGAACCAAATTCACACACACACACACACAAAAAAAAAAAAAAAAAAAAAGCATGGAAAATGAAGCATTTAGATGATACTGTACAATGTGCATATTTCAGACAAATAAATTTAACACAAGAAAAAACACCTGTCGCAACTCGGCAGCTTTCGTCTTGTTATGATCCATAACATATCTGAATCGATAAACACAATAAAACATAACAAGAGAAATCATTTGTAGAAATAGCACTAAGACCAACGCAGCAAGAAAAATTAAAAAAAAAAAAAAAAAAAAATTGAGTTCCATTTCTTTGCTTACCCAACTGCATTGAAGAGACAACTGTTATCCGAAGGAATGACTCTTCTCACAATAACACCGTCCATGGCGCAGATTGTAGACAACTACCAGCCTGGAAATCAATTACAAGAAAAATATATTCAACTCTAGAGAACAACCCCGCATGCAAACTCCAATTTCCCCAATACCAAGAAAGAACAAAACCTAGAGTTGTTTATTAAATTAATACAAGGGAAGTTGTAATTGTGCAAAGAAAAATAAAAGATTGTACAAAGCGAAACTGGTTCGAATTGTATGGAGATCTACGCTATGAAAAATGAAAAGGGAATGGGTTGTTGAAGAAGAAGAAGAAAAGACTGACAAGGAAAGCTAAAGCTTGTTGAAGTGGGTCTGCGCGTTGCTTGGGTTTGGTCTTTGAAGAGAAAAGGTTTGGTTTTTATGCTTGAAAGAAGGGAGTAACGGTTTTGATTCAGATGCCATGCCACCGTCTTTTTCCTGGACATGCCCCACCCTCTTCCATGGCCAACACCTAGCAAGCAAGGAATACACACCTCTTTCTTTTCCTTTAATTTCAAATAATCTTCAATTAATTTCACTTTCCAAAATTTCTAACTATTCACTCATTTAATTTTTCAAATTATTAAATTAAATACACATTACTACCATTTTATGTTAATTAAATGACATGTATTACATTCACTTTTTTTATTAATTAATTGGATTAATGTTTCTAAAATCACACCAAAATAATTTAATAAAATAATATTTTTATAATATAATAAATATATAATAAATTTATTAATAATAATTTTTAAAAAAAGTTACTCACAATAAAATTAATAATTATTAAAATAAAATAAAAATATAATAAAATAATTATTATTTAAAATTCACATAATTAATATAAAATTAAAAATAAAATAAAATATATTATATCTTTTATAAAAAATTATATTAAAAAAATTAATCATAATTTATTCTATCAAAATTGGTTTCACCAATAAACTCAATCGAATTTTTTGATTTTATTTTAGTTCAATTTTAAGTTTGATTTACAATTAAGTAAATACGATAATGTCTTAAAAACTTGAATTATTTTAATTTATAACAAAATTTATATTGAAAATCTAAAATCTATACCTTATATGAAGTATATATTCGATATATTTTTAGTTATTCTTTATTTAATATGTGATATTTAAAGTTTTATTATATAAAATAAGAAAAATATTAATTTTTATGATTTATAATGAATTTATTACTTTTTTAAAATAATATCTTTATATTTTAATTTGTTCTGTACAAAATTATTTAAAATAATTTACTGTATTATCTCTGTATAATAAAAACAATTAAAGATAATTAGTGTCTTTCTCCTATTTCTATATGCTACTTTTCATATATATATATATATATATATATATGTGTGTGCCCTTTTGTTCAACATTTAAAGACTAGAGACAAATTTTAAAAGCTTGCACTAATTTTTTTATTGTAAAGTAGATTTAAAATATATTTGTTTCTCAAATCCATTTTTGTGAATTATATTTATTTGTAATTTGTATATCTTTATATAGAAGTTATTTTTTTACTATTGGATTTTATTGTTAAAAATATTAATTCAAATTATTTTACTTATTCACTGGAATTGTAGTTTCATTTCTTCTGTATTTCTTGCAAATTTTGAATTCAAATTCATAAAGTTTCCATCGCAACATGGATTAAAGTGATACATAATATTAAATTATTAACTAGTAATAATTAACAAAGTTAAAAAATTTTAATTTTGTTTTCTGAATTAATTATTTTTATGTAAAGATTTGATATCAATGAATGATTAACTTTTAACTCCTTTTAATAAATAAAATCCTCAAATTTTAAACTTATATGGTAATAATTTGTTTATTTAGACAGTATTCTAATAATTAATTATTTGTGTAATAAACTGAAATTTTAATTTTTAAACTTTCTTTAATAGACTAAACGATAGTTATAAACGCGTCTCATAATATATTACTATTTGTCAATCATTTTTTTCCATAATTTTAGTTATTTATTTTTTTGCTATCTGTGTCACGGTTCCTGATTATTTTTATGTATTTTTAATCTCTTAACTTTTAATTATTTATAGTTTTATTCAATTTTTAGTGTAATTGATCTTTTTTTTTTTATCCACAGTCAGAGATTAAGGAAAATGAATTTTATTTTTTTCTAAATTGAAATGGTATTAGCTGAGTTGCAGATCTTGAAAATGGCTATATAATTAATAGGATGGTGTCTGAATTATTTTAATTTGTAAAATATTTTTATATTGAGAATCAAATTCTATTAATGAGTACTTTTTCCAATTTTGAATATTGATAGAAAAATAATTATTCTAATTAAGAAAAATAATTAATTGAATTAATCTTTGAATACTCATGACAAAGCCACTGTAGAATGTAGAATTATCATATGTATTAACAACACACTAAAAAAAACTACCACCAAAACACCCATATTATGAGACACATTTTCAATTATACTGAATTTTATTATAAATTAAATTTTTTGAATACATAATAGGTAAAAATCGATTGAGATTTTAAAAGTTTAGTGATCTAAATCATCTAATAATTTTTCATAAATACATATTTTAATATATTGGCTATTTTTTTAATAACAAGGACTAATAATATCCATTTCTTACTTTCTTCAAGCTTCTTTTAATATTTTTCAATTAGTTTTTCACTAATATCTGTATCTAATAATTTCTTTTTATCCTTTCAAAAATAAATACTTGTATGTAAGCCTCAAAATTATGACTGCGGAATCTTTTTTACAACTTAACTTTGATAATGATGCTTGATTGCTATTTTCAATAGAAACGACACAAGTTCCTTTTTTTTAAGAAAAAGAAAGAAACAAAACAAGTTTGTCTTAATACAAAATTAGAAGAGATTCTGAGAGCTTCTCTATATGAAAAAACTCTGTATTTCCATAATAAAAACATGCATTAAAATTTCAACATTGATAAATTGTTCCAACATTCAATAAATATTGAATCCATTTCACTGACTTTTATACCTCAAAAAGGAATTAATATCTATCAGACAAAGATATATCTTTTGTTGAAGAAAAGAAAGAACAGTATGTAGAATGATTGAATAGTATAAAAAATTGGACGAAAGGTTTTTAATGTAACATCCAAAAATTTCTCTAAAAGAAATAGATGTGAGTTTCAGTGAAAGATATCTATTAAAAATGATCTTATTCGATAAAAGAACACTTGACATCATTCATGGGGTTTCTTACGTGATAGGTTAGGATGTCACGGAAACTGCAATCAACAACATATGAATATCCAAGTTTCTTTCACTTTTAATGGGCATAGTCTTTGAGAGAACCCGAAGATTAGAGACCTCACAAGGATTCTAGGTTAAATGTAATGACAAGAGCACCCCTCATCCACCAAAGAACAACAGAAAATAAAACTCCATTACTAAGATATGTCCCTTCCTGCATTATTTACCTGATGAGTTTTGCTGAAGGAGCAGGATGTACTATTACAATTGATGCTTATAGGGTTGCTATGCACTCAATTTCAATCTTGGCATCCAATGGCAAGGCAGCTACTTGATAAGTAGAACGAGCAGGGAAAGGTGAAGGGAAGTCTGAACCATTGGAACAACATGTAAATTAAAATTACTGAAGTAACTAAAGACATTAGTGAAAATAAATAATACCAATTAAAAGGAGAAAATCTTATAATTATCACCATAGCACTACTACTAGATTCTCTTGCATCAATCTAGTAATCACCCATAGCATATACTCTTATTACTTATGACAGCTAACAGATGAATCTTCAAGAATTCAACCATAAAAAAAGCATGCAGGTTTAGGGTATTTTTGAATCTAAACGCTGGTCAGCCACAAGCCATAGTACATGCATGTTATCTACAGGCTAACACATTCTCGTGTTCGGCTAACAGATGGAGCATAATAAATTTTTACAGCCAGAATAAATTATTATCAGATGTGAATTCATTAGTAATCAGCATAGTTAAGCAGTTTGCCAATACAGATACAGGACTTTAATGATCTGCATTATGAAATTTATGTCTAATTATCTCCATCCAACGGTACTAGAAATTGAGTACACGTTTAGGACAGTGTATTCATCTTATCACCAAGCCATGTTATGGCAAGCTTCACCTTCTACAAAAGATAAACTGTCAAGGAAACATTAAGAATAAAAGTCACCATACAGAACTCACATTTAGCATATATCTCATTGACCTTCTTAAAGTCTTTCAAGTCAGCCAACCTGCAGGAAATAAAACCTCAAAAACTAGTAATATTGCTGAAATGTGCTAAACCCCAACCACAAAAGAAGAAGGAATTCATACATAATTGTTGTCTTAACGACTGAGGAGTAGCTGGCACCACCAGCTTTAAGGATTTCCCCCATGTTTTTGAGAAGCTACAAAGTGCAATTATCTCCAAATGTCAGGAACAGAATCAACAAGTAGATCGCAAAATCAACGAAATGTTACCATCGTACAAACATACAATAAAAGAATGGCATTCAAAAGAATGTAATGTATGTTAAACAATGAAATGTGGTCTGATTTCGTATCGAACCTGTTCAGTTTGCTCCTCAACATCATCAGATACGAATTTCCCTGTCTGAATTGAATAGCAAAACACACACATCGATAATATGAAGAAATGAACGTCAAAAATGAAAAGTGGTGATAACAATTAACAAACCTCGGGAACAAGGCCAAGAACACCAGACACGAAAAGAAGGTTGTTGGATTTGATTGCTTGAGAATATGGCCCCAGAGCCGCTGGGGCCCCTTCAGTTTGAACACTTTCCTTAACACCTAAAATACAAACAATCATTCACAATTTCCTCACTCTCTTCTCTACACAGTTAACTTCGATTCTTAAAAAAATTAACTATACGGGTCGCCATTGAAAGTAAAAAAGTTTTAAAATTTGAAGGCTTTTTCATAATGGGTACATACGAGCATCGGAAGAAATGCTCAAGCATGTGAATGGCAAAGAGCGGTTGGATGACGAAGAGGAACGCCAGAACGAGGTGCCGGCCACCGACAGACACCCTACTCCGGTGGCCAATAAAGCACGATTGCGCAGTGCGGCGCCTTCCATCGCCGGAATCTGAATGCTCCGAACACCGCACCACGAGGCCATTTCTATATCTTTGACTCTACCTCACACTCACTCACTCACTCAAATTCTTTGAAACAGCACAACCTGTCTTTTGTTTTTGGGTCGTCGCTATAGCATTTCATCTTTCCAGAAATACCCTTATTTCAGGCACGTATTTACTGTTTTTGTCCTTTCAAAATGGCTGGGTTCCCATGGTTCTTGGGCCGGGCCCACTCTCAATGCAAAGTCACAAATTGGTGTTGGAACATTTCTTCTTGCATTGCATCTAACAAAAAATCTTAACATACTTATTTTCACAATGAAAGAAGGATGTGCTAAGATATTTCGAATACTCTTCCAAAACAACATTCAGAAATTGAAACATTATTGTTATAATCTGGTTGAATGCTATTGAATTCGAATATATTTTTTATTTTTAGTTTGGAAAGATCATCACTCCTAGCTCGTTGAATTAAAGTGTAAGTGCAGATTATATCTGATCCACGCTTAGAGCATCCTCTTAATATAAAAGTAAATTATTTTAAGAAGTTAAAATTGATAAGTTGAGTAGTTAACTATTTTATGAAAAAAAGTACAAGAGATCATAATTATCAGTACTTAATTTGGCAATAACTTCAATAGATTATATACAAATTTGATACTACATTGAGAGAAACTCAACCTACTTTTACTTTTTTCATTACCATGCTCACCCTACCCTACTTTACAACTGAAACATTGTTGTTATTCAAGAATGTGGTCTGGAACATGAGTTCTGCACATGGGGCATGATCCTTGTTGGACTAGCCACTTGTCTATGCATTCTAGGTGAAAAAGGTGGCCACATTTCGGAAGTATCCTCACCAATTCTGCATCCTCAAAATCCTGCAAATCCAAATGTTAGGATGCTGGAGTTTGTTTAGTTCCAAGAAATAAACTTACTCTAATTCATGATTTTTAGGGAAAAATATATAATCGACATCAAATTTGTATTATACAAGCTAACTGATTTGAAAACAGGGAATGTTTCAAGAACTACGCATTGAGTTTTGAGAATGTAAGTGAAATTTTTGGGAGAGCAATGCATGTTTTAGTCAAATGATGTTTATTTATTGATGCATACTTGGCAACCGAATTACAAATTGTGGTATTCCGTCCCTCCCGTGAATTTTAGTCACGTCATTAATACTAATAGACTTCGATCCTTTTTGTGGGGAACTTCAATTACTTCAGTTCTGTTCATATTCCATCTACAACCTGTTCATAACCTTCAAACTTATCAAGTTTTTTGGGGGGTTGGGGGAGAACTTCAATTACTTCAATTCTATCTATAATTCGCAACAAGTGTCGATTGATTAATTGATTTCCCTAAACAAATTTCTGTTGGCTTTTCTTGAACCAAGATGTTTTCATTTTCACAGGACTAAGAGATGTTCCTCACCTGGAAGCAAATTGAGCAGCAAGAAATGGTGTATAATTTGGAAATTTTGCCAGAGTTGAATGGCTGAAAAGGAAGCTTCATAATTACATTCTGGGGTACTCCTCTTACTCCTGTGATATCATAAATGTCTGATACTTCTTGGTAAATTGTTTCCAGCGTGTTAATCTGAAACAAATGAGTTTCACCAAATGTGATTAAAATTCTGATACCTGGAATTCTAATATGGTCCACACACACTAATTACACATTAACCTAATTTTATAAGTTCATAATAATTCTAAATCTTACCAAAAATCTTCCTACTAATCCTCTTACTAAACGAAGAAAATATTAAATAGTATGGAAGGATTTAACACTTACAGTTACATGCAACTGATAGAGTTGTGCCACAGCTGGACATATCCATTCCATAAAGACTTTCCCATTTAATACACTTCTCAACAGGGCAAACTGCAGTTCCACACCAAACTTAAAGCTGAGTGAGAAGAACAAATTATCCTTGGACTATGGTAGGGACCAGTAACAAAAGAGCGCAAACATTCTGTTGCCGAAGTATGGAACTAGCAACTTTACCTTGGACACTGGCTCATCATCAGCATCAAAATTTAACAATTCCAGTGCTGCAATGGCTCCTGTGATTGCTCCCTTGCCAGCCCCATCAAGAAAACCAGATTCTGTGGTCTGCCCTTTTATGCCTCCAGCAATTGTTCCTACTATTGACCCTCCTGCACAAACATTAAACATTTCTCATATAACACGGTATCCGCACTGGCTTCACAATGTAAGGGGTTAATCACAAACACCATTTATCTTATTCCCTCATTCTTTTCAGTTTTTATTTTACTTTTGGATTAAAGTTGGAAAAGTACTTTTAAGTATTTCAATGTTTGTTTTTGAATTCGAATACAAAAAATGAAGAAGAATGAATAAAGGTGGTGAGTTCACTGTTGATTTTTGGAAGTAACAACTCCCCACCAACCCAAATATACACCAAATTTTTACTGTGGGACTAAAAACACTTTTTAACCCTCCAAGCGAAATTCAAGCATGCCACTTAATCTGACTAGCATAACTTACAGTTATGGTAAGACATGAAGCCATGTGAGATGGATAACGTTGTATATCAATAACAATAGTGCTTGCTTATTGAACTAGTGATTTCTCAGAACAAAGCCAACCCATGAGAATGCTAATAGCAAAGAGGAAGGAAATTAAATGCATCATACTTACCTACTGCCAGAATGCAAGTAAACAAAGCAAAAAGAACTCTCTCCATAGCCTTCATGAAGAGGCCAACTACAGAACCGCCAATGCAAAGTTGCTTACACCTTGCAGCTACTGTTTCTACCGTTTCAGAAAACCAGTTGGTGATAGTGAGAGAAGTGTTGGTAACAGGCATTTGAAACTGAGGGGATAAGAATGCTCAAAATGTATTGTGCTTGGAAATGATGCAGATAGACTTGCATTTATAAGCTGAGGGTACAGCCATGGATATAGCATTATTTAATTTAAGAGCACTGATATTTGAGCATAAATAAAGTTAAATTTCCCACACTACTTTCTTGAAATACTTCAAAATATACTAGTACATTCACCCACATTATTTTCTTTTTAATACCAAGTATTGATCTGTGAACATCGTTTTCTAGAATTTAAGTAACAACGTATTATTGATGAGTCATGAGTGGTTGATTACGTGTATCCTCCTTATGATGCACAGTTAGATAGAAAGAGTTGGTGACTAATTTAATAAAAAGAAAAGAATGTTATGACTGCTGCTGATAGCTCTAAAATTTTGAAATTCCAAAATCTCATAAATTAAAGCATTCTGGGTTTGCCTGAATATAAATAATAAGGAAAATAATTGGGCATCGTTATGTACTTTGGACATAGAAATAAAGTCTTAACAAATTTACTTAAGCTAATAGGGCACACCAATTCACCAAAGAATGTTGTGAGAAGAAAAGAGAACACGCAAAGGAAAATATATGAAAACAATAACCAAATTGCTACCTAATTTTCTTGTGTTTTTTTTTTTTTTTTAGGGTTGGCTGCTTGGGTCACTTTGCTGGTTACCTAAAACTCCAAGGTTCTTTAACCAATCTTTGTTGTTCAATGTAAATACTACTAATTAGGTCGGTTAAATGGGTGAGTTGACTAATTTTTTTATTTGAATTTTAATGAAAATTGTACTGTGTTAATCTATTGAAATTGATACAAATTTGTGTATTAAATATGATCAATTGGCATGTATCTAAACACAGTAAAAAAAAACTAAATGAATTAAATTTCAAAATAATCAAAAAATGAGTTTTATTCTACAAATATACAATGACATAGAATGTAAGAATAGAATGAGATTGAGTGAGTTAAATCTAGTTGTGATTATTGGTGAAAAGGAAGCATATTGGGTGGGTTGATTTTGGTGTTATCTTCTTATTGTGTTGTCATGAGTTAAACCTAAAAATACTTGGAATGGCATCATAACATAAAAAAGGTTCAAGTGGGGTGGTGGATGGATTGGCTATCCTACTGTTTGAAGTTCAATTTTGTTGCCCTATTCTTTGCAATAAAGGAAAGGTAAGATATTTAGGGTCTTTATGATAGGTAGTTTCAAACAGTAGGGGAGAGAAAAAACAAGGAAATAACCAAAACAAGGTGCTGAAAACTGGTTCCTGGTTATACTGCATCTGTGGGCTGATATGTAGAGTTAATAGAGAGGACTTCATTGCATTAACTCATGGTAGATATGGATCACACATATTTTATACTTAGTCTCCTACACCACGTCATTTTTTACTTATAATTATCTTCCTTCTTTTTCTTTTAAAGTTGCAAAATATTAAGCTAGATCAAATTTTGGTAAAATGTGAAGGAATAAAAAAAGACTGTGTTTGTTTGATAGTAGATTTTTTAAAAAATGAAACTTTACTTTGGACTTCAAATGGGTGTATGATTACCACAAGTAAAGTCATAAATGAAGAGGATTGGGTCAATTAATTCACACACGTGCAACACAAGTGCAAGTTGCACCATATTTGGTTTTTAGTGTAGTGGAGGAAATTTGCATAATTTTTCATAATTATTAAATTAGTTTTGTTTATTTTTTATGTTATTTAGTGAAATAATTAATAGAATTGTTTAAATAACTTACAATTGGTAATGTAAGTTGATAAGAAAGAAACATGAGGCTGAGTATTTGGGCCTTTTCAGTACTCATCCTAAATGCTGTTTCATTTTTTATTCCATTCTTTCATCTTACACCTCATGTTTAAATAAAATAATAATATTATCCCTAATTTAATTAGGTTATAAAAATATTAGATACGTCATAAAAAAATATTCTAATTTTTTTTTATTTGACCATTTTGAAAATTTTCTAAAAAAGTTTCAGATTTAACTTTCCGAAAATATTTTAGAAAATTATTTTTAAAACGTTTTTGAGAAACTTTTGAAAATTTTTGAAAACATATTTTTTTAAAATATAATTCAAAAATAAACCATGAATTGTATTTTTTAATTTTATTTATTTTTTAAAAATATATTTTAAATTTAACCATCCAAAATTTATTTTTAAATTTAATAAATCTGGAGATTATGTATTTAAAACTCATTTTCATAATTTTTTAAAAAACATATAAAAGAAAAAAATAAAATAATACTTTTCCCAAACAAACTTTTTTGTTTTGTTCGAAAGAAACTAAGTTTTTAAAAACTCTTAAAAGAAATCTTCAGTTGTGTCACGTTCTCTCCGATGAATGTATTTATACTTACACATTAACACTTTATTTGAAAAAGTTACTTTAAAGTGAAGTGAACTATGAGATTCCACACAATAAAAACGTGTTATTAATAGGGTGGTTAAATATGAATTTGACAAATTTTCACACTCTATGTAATCTTATTTTAAATATTTTGTTGTTATATTATTATTTGTGACATTTTTTACATATGCATACACCAAATAAGTATATACAAATAATTTTTCTAATGATTTTCTTACAGTAGATTTTTACATTGGTTCGGAAATGAAATAATTGCATTTGGAGGGTTAAAATATTGAGTTGGTTTGTTACATCGTTATATTTTTTGGATAAATATTTACGAAACCCACTTTTAAAAATTTTGTATGCATTTGTTTCATTTTCAAAAATAAATTCTGAACTTACAAATATTTTGAATATTTTTACAATTATATATAAATAAAAATTTTTATTATTTTGACCTTACAAATTCAGTTTTATCTCCATATATCTTTTAAAAGTAAGGAATACTTTAATTTATATATATATATATATATATATTATTTATATTTTCACCCATACTATTTAATGAAAACTACTTTTAAAAATTATAAATGTCAAATATTTTATTTTTATAAATTTTATAAGCACTATGTTTATAAAAATGAAATTCATGTCATATTTAGTCTTTATATATTGTTGGGTGCAGAGATAAATTATTTTCAGAATTGTGTAGGTTTGAAATGATTTATTCACCTATTAAACTTTTTTGAAAATTTATTAATACGGTTGTTGAAACAGATACAAAAGTTAAAAATAAAAATAATAATAATTATTTGTTATTTTTTAATATGAGATTAAGGATGTATTTTTTAATTTAGTTAGATTGGTCTCATTTTATATATTTTTTCTCATAAAAATATCTATAAAAAAAAATCATTTAGGTATATATGACTTGGCTTATCTAAGTAGATAACATAGGTATATTTTTGTTAAACACATTTATTTAGTTTTATAATTTATTTTTTTTAATTACAGATTATATTTTTTCTAAAATAATTCTCATAAGCATGTAATATCAAATATTCATTTAATAAAATAAAAAATAAAACAAAATGAAATTGACAAAAATAAAGGTTGCTTTAGCCACGCAACCAAAGAAATGGATTAGAAAAGTTATTTGTGACTTGAAAGCTAAGTTCTTTAATTTGTAACTTCAAAAACTCAAACAATGCCATTATTTTTGGAACAGAAGAATTAAAAAAAAAAAACAAATCACGTTGTAAATGATTAATAAAAAATGTGGTCATAAATAAAAGAAAGAAATAAAGGGCATGCCCTTTTTCTTTACCACAAGAAGGTGTGTGTGTGTAGCATCTTTAAAAGAAAAGACAAGAATTTGGTAGGAATGAAATTATATTTAATTTGGACATAATTTATCTTTAAAATAATGAAAAAAAAACTAATATTAATTTATTTAAAGAACTTGATATTTTGAAATAAAAATACATCGTTCTTATAGGAATAATTTCAATTTGTTTGCAAGAATATAATTTTTAAAAAATGTTTTTTCCCTCGTTCTCCTGTCACCTGCCTTCTTATGACATCGTTTTAAAATTCATTTTATAGATAACAAATTTAATAAGATATATTATATATCATGAAATGATATATATTATTAAGAATGATATAATTAAGAATCATTTGATTGATCACCAACAGTATTATTTTTATGATTGGGTAGATATTTTAGTTATTTTATCTTAAATAATAGTTTTTATCCTGATTTTATCAGATAAAATAATGTATTTTCCTGAGAATAATATGGACAATTTAAGTTTATTGGATGAAAATTTTAACTATAATTAAATTATAATTAATCATATCAAATAATTAATTAAAATATGATTTTATATTGTTTATAGTATATAATTATTATGCTATTTATGAACATGATAAATTTAATTCTTTATTTAAATTTAAATCATAAATATTTTGCACATTATAATATGTATCATTTAAATGTTCGGTAAATTAATAAATATGCTTTTCGAGGTTTTTCTATTAATGATTATATTCGAAAGCATTTCTTAAATATGTATCATTTAAAGAATAATTTATTTCTACTTCATGATATTATAATTTTTCTCATATTATTTTATCAAATTTACAAAGTGTTTTTTCTAAGATAATTTGATTCTATCTTACATAAATATCAAAGAGAGAAATACTCTAAATTTGTGAATTGGATTATAATTTATAATATATTAATAGATGAATCTTTAATTTATCAAGACACATGTATGTGTATGATTATGAACATGGAAACGTGAAAACCTTAATCATATTAACTTTTAATATTAGGTAAAAGTCAATCCAAATATGAGGTGAGAACATTGTCTTAAAGAACATAAATTTTAGTTGTTTAATCATTCATTACCATAAAGCCATGTGGTGGATGAAAGAGGAGAAATAAAAAATTGTGGTGTTGGATACACATCTGTGATTCTATTGTTCCAACCTTGAATCATAGGTAGATTAGGTGTCCCTCCTCGGAAGTTTCTCTTCAATGGACTCACTCTTAGGCTCTAACCTTTTTTGATCCTAGAATAGTTTCAATCATTTATAGTTTAAAACACATTAAAATCCAAATTTCACTGTTGACTTGGTTATACCTTTATCCTTTTTCTTCAGAGTTCAGACTCATTCTACTTTCCTCTCCACCTTTAAAAAACTGCAGATTCTGATCCATTCTGCATCAAACTTTGGCTTATTCCCCATTCTCTCCATTTACACCTCAATGCTTATTTTTCTTGAATTCTCATCTGGATTCATTCCTTCTTCATGCTTTGACTGAATCACTTCTCAAGTTGATTTTGTGTTGTAACAACTTAAAAATATCATTCCTTCTTGTGTCCTATCTATGGGTGGTTGTCTGAGTAAAAAAGGGTCAGAGCCAGAAGAGCACATTGGTTACAGACATGTTGCTGGGGGAGCTCAGGATCACAAGAGCCATGAACCCTTTGTCCAATCCAAACCCCCCTCTCATCAACCTTACCAATTACCCGTGAAACATGCACCTCAGGCTGCTTGGAGACCCACTGTTCCTTCTCCAAGCCCAAAACATGTTCACAGGGCTGATACCATCACTGGGAAGCCATTTGAGGATGTTAAGCAGCACTACTCACTTGGAAAAGAATTGGGGAGAGGCCAATTTGGGGTGACTTACCTCTGCACTGAAAATTCAACTGGCTTGCAATATGCCTGCAAATCCATTTCAAAGAGGAAGCTTGTGCGCAGAGATGACAAGGAAGATATGAAGAGGGAGATTCAAATCATGCAGCATTTAAGTGGACAATCTAACATTGTGGAGTTCAAAGGTACTTACGAGGATAAACACTCAGTTCATGTGGTTATGGAGCTTTGTGAAGGTGGCGAACTTTTTGATAGGATTATTGCCAAGGGGCACTACAGTGAAAGGGCTGCTGCTTCAGTATGTAGACAGATTGTTAAAGTTGTTAACATCTGCCATTTTATGGGGGTGATGCATAGGGATCTGAAGCCAGAGAATTTCTTGTTGTCCAGTAAGGATGATAAGGGACTTCTCAAGGCCACAGATTTTGGTTTGTCAGTCTTCATAGAAGAAGGTAAACTTGTTATCCATTTACTGGTCCTTGTTATGAGATTTAAACTGTTGTGGATTCCTGAAAGATAAGTATGTCAACTCTGGAATAGTTGAGAATAAGCTGCTAAAATTTTAAGGGAAAATTTGTGCAATTTTCCATCCACAACTCAGTCCACCGGTTTTCTTTTTTGTGAGAATTGGATGGAACTGTAAGATTGAAAATGATTTTTCTGTTAAGTGCTAACAGTGCATTGTCAATACTTGCCAGTTTGAGAAACTTGTAATTTCTTTGAAGGGTTTATTTAATGTTAATTTAAAGTGGATTAAGTATATGACCTAGTTTAATTAGGTATACCCTAAATGTACAAGCATGCTGTCTAAGTCTTTGCAAGGATATTATATCTCTTTTTTTTTTTTTTTTGGCACTTGTGGCATTGTCGCACTGTTTGACATGATATAGTAAAATTTGAAAAAATAAGTATTCATTTGGTCCATCCTAATTAATCATTCACCAGCATTGATTTGACATGATTCATCAAAAAGTCAGAATCTATCCTTTCATTAATGAAAGGATAGTCATCATACCCATGAAGGACCATTACAATTTTTCACTACAACTATATGATACACCTGATATACATATTTTGTTGGTTTGACAACAACTTGGACTTTTGATCAGAGGATTTATCTGATTGAAACGTAGGATTGTTTTCCACTTAGAACATATACTAAACTTTTTCTGATTAAATCTTTACAGGAAAGGTGTATCGAGACATAGTTGGCAGTGCTTACTATGTTGCTCCAGAAGTTCTACGACGAAGCTATGGGAAGGAAGTAGATATATGGAGTGCAGGAGTTATACTGTATATCTTACTTAGTGGTGTACCTCCCTTTTGGGCAGGTAAACTCTGACTTTCATATGTTGATAATAGATAATCTCCTTGAAGAGGTTAGCTTCCTGCTATTTTATACTTGACTATTTTTTTCATCAAATATGTGCTGTAGAGACGGAAAAGGGAATATTTGATTCCATATTACGGGGTCATATTGATTTTGAAAGTAATCCGTGGCCTAGCATATCAAGCAGTGCTAAGGACCTTGTTCGGAAAATGCTTACAGAGCATCCAAAGAAACGCATTACTTCAGCTCAGGTTCTAGGTAGGTAACTTTTATCGTGTTTAATAGTTTGCCTTATTTATCTAATTGATCCCCTCTAACTTACTACTCTAGACTCCATCCACATTGGTTTTGCTTGAGTTCTATCCTAACTCCTAACAAGTTCCTGTTATTATAAATAAATAGTGTTGCATATGAAACATGAATTTAGGGCTTAAAAACAAACTTATAAGATCCCAAGTTTTTTTCATATCTGAGAATACCAACCAATGTTGCACGTGAACATTTCTTCTATTATCTATCCTTGAAAAATGTCAGTGATTTATTTACAGGATATTCTGTATTTGAGAGATATTACAGTTAAGAGAGAAATGAAAAATGTTGAAGAGTGTATTTTAGTCACTAATGCATATCTGTTACAAAGTTCGTGTTTATATTGTGTTCTAATAGATAACTACACTATATTAATAAACTGTCTAAGTACACTCCTGTAATAGAAAAGGAACATTATTGAACATGAGGGAAGCCAGTAATATGGTGTCCGTGTCTTGATACAGCGACTCAACTGTTTTCCATTACTATTACTATTGACTGATAGCTTGATTGCAGCATCCTTAAGAATTTTCTTGGATGATGAATTGTAATTTCTCTAATAATCGATGGCTTGTATTGTTTGAATAAACAGAGCACCCATGGCTTAAAGAAGGTGGAAATGCTTCTGACAAGCCAATAGACAGTGCAGTGCTTTCCAGAATGAAGCAATTCAGAGCAATGAATAAACTAAAAAAACTAGCCCTCAAGGTTAGTTAGTCCACCACAAGATGCATGAAGAGACCACAATTCCCTTTTATGCTTACTGTGTTTGATTTTGATGGCATATTCTACCTCTGTCTATGGATCAACAGCTAAAAATAGAGAGCTAATTTTAACCCAATGTCTGTTTTAGTCAGTAATTAAACTTGGAGAGACATAAAATATTATTCTAGTGTTCTATTATTTGTGACTCTAAATTGCTTAAATCGGTGTAACTTATGGAATAAACTGGGTGGATTTTGAACAATCTTTTAGGTCATTGCTGAAAATCTTTCTGAAGAAGAGATCCAAGGTTTGAAGGCAATGTTCACAAATATGGACACTGACAATAATGGTACAATCACCTACGAGGAACTGAGGGAAGGATTGCAAAGACTTGGCTCAAAGCTAACTGAAGCTGAAGTGCGACAACTTATGGACGCCGTAAGTTAGTGTTGAATTCACAAGATTTATCCTTCATTGTCTCTTCTATGTTCTGTGAAGCTTACATTCCTTTTCTTAATTTAGGCTGATGTAGATGGAAATGGCTCAATAGATTACATAGAATTCATCACTGCTACAATGCATAGACACCGGTTAGAGAGAGATGAACATCTTTACGGGGCCTTCCAATATTTTGACAAAGACGGCAGTGGGTAAGTCTATATCTATTGTGAATTCAAATTTGTTCTTCAACCTGTCACTTTATGGAGGTAATCTTTTTCCATCACTTAATTGTGAATTAAAATTTTGAATTTCAAGAGAAATGACCCATGCACGGTGGCTTTTTGTCACAGGTATATCACAAGAGATGAACTGGAATCAGCCATGAAGGAGAATGGTATGGGTGATGAGGACACAATCAGGGAAATTATATCTGAAGTTGACACTGATAATGTAAGCCATGTCCTCTATTGACATGTTACAGTTTTGTTCTAGTTCCATAGTTTAACACTCAATTTTGTGGTTTCTCAGGATGGTAGAATCAACTATGACGAATTTTGCACAATGATGAGAAGTGGAACCCAACAACAAAGCAAGCTATTCTAATGTCACTAGATTGAGTGGAACCCCTGGTTCAGAGAAAGGGTTCCAAAAGTTACTAGCCATGTAAAGCTTAGAGTTTAGATTTGATGTCAACTCTTATTCCTCTTTCTGGTTTCCTTTCCACTTTGAAGATTTTTTGTCGAGTCCCCAAGTAATTTATTATGGACACAAATAAAAAAAATGGATTGATTGCACTTCACTGATGAAATAATTATTGGGTACCCAAAAAGGAAAATGGTTTTGTTACTGATTATGATAACCCTGAAATTGCATCGTCATGCCAGAATAATTGGTCGTTTCTAGCACTACTTGAGGAGATTTCTTATAAATATATTATTTTAATATAAGTCTTGTATATCAATTTGTTTAAAATAATATATTTTATTTATAAGAATTCTTAAAAGAAAACATATTACAGAGTTAGATTTTTTTTTCTTAAATATATATATATATATATATATATATATATATATAGTAATTTGTCTAAACATATTTTAAACAGTAAATAATATCTTAAAGTCAACGTTTCAAAATAAGCATAAAAGGTTTGTTATAGATTTTCATACGCCATATCAAATCATAGAATGAAGGTAAGAATTATATGATTGAGGTTGATTGGAAAGTTGACCATTTCTGAAACCTATATATAAATAAATGCGATCTTGGTAATTTCTCATTAATCATGGAATGAATCTTAAAAGATAATAATGAATTAGGTTTAACGGTTAAAAAGAAGGACTCTTGAGTGAAACAGAGACAAGATTATAAAAATTAGGGTAAGAGACAAAAGTGATAAAGTGTGCTAAATCATTCTGAATTTCGTACAAAAACAGTTAAGCATTTCATTAAAAAAGGTAATAATACTATTAATATACAGTTCATAATTGGGTTACTCAATAGAAAAAAAAGAATAAAATTGATAAATGAAACATATAAATTATTTTTACACAAGATGAAAATATTTATCAATAATACCTTTGTCATTAAATCTACACAATATCACATAAAATCAAAATATACTTTAATGAATGATATCAATTAAATTTATACAAATATAACGTTATTAAATAAGAATATATTCATCGATCGTATCAAGATTCAAGCTGATACGATATGATGCAATTTTAGAAAATAGAAATATGCTACAGATCATTATTTTGGCGGGATATGATTGAAATTTAGTGACAGAAATGTTTGATCATTTCTCTTGCATAAATAGGAGTGAAGGGGGAGAATAAGGAGACACAAAACTTGTGTAATCTACAAGAGTGAAACCTAAAGCAACGGAAGAAAAGAATTTTATTGGAGCAGCAATGAAAAATCTTGCGAATGGAATCACATTGAAGACGGTGGTTCGTGAGTTTCTTGCAGCAAAAGAAAAACACTTCCATGCAGAGTATTTTTCGTTTCTTTCTGCAGATGAAGACTTGTCCATGGAAATGGATGAAAGGGGTCTCAAAAGGAAAGCTGAAGAAGTATCTAATTATAACCCATCAAAGAGAATCAAGAATGAAGAAGGGTGTAACAGTAACCACGGTGATGACGTGCAGAAGTTGAGTTTAACCAAAAGGGTTAGTCTTTTCCAACGTTGCAACAAAGAAGAAGAGACTAATTATAACCCACGAAAGAGAATTAAAAGTGAGGAGGGATGCAGCAATAGCAGATCAAAGTTTGAATATTTGGTGGATGCTGTTTCCTTATTTAGTGTATACGAAGAGGAAAGAGATTTACTAAAAAACAGGCATGATTTGATCAGAAATGGTGGAAGTGTGGATACTGAGAAAGAACAACCTCGTGAATCCGGTAAATTGCTGCCAAGGGAATTTCGAGAAAAGATCCAAGAACTGAATGGACGTGAGGTGAATTTTGTTACCGAAAAGAAACTTTTTGATACAGATTTGAACCCACAGAACGCTCGCTTGTCTATCCCACCCGGCAAGATTGTGAACAGGTTTCTTTCAGAAAGTGAGGAGTTATCGTTGAATGAACGCATGAGAGAAAGCAAAAGGCTTGGTGGCGTGTGGGTGAGTGTCTTGGATCCTGGTCTGAAAGAGTACAAGATGTGCTTGAAGAAGTGGAGGATGGAGAAAAGCTACGTGTACAACTTGACAAAGGGATGGAACCAAATGGTACGTGGGAATGATCTCAAACTCCATGATACGCTGCAACTTTGGTCCTTCAGAGTCTCCTCTCAGCTATGTTTCGCACTCGTCAAAATGTGAACTCATCTACGATTGGATCATCATTTGAATCTTCAAAACCATGTTTCACATATTTCAATTACATTGAATGGTCGGATTTTTCTGGTATTCAGTTAGTGATTAAACTGCTCTTATTTAACATTTGGATACATAGATCCTAGATTACATATGAGGTTGTACACATAGATCCTATAACATTTGGTATGTTTTAGTCTGTTGACAGTATATTCCTGTCTAAAATAGTATTAACAAGTTATAAATTTAGATTTGTTAATCTTAACACTCTGAAAGAATGGGATATGGATAAATTTACTTGCATTAGTTAAACTAAAGGGTGTTCATGGGAAGGAGTTAAATTTCATGACATTACTAAATCCGATTAAAATAATTTAGATGAAGATTTATGTCTTTTTTTTTTCAAATCTAAATAAAGCAATGTGGATAATCTTATTTTTGATGAAGAAAATGACAAAATACTCCAAACTTGTTACTTATTTTTCATAAACAGTGTGATAGGTTTAGTTGATGAGCAGAAGAAAGGTAGTTTGGTCAAAAACCATGAATCTTGATCTGGTCCTTCCGAACAAGGGAAGCCTGAATGAGGAAGAGAGAAACGTTTTTACGCTGATCACCTTGGAGTTGGATGATCTTGCCAAGCTCCTTGTCATGCACAACATTGCCATTGCAGCAGAACTCTTTCTTCAGGTCTTTCAGGATCTTATCATAGCTGAACTCTTTCCTCAGCCCTTGCACTGTCGTCAAACTCTTCTTCCCATTCCTCTGTTGTATGCGGATATGCACGTACTCCTTCGCCCCGGGGGCATCTCTTTCTTTAGCCTCAGCAAATGGGTCCAAACTGTTACTTGTGATCTCAAAAATACCCACTTCAACCATATATCTACCTATAAATTTAAGCATTGTTAACGTACAAAAAATATTCAACACAAAAGCATAAGCTACATGCATGAAGCACCCTTCCCTTCACATCATGCATATATATGAAAATCTAAAAAATATCAGTCACAGGTTTCATTGTTATTTATCCGACGAATTTTAGTGAAAATTGAATACGTCATCCATGTAACGAGAAACTGTGTTCGATTTCGACATTGTTTCAAGATAATCACAATCAATGGACCCTATGACAGCAAAAAAAGAAAAAGGAAAAAAATTTGAAACTTAAACAATATTAGGAAGGTATCACGTTGAAGGAGATACGAACCTGTGAGAAAGAAAGAGTTGCAAACAAAGCAAAAGAGAATTGAGAAGAATAGGAAGTGGTGTGTTATATATATAGTGGAGCGTGTGATTGAGTAAGTAATTTAATAGCAGTGAAACTATTCTAGGAGAAGCATTTCTTCATCATGCAAAACAACTTTTGACTGTATGAGTACTCTATAGATTTATGCCTGCAGATGTTAAATATTGATTTTCGTGCCTAAAAGTAGAATAAAAAATCTTAGCTCTAAGATTTTTCTTTTTCAATATCTGCAATTAGTGTAACGGTTCTTAATAGCAGAATATGATGTGCTTTTGGGTGGATGGAGTATCTTATTCGGGATGGGGTTGATAAGTGGTGGTAACTGAAAGCACAGAATCGCAACATACTTTGTGTGGTACAGAACGAGGGAAAGAAGAATCTACACTCAAATTGCATACTTTGGAAATTCTGTTCCTTTTTTGAGTATTTCTGGATATTTTTTAAATGTGAGCATACTTCCCCTTCCTTCTAACTTCTTTCCAATGCTGCCGTGTTCTTTTTTATCCTATCACGTTACCCATTTTATTATACAGTTATTCTTCTTATCTTTCTCTGTATGCATAAATTTAAAAATACAATTTTTTTGTTTATTTTTACCCTTCAAGTTATTCAAAGAAAGCTCTGTTTGTTTACCCTGTATTTATTTTTTACTCAACCACTCTCCTTTAGCTGACCAACACAGAACAGACATTGAATGGCAAATACAAAACAGCCTTCTTAGAGCACGTATAAAATAATCATAAGCTAAAAAATTTCATAAATTCATGTAAATAGTTTATTTTTCCAAAAAAACATTTTTACTAAATTTGAATTAATGTTCCAAAAACTCAATGTATTTTATAAACAAATTATTTTTTTTCTTCATAAAATAGTTGAAAAGGGGAACAGAAAAAGTAGTTTCCCCAATCGTGTTTTTAATTGTGAATGAATGCAGGTTAGATAACACAACAGATTTATTTTTCATTCTTTTAGTGTGCAACGAGTCCAAAACAGCAACTCGTGATAATTCATGTTACTGAAGGAGCAAGTAAATAATGGGTTAATTTGTATAAAATCTCTATCTTGGTAAAAGCATAAATTCAAAGCACCACACTGTCCTTATAAAAAGAAGAAAAAAGGATATCAAACATTGCATGCTCGGGTAAATCATCTTAAAAACGAATACAACTCATTTAAATCACAATAACACTCCATACTGTTAGAAACCAAATCCTCTTGTAATATTTTCACACATTGCTTCCCTTTTCATCATAACCAAAAATTCTCACCATCTTCATCAAACCAAAGAGGCTTCCATTTGCTTTCTAAGTATATTGAATTCCCCAACAATCTCGTATCTTCACAGAAGCTTTAGATTTTTTTTTCATGTACAAACAAGAGCATGACAGCTTTCGTCTCAATGACTAGGTGAAGAATACCAAGATAAAGAGGAGAATGAATAGCGCCAGCAAACCCAGAATCATCATGATCTGGCCCTTTGCGCTAGCCTTCTTCATGACCATTGCTACTTTTTTCTGATAACATAAATAGTGAGAGACACGCTTCAGTTTTCAAATTCAACATTCCCCCCCCCCCTATGGCCCAAACATTTTAATGAGATAATAGAAACTAGATGCGGAAACTCACTTGCACAAAATCTAGCCGATTAGATGTACTGTCCATCTCATTACCCAGTTCATCAATAATCTTCTCCTGAAAAATCAAATCAAGGCTTTAGGATGAGAAATTTCCCACAGAAATAAAATCAGGCATGAGAATAAAAGCAACAATGTTGTCTAGCTTCCTACTTTTGAAACAAAATTGTAAGAATAAAAGGGAAAGCTAGTGCATGACACGACTCCCACCTATTGGGGTTCGGGAATGATAAAAATATACAGCCTTCCCTGCAAGGGGAGAGAGGCTGCTTCTGGGATTTAAACCATTGACCTCCAAGTCATAAGGTCTAAACCAGGCACTCGCACTATGCAAAATGGTACGATCACAGACAAAAAATCTTCTCAAATGTCAAATCTACCTGCGCAAGGAGCTCTTCATGTATAGTAAGTCCAACACCTCCAATTCTTTGTACACTTATACTAAGCTCGTCCAACTCCTCATCCTGTCTCCTATCAGAACCAATAGATAAAAAAAAAGTAGAAAGAAGAGGTTGATTGTTTTCCCTTACTCTTGACCATTGATACCAGCCTTTATCTGTGTTAAGGTTACCTGCCACAGTCTTTTCATTCTCCCATTTTTTATTTTACAAAGGAAACAAAAAGGGAATCCATCATTTTAGTTATGATTTCTTGTTTAAAGTACTAGTAGATTAAAAAATTTCAGATAATTAGCAACGGTGAATTCCCAAAACAGAAACTTATAATTACAAGAGAAGCAAAAGAAGCATATGCTCGTGTGTCCACTGTTTCATATAGAGCAGCCCACCTATGTCTCAAAAAGCATAGGGGACGATAAATATAGTTCAATCAAAAATATATTTTGCATCTTGATATATGCACTAAAGAGGCTGTCAGTGAGTTTAATCTGGCGACGATGTGCCCAAAGTCAATTAAAAGCCGGACAAAAGACAAATATTTAATTGATTGGCATATGAAGGTGTGAGAGAGAAAAGGATAAAATAAGTACTTTATAAGAAGCATCTGCCTATCTGATTCTGATTCTATGAAATCATCATTATGCTGGGTAGCATTTTGAGCAGACGTAGTTTGATGAGAATTAGGAAGCCTCATTAATTCTCTGTGCATCCCATTTAGACTAGCATTGTTTGCTATATTTGAGCCTTTTCCCGCTTCCACTGCTTTCTTTGCTGTGCTCACCTAATAATGAACTACAATCATTCCCGAGCACCATACAGATAAAAAGGGAGAGACTAGAAGGGAATCTAATGTGAGGTTCAAATTGAAAAATACTACATCAACAATTGTACATTAGGTTGAGAAAAAATTTGACAACATTCTGCTAACTCTTAATCAAGTTCAGCATGTTACAGATACCTGGGTCCGAGCATCACTGGTCCACCTCCTCCGATTTTCAAGCTCCACTTCATCAATGCTATACCAAGAAGGATCTCTAGAGGCTACAGAAATTGCTTTGTCCAATTCATCTACCTTTCTATCAAAAAAATCGTATTTCAGCAGTTTGAATAGGTTGTGTTGCAGAAGAAAAAGCATGTCTAAAATGTGTGACAAAGAGAGGGTAGGCTAAGAGTGTGCTTCTAGAGTTAGAAGTAACTTTCTATCTGTTTTCTACTCTGACTTTTTTTTAACAACTAAAAAAGATTGAAAATCAAAACATTTCCACTTCACTTCATTTTTAGTCCCCTCCTTCACCTTTCCTAGCTCGCCCCAAGGGAAGGAGCAAAGTCTAATTAAAAACAGGGGAAAAGGGAAGGGGATTAATGATGATGTTTCTGTCCTTCATTGGATGCCTAAAGAATACAACGGGGAAGGAATGGTATGATGAAATAAAAATACATGAATATTATACATTTATTATTAACTCATAAGGTTTGATGTTAACATTATAATTTAATGAAGATATTTACAGTTATGTCGCATCATTGCAATGATCACAGAGTCAACTATTTTTTTGTTTTTATGATAGATGAACACCAAGTACTTGGACATAGATTGCAGCATTTTCTTGACGGTTAAATGCAAATTCCTCATTTTCCTTAATACCACACTAAAAATATCCCCAATCAAGAAAAGGAATATACTCCTTACCTCTGGCCTAGATTGTACTATAATCCAAACATTCCTCGAATCTCTACCTAATAATACCCAAATCCCAATTCATACAAACGATGGTTGTACCATGTAGGAGAATGAATAAAACTCATTTCAAACAAAAATTTACAGGCCAACTAAACTGCCAGTGGTTCAAAATACACAATTGTTATACCTGCCATTCAATGCTTTCACAGCTAGTAAGAACTTCCTTTGAAAGATTGGATTGCTCGCCAGCATCAGCAGCTTTTTCCCATTGGCGAAAAGTAGATTGCAGCTTATCAATCTTACCAGAAATTGAAAATTAATCAGCCAATAAATTACATATCATCCAAAATTTCATACAGCCATTAACAAAGTCCCAAGTTTATTTTCTGCTTCAGATCAATTACATGAGATATTAAAAGCAAAAATATCCAATTAATAGTCCCAGTTCTGATTGGAGAAGAAGAATCGCTAAAAATCCCGGATCCACTTATACGAGTAACAGAGAACATGCAGAAATTTTAAGTAGAACGCATGATTTATCACAAAATAATAAGTAATTTTATTTAAAAAATGAACTTATAACAAAACCTAGGTAATATGGGTAAAAAGGAAATGCTTACAGATTCTTGAATCTCCTCCTTCACAACATAGAATGGATCTTGAGCTGAAGGCATCGTGTACTGGTGTTTCGAAATGCTTCACACTAAACACACGAAATTGGGGAACAGAACAGAGTGACACACTCTGCTTCCTCACTTCCCTTACTTCGCAACTTCATTTGTTTATATATATTAGATTTTGTCAATTTTAATTGGATTTATTCAGATAAATGAGTTAAATGAAATAAAAACACAATTTCTCAATAATAAAAATACAAACCAATGAGTAATTAGTTCTTAAATAACTAAAAAAATATTGTTAAAACCTCTTTTCATCAAATACATATAAACACAAAAGGTATTCATCTAATTAATTATTAGAAAACTTTTCATCAATAATTTAAATTTTAAACAGACATATTTATCAAGTGAAATATAACAGAAATATAGAGTTAGACTTTTGGTGACTAAAAAATATGATAATAATGTTTTAGATATAAAGTGTACTTAGTTAATTAAATTCATACTTTTCTATATTAAGCAAATAATATATGCATTGAAAGTTAAAAAGCTTTTTAAGAAAGATATAATACAAATAAATAAAAAAACATGACTCTCATTTTTTTATTCAAAATAGTTATTATTTCCGACATAAATTGTTTCTATCTAGAGGAAAATTGTTCTATTAATTTTTTTAAGCTATGTCAATAAAAAAGTAAATTAAATAAATGAAAAATAAAGCAATGATTAATGTACATTTATTTTTTAAACATATAGCTACTTTATCATTTTTCTATTTTTTAATATATCATAAACATTATAAAATTTATAGCTTTTTCTTCTGTGAAGGGACTATTTTAGTGTTTTTTACTTCAATGGATATACATATATGTTTTTTCATACAAATATAATAGAATGAGATTATTTCAAAAAACAAAAAAACCATTTCATTGTTATGATATTTTTACAGTAAACAATAATATATATGTAAATTATGATATTTAAAAAATGAATTAAAATAAATTATGATATTTAAAATTTTATATAATTTTTATTTAAAATATATCATTATTTAAGAAACTGATAGTTATACACTAAATTTACAGAGCGGCTAGAGACCACGAATTCCACGACACATTCGAAAGTTGTGAGAGGGGTTTGAGGGTCTTTGCAACATGAAAACGGTAATTTAAAAAAAAATTGTAAATATGAATAAAAGAATGCATTAATAAGAAAAAACGGTGTAAATAGAAATTCATTCTATTTATAATTGGACTGGACATGATCCAGTTTGGATTAAGGCCAAGGCCCAAATACTTTTTGTTCATTTTGCAGTAGAAAAAGAAATTTGATTTTTCTTTTCCTTTTAAGTGTTTGCGTGTCCCACATTTGTAAAATATGTAAAATCACGGAAATAGCTCATTTCCTTAAACGTAAGGCATGTCAAACAGCATTTTTTTTATATTAATATATTTGATATTAAATCACATTTAAATAGTTAAAAAAATGCATAACTTCATTTACTATTTTTATAATATTTATTTGTAATTGTCTCAAATTTATAGTTTTTATTTTGTATAATAAAACAAAAATTGTTATATGTAATATGTATTAACTATATTATAATGAATAATTTTATATAAAATATAAATTAACTCAATCATTAAATTAAAAATAAATAACAATAAAATGGACTAAAAAATTCGTGTGTAAGTTTTGATAATGTCGCACTCTTCATTTGTGCATGTTCTCAAATTTTAATTAACTATAAAAAAATATTTTTTTTTAATTCATCGATCAAAGGTTTAATTAGATGGTTGTAAAGTTAATAAATTACAATTATGAAGTAGGTGATATTTATACATTAATTTTACTTTTATAAACTTGTTATATCCTTAACAATAAACAAATACGATGAAATACACTAAAAATTGTACACATGTCAAGTATGTTATGAGAAAGTCTTGAAAGAGATATACAATTCAAACAAGTATTCTTTGATTTAAAAATCTGACACAATCACAAACAAATATTGTAATCGTAAGCATTAAAGAGTTGACACTTTAACCATATTGTGACTAATTATTCTAAACCTAATCTAGACCCATCTTCATCTAATAGGATTAAATAAGTAGAAATCGTAAACAACTAATATTACAACCTTTTGAGAATAGTTAAAAATTAATCTCTAATAATCTTTGTTAAAAATATAACTTCCATATCATCTTAATTATTTCACCTCATATCTTAACTCATCATAAAAAAAACAAAAAAACTAAAGATTATATATAGTGTACAATTAAACAGTTGTCTCTTTTTATTAGAAAAAAATATATTTGGTGATATTTGATCACATTTTTCATGGTGTCAACCAATTTCCTATAAATTCCACATTTTAAACTGTTAAATTTAAAAAAATTAATTGACAATATTTAATTATATATTATATAAATATTTGTGGAGGCTAGAAACAATTAGTATATAATTAATTAATCATTTATTGTTGAATATTTATAAATTAACTAATAAATGAGAAAGTTTCACGAGACAAAAATTAATTATATAATAAAATATAGATATTAGATTTTAAATTATTCTTAAATTACTTAAATTTCTTATATTAGCGAAGTGTTAGTTTCCAAAAACGCAAACATTAGATGCGGAGAAATATAATGAAAATACGTATTATAACATAAGAAAGTTACAATGTTGGAATAAGATTTCGTCCAATATAAAAAAAGTACTTTGAAAATTATAATTTTTAACTATAATCGACTAGATGTAGGGTTTAGGGTAAATAAATATTATATAATATTTGCTTATATAATTGATTAAGTATAAAAAGATATGTTAAAAAACTTTTAGTTAATATATTTTTTCCCACGTTTTGCAATCACTCAAATATCCTTAAATCCAAACACAACCTAATGATTGTTCGAAAACATGATTTTAGTGTAAGAAATGCAGCCTCATCGATCACGTGGTTTGGCCTACATTCCCATCGTTTATGCATGAAAACTACTTTTGGCTGAACGTGGGGTTTGTCTTCATTTCATTACCGAATGAGTTGTGCTTGTCATCTGCGAAAACTACATATTTTGGGTGAACACTCGCGAGAGATTCATTACCATACGCATTTCTTCACCATCATATACTTGAGTTTGAGATAGAAGCTTTTCCCCAACCCCACCTAAAAACAAAGAAACAAACAAAACACAAAACTTTCATTCATAGTGTGGCACTGTATTAGGGTGATATGAATCACAAAGAGGTAATTTAGGATCAGAAAGAAGGTGGAAGGAAAGAATCACTCTTTCCAAGGGAGGACACAAAACATGTGACAGTCCTTTGATATAGCCAAGAGTTCTTGAATCACCCAAGAATTTAGGAGAATCACTCTCACTAAGATAAAAGAGATAAACTCTAATATTTCTGAATAAAATTTCACTTAAAGCGTTGTCATCAGAATTATAAAAGACTCAATAAAAGAAAATAAATACTAATAATAACCCATTAATCTAAGAATTGAAAACTATTTAATGGAAACAAATAAAGGCTAATAATGATCCATTAACCTAGGAATTGAAAACTACTTAATGACTGATTGTATCTGAAACTGTGGCAACCAAAAGTCAATCAGCTATGCATCCCTTGGTCTCCTAAAGGCTGATGACTAAATTTTCAATTGGACCCTTATTACAACTTAAAACAAAATCAAACTAAAGCCCATTAATTGATTAATCCAAAACACAATTTGGTCAATCAACAATACTTATTGAAAAGCTTCCTTTGTTTCCCTTGCTCTAGCCCTTATCACACTTCATGTTCACATCATAGGGCCAACACATGTCATGTATATATATACCCATTACATACATAGTATATACACAAGTTCACGTAATCCAATAATATCCAACAACATTGTCTGTCACAACAAATTTTGCAGAAAGTGAGGGAAACTGCATGTTTCAATTATATATTACTGTTACATATTCAAACCTAGAGATCAAAAACATTAAGTGACATGACACTAAATATATAAATTTTTTTGTTATCTCATATTTACACGAGCACTAATTGTGCTAAAATCAGCAAATGAACTTTATTGTTCTCACACAGTGCTGTCACTTTACAGCCGCCATATCAATGCTGTGCATGGCTTAGCTTTTAGCAAGAAGATTCTGCTCACCAACGGTGGAAAACTTTGCACATATGATTCCACTAAATCTTGGGGGTAGGTTAGGGCAATGAAATTTTTCTGCTTTGTGTAAGTGATGTATATCCATGTACGTTGAATGTGGCTTGCCAATTGGTGCATGTGGGGCCACGTTCATTTTGTTCTTCAACAACACAAACTTCCATGAACCATTTCCCTATTGGTTTCAATTTACAGAGCCTTTCCAGAAAAAAAATATATATATATAAAAATCTTTGACAAAGCAAATGCTGTGCTAGACAGAACACAGATTCTAATTTTCTTTCTCCTGTTAGGATTTTGACTTTTTAATTTTATACCTATTATTGCTTTATTAGGTTAAGGAATTAGTAGTACAATGCTACCTTTCTTTCACTTTTTCTCTGTTAAATTCTTAGATAATTTGAGTTAGGAGGATGAAACTCTCTCAAATATATATAGATAACATCCTTATCACTCTCCTCTAAAACATGGATATCATTCTTTCATCTTGATGACGTGCCCTAGAATGAAAATAGGTTAAAGAAAAAAACAAAAAGAGGAAGAAGAAAAAACCAAAATGGTTGTGTAACTTTTGTAATGTGTGAATCATATTTTGTACACAAATTCCTAACATTTGTATTCTTCCTGTATTGAAAATTTTGACCCTTTTGTTTGCTTTCTTGACAATAGCCAGTCTTTATCTATTAGCCGCCCAATCAAGGGGAAATGAATGTACCATCGTTTCCAATTTCTATGCATCTTGTTGCTTCATTTTTTTCTTTTTTCAAAATGTTTATTGTGGTTTTAATTTGAAAAATAAGATTGTTTGATATTTTAGAATTTAATAAATTATGAATTATTTTATTTTAAATTTGCTTTATGTTTGTATTTGTAACGTATAAAATAAATATATTTATAGGATTTTTTTTATAAATATCTTGTTTGAAATTGTTCTTAATTTATGTTAAAAAAAAAAAACTAAACTGCAATAGTTTTGGGAGAAAAAACATCTGAACCCAGGGGAGAATCTACAATTTTGACACGACCACAATGTGTTTTAGTCAATAGTCAATTCTCAATGAAAAGGGTTTATTTAGCAAACTAGTATAGTTTTTTTTTTTTTTAATTACTAAATTAGTATTCTTTGAATCGTGCATCTTCACAGGCTGAAAATTTGCGGTTTTTTTACAAAAAGCATAATAACCTCTTGAAATGAAATCTATAGAACCAGATTCGACTTAGAAACTCAAGTAATTTTATTTAAAAGTATTTATTATTGCTTGGTGTTTTTAAAAATAAATTGTTATTATATTTTGGTTAGTATTATTGTATATAACACATTTTTGTGAAGATTTATTTTTGTTATCAATCTCATAACAAGTGTTAATGTTCCTAGAGAATCTCTCGGTCTCTTAATAGTCATTATATTATTGTTAAAATAAATTATTATTTTATATTTAAAATATTATTATTCTTTAAATTTTAATTTAAAGGATAAATCTGAGATACTATTCGACTTAAAATTTTAATCCATGATAATAAATATATAGATTGAGAATATATATATATATATATATATATATATATATATATATATATATAAACTATTTTTAATCTTTAATTCTTAAATTTTATGAAATTCTTCAAGATATTATATATATATATATATATATATATATATATATATATATATTAGTAATTAAATCCCAAAACAACATTTAAGGAAATAAATAAATATTAAAAGAAATTTATTGTAGGTAACATTTTTGTTATAACATGAATTTGCATGCAAAATCAATAAAATAAATAATCAACTTTCCTATCGAGGATAGTTAAAAACAAAAAAACAATTTAATTTGTTCGAAATTATGATGAAAATATATTTTCGTACTTTTTAGGTATGAAATTTTACTAAGTTTTTAAAATATTTATTAACATGGAGATTCATATCTCTGGGAAATATATTATAATTAATAGATGTAATGTGCAATATTAATTGTATTATTTAAGTTAGTCATTCTTTACATTTAATTAATATAAAATATTAAATGTTGATTTCCAGTGAATTTATTTATATATCACGTTTAATTATTATCATACTTTTTACTCTGTATTTAATAGCGACATGGATTTAATTTATTTATTTAGAGTGTTTGCAGGAATAAATATCCATTAACCCCAGATTAATCAAATTTAATTTAAATATTTTGTATTTAATATTTTGGATTTTATTGGGGTTGGGTACTTTGAACCCATAAACCCAACACAACTTTTATATTTATTATACACACACACACACACACACATATATATATATATATATATATATATATATATATATTCTAAATTTTAATTTATTGATTATACATAATAAAAATAAAGATAGAAAAAAATCACATATATATGAAATATCATTTTTCTTCCTTTCTTGTCCAAGTATCCTTCTACAAAACATTCTTTAAAACATTTTTAAAGAAGAATGTATGCATAGATTCTTAAACTATCCTCTTTTTTTTCTTTTTTTTTTAATTCTAAACATTTATGTCACATTTAAGAATTTATTAGCTGTTCACACTAACCATAAACTCATTATAAATTCAATTTTTTTCTCAGTAACATTATTTAAGTTTATTTTTTTAACTTCAAAATGTATAATGTTAATTAATAATTAGTATCAATTAATTTTGATAATATAAAATGTTTGTAAATTTAACTTTATCCCAATATAATATAAAATGCTACTATAGTTTTAGATATTATTGTTTTATAACTATTTTTTCAATCATGACGTTACATGTACATTTCAGATATGAATTTTTAATAAATCGTATCCTGAAAAAAAATTCAAATTACATATACAATCTTTTTTACTATGTATGTAAAAGGGAGAGTGTGTGTATATATAGAATGTGTTTAAAACATAAAGAGAGATAAATATATATAAAGTAATTTACTCTATTTCTTAATATGAAACTTCTTTACTCTGAAAATTGCAAAATAATTAATTAATACGAAATTTAATCGTATTAGTTATTTTACTTATGCATTACATTAATAATTATAGAACTTAATATAAATGTATAAATAATTTTAATATTTTCAATTTATTCTATATTTACTCTTCTCATAACTTTTTGGGAAACCTAAATTTTAGAGATTCCCATATACACAATTACTCATCACTTATCAGGAAAATCTAGTGAAAGAATCTGCGAAAAAAAAATATTCGTGGCATCACAAGATAAGTAAGAAAGGAAAAATAAAAATAAAAATAAAGAGAAGCAATAAACATAATTGGCTGTATGATTTTTTTTTATCAGTACTGATCGAATATGATTTAATATATAATAAATAAGATTAAGAAAATATAAAATATATCAATTGAAATATTTACATGATTACACAGTGCAGAATGAGTTTTTCTTCACCTAATTAAGGTCGGATAAAAAAATGACCTATTAATATGTTTATAAGATTATAATAATTATATTCAACTTATAATTCATTGTTTTAAGTACATTGACAAATTGAGTGTGGAGTAAAAAAAATCTGAAGTATATAAATTTATTGAACCTCAATCCATTTTAAAAATTAGAAATACAAAGTTTGGAATCCAAAAATATATACAAATATGGATAAGTGACTCAAAAGACATATATATTTGGCTCAATACATTGAAGAATTAATATTTTAAGTTGTATTTTTGTCATCATGTTAATTTGTATTTTAATTTATATTTTTATAACAAATTTTTATGTCATATAATGTAGGTCTAATTAATTAGCAGTTAATTGTAATTATGTATTGGGATTACATCTGTGGTGTGATTTTGTTCATTGCACTTGGAAACCAAGTCAAGAAATGAAAAACTTGTTACAAGGGTAACTTTATATTTTATTCATTAATTATGTTTTTTAAGTGTAAATACATATTAAATAATTTTTTTTCAATTAGAATCGTGTATGAAACTAATGTTTTAAGTGGAAGATAAAATAAAGAATTTGCACTTCATTTATTCTAAGGTTTGAAACTTATTTATATAAGTGAACACCATAATTGTTTGTATTTAAATTTTGAAAATAACATATTTTATTCATTATTTTAGTGTAATAAGCAAACAGACTAATCTGAATGTGATTACTATGTCATATATTGGATGAGAGTCATAGTTTGTGTGGATATAACTGATAGTTTGACGGAGGTAATTATTTTCAATATTAGTTAAATTTATTTAATTTTATGCGTGTTGCATGTTTATAAGAGTCAAATTAATGTTTCAAGTATTTCAATATTCATCTCCATCGCCAAAACATGATAACACACAAATTAAAGAACAATGAACAAGATTTTTCATTCAACAATTATAGTACTTAGGTTATTGTTGATATTATATTGTGTGTATTATGTAGTTTAGGTAGCTTAGTTTATGCTAACTTTTAATTTGTACTAGCTTTTAGTTTATAAGTTATTGTTTGTATTATATTGTTTTATTATGTAGTTTAGATAGTCTAATTTTTGTACTAGCATGGTGTATTAATTTAATATTTGTAGTTTGAATTATATATAATATTGTATTTTTTATTTATTAGCTAAAGAAACTTGAATATATAGACTTGTTTGACTATAATATGTGTTTGTAGGTTTTAGTTGTAAGATAAAATAAATTCAATAATAAAAAAAGGACGAATTTTACGTCGAATATGTACATGTCCAACGTAAATTTAAGTTGGACATATATATCCAACGTAAATTTACGTTGAACGTGTGTATGTCCGAAATAAATTTACGTCGGATGTGTATATCCGACATAAACATCGGACTTACACACTTCTCATGTAAATTTTGTTCAATTTATAAAATTTCTTAGATATATTTTATGATATATTTTATGATATATGTAACATAGATTAACATCGCCTTTTTCGTATATTACCTCTCATATGTTATCGTCCATCTTACCTAGAAAAATTCAAAATAACTCACGGACACTGGTGAGAGATAAAAAAAATACGTGCTAATTGAAAAAATTAATCGAATTTGAATATGTTAAATAAGGTTTCAGTTTTCAGTCGTTTTAATTGAAAAAAAATATATATACATAAAAGGAGAAATTATTCGTTAATTCTAGTATAGAATTTACATTAATAATAAAAATTTAAAAAGTTAATTATGCGAGGCCTCCAGAGTTAAATACTGGACACCCATGATTTTGTGGACAACACTGTCTTATTCTTTCCCCTTCAGATTTTGCTGCTGCAGTGGTGTTTAATTTCTCTCTGAGTGCTGCTTTCATTAGACATCACCAACAAATTACAATTCAATTCCCCTCTGCAATTTACATATTCAGGTAATCCGAACCTTTTGGGTTTTTACTCACCACCACATATAAGTCAAATTCAATCTCTCATGGTATCAAAATTCAAGCTGACTCTGCTATGTTTTCAACTCATTTTTTTTCTTGGCATATTCCAGGAACCACACTTTTGAAATCAAAGTTGGATTATTTCAAGCTTCTGATTCCTGGACAACAAAAAAAGGTGGTTCTTATTTTTCCTCAATAAAATATCAGATATCTAATTACCTCCTTTGATTTATTTATTTCAACACTTCTGCTTCTTAATTTCTCCTTTCAACTTCCAATTTTACTGAAAATTCATTTGATGTAAGTTTCGTTACGTTTGTGTTATGCAGGAAGTGGTTGATTGATAATGGAGGGTAAATATAGTCTAGGCCGGAAGCATAGTGGTATATGGAATTCCTTGACAGATGGGGATTTTGAGGAAGAAGAAATCTGGGATGTTCTCAAGAACAGAAGTGATTATGGTTCTTCTGGGGTTCGCAAGTTCAAAGAGAAGGATCAGTCCTCTTCTGTTCCTGTCCCTGCTAGGCCTAGTGCAACCAGAATGATCCCAAGATCTAGCAATAGCAGTAACAATACCAGTGCTAGTTCCTCCAATGAAGCCAAGGTTCTTCAGCAATCAGCACCTGTCAAAATTCCTGACTGGTCAAAGATTTATGTGAGTAACCCCCCCAAGAATAGTGCTTCAAGGTTTGATACTGATTATAATGGAGAAGATGATGGTGATGGTGTTGCCAACTATGGTGTGGACAGTGATGAGGATGAAGAGGAAAACGATGAGTCTGATTCAAAGCTTCCTCCACATGAGTTTATTGCCAGAAGGCTTGCAAGGAGTCAGATATCCTCATTTTCTGTTCTAGAAGGTGCTGGGAGAACCCTCAAAGGTAGGGATCTTAGCAAAGTGAGGAATGCGGTACTCTCAAAAACTGGTTTCCTTGAATCACTATAATGGGTCCTCTTCAGTAGTGATGTTCTAGTATTAGTACTTTCACATTTTGGATGTATAGTGGGTTTGTAGCTAGTGGTTACTTAGCAATGGAGATATTGTGTTCATGCTTGGGGTATAAGAGAATTTTTCAGCCATGAAAACTTTGAATCAAATATGTTGTGGCAAACATGACTGGTTTCAATCTCCTGTTGTATCAAATTCATGGGATGTTATGTGTGTTTTTGAGCATCCATACAAACACAATGGTGTGGATGTGAATCATAATTGAAAAGCCATTAAGCATTTTGAAGGATAAAAGTGTTTTTCTATTCTTCATTGAGTGTGATTTTCTGTGACTTCTTTTGTTTTCTTTTTCTCTTTGTTTTCCCTGTGCACGAGTCCACCTCTCCGAGCCTAGGCCTACTTCCCTCGTCCTTTATTACTCTATAATGAATAAAGATTCTGTGAGGTGCATCCATCTTTTGCTGAGGAGAGACATAAGAAGAGATGGGAGAGAAAATAAGAAATGTGATGTGATGAGTGAAAAAGATAGAAACAAAGAAAAAGATGGTGGAGAAGGAGTTGTAAGAAAGCAGAAAGTGTATAAAATCATTGATGAGTGAATGGTATTTTTCTCTGTTTTCAATACTATTTCCCCCATCTGTATGCTATTGTATTAAGGGAAATCAAAGTCCATAGAAATATTGAACAACCTAATATTACTGATATAACTTCCACGGATATGTAACACATATCAGCTCTGTTAAACTGGGCAATTTTCCCAGTATAAAAATAAAACTAGTGTTTTGCAATTTCAACTAAAAGTATAGGACTTAGTAAATTATTCGTTGGTCTAAAGTTTTATGAGTTTAGAATTTAAAATAAGTGTGGTATAAACTCAAGTACTTGTTTGTTTGTCCAATTAAGAAGTGACAAGCATTTATAAATCTTAGAAATAACGTGACTTTTATTACCAGAACTCTGAAAGAAGGGATCTAAATTATTAAATCAAAGTGTGGCGTGGGAAATTGACAGAGACATTCACCAACTTCGAGTCATCTAATAATTGTAGACTAGATCAATGTATATGGTATGTAATGACGTGTGACAATGTGAGAAGAGAAGAGAAAACAGAAACAACCAGTATGTAGTAGTCCCTATCAGTTTTCACCTTTGATCTCCATAACACTAATTTAATACAAGCTACGTATAGATTATGCTTTTTGTAGCTTGTTTCAATTTTAAACGAGTTTTATATTTCCCAATCATTTTTATTTCCATTTTTTTACCTCTATTTTCTGTTTCAAAATTCGACTTCCATCCCCTTGATTCCATGCCAAAAAATTATTAAATGCAAATCTGATTAAGACCCTTTATGTTTAAAATGCGAAGCACATTAAGAAAGAATAAAATTATCAATTGTGCACAATCATAGTAGCATTATAGTATCATCTAGGTAACTCTTGGTAACGCTGTTATAGCACAGTCAACCTATCAAGTATCAACTTCCTGCACCACAGATTCCATGTTTAGTTTAGTTCTCTAAATATAAACCACAGGGCATTTTAGGAACAACAAATAATCAAATACTAGCAAGGAACTGTTTTCAACCTTGTCTTTGTTACAAGACACATTTTACGTTTTTTTTAGTTAGAACCAATATACTAAATTCATGCAATGATAAAAACTAAAATATATAGCAGCATATTCAGTAGAACAACCTTCTGTCCTTTGAATAAATGCATGCAACAACCTCTTGAGAAGTGAGTTTTCGTATTGAAATTGAAAGAGCCTTTATGACTGTGAATGATTGATGGTAGGATTAGGAGTAATGTTTTATTAATCCTTGTAAAGTTATCCATTGTAAGGGAGCATTGTATTTGATTGTGTCCCAATTTCCAAACCAAACTAGTTAGGTGGAGGGCTAGAGTAATAGACTATGCTAATTTGTCAGTTGTCTCTTGCTCCACATGGGACAACCTACGTAGACAACCAGCTTCTTGGTGAAAATGTTCAATCGTATATGGGACATTTTCTTCCCAAATAACTTATGAAGAGGAGCATGTTCACCTTCCCATTTCACATGATGTTTGTTTGGCAACATCAGTGCTTCTCGTAAATGACCCTTATTCATCTGTCAAGAACAATATTCACCTTGTACTCTGCATCACTCTAGGTCTCTTGGATTCTATAGTTTATGGATTAGTATAGTATACCCTATACACCTTCGGGGACCTACACCAATAATGAACTTGGGTCTCTGTAAGCCCACCAAGCCTAGTTTGCTAGATTAATAGTGTGTATAGATACAAAATCCTTAATCGTACCCCTCCCTTTTATTACTAAAGGACAAGATTTTCCTACCATGCTAGTGAAATCATTTTTCCTACATTTATTCCTCAACCAGAACCTAGCTACTTAGAAATTTAGAAAGGTGCAAAAGGACTTAGGAAAGCTTATAAAAGGAATTCCATAAGAGGGAATCACTTTGAAAGACACAACCTTGATTAGAGTTCCCTTTTTCTGCCTAAGCCTTTCTAGTTTAGCTAGTAAACTGTCCTTGATCTACTGAATTCCAAAGATACTAATATATATATAAGCATAAAATATTTAAAATATGGAAAACTTTCTCCAGCAGCAGAAGTAATCCCAAACATAAAGAGCATAATCTTCAAATAGAAGGTGGGAAATAGTTATAATAGAAAGGATCCCAATAAATCTCCATCTCTAAGAGATTTCTAAAAGGAGTAAATTATCAATCGATCCTCAAACTAAAATTAAAAAAATATAAAGTCTCTAAAGAAAATGACTAAAGCAGGAGTATTTAGAAAACAATGCTAAATAGTTTTCCAAATATTAGAAGTTCTTCAAATTTATTCCTAGGCAAGAATGAAAAAAAAAAAAACAGTAGTAGTTTGAAGGTGAAATTAAAGGTTTATTTTTCTAAAAAGTGTCGATATACTTATAATCAACTTTTTAAGATTGTGTAACCTCATTTTATATAATAATAATAATAATAATAATAATAATAATAATAATAACAATAATAAATTTTAGGTATATATTATTACAATGAGATATATCTTCTAAAAATAAGAATTAGAAATTATTTTTTATTATTATACCTATCCGAATAAAATGACTAGGTCAAATAAGTAATTGACCAATGGTTTTCGGATATTTATTTAAATATTATCTTATAAAATATTTAATATTATTTTTACTCATCTGCAAGCATTTTTTTTCTTATTATACAAACATTAATGTACTGAATTAAATATTGGAAAACTTTTGCGGATGATACGTTACGTATTATATTATAATCATGTCATTTTCCTTTGGAGAGAGGATATATGAGGCAAGAATAATACCTGGGTCTTTTCTTGGGCTTTATAAGAGGGCTTTTAAGCCCAATGAGAATGGATAGATTACGCAGGATATAAGGCCGTAACTAACTAACCTAACCCATATGGTATTAGAGACTTCGCAAAGAAGTCCATGTCAAGTTTCAGAGAGCTTCCTTCTCTTGTATTCATGAAAGTCCTGATGTGCTATGATAATGTTGGAGAATGTATAATAATTAAAATAAATTATTAATTTATAAAATGATATAATGATTAAAATAAATTATTATTTTAGATTAATAAATTATTTTAATATAAACATATTAATATTTTTTAATTTCTAACCAAATCAAAACTATTTTATTAATCCATAGACGAGTAGGATATATAAAAATTTATATAACATGGTACTAGAGGAGAAGCATGGCAACGGGGCGGGCGGGGACCGGTTTTGCCTCCTCAATTCTTGCGTCCTACTTTTTTAATCATTATCGTCTCCAATTCCTGTCGGGATTAGAAATTAAGTCATCATCCCCGTCTCCGTTGGTTTCGGATTTCCCGTCCTATCCCGATCTATATTATTTTTAAAAAGATAATTATATTTATAATAAATTAATTTTACTATCTATTTTTTATATATAAATAAATATTTATAATTTATAATTATTATTAATTAAATATACATTTTAATTTATTATATTTATATTAAAATATGTATGTAAAAGAAATATTTAATTATTTTTTATTTATAACATTATTATTATTATTATAACACTGTATTCAAATATTTGAATATTTATAACATTATTATTATATTACTGTATTTAAACATTTGATTATATATATAAATTAATTCATTTTTAAGTTGTCATTTAAAAATATGAAATATATAGTTTATAAGGAAATATTTAATAAGTTAACTTTTATTTAATTAGTTAATAATAAAAGTTTAAATTATCAATTCCTTTAATCATTTAAAATATAATTATTTTATTAAAATAAAATTTGATATATAATAAATAAGAATAATAAGATAAAAAAATATGATATGATAAAACTTAATAAATATAAATTATAAATAAAATAATATTAATTATTACTCATATTTATGTAAAATATTTAAAAAAAGATAAAGAATAAAAAAAATTAAATTTGTGTTCATCAAATTGGTTGAAAAGATTGAAAAAAAAATTAATGAAAGATATTAAAGAATGTGAAAAATTGAAAGATAAGAAAAAGAATAATGTAATAAATTAATTGATATAAAAGATTAAAAAAAGAAAAAAATTAAAAAATGAATAGAAGAAAAAAATTAATAAAATATAAAAATATTTTTAAAATATTAATATTTTAAAATTTAAATTTAAATATAAAATCAGAATAAATTTAGGACTTACAGTTAACGTCAAGACCCATCTTTTTTGGCGGTCCCCCAACCAGGCATAATGTATATTTCTTTATTTGTTTCCGGTCTATCAAACATATATTTATTTAAGGATAAATCTTCATTTTGGGATACATAATGGTGGGAGTGTAATTGAGGTTGAATATTGGTATTAAAAATTATAAATTAGAAAAAAAGATTAGGGCAGGAATCTGACAATATTTGAGATTGGAGAGATTCCTCAAAAAGCTAGTAGAAATTAAGAAAAGTAGAAATGAGATGGAGATGCGTGTCCTTGAAAAAGTGCAACTCTTTGAGTGCGAGATTTCTCTGTTCTTCCACGTCAAGCTTGTCGAAACCCCTCTGTGCCATTCCCCTCATCATCCCCACATGAAACCCAAACCTTCTCAGCTTCTCGATCTCCTCCTCACTCCCACCTCCCAGCACCGCCCCACACGCCGCCCCACATGCATGCAAACCACCGTCCCTCTTCTCCACCACGCGCTTCATGCCCTCGGCCCTCAACTTTTTTGCCATGTGCTGCGAATCTATCAGCCCTCCCGACCCCACCGCGCGTGATATCTCAACTATCACACGCACCACCCGCTCCGCCCTCTCACGGCCCGCCCCTTCGCCCCTCGCCAACAGCTCAAACCCAAACGAAACCACCCCGTCCCCCGTCAGAAGCGCTATGTTCGCCCCCTCGCTGTCATCAAGGTGTTCGTGGGCGTGCGCATTAGCCAGGCTGAGTAAAAGGGCGGCGGCGGCGGCCATGGCTTCGCTGCGGTGGCCCCCGACGAGCTCGCAGGCGGCGAGGCATAAGGTGGGGACGGTGGTGTGGGGGGCGGCGAAGACGAGTTGGTGCATGGGCCGGAAAACCTCGAGCGGTTCTTTGATGGGAATGGTTTGTCTGAGGTGGGCTTCAACTTCGGCCTGCAAGGAGGCCCAGTGAGGTTGGGGAGTGGGTATTCTGAGGGGTGTGGGCTTGACTGGTAAAGGGGATCGGGCCTGGCATGATAATCGTGGGAAAACCCTGAAACTGGCGTTGAGGAGGAGGGTTCCAACCATTGGGAAGACAATAATGTTAGGAAATGTGTGTCTGTGTGGTGTGGTGTGTGTTATCGATGAAGTGGCGTGTATTTATAAATGGTATGGCTTCATCAACTGAATTTTCTGGCTTAGTTCTTTAAGATGTCAATGTCAGAGGTGGCTTCTAATGCATTAACGTTTGATTAGGCTTTTATAATTAATGTGGTAGATTAGAAAACTAGGCTTATATTTTTGTCAATATGAGTATGCTAACTTTTTTATGTGGGTTAAATTAAAGCTTAGGAAAAATGAGCTGTTACTTCTGTTTTTTCTATAAGGATAAGGACAAATTTTGTACGTGAAAAAGTATTTTTATGTATTTTAATAAATATTTGTTTTCTTTTAAATTAGTTAATTGGGTGGTAGTTGTATTTTTTAATCAAAGGTGGACACGTGAAGTTGGGTCAGTGTGTTATATTAGAGGAAACACCCATTTATAAAATGGAGGAATATCTGTCACATTCTTTTCAACCAATTTTGTCCGTAGCTAATCCAATTCACCAATTATCAAACGTTTAAGTGACACTCAGGTTAGAATGAAACATCTAAAGCCTTACAACACGTCAATAATTATTGTATTTTCAACGTGCTTCGCGAGTTTTGTTCGTGAATAGTGTATAAATTATTTATCTTTCATTAAAAGGATATACCCAACAAAAAGTGAAACAGAGTTTTGTATCTTTCCACAGTAGTTCTGAATTCAACCTCACACTAATTGTCTTAAAGCAAAATAAATGCAAGAAGTAATACTGTGTTACTAAACTGAATATTTAGATATAAAATTTGCTTCTTATTTAAACCTATTACTTTCTTTCTTCTTTTTTTAACAGTTTTATATTTTGGTGGTATACATACTCGTTTCACGAGCTTAGAAGTTTAGCAAAATGAGGAAAAAACAAAAAAAAAAAAACTCTTTTCCACGGTTGAATAGAGCGGACACTGGGTTAAGGTTGTTTTATTTCGAGTTACGACAATCGTATGTTAGGTTTGGTGTACTTCGTTTTGTTTTCTTTTATGAAGGAACCACTCTCGTTGATTACACGAAATAGATACATCAAGGAACAGAAAAAAGTACTTTTGTTGTTTTCTTCACGTTGTATTATTCAAGATTATCTCAAATCACATTTAAAACATACATCATAAGTTTCTCATAATTGAAATTCATTGAATTCCATCTTTTATGTTATTTAATTTTTTAAAATAATTCATTCCTAACCTTAATTTTTTTTTCAAATTTTCTTTCATGTTTACTTTGTAAAAAATACATTTTAGTCGTTGAATAATTATAAGTAATATTTAGTGGTAATTATGAATAAACATTAAATACAAATTACACTTCAAGATCTAATATAGAAAGTGTTTTCAAACTAGAGAAACAAACATAAACAATATATATTACAAACAAAGTTTGAGTTTGAAAAAGGTCGTGGAGACAAAAACATATTTTATTATAATTTTTAATTATAACACAAATATATATTTATTAATTTGCAATAATATTCATCATGTACTAATAATTTTTAAAATAATAGGTAATAATATATTAAAATCAAATATTTTCTTACGATTGAATTAATATCAATAATAATAATTTTTTCGCCAGAGGGTGGTAAGTTAAGTCGGCTTCCTTCGTTTGAGTGCACACAAAACTCAAGACAGATAGAGACAGAAAGTGATTACAGAAAAGTTAATCAAATTTGGTCCTTCGGAATTGAGGGTGTTGTGTAAAAGCGCACGTTTGTGTTGCATCGTTTTTCATTTTGATTTTGGATGGATAAAGGTAAAGGTTTCAAGGCATTAGCGACCTCTTTGCAAAACCTCGATTTGAATCCCCCATCCAACGTCAAATCCAAGTCCTCCATTGCAATCACCCACCCTCAATTTCACGGTATATCTTTTAACTTCGATATGATTTTTTATGAAACGTAGCTTCTGTAATTCGCTATTTTAGAGATGGGGTGTTATGTGTATGTTTAGTATTTGGTAAAGCTTTCACCTTTCAGAGCCCCACGATCATTGCACTTACTCTAATTTGGGGATCAATTGAATTTCAAAGATCGTGGTTCTTTGTGTCTGCGATAATTTTAAGTAGAAAGTTGAAAACGTTACTTATTTGGGGCTTTATTGTGGTTGGTTTCTGTTTTGATAATGCTACCTGATTTTGTGGCAAGTGCTCATTGTTGAATTAGGTTTTGGATCATTGACTCTGTGTTTGTATGGCCTGATTATGCTGATATTATGGAAGCTCAGTTTGAGTTTTGCATCTGATTAGAATGATTAAAATATGTGATCTTTGAAGGAGACACTATGTGGGTGTTAGTAGGGTGAGGTTTGGATTTTTAAAATAAGGTCTTAGAGTTTAAACCTTGGTGGCATGCGCACCAATTCTTTTTGCATAAGCATATGCCACAGAAAAGGCATTGACAAAGTTATTGAGAAATTTTTGCGCAGGATTTCTATCTAAGAAGACTAAGCCTCCGAGTTTAGTCAGCCTTTGCGTTGGAGTTATTGGAAGGCATTTGGAGGATATTATTGTAGATTTGAGTGAGATTTCTGTCAACTTGCCAGCTGATATTAAGGTAGGTTGCTAGAGAATGATTCTATTTCTTCTAATCTTTTAATATGTTATTTTAATCTTAGTGCTCATACATGTGTAAAAGTGAAATTTGAAAGTTATAGTGTGCAAATGTTTGGGAAACAAAGGTTCCTCCAGGATTGCCTGTTTTCTTTGCTAAAGAAATTATCCTATGGGAGGCTTGTGATTGAACAGGAGTATTCTTTAGTGGTTGAAACTTTTGTTCTGCTCACTGTCCCAAACACTTCTTGTTTGTCCCATAATAAAAAGGACAAAAAAAAATTTCTTTCATCCTGCATCATGTACATTATACATACGTACAAATAAAGAATTTAATTTCACTTAATGACAGATAGCAGTGGCAGCTATTGCTAGAAGAAGAAAATTGCTGAATGATGATGTTGTGATCGCATTAGCTGATACTTCCTGGGAAATCCTTGATGTCTCTGGCTCAGATGTCTCTGATTCTGGCTTGATAAAAGCAGCTGAAGTATGTAGGTTCATTAAAGCTCTGGATATAAGGTATAGAATTATAACTATTTTTTTAAACTATAAAACAATTACTATGCCTTCATGTCTGAGAATATATATGCTGGAAACAACATTAGTCGTTTCATGTATTCAAATTTCCTTAGACATTCATGCAATATGTTCTAGTCTTAACTCTTAAGCTTATTTGATGCTCCAAGAACATGTGATATGTCCCATGCAATGGATCAGATGACAGGCACATTTTTGAGAAAATATTTTGCCGTTTGATCTATTATCACGAGTTTATTTGAAGTTGGTAATCACTGCTGATTGACTTTTCTGCTTAAATCTTCCTCTTCTGTTGTAAATTTATCATATTTCATATTGTTTTTCTTCTACTCTATGTGATGATTACTAATTTTATTTCCTTTATTGTGGTCCATCAACAACTTGCCTTGAAATTAGAATATCAGATAGTTGATGCCTAGCATGCTAAAAAAATTATTTGAGGTTTTGTTGTGTTTTTTTATATTATACTTCTCTCTCTTTCAGAATCACTTGATATATTGAGACTATTTGCAGCCGATGCACCAAAATAACTGCTAATGGTATATCTGAGCTTGTGAAGCACTGCCACTTGTTGGAGACATTGAGATGCGGGTATATATATCTTGTGTTGTCCATTTTAAGTTTTATTTCTTTGTGAATGCAATTTCTTCATAGTGTTGTTTTAAGTATTTCGTTTCTTAATTTAGACAATCTGAAAAGAAAATTTGCTCCAAGGGCCTTTTTGATGCCATGTTCTTGTTATACATTTGTTGTTAGAATCTATAGATCAAGTTTGCTTATAAACCAAACATATCTACTTATTATTTATAACGCCAAAATTTGGCTTTGATGATTGGTGTATTTTCATGAAGGAAATGTTATTTGAATCTTGGGAAAGTTATACTACTTTAATTCATTCTTTTATTATCGGAAATAAATTAAATTAACAAGATGTAAATTACGTTGTTCTAAAATCGTTTAGGGTGCTTTTTCTTTCTTTCGTGACGGTACTTCATCACATAATGATTTTCATATTATCAATTGGAATCACATTGGATATAAACAAGAATGTGTTTTGACTAGGATTACATGATTACACAACTCATAACAGGCAATGAATCATAATTAATATTGCAGAGGGTGTCCAAGGAGTGACAACACTGCACGGAGATGCTTGGGTATATTTAAACCAAGGTTTGATGATTACGTGGAGGAGGATTCTTGGGAGGAGCTTGATACGAAAGAAATTGCTAGTGGTGCACAATCACTCAGGTGGCTAGTATGGGTATGAACTTCAAACTTCTGTCATTGTCATGGTAATTATCAATTGAATGTCGATTTTTGTCCTTTCTGTAATGCAAAAAATCGTATATTTCTTACTTAGTTTGATGGATAAGGCTTTTTCTTTTATCTCATTGCATACAGAATATTTAAGTTGCTAATATTTTTCCTGCCTGAGATTTCTTTAAGGAGTGATTTATTTTGTATGCAGCCAAACATTGATAAAAATTCTTTAGAGGACTTTTCTACTGAGTGCCCACGTGTTGTAGTAAATCCTAAGTCATCACCCTTTGGGTTTATGGGAACTGAGGCTCCTCGGGAAGCATTACAAAATATCATATTGGACGAAGAAGTTGTCAAGGATATTGATCTGAGAACATGGACAGTGCATGGGTTTGCCTTGAAACCCATCTCTCCATCTTCTTCAAGCTCCACTGAATTATCAGTAGCTGAAAAATTCAGACTTGCATTTGAGGAAAGGGACAACCGATTAGCTCCGAAGAGAGCTAAAAATGCTCGGCAACATCAGCGTCGTGCAGTGCGGGAATTGATGCTAATGAGCACAAGAGCCAAGGCAATGGTCTTAGCCTCACAAGTAAGCAAGACTCTCCATGGCTGAAGCTCATAGAATTCTCACATCACATGCATTTTTCAGCCGCCCCAAAATGTACTACTAACTTCTTCTGTGTTCAGTAAGAAGTTTTGGTCAGATAAATTTTGATCTTAAGATATCTCCTATCACCAGTTTGAATGATCGAAGCTTTCATTTTGTGTCCTGTTTGAGGTTCACACGAGTGAAAAAAATGTTCAGTTGCCCATGTTATAGAAGAAATATGATTGCATATTTGCTCCATTTATTGTGGAAATGTAAAACTAATTTTAAAATATCAAAACGAGTAAAGGAGGTGCTTTATATTTTGCTGAAAGTCATTGACATGGTACTGCTACCTAATGGTGCTGCTTCTAACAGATGCATTGTTTAGTGGAATGGTGTGATGCATGGCTATTCCTTTTGAAAAAACTGCTTATAATTGATTGATTGTTACGACAAAAGTTGATGAGAAAATGTTTGGTCGTAATTTATAACCTGTTTGTGAAGTATCTCAACCTGAGCTGGCACCACTCCCTATATAAAATTACTACAGCAAAAATTGTAGCTGCAAGTATGTGTGTGAATTGGAGTTTGCATAATTGATATTAGCTTTTGTTTGGACATAACTGTACGGTAAAAAAAAGAAAGCCTCATATTTTGCAAGGAATCATGTTAAATATATAACTAAACATGAAGTTTAATTAGTGAGAAAGGTATTTATAAATTGATTCATGTTTTTACGAGAAACCGGTTTTTGTCCAATGAATGTTGTTTATATACTGTAGATAAACGTGCCTTTAGACGCATAATTATAAATTTAACTATGTAACTATTGTCAACTAATGATATAATATTAAATCATAAAGACATGGTATTATCATATTCCTCAACTTTTACATATTTTATTATGGTGATGATTAAAAGATGGTTTTGCAAACAATTGTGATAAAACAACGTTATTTATAAGGACACACGCATTTAACGACTTTTTTTCATAAATAATACTGTTTTCAAAAATATTTACCAAAATAGCACCTCTGTAACTTTATTTACACAACTAGCACGGTTTATTGTTCATGTAATAAAATAATATTATTTCGCGCAATTGTTTACTGTTCACGTATTAAAATAATATTATTTCGCGTACTGAACTCTCGCTCAAGCGAAGAAAACCTTCGTATGAGCGAGGAAATCTGTAACGAAGGGGTAATCTGGGGTAAATTCTCGCTCAAGCGAAGAAACCCTCGCTTGAGCGAAAAGTATTATCGATTATTATCCAATTATAGTCGATCACTTTGACATATATGACTTTAGATAGCGGTTATTTGGCCAACCGCTATCTAAACTACTACATTAGAAAACGGTTAAAGCCTAACCGCTATCTAATATATATTTTTAAAAGCGGTTGTTATCAACCGCTATCTAAGGTAACTCAAGCGAAAAACACATCGCTTGAGCGAGGACACCTGGAAAAATGGGGGATTCTCGGGTTCTGTCTCGCTCAAGCGACATTATGAACGCTTGAACGACAAGTGATTATAATATGTGGTGAACCAAGTTATATTATTTGGCTAACTGCGTTTGGCGTTTCATGATTCGGTCATTACTCGCTCAAGCGACAAAGTCACCGCTTGAGCGATGAAGCCTTCAAACAAGGGGGACTCTCGGGTTCTTTTTCGCTCGAGCGAGAAACCATCGCTTGAGCGAGCAAACCTGCAACTATTTACAATGCTGAGTCACCCACCGAAGTCAGGATTCCCATGTCTTTCTGATGCACACAAGTAAAGAATCCAATGCTGAGTTACCCACCTAAGTTAGGATTCCAATCTTGGATTCCCTGCATTGGGTTAGTGTTTCTGGTGGAATTTCGATCGATTTCGGTTCTAAGGGTGTTTTGGTCCTAATCAAAATTCTACCACGTAAGTTCTTTTTATTTAGGCTAGCAATTTGATTTTCAATCGAAAACATGCATGAGAATCGAAAATCACAACATATCGAAAAAGCTATTTTTGGTATTTTGTATTTAAAGTATCGAAAGCAAGAAAACTATCGAATCGAAAAACGTAATGTTAAATTGCGAGGAAATGTAAATTACGAGAACCCCAAGTTTGCAATAATTGTAAATGACAAGGAATCGGAAATGACGAAAACGTAAATGGCAGGAAGTTAAGTTTGCATGAAAAACTAAATGACGGGAAATCGAAACGTGCAGAAAATATAAATAACTGGAAACTTAAACGCAGAAACTTAAATTTTCATTGAATTGAAATGACAAGGAATCGAAAGTACGTAAACATAAAACTCGCTGAATTTAAATTGCATCAAAGTAAATTACCAAGGAAAATACGAGAAAATGGTAAATGAACTCGGTGAGCATGGAAATCCAGATTGCCGAAGCTTCATGGTGTTCGTCGTTCTCCGGTAGACTTTCTCACTACCGATTCTGTTTTCTGCCAATTTTTGCTCCCTTTTCTTCCTTCTTTGCTCTATTTATAGGGTCTCCTTTAAGCCTTCCAGGAACAGTTAATAAGACTGCTACCACGTTCTTTCGTGCATGATGGTTTCTTTTTCTACGGTTTCCCACGTTCTCACGATCCTCGACTCCTTCCATGGTCCCGGAACCGCTTTCTATACGTGCGTTTGACTTATTCTTCTCTGTGGTTTGTCCGAGTTTCGATGTCCATGTTCCCTTCGCATTCGATGATATCGAACACTTTGCATTGCTTTGGGTTTAACCTTAACATCATATGATTCTAGTTTCTTAGTTTTTTATTCGACAACAAGCATTTGGTTATCATTCACCCAATTTTCGATTGTGTCTCTCGATGTTATGTACTACGTACTTCTAATCGGACATCGAATGATTTCTTTTGTCTATCTTATCGATTTATCAATCGATCATATTTCTCGATTCCACAATAACAAAATGCCCCCTTGAAAGAATATGAATGATTTCAGTTTATATTCTTTCAATATTCCCGCCTTAATGTTTGGAAGCTCTACTGAACTTAGGGTTTAGGTTTTCTGGGGTTCTAGGGTTAAAAGGGTTTTAGGTTTTCCTTTCCGTTTTACGTCGCCATCATATCAGTCTGTTGCTTTTACAAGTACAGCTACATTTATTACCTTTCGCCTCCGTCGTTCCCAACTCCCTAGGCGATTTCTCCTTAACCTCTCCCTTGGTTTTTACTTTGGTTTTTTACGCGAACTTTTACCCTCTCGCTTGCACCTTCATCGTCTTCCTTGAGTTCTTGTCTTCCTCCTTGCTACCTCATCTCGTTAACCTCTCTCTTTCTATCCTCCTAAGTTTACTGAAATGGCAACTTCATCCAAGTCGTCCGATTTCTCGGCTCCACCTCTTCCTTCATCCGCTTCTAACTTGTTGGAGATCAACAACCGAAGTTTGCTCCATCGCCTCCGATGGAAGAAGCTTCCCAAAAATTGCTCGAAACGCAGGTACTCGTTCCTTACACCGTTGAAGGTGTTAGTTTTGCTTTTGGGGGTCCTGTTCTTTCTGGTAGTGGAACTATTTCTCCCCTCACCCTTTCAAACAGCCCAGCTCTTGTGCACCAGCCTGAAGTTAGGATCGATTTTCTGAATCTTGTCTCTAGGGTGTATCGGACAGGCCCTCCTTCCAAAAAACCTTTGTTCATTAGATGGTTTGATCGGGTCAAAGCTAAGTTTGGGAACCATTGGAGAAATGTGGGGATTTTCGATTTTTTGCACCTGTCTCAATGTGACTTATCTTATTTAGACATGACTATGTTTTTGGCTGCCATACATTTATGGAATAAAGAAATACATGCCCCGGAATTACCTTGCGGCCCTCTCTCACCTACTCTTTTCGACGTCGCAGCCATCACTCGGATTAAAACCTATAGGAGAGAGATACTTTCAGGGTGCATGTCCTTCGGATAATTCTCTGAAGTCTAAAATTGATTGGGAATCGAAGGCCTATGGTCATTTCCTTGAGAAGCATTTTATCGATGACCCTTCGATAGCTGTTACCGATGAAGAGCACGTGGCATTTTTGGTGTATTGGCTGTGCACCCATGTTTTTTGCCCTCGATCGATCCAAATTTCCCCTCATCTGTTCAACCTTGCATATCTCCTTCACCTAGGCCAACCTAGCCTATGTTTAGCCAAATTTTTGCTAGCGCATGTGTATACCGCTTTCGACGAAGCCGTCGAAATTTTGAGTACTCCTAAGGCATCGTGGAATTTTTCCGGCCCCGTTTGGTTTATACAGTTATGGTTAACTTTGATTTTTGAGAACATCATTCCCCCAACTTCTACCATCCCCCCAAGTGTAAATATAGAAGGGGCCCGATTATCCTCTCGCCATCCTCGCCATAAACCTGATGAGGCTGCTTATTGTAGATACCTTCACTTTTTGTTAACTAGATTCACTTTTGATTCAACCTTAGCTCCTTTTACTGTAAATCTTGGACGACTAAGTGACCAACTTAGGGGGCCAATTTGGTTTAAGTCAAAATTTCCTGCCTCAACTCCTGGGTTGCAATTAGAGTTGGTCGATATATGGAGTAGCTATTTAACTCAAGATGTACTAATATCGGGCTTCCAATCCAAAGATTTCAAGTTCATTACTTACTACCCTCAACTTTTTTCAAGACAGTTTGGTCCGAGCCAATCTTTACCCTTTTTTCCTTTAGATACCATCCCCAAATCCAAGTTGATCGAATCGACCATCGTACGGAGCTTGCCAAGTTTTTGCCAAGAACCTCGATGCATCTTTACCCATATGTGTTTGAATCAAATTATTTATCGACTCGTGGAATTTTCTCAATGGTGGACCACTTGGTTCTCGAAAAATCATGCCGCTTTTGACGAGGTTCGACGTAAACCGACCGCTCATCCTTCTCTTGTGTTGCAGGACAAGTCGAAAGGGAAGAAAGGTACACACTTCCACTCGTCTCCAAATATCTCGATTCGAGAATTTTTATCAAATATGTTATACTCCACTAAAACTAGAATCGACCTTTTATGACGCTGTCATTTCCTTATCCCAT